AAGCCATCAATGGAACTTGCAAGAGAGAATATGAGAAATATGAAGAGATTTTGGAAGAATTAGATGAAATTTTCCTTGTTTTACTCTCTATATATAGTTAAATAATTAAATAATTTGTCTGTGACTTACTATTGCTAAACATATTACATTAACTAATTTGAAAAATTTGCGACTAATTCAAAAAAAGGGAATGAAAGGTTGTAAGAGAAATTACTTACTTGTAAAGTTATACTCTATTAATTAATTAGATTTTCCGAAATAATTATCTGCAGCTATATAAATTTTATGTCCATAATCTTTAAAACGGAAATGCGTTATTTCACATGGTCAACGGGACTTTAAAGTTTTTATACATTTTGATTTTGACTCCCATATTCTTCCTTACCTTCAATATAAGGGGTGCCTGTACCCTTGATATTTATGTTTAATTATCGTGGCTAGAATTGATAACTGTGTTGGTCTATGGTGGTGAAATAAATAAGTTAAGATAATACTTTAACGAACAGAAGAANACATACATAAAATTCAACTATCAATAGTCGTATATAATTTATTAATAGAACTGCTAATACAATAAGTGAACATTAGTTTCATAATATTGATTACACAAGTAAATTATATTAACCACACATCATTTCTAGATGTTTTTGGTCTCGAATTTTAATACTCTAGGTTGGTCTAGATTCTTTTTTTTGAGTGTGTTTGTTTCAGAAAGACCAATACTTTTTTTTGCAGCCAAATTAACCACCAAATAGTCTGTGAAAAAAAAAAAGCCAAAATCCGAGAGAAACTTCACATTTATTGTTCTTTCTGTTCTTCTTCTTTGCCGCCCACAAACAAAAAGCATACCAATCTTGCAAGCTGCTTCTATATTCCCTTCAGTAGACAAGTTCAAAGCTATTTTCAAAGTTGGAAAATGTCAAGATTTTGGGATATATATTAGTGAACAGAATCAAAGAAACATGGGATACGAGTCGACAGAGATGGGTCCCGGCTCGAAGCCTTACAAGAAGAACATTTCTTGGGTGTGCTATGTGAGTTGGTTCAAGAAGGAAAACAGGTAGATAGGTGTTTCACTAGATACAGTAGCGATTTATTACTATGTATATATATGCATAGTATGCTATTCATCAAGATCTCCATATTTGATAACATAAGCGGTATATTTTTCACTTAATCTTGTCAAGAACACAGTGTGAATAGCAACGACTTTCTTCAACACTTCTGCGTCAGATTCAAGGAAAACTTTCCTTTGCTTAAATTCCTCCACTAGTAAATTAAAATAGGAAACTGTTTCCGTTTCCGAAACCATATCCATGCACCCACAGTTAACCCTTAATACGCTTTCAAATGCAAAAAGTAACATATTATTCGAATACAAATAATGCGTTCTTTCTCGGATTATTTTTAAAAGATTATTCTCTATAACAATATGTGCACTTTCATCAGGTACATCTCCCAATCCTGCAATACTAAGTCCATCGTTACAATCAGCATCAATATCACCAGATTCTCCTCCGTTGGCTCTAATTGCCATTATTAATTCCTTGTTTATTAGTTTAAGCCATGTAATTTCTTTATTCTTGGCCTCAATAAGCTCATCTAATTGATTCTCCAAGGATTGCAACTGTTTCGTCTGTTTGCTTTTTACATTTGTTAGTGCCTTCTGAAAACTATTAATTTTAGCATCCTTATTAGCACAGATTTTCTGTTGTCGTGCTAATTGTTCCTCTACTTGTCTTGCTGATTTCGTCATTGCTTCGATTAACTTTTTGGATTCCGTTAATTGTCCAGAAGTAGCTGTGAGTTTCTTGGCTGCCTGGTCATATTTCTCTTTAAGACTTTCTTGTATTTCTTTGGATGCATAAAGGTCATTTTCAAGTTTTATTATAGACTGATGGTTTTCATCTCGATCCTTGACAAATAAGGTATGTTCGGCATCTAATACTTCCACGGTATCAGCGAGCTCTTTAATTAGGCAGCGGTTCATATGTCGTGCTGAGTTGTAGAATTTCTCATAATGCTCAAAAGTTTGTTTTGCCATATCCACTTCCTGATGTACTTGAGATAGTTCCTCGGTTAATTGTTTTGCCATAGTCACTTCTACATGTACTTGATGTACTTCCTGGGATAATTGCTGGTTCCGCTTGTTGGCTTCAACCAACTCTTCTGCAATTTGTTTTGATAGCATTCGTGACTCCTCTAATTTTCCTTCCATATTTTCAGATATCTTTCTGGACTCGTGTAATTCATCTTCCTTCTGTTTAAATCTGTTTACCAATTCTTCAAATTCAGAATCCTTCAGCTCAGCTATCCGACACGATTCATCATATTGGTTTCTAAGCATTGTAATTTGATTTTTCAATTCTGAAATTTCCAATCTTTTATCTTCTAGTTCTTCTGAACAACCGGGGGAAGGTACTCTTGATTCGGCCAATACGAGAGACTCCTTTAAGTTGGATGCTATATTGGCTATAATTTCCCAAAACGTTTCATCATCTTTAGCACTCCTGGGATCTATTTCGAACACTTGACATATTTTAGTTATATGCAGATCCTCAATTCCGGTTGATTGTTGTTGTTCAGTGTCATCCGATATTATCGTAGGATAAATTGAGGAGGATGAGGAATCTGCAGGTTCGAAGGATGTTTCCAAAATGGTATCCAATTGGCTTTTCTTTTTAATATTACTTGACAAATGATTGTCCAAAATCGGTTCTTCCATTGATTGACTAGAATGTAAGGATGAAGAAGCAATTCTATCCAAACTTCGCTGAGGTGAGTTCTGGTCGCTGACAGAAAGTTCAGCCACATTTACAAGAAGAGCTGAACTCAAAGTAGAACTTACCCTTTCAGGAGATTGGAAAGAAACTGATTTGAACCCTTTTGGACCAAGCAGCTTTCTCATGTTGATAACTGCGTTGTTTTCTTTGTGTTGAGCATGATTAATTTGATTTAAAACAAAGCTCGAACTACTATGAGATGAATTAGTTGGGCTGAAAATATTGGAAGATTTATTAATAGCAGCTGTTTCCCATTTCTCTATTTGCCTAGGTGTAGGTATAGAAGACTCAGGGGTTCTTGCTTTGTTTATCAATTTTGCGTTTGCAGTTTCCTCCCATCTTTCCTTTTGAGACTGACTATAATTTGAATCTCTTCTTTTTGTGGGAGATCTGTTCTTGCAAGTCGTAGTAGAATCAAGTGATTCGGTGGATATATTTTGTTGGTTCATGGATGCTTATGGTACTTCTTCTTGGTTGTCAAAAACAGATAGAAATGGGAAGAAAAAGTTTGGTTGCAAAAAATAGTTTAAGGGGCGGTTGAAGTTCGGGCTACTAGATGATAAAATAAATAACAAAATCAAGTTATCTAGATATGCGAAGTAGATTTAGGACAATGAAAAATATATAGATTTCATTTATTAGAAGGAAAGTGGGAAGAAATATGGATTATTATGAACGCTTGCTGTCAAGTTTGTATAATAATTTTAAATTTATAGAATTATATAAGTATTCCAGAAGAATAATTTTTATGAGATTACTCCACGAATGCCAGATCACTGACGTTTTCATTTCAATGACCGATCTTTTTATGTTGAACATTCGAAACTTGTTTCAATTCTTCTAATCTTTCCTTCAAAACCGGCAAATCTCTTAGGTTCTTCTCCAACACGATTCTCTCTTGCTCATATTTCAATCTTTTTTCTGCATCCAATGGACCAAAGAAATATCCTCCCTTCCCATCAAATTTTAATAAATATTTATGGAAATGCCATAGGGCCGACCTGTGGGCAACTGACAATAATGTAATGCCTAGTGATTGCGCATGGGTATACATGAACTGTTCCATGTCTGGAGAAACTGCAGATGTACATTCATCTAAGACGGCAAATTTTGGTTCATGATAATATAATCTTGCCATTGCTAATCTTTGTTGGGCTCCAATTGAAAGTTCCTCATTCCAATCTTTGATGTCATCTAACATATTGACGTATTCATCTAATTTCAATATCTTTAATATTTCTTTCAATTCATCGTCAGATTTCTTTTGATTGGATAATGAATGTGGATAGATGATTTGTTCTCTTAATGACCCATTAACTAAATAAGCTCTTTGAGGTAAATAGAACATATTTTCAGTAGTTGGAATCGAAATGGTTCCTTGTTTGACTGGCCATAATCCTCCCAACATTCTAAACATGGAAGATTTACCTGATCCATTTGGACCAGCTATTAATAAATGATCTCCTTGTTTAATTGAAAAACACAAACTTTCAATCAAGGTAACATCAGCGGGAGTCAATAATCTTACTTTATCAAAAGTAATCTCATTATTATTGTACTTGACATTAGGAGTTGAATTCTTTCTTTGCTTAACATCATGCAAAGTATCTTGGAATTCTGAAACTCTTGCGGCATGACCAATAATTTGCAAAAGATATTTCCTCGCATAAATCATTCTATCCAACGAATCTGAAGCATTCAATAATAATCTTCTATTGGTAATGAAATTACCTGTCAGGTTCTTATCTTCTCGTTCACCTAAATATTTCCCAATAAAAATTGGTGCAGAACATAAGACTAATCCAGCAGCACCCCAGAAATATTTCACAATAAAGGTTTGTGCAATTTCATGAATTGCCTTCTTCCAATATTCACCCTTCAGGAATCTCTCCAATGTATAATAACAATAATCAATATAATCTAATTCACGATGATGACCTCTCAAAAATGCAATTTCTTCATTATTGGCGACGATTTTCGAATGGGCTGATCTCAATTGACCTTCCAAATTAGCACGTTCAGAGGCTAATTTAGCAAAAGGAGGTGAAAATAATCTTAAAATCATGGTAGTGAAATGAGTGAGCATACCTAAAGCTAATGTACCTTCTCCATTCCCTACTCCACTTTTTCCTAATTCTCTTGCACATAAAACTAAATCCAAAGTAGGTTTTAATAATTGCCCAGGTAAACTAGATAAAGCTTCACTTAAACGAGAAACATCGGTTGTAATTCTTTGATTTGGATCTTTAATTTTGTTACCACTTAAGTGAATTAATGAATAATAATTTGCATCTAAATTTTCTGGTAAATAATTATTTAATATATTATCATTAAGATTAGTTCTTATGGCCATACTTAAATTTGATCTTGTCCAACCTAATAATGCATTGGTTAAAGCGGCAGGAATACCAATTAACATCCAATACAACAATAATTTGAAAAAGCTTCTTAATCTCTTAGAAACTAATGCTCCAACTAATTGACCATCTAAATTCGCAACTTTAATAGTAAGCAATGCGCGGACAACCAATAATGCAGTATGTGTAAATAGGTATAAGATGGTTTTATCAGTGAGTGATGGAACAATTGCTTTTGCTAATCTATAAAATGATTCTTTGGATAAGCTTGGGTGTTTTGACTTTGGCTTAGCAACAGCTCCTGTTGAGTCTTTATCTTCTTCGGGTGATGAGCTTTTGGATGTTGAAGAAGCTCCAGTATTTGTTACTCCTGAAAATGCTGCGGTGATTAAAATAATATAAGAAGTATTCAAGAATAAGGACCTATTTGTTCTATAGAGCTTTAATAAGGATAGTGACAACGAATTTTCTGGCACCGTTGGATTTTTCAAATTTGTCATAGTTGAAAAAGGACTAAAAAGGACTGCTGGTTTTCTCCTAGCTTCTGGTATTGACTAGTCTATCTGTCTGTATCAATGCGGTATTAGCCTATAACAAGGTTTCACTTATTCTATTCAATTAACAAAACTTCGAATAAAAGGACTGAAGAAAGAACGAAAGAAAGTAACATGAATTTGGAATCTGTCTTGGAAAAACCTTAAAAGGAATTAACCAGAAAAATATCACATGGCAGAGAATATTCCCCCACCTCCGCAATTTATAAACCGAGATGGAACATCCATTCTTCAATAGTGAAAACAACACATGTAACAAGAATATAACCCCAGACAAACCGTGGAATGACACCCCATTGGGATATCAGCCATCCCATGAACGGTCTATATAGAGTATCATGTTTGCTATATTGTTTGATTTATATTATTGGATCTACCAAGTTGTGTCTATATAGATACATACATTTCCCTTTTTGTCAGGATCAAAAGCATTTGAAACTTCTCAACTCGGTTAAAATAGCCTTGCCTATTCATTTTCTGACGAGCACTAGTTCCGTTACATTAATTGGCTAGTAGGATGGGAAAGAAGGATCTGAATCTTCAACTTAATCCGGAATGGAAGCCGAAGTTGATAATATGGAATGAGCATGCTATACTTTCTGGTACTTTCCACTGGGGGTCGGGAGAGAATAGGAGTCTGAAATATATAAAGTGGTTCCAAACTTCATTATGGAAACACTGTTATCAAGCTGACTAACTTCTATTCAAAACTTCTCTAAATTCTTCCTTGTATTGAGAAATATCTGATTCCAATTCCTCAATTCTCGCAAAATACACAAAATTGGCCAATTCTTCAGTACTTTCAACCTGATATTTCTTCAACAATTTGTGATATAATTCTTTCAATTGTGCCTTGGTATTTACTTTGATAACTTTGTTTTCTAGTTGCACTGTCTTGTGTTGTTTCCATTCTGTTAGAATTGTATTGATTGAATCATTTGATGCTGAATCCAATTCCTGTGGCCCCTTGATTCCATTGATGTGAAGTAATTGGGATAGTAATAGTACATCTCTTATAGAATATAAACTTGGATTAGTCACTGTACTCATCTTGTAGAAAGTTTTAAATATTGTTATAGTAAAATTTCATTTAAAGAGTTTAGAATATTTTTCTTCTGCGTTCATATTAGAATTGAAGATTTTTTTAAGTAAATATATCTCAACGTATGGAAATTAAGAAGGTAATAAAAACTTTCAAGAGCCTCCATACAAGATTCACGATTGTAGCAGAGGATTTAGATAAAAATGGGTAGAAAGTTAGACACTCGAAATGTCTCTTTCAAGAAATTTAGTAGCCTAGCAAAGGAGTAGTAAGTAGAACGTACGCCTAGACACACCACTTATATAATCGATGTCTTTCTATATTAATCTCTTTGCAATTCGGGTGAATCCATCTGGAAGGATGATGGATTCCCAACGGGAATACACGATATTGGGACATTGTTTAGTAAGTGTTATAGGTCCTTCTGTAAGAAGATACGTATATGATGATGAGATCAAAAGGGAAGGGTGTGTACTTACCAATTTGTAAACAAGAAATTTCCAACGCCCTTTTTTTATTTTAATTTAGATCTGTTGAATGCCTAGAAGTTTAAAACGCAGGAAAGAGAAGACAGCGGCTTTTAAGAATAAGCAAGCTGTAATTTTCCAGCTGGATGGTCTAACAGTATCCCCCCATATATATCTTTCCAATATGAATGAGAATATATCTTTATTTGAAGATAAATTCTCACGGATCAATATTAACAAATCACCAACACGACGTAAGAAAACATACCCCCAAAATTTATACCCAACCCCCACTGCTATTAGAACACAAGCTAGCAGTAGAGCCATTAGCAGGAATAATGAAGGATTGAATTCAACAAGCTTCGACCCTATAAGAACACAATATAGTGCTCCCAAGACCCCATTTTCTAGAGATATATCTCAATCGAAGTCCCTCAGTACCGGCAAACCAAATTTACATAGTCCAAGAGTAATAAGTTATCCCATGTCAGAAACATCACAACTGAAGAAACAATACCAGTTCTCGTTTATGCGAGAAACAACATCTTCGAAGCAGAAAAAGCAAATACAAAACCCATTTAATTCTGGCATTCAGACTTCGCTCAAGAATCTCCCACCAACATCACGACTTCCGCCAACTCCTCCGGCTGCAGCAACACAACCCTCACCCATAAATACGAAGAAAAGGGTCGACCTAGCACGTAAGGCAAGCCACGCTCTACGCTCAAGAAGATTGATCGCTTCTAATGCGTTAAAGTTAAATCCACCTGTAAATGCCACTCCCAACTCAAATTCAGATAATAGTTTCACAGAAGAAACCTCTCCTACAAAGATGGCAAGAAATGACCCAGTCGTAGAGTCCCTCACAAAGCCCAGGCGGCTAACTGGGAGAAGTGCAACCCAACCTCCGTCCAGCAATGTCTTTGAACGGCTTTACCCGGTTAAGAAATCAGAAGGAACTTCTAGCGGTAACAGGCTTAGGAATATTGATAATAGAGGTCCAAGAGCAAAGACCCCCATCACTTCTAATAAGCAGACAGTACCATCAACATTAACTGAACTGAAAGTGCAAGACGTACAAGAATTGTTCAAAATTCTTCACAGTAAAGAGCCTGACTTATTTATCAGTACTAGTCCAAGCGCACCCAAACAACCAATACCCATAGACAGAGTACCCATGCAATTGCTAAATGTCTACGAACGCGGAGAAATCGTGCGAAAGAATGAACTATATTACGTTCCTACTAATTGCTCAAGGAATATAGATATTAAGAACTACAGAGAGAATTTTGGCTTTGATGACAACAAGGGACATTATATTATTATTCCTAATGATCATATTAACTATAGATATCAAACAATAAACACATTGGGTAATGGATCATTTGGGAATGTTGTACTAGCTCGTGATCATAAATTGGACAATATTGTTGCGGTGAAGATTATAAATAATGATTTAAACTGGTCATTGCAATCCATAAATGAGATCAAGATGTTGAAATTGTTGAATGAAAAGGAAAGGAATGCAAACATTTTACAGTATTTTAATCATTTCAATTTTAGAAGTCATATGTGTATAACCACCGAATTATTGTCCCTTAATCTATATTCCCTTTTGGAGCTAGTTGACTTCAGAGGTCTTTCCATCGACATTTTGAAAACATTTAGCAAACAGATCTTGAACGGTTTAGAATATATACATAGGCATGATATAATTCATTGTGACATTAAACCAGAAAATATAATGATAAAGCTCCCACCAAATCCGAAGCATTCATCCGACATAACCATCAAAATAATTGATTTTGGTTCATCGTGCTACGCCAATCAGATTTTATTCACCTATATCCAGTCGCGGTTCTATCGAGCGCCAGAAGTAATCCTTGGAGCAAACTATGACCAAAAGATCGATATTTGGTCATTTGGCTGTGTAATTGCTGAATTATTTACCGGTTACCCCATCCTACCTGGTAGAAATGAAATAGAACAAATTGGATTAATGTTGGAAATATTTGGAGCGCCAAAGAGTAGTACGATATTGAAGATGAGACGAATTTTGAATAGACAAATTTCGGCATCATCTACACAGAAAGCAGGACTCTTTGAAATGAATACCGTGTTGGGAAATAAGGCTCCGAATGATAAACAACTTAAGAAGACATTGTTGTATAAGATATTTGATATGAATGGGAAACTTAATTTATCGTTGCTTAATTATCATGCTTCCAATTTGAATAATGGAATGATAAAGAGACAATTTAAGATTAATTCAAAGAGTTTTGATATAATTTTGGGAATAAATAAACCTGGAAATATAGACACTCCGGGTAGCAAAGCTTCATTCTTGAGATTTTTAACAAAAATCTTTAAATGGGATCAACTGGAACGTTGTGGTGCTAAGGATTTATTGGAGGATCCGTTTTTAGATTAGATACATTATTTCTATAGGGTGGATGATATAAGATCGCGTATAATAAATTATTTAACAATAAGAACCGGGTGTCTCACATTCAAAGAATTAAGAATAAATGCAAGGTAAACAATTTAGGTATTACAAAAGGAATCCTGGATCTAAAAATCTATAATATGCACTTTCTATTTTGAGTGCCTAGCCTTCCATTCGTGATTCAACTTTCGCAACGCAGCAAGGTATTCCTTGTCCGTTCCCTTGGCAATATTCATAGTTCTTAAGACCTCCGCAGTGTAAGGTTTTGGATTGTAGTTTTCTAATTCCGATAGCCGCCTTTGTGTGTCTACATACATCTTTGATAACTCTTCCAAATGATCTCTCAATAAAGTCATTACATCAGCCTTATCTTTACCAAACTTGGTAGCTAAGGTTTTTTCATCTTCGAAAAGCAAATCCATATAATCTACCATTTCATCATATGAAGGGTAAACTAGTTGACTCATGGGAAATCTAATGTTTGGATCTAACCACTGGTCTGGATCAAAAAAAGAATGAGTATGTTTCCAATGATAATCAATGTTGAAAGTACCATCCGCCATTGTCTTAATGTACACTCGGGATGTACAACCTATTTTAATAGTTTTCGTCTGAGCAATATAATTGGACTTCTTCCTATTGCATCTCAAATACATCACCCCTACCCTTGAATCTCTATTCCAAGTGTAATGCACACATATAGACTTAACAAAAGCAATCAACTCCTTGTATGTCATCACCCCGGTCCATTTATCCTCAGTAAGATCTTTTACGGCATATTGTGGAAAAATAAATTTGAATAGTTTATGAAAACCGTCAATTCTTTCATCAAGCATTTGGGCAGAAAGTGGTGGATATTGCTTATCAATATCCAATGCCAATTTCCTCTTTTTCTTAGCCTGTGGAACAGGAACCGGAAATCTTAGTTTCCAATTCCAATCATTATATGCTTCTTCGTCCCAATTCTCCCTTATATAATCCTCATCTAGAACTCTTATGCCAAAAAGCACATCTATTTCTGGGTATTTGAGCAATGCAAGATAGAAAGGATGGGCTGTTGCAAGGGCTCTTTTGATTCCCGGAAGCTGTAACATTTCTTTGATTAACGGAGCAAAGCGTTCACATACAGGGATCTCGATATTGGAAACATCATTGGCATTTCTAAGCCGAGAAGAGAGCTCTTTAGCTTCGGCATCCATATAGGCACATGCTCGCTTCACTATTTCAGGATCGACACAGTTAGGGACATCGCTCGGTTTATGTTTTTCTCTAAGGATGCCGGTACTCACTCTTTTAAAACAATCAAACGCTGTCGGAACTTCATAGGATCGGATGCCCTCTGGTTCTATCTCATCTACAGGTGAATTCATCTGACAGATCATAGAAACTCGGTCGGAAATAATATTATTATTGAAAAGTCAGGCTTAAGTTGTGAAAATGAAATCCAAAAATTCTGACCCCATTATATACAGGATCTCTCGACAGACGCGTCTTTCCAATTGGCACACCAAACTATTGACCAGGGGAAGTACATCGACATACGATAATCAGCTAAAAGTCTTTCGTAAAGAGAGTAGAGGCCCTAGAATCTGTCGCAACAATTCTTTCTGAAAAATAGACCGTCAATCGGTAGAGCGTTGATTGTCGAACTCCCTATTTTTTTATTTTTTTAACAAAAAATGGTTCAAACTTTATTTATACAAGAATTTCTCACGATTTTTCCCAATTAGTGCAATTAATAAGTGGGGCTATTTCGTTTTACATTTGAATTGTGAGTTCTCAATCTGCCTCTGATGCATTGTCATAGAAGATTAGGAGCGTGAACCAATTAAATTGGAATCTCGGATTTTTAATACTTAAGGACATGCATTTCCCTTCGCGATTGAGTTTTGGATTTTTATAAGAGATTTATCAGATTTAAGAATTTTGCAGCTTTTAATCAATGACTAACTTAAGAACGATTTAATTATCATTACAATTAAAGATTAATTCAGCTTGGCTCATCAACAAATTATTTCAGTCTCAGATATTTTTTAATTTAGTTTAAATAATACTATATTAATCTTAAATTTGACCATCCGTCGATTTACAACTTTCAACTTGCGCTTCCGCTGCCATTCAGATTTAGAATCGTATCTTATATTTTTGACTCATCTTTACGACGTTAATTTACCCGACGACAGCCATCTTACTTAAATATATACTGAATAAAGCAAACTCGATAATAACGCGCGTTGTAAACTTACATTAAAGATGCATTTTAGTTTTCCCGATAAATTATTAATTCTTCTCGTCTTTTCTCTTGATACTGTGATACATAAAATAGGTGTGGTGTATAACTTTTTTTATACAATATATATTTCAATAGTATCGTTTATAAAAAAAAAATAATTGTATGCCAAAAAAAAGAAGCACTCTTCCAATGCGTTTTCTTTCAGCGAAAAGATAGCGATTTACCATCTCACTGCGTAATCTAAATGACTAAAGAATATTCTGTAAATTCTAACAAGATCCAGAAGAATCCCAACTGGACTATTCGTGAAGGGTCTAGAACAACAAGAAATTAACTTCTTCCCGAATGTGTTTTTGAAGCAGACGGTCTAACGATAACTCCACCATGTCTGGACTAGATGCTCTGAGTACTTCAACTATAATTTGAACATCCGTCATATCAGGGTTTCCATTTAAGCATACTTCCTGCAATCGAGAATGGGTCAGAAAGACTAGACGAGGTGAAACCCCTGGTTGTAATTTATTGTCGGAAAGATCTAAGCTAGTCAAGGATGAGGGAAACTTCAACAAATTTTCGTCCGTTTGGAAGTAATCATTGATCTTTGTCGATGCCATACTTAATTTTTGCAAGTTGTTTAGACTTGAAAATACCGTAGAAGAAGCAAATGCGGAAATGGGATTTCCATCAAGACATAACCATTGCAATGAAGAAGGAAGGTTATTCTCCAAAAAACATATCTCGTTTCCCAGTAAATCTAATTTCACTAAACTGGTGTAGCATGGGAATTGGAATTGATCCAATAACTCACTAGTTATGAAAGATTTCTTCAAATATAGTTCCCTCAACAGTATTGGGAAGATATCTTCCTCGATTGTACTTAAAGACCTATCAAGACTCAATGTAAGCACTTCCACGCAATCTGGTAGCTGAAAATTATCACTACAAAGTCTAACAAAGCCATTCTCGTGTGCTAGTTCCACCACCTTTAAATTTGCACCTCGTATAAAGACCTGATTGATACCATTATCAGATAAATCCAAAACCTTCAAATTGGAAGGTACTCTACTCATAAACCGGTCCATTCCCACCCAGCCAATTTTGAGTCTAACCAAATGCTTTAATTTAAGTAAATTTAAGTCTTTGATAGGATCCTGCGCACGTAGGGTTAGACTGCGCAACGATTTGGGAAATGAAACTCCTTCTATCCTAGTAACATCAAGATTTAACTCCTCGAGAGAAGTTGGAAATACAGCACCAGACCAATCTTCCCGCTCCGGCCACAATTCACACTTGGCATCGCTTGTAATTGATAGTGTTTTTAAAGACAGAGGAAATGATAGTTCATTCGCTCTATACAACCCATCGTAAGTATCAAGGACTAGAACCTTTATATTGCTTGGAATTGGAAAAGATTTCCCCACAGTTAACAGTGGCTCGGGAACTGGAAATCTATGGTATTGACTCAAAAGGTCAAACAAAGATAACTCAAGACGTTCCAACAGTGTGGGAAAGCAACGTGTGTTTGAAAAAACATTCGTTTTGGTAAACCAGGGATGGACAACCCGTAGCTCTTTTAGATTGGGATAGAATTCGATTCCATCCAAATTATCTAAATTTGTGTCTCCTTCATACATCATAGTATCTCCGATTATGGCGATACGCTCGATTCCAGGTGGAAATACGAATCTGTCGAATCGGTCCACCCCGAGGCGGGTATCGATTACAAATTCACGCAATTTGTCCAAATAGGAAATATCCAACTTATCAAATGCCCAGACACCGATTCGTAAGAATTCTAGTCCTGAGGGGAACCGGGGAAGCGAAGTCACGGGAGGAGCATCTGTTAGTGGTGCTTCTTTCAAGCTGATATGTTCGAATAGACACAATTTTTTTAAATTCGGAAACAAACGAGGGAGTTGAAGCAGCGAAGCCTCATTCAAACCTAGTTCTTGAAGATTTTCACCCCAACTAATGTTATTAATGTTTGGTAGATCATCAACACGCAACGAAAAGATTGTGGTCAACATTTCCTCATATACAAATCCTTTCGGGCGCGCTGGAACTTCGCTAGATGCGGATGCTACTGGAAAATTCGAAACTAGGTAGATATTGTAGGGCTTGTCAAAAGTCAAAGGTGGTAATTTATCATGCCTGGAAAATGAAATATCTATTCTTGATAAGTTTGTTAGAATATGAGGATATCGTTCATGAAACCAAACAAATAAATCAAAACGACTGAAATGAACTATCTTGGGTCTAAATCTCGAATGTTTACACAATTGTACAAAGGGATTGACTGTCAATACTTTGAATGAATAAACACCGTCCCCGAAGTCATTGTATTGTTTGTTTGGATCAACTGGTTCATGCGTTTTGGCACCCTTCACTGTAAACTCGTCTACTTCCTTTGGCTTTGGCTCACCATACATATTTTTACCATATTTGTACCATTTAGGAGGTATATGGGAAATTTGACTTTTATATTTCTTATATGAATAGATTATTTCGACAGAATGATAGAGATTATTTGCGATATAGGCTCCTATGAAGGGAACGTTAATATATGTCTCCAAATATTCTTCAGGTATAAAGGAAATAATAAGTTGAATGATATCATCAGGTAAATCGAAGATCTCAAGGCTCGGTTTTTGCATATTTCTTTGTTGTTGTTGGCCGGTCATTTTGATTAAGCAAAATAGTTCTGGTCGAGGGTATTGTGGATCTAGGTGTGAGTGTTGTATTACCAGCCTCACTTCGCTGAATGATTTTAAAGTTGCTAATTGGGAATGGGGGGGAGGTTGTTAAAAAAATGTGTATCTCGTGTTCAGCTTGTTTCAAAACCAGGAACCTGTGTAAACTATATGTTGCTCGCAGGGATGGGAAAATAAGGACAAAAGTCCAATTGGCTCCGGTAAAATCCGAATAATCACTATATGGATATGCAAGATAGCTTAAGTAATTTAGTAGGAACTTGACCCGGAATGACCAAGTGTAAGAACAGGACTAGAATTACGGGTGTTTGGCAGTACAGGCGCTAAAACTTCTGATACGAGATCGTCCGAGCGAATTTATATTCGGATACTCTAATGAACCAAAGTTCGCTGTTCTGTGAAGATAGATAGTTTAGTTGTTCCTCAACCAAATCCCAAAACCTCTAAAGGGGGGATCCACGGGTATTTATCCTCGAGCCCTAAAGTTTAGGAAACGGGGAAGGCAGCGAACGAATTGAGGCATTTTCAGAAATCAACCGGGTTAGTGACAAGTTGCACACAGGAACCTCGTCCGGAGCTCACCGTACCGCATACTCACTAACGACCGACGAAAGTGTTGTTTCACGATTTTAATGATTTTAACACGTGAATTGAATTCTAATTTATAAGAAGGTTTGCAGAATATTTTATGAAGAATTATATTAATGATGACTTCGATCTTCATGTTAGAGGTAATATTGAAGGACGTGAACAAAAATTGACAAATGAGAGAGAGAAATTTCAATCGGTGGGAGGAAAGCTCGATGGATATGAAAGAATTGATGTTGAACGGGTGCTCATCACACACTCAATGAACAAGAAGCCAATTGGTATTCCTTCCAGAGAAATAGAAATCAATGAACGTCAATTTATTGAAGACGAAAAGGACCCCACCTCACCTTTTAAACAACCCCAAGGCGAAATTTATACTTTTTCAGATGAAGAATGTAAGGAGTGGTTATGTGCTCCTTCCTAATTTGGAATTGGGGTAATCGCGGAGATTATAGACTTTCGCCGGTCGTTAGTGAGTATGCGGAGGCCCGGGCGTGGTTCCTGTGTGTAACTTGTTACACTACAATTGATTTCTGAAAAGCTTTCGATTCGGTCGCTACCTTCCCCGTTTCCTAAACTTTAGGGCTCGAGGATAAATACCTGTGGATTCCCCCTTTAGAGGTTTTGGGATTTGGTTGGGGAACAACGACGAATCTACCTTCATGGATTCCAACTATCTATTTACATAGAAGACTGAACTTTGGTTCATTAGGATATCCGAATATACATTCGCTTGGACGATCTCGTATCAGACGTTTTAGCGCTTCCACTGTCAAACAATCGTATTCTAGTAAAAACACTCCTTATTCTTACAACGAAGCATTGGATTGAGCACAAGATACACGCATTAAGACCACAGCTACAAAACCGGTTATAACTTCAGAAACTTGAAACCCCAATCCAAGAACCGTTCCATAGTATGAATTAATTTAGAACTAACTACATCAGGAACAAAATCGAAGACTTCGAGAGGCTGTTGATCTGGTTGTTTAGGATCAATATCCCTAGTATCAACGGCACCACCAATACAGCCGTCAATACCTAATTCAAGATACCTATCGATATCATAACTAGTAGCGACAGCTTCAAATTCATGTTTCCATGAGTAATAGTTTTCAGGACCAATGATTTTATCAATGGAATGGAAACTTGACTCACCGGAATTTTGTGTCATGGCCTGTAACAATCTGGTTTCTAAACTAGCTAAATAGTGGATACATTCATTCTTCTTATAAAATTGTTGATTGATTAACTGAGCTATAAAATTCTAAAGCTAACTTTTATACCATTTTTACAGTATTTACATCATCCTAAATCAATAGTTCGTCAATTAATTAACTACTCATTAATTAATTTCCTCCTCAGATTAGTTTGCCTAGTAATTTTCTTAGTAATGTTCTTTCCAGCTTAATACCCGTTAATTCACATTACAAGAAACAGTTGTTTAATCGTCGTATTCATAGAATAGTCACCATTCGTCACTTCGGTTGTGCAAAAACCCAGGAATCTCACAATAAGAAGAGGTAAATACATGCATGCCCAGAAGCACCGACGACCTGCGTTTCCCGTTAATGAGGTATCAAAGCATTTGTATCTAGCTGTCGATTTACTTACTACACTATTAACTTCTTAGTTCTTATTTCATAGAAGGATGACCATGGTCTGAACCTGGCCATGCCGCTATTTTCTCTATTCTTGGAGTTGAGCCTCGACTGCTTGCTCCGCTATCACTATCTAGCAGCTCTATATTATCACTAGACTCTAATAAAGCACTTATTAACCGATTAAATTCCTCCCGTAGATCCTCATCTGTTAGCGTAGACACAAATTGTTTGACGGAATTTATTTTCTCAGATTCGACATCAAGGTTTGAGAATTAGTTAGATAAAGGTTTAAACCATAGTTAACCATTTAAGTATAAAATCTTCTTCTTAAGAATGTTCACTGTTTTTAAATTAGATAGCAATTTCTTATAATGAGCTTCAGGACTATATTCAACTGATTTATTGTTAGATTTCAATGGGGGATTCATTAAAAGCAATGCAGCGTAATAAAGCATGATGTGAATATGTACTGGTACATATCTCAAATTTTCCAAGATATCATTATCATTAATCACCAAATTCAAGACTGTATGAGCTGCATTTACAGCAATATTTGCGCTGATTGCTGCTTGATCGGGAGAAAGCAATTCCTTATTCGAAATGAAATCATCGTCGTCATCTTCACGATCAGAGGAATCGGTATCAGAATCTTCTTCGGAATCACTTCCATCTTTGCATACTTTCCCATTGGAATTATTCTGTGGTTGTGGTTGTTGTTGCATTAATGAACTATCCCATTTCGGAAATGTATCATTGGCATCATTAGGATTTATTTGCAATCGTCTAACAGCTGATGAATTGATATGCATTTTCGCAAAGTTATAATAAATCAACGTGGATTTGGTTGACCATACAGCACCATAATTCCCAGGTGCCAACAATACCGTCCATGAAACCATCCATTTATCCAATTCTAAATTGCTCTACCTACCCTATGGCTTACTACTTCCATGATTATTCAGGGTACGCAAAGGAAATTTGGCTTCGTTTAAGGCTTGATTGTATTCAACTTGGGAAACTAATCTCATATCAGTGAATCTTTGTTTTTTGGCCATTTCGTCTAAATCAACTTCAGTGATATTATCTTGTTTAGGAAGAGCTTCTTTACTTTTAAGCAATTTCTTCTTGTGTCCATGAGGTAATTTCTTATGTCTCTTCGTTAGCAATATCTCTTTACTATGCATAAGTGAATAATCTTGAGGATTGACTAATGGTTGCCTATTGAATGTCAAACTTTGCTGTCCGTCCAAAACATAAAGTAAATACCAAAGTTTTAATCTATCCTTATTTTCAGTATGAGGATCATTTAACCCATATTCTTTTGCCAATTGAAGTGCTAACCCTGTGAACATTTGTGAATCCGATAACCAAAAGCTACATAATATCAAAGCAAGAATAGTATTAAACCCTTCATTTTCATCTTTTGGTTTTCCTTTAAATAACAACAGACTACAGAGTTCATGTAAATATGTCAGTAATTGTTTAGATTTCCAACTTAAACTAGAATGATGAATCGAGGCGATTGTGCAGATGGCACAAACGAGGACTGGACAAGTATCCCAGAGTGAATCCGTTGAAAATTTCGATATTTCAAATCCAAATAATTGTTGGGAGATGTTGGCATCGAAGAATTTGAATAAATCGTTTGCTTCTTCTTTCGAGAGGAATCCTTCTCTGAAATCCTTGGGATGACTACCGCTTTCTTTGAGTGGTCTTTTCGTGTGCGACTCCGATGTGTCGTCACATTTTGACGCTCTTCTCTTCCGATGTTGGCTTGATGTATTTACAGGATGATGAGCTGTTGCTAAGGGTTGACTCTCTATAGCTGGAGGTTGTCTAATCGGCCTCCAGCTGGAACTACTACTTATACCGTCCAGACTTCTAACATCAACTTCCCGAAGTTGATTTGGGAATACATGTGACGGTATAGGTGGTGGTGATATCAACTCGGGACGGCTATTGCCTTCTAATACATAAGTATCTTGATTCTGAGATAGTATTGGTATCGGTTGATATTGGTGATGATACTGTTGATACATTTTCTGTTGATTATCCATAATAAATTGCTGATTTACTCGTAGAATATCCACCAACTCGTTGATCTTATTATCAAACGTATTCATTCTATTTTCTATTTGTGATTTCCAGGCAGTATCCTGTTGTTGCTGTTGGTTATATGCACTGTAACTGGAAGGGACCATATATGTGTTGGCACTCGGTATGCCCGGTAGTTGTCCATTTATAGGCGGTATAGTCCCGTTGAATGGTGGAAGTCGTCCTACCTCTGGAGTTGGCTGTGGCGTAGCTGTTGTGGTTGCTGTTACGGTGGTTGAAATGCTCGGCACTTTTAACGAAGGTAGTTTAAGTGCGAAATGACAAGTTGAAGATTGACCATTCTTGATGCATCGCTCACACGGTAGGCTTCCATTATAGATACATTTAACTTTGGATTCTTTACAATTGAAACATGGTTTTGTTCTCTTTTCTTTAGGCATCACGTCTATTCAAGAGTCCCGGTTCTTCTTCGCTTCTTTGCCTCTGGAGTATTTTGCAACTATACTTTTCTCTTTGACTAACTTGTAAATCTAGTAACGATACGCTTCTTCTATTGGTGCTGCAAGTGTAGAGGTTAGAGATGTGGTTCCGGGATAACTTGTAAAATTATTAAAATATTTTTTTGCTCTGCAAAAGCCGAGGTAAAGTGTAAATTTAAGCAAAGTTACAGTTTACCCCCTCGATTTACAGATTCTCGTGGGGTTTAACGATTTCGTTGATAAAACTTTAACGAAAGAGAAATCAACGGTGTTTGATTCATATAAAGAAAGCCACTAGCTATTAAAGATGCGTGCAAAGATCCAATCGTTTTTCAGCAACAATAGACAATATGCCGTTGTCGGAGCCAGTAACAATCCTTCTAAATTTGGTTTCAAAATTTTGAATTGGTATGATAAACATGGTTTACCAGTGATACCAATCAACCCTAAAGAAGAAGAAATCCTTGGAATTCGAGTAGTTAATAATATTAACAAAGTTTTGGAATCTATTCAATCCCATCAAGATATTTTGACTCATAAGACTTCCAACGTCGATGGTTTAAGTATTTCATTTTTAACCCCACCTCGTATTACTGCTGCTACTCTCAAGGCAATTGCTAGTATTGATGGTTATAAAGACATAGTTAAAGGTGTATGGTTACAGCCAGGTAGTTATGATCAAGAAGTTTTAGATGTTGTTCAGGAAATTGGTCTTTATGATAAGGCAGTACATGAAGAAGAATGTATTTTAGTTAGAGGTGAAGAAGGACTTGAAGCTGCAAATGTATCTTACACTTGTAAATTATAAAACTTCCAAATTATTCTATATAAAGAAAAAACAATCAATATTCGCCAAAACATATTTATATTATATATAGGTTATTTATATCTATTAGATCCCCCTCTTAGAACTATAGTTTTAATCAAGAATCTTTTTGATGTAAGTACCCCAACTCTCCTCATTTGGATTCTCATCTTTACTGTTTCCGGATCCTGACGGGCTTGGATGAGTTTGATGTGAAATATCTCTTGAATCTGTCCTCTGGGGTGGTTGTATCACTACAATTTCGTAAGGAAATGGGGAACTTTCTAAGGATGTTATAGGAGGGATATGTTCTTTATGTGAGTCAACCAAATCAATCACTCTATTTATGTTCTCTTCAAAGCTTGCTATTGAAGTTTGTATATTTCCCGTATATGGTGAAGAATTGCGTCCATTATCTTGGGCTTGTTTATCGCTTTGAGCAGTTGCTCCGCCTCCTGTGCCACTAGGTGTGCTATTATTAGTGGATGTTTCTTCAATTGGCAAACATTTGATGTTAATAATCCAATTTTCCCATATTTTCAAAGATTTGCCACTATCGGAAGGTTCCAGTTTGCCAAACCATCCTGATTTCTTCTTTAGTTGTTGTGATCTATCTTTATCTAAGAAATGTATTTGAATTGTGCCTTGTGGCAAAGTCTTACTATCATTATTCTGTAGTCGTAGAAGAAGGCGATCAATTACTGATTTGACAAAATGATTAATCTTTTCATCTATCAATGAGTCTAGATCTGGTAGGTTGCTAGCCATTGGATATGTTATACTAAGGAATTCATTGGTTGTGGGTGTTATGGGTCCAAATAGTCTATTAAAAAATATGGTCCATATTATGCCTATTTTGTAATCTGTTAGTAAGAATTGAAACCAGATCTTTGGTGATTGAAGTCATGTACATACCTTTTAGAGATTCCCTTATCACTGATCTCTCAGCAATTACATCTAGCAGGAACTCCATTACTATTTAAAGTGTGTATCTATTAATAATGAATACTGTGAGCGTGTGTAGATTTGTTGTAAAGAAAGAAGCTTTTTAGAGGCAATAAATGATTTCCTTTTTCGGACGTGTATTATCATCCGAACAAAACGTCTCAGACTGACGACTAATAATTCTCACTATAACGGTTTAACTACTACTCTGTCTATTTTGAATTATCTGTTCTTTCTTCGCTTGCAATATACAGGGAAAAGTAGTGTTAGTTACATTTTCTAATAAGTGATTTTATTATGGTTGCTATGTACAAATAATTGTGTTTTGGAATTTTCTTGGGGCATGGGTTGACAATTACTGTGGCTCTTGTTTCTTCTCTATGTCATTATCAAAGAATCATGTTGCTTTAAGTACTGCCTGACTGGTCTTCCTTCTTTATTCGACTTTTCTTTACTTCACACTTCTCTATTACAGAGGTAGAACTATTAAGATCTAACTTAATCAATTTCTCCAACTCCTCTACACATTTAGGAAGAACTTCAAAATCTAACAACTCCATTTCTCGATCATTAAATTTAGATAAGACATGATCTGTTACTTGATTTCGATCATTAGGTCTCCCTATCCCAATTGAAATCTTATAATAGTCATTTTTCATATATTGATTTATAGATTTCAATCCATTATGACCTCTTTCACTAGTGCCCGGTTTCCTAATTTGATATTTCCCAAGATCAACTTGTAATTCATCATGCAATATAATTAACTTTTTGTTAGTATTGTTGTTATACTTTGAAAAATGTTTCGAGATTGGTTTTCCTTGAAGATTCATATATGAATCAACTGATTTAAATAGTACAATGTTTGGATACTTAGATGAATAATAGTAGTCTCCTCGTTTGATTAGATGTTGTTTCCAATATATATCTACAAGCTGGTCCATCATTCGATGGCCTACATTATGTCTAGTTGATTTGTATTCTGGTTCTGGGTTTCCTATTGATGCAATAAATAAAGTCCTTGTCTGATTAAATGAAGGATCACTTCGTATACTAGGGAAATAGCTATTATAAAGACGTCGAAGGAACATGCTTACTGACTTCCTGGGAAGAGCCGTGTAAAACCAAGCAGAACTATTGTTTTATGTTTTTTCTTGTTTCTTGTTGGAGTGATTTGTGCGGGTAATGGTCACGAAGTTTACGCTTATCTTTGGCTAGCACCTAGAAGTTGGATGATCCTGCTTGTCGTTCAAGAATAGTATTTGAAATCCTTGACAGTTTTTAGTGGCTTGTGAGAATAATTTGTCTACTAACATTAACGAGCATAATCGTCGAATCCTTCAAAAAATAGTACATAGTTATATAAAGATCTAACAGAGGAAGTATTGACAGCATTGCCTTCTCATTTCTCCATCACATGCTCCACTTACGGGGTACCTTGATAAAACTAACAACTTCTAAGAAAATTCTCTTGATGGTTGCGAAAAAGGGTGGTGAAGTTTCCAATATAAACTCAAAAACATCAAGTTCTTATACCTCAAATGTCTGCGGGCCCAAACTGCCTTTGTTAATCTACGTACATTTGGAATGGACAGAAAGCTAAACTAGAATCAGTTCCATTCTTATCAAACTTGTTGCCACTGATGAGTGAACGGCGTGCACTTAAGGTTGACAAAGACATCATTATTTATTAGTACATCTTTGAATTACTTGATATTCCGTTGTGGGGAAAGGGTGTAATTATCTTCTTGATTGTTGTGATTTGAATATAATAACTCAATACATATTGAATTGAGTTGGTGACAGTTTGTTCTTTTGAATACGCAGTTCGTTTGGTACGAAGAGAGTTTTACTCGAAATCATAGTTTGTTTTCACTTTAATGTATCGAATATCACCGCTTGATCGATCAACTCTATATCTGTTATTGCCTAACTTCAATTTTCTTAAAGTGGGAATTTTATTCACTAGTGTCATCTTGGATGGATCGGGATTCGAAGGACTATTTACTGATAAATATATTATTGGATGGTAGAGTAAGAACTGCAAGTCCGTTTTCGGGATATCCTTAAGGTAATGGACCTCTTCTAGAGAGTAATACGGCAAATGCTTTATTGTGTCCTCAAGCTCAATCACCTTGATTGAGAATAGTCCCTGACTAAGCCGCCTCCAATTTCGAGGGTGTGTTCGAATCAGTAATGATTCCAATTCCAGAAAGTCAAAATTTGGTACCATATCATAAATTATGGACTCAGCACTAGAATTCCCTAGAAATAGATTTTTTAAACGAAGCTTTTTCTTCACTTTGAACGGTTTAGGTTGATCAATATAGAGGGACTTTAGCAGGGTAAAACGTGGTAACCAATCTCGATAGAACTCTTCATCTACCCCGTCAATTCTTAAACTCTTGATCAGATGAATATCTGGCAATTCGTCTATCTTTTGACTTTTGGCTGATACGTAAAAGTGACCAACATTTGTCCAAACATGCTTGGTTGGGTACGTGAAATGAGTGAGCTTTGAAAAGCTTATTGAACACTTAATAAGTTCGTAAGCTAACCTACCTAGCCATCTTGACGACATGTAGTCCGAATTATGAAAGGTCAATTGCCTCATAAACTGCAGCTTGAGCTTTCTACCTCTTGACAAATGCAAAAATGAGGCCATACTCATCCATGCATGGTTTTGCCAGCGCGTTCCTGCACGACTATCTGACCCATGATAAACATAGATCGAATGCCATAATATTTTGTTGCTTAGATTATTCATCCTTTTGTTTAACAATTGAAACTTCAAAAGATCAAAAGTTGATAAAGACTTAAATATCTGAAGCCATATTTCGTCTGGAAAGTCAACAAATTTAGGAACATTCTTTTTAGGAGGATGGATGCGTCTTTTCTTCATTACGTCGTAAACTCTGTGAAATGGGAGTAGTGGAGATAGCAAGTGAGTTGAATTTACTTTGTACTAGATTGGTCGGGCTTTCGATCTTGTTCGTGCAAAGTTATTAGGTACTTTCAATTTCTTTGATTACTTTCTGAGTCTAATATTTCCCACTCTGAAAAATATTTTCTCGGGTGGGATAGTTTCTTAACATTTGTTTTTTTTATTTATTGATTGAAGCGGAGAACTTTTTATTAACTTTATTTGCAAGCTGTTAATTTTAACTTTACTTGCCGGCTAAACCAATTACTCTTTATCCATATTACGATTAGAATTATTGATGCTTGGCGAATATTTAAAAAAAGTTTTTTTTGGGAAAGCTTACAACAATAGTATTCCAATCATGTTAGTAAAGTTCATCCATTTTCTCTAAAAAAACCAAACTTCTCTACCACAGCATAGCTGTTAATGCTACACGATTTGGGGATCTAGCTGACCGCTATATTATAAGAGTCAAAGTTGGTACTGAATTATTATTCCTTCCTCCATTTAAATATGATTATGTACTTACGCTTAAGCATCATTGCTACCGCTTAGGAACGAGCCAGTTCCCAGTCGACCAAACCATGTATGGGTGATATCTGTTACGTTGACAGGCTATTGAATTTGTGATTACGATTTACTGTTCAATAGTATTCGACAAAGTTCTCATATACTTATATTTCATACAAATCCTATGGGAGTTCGACCTTAGTAGCGAACTTTCATTGACTCCAGATCTCGCCTATTAGGGCATGAGAATATTGTAAGAATTCTTCATTTCAAAAAGAACTTTCAGCTTTAAACCATTCTACACCTCGATAGAATCCAAAGGAATGAAATAAATACATACCATGATTGAAAGTCCTCCTTGCTTGATCCAATACACTTTTATCAGCCACCAATGGTGCATTGGATAAGTTCAGGTAGAATACAATATCTTCAGTTTCACCACTCCACTACTAACGGAACTGCTACTGGACTCGGATCTATATGAAGGGGGAGGTGGATATTTGAATGGAGGGAACAATACTTTCGTGATAACTTTAACTGCCATGCAACAGTTTTCATCGTGATCTTCATATTCGTCTAACGTCGCCAGCTCTACTGCGATAGAGTCGTTATCTGACTCATCTTGATTGGAGATAGGCTTCTCAAAGGTTAAGTCGGTACTTCACTTTTGGATGCTTTTTATGATTAAGCGTAAAGAAGAAGTCGGTCAATATGTGTTTTTTTGCAACCATTATTTAAAAATATTGAAAATTTGCACCCATTCTTGGAAAAAACAAGTCACAATGATTTTGACATCCTGCACTCTGAAATTCTACAAAAGATTGATCTAATTATATTGAAAATTGCTTACAATGATACTCAATATTGAAATAATTGGGCTCTGGGACGTTGTATGTACACTTATACAATTCATCGATTGTACAGCTGTGATTGCTGTTGGCTTCGGCTCTTTCCCTTTTTTCCTTATCCTTGCCTTTTCTTGGTGCAGAATGTTGGTTATAGATACAAAGAATGATTGTCAAACGAATCGGACTCAATTCAATTCCAATTGGTTTTAGAAGCTTACTGGAAGTGTATTCTGTGGTCCATAGTCAACTTGTTTGTTGTTCAAAATCGGACACTAATGCCTTATTTTACGATGGAAGTTGTGGTTCTTTATCAAAATCCTTAGCCATTATAAGTGGTCTATGAATTTATTTTTTTAATCTTTTTCACTTATTGCAGTACATTACCCCATCGGCTTCTAACACTCGTATAGACTCTTAGAAACTTGATAAGTAATTCCGAGATATATATGACATGCGTACATATGACATATGCATGCATAATCTAAATCCATGTGACGATCCCTGGCTATATTTTGGGCACCAGAATCCTTCAGATTTCCATCTGACTTATTTATTTTTATATTAGGATGAAATTAAGGGTTCTCCAGTTTCAGCCCAATTATAATTCGAAATTTATTATTTTTTTAAATGGTTCGTTGACTAAAAAATAAAAATTTGAAATCTGCCTGTTTTATCTTCATAATAATTGTAAGCCACCAGTTTGGGCTTAGACTTACTTACTTACTAACTTGGAGGCTTTCTTCTGTAGTGAGGTGCCTGAGCGACTGAACTATATCCAATTAGGTGGGGTAAAGCGATCGGTTTGTATTATTCAGACACCTTATACTTACACTCATCGACACTAATACAGTGGAATAACAATACGAAATATAAATTCGGGGTAAAAACTAGCGATATTTTTGGAATTCGTGAGATTTGTGTGACCATTGATAAGCAATATGTTATTGTAATCATATGCCATTTCTTGTTGGAATAGAGAAATATAAAACCCTTGAAGGTTTGAAGTTTGATGCAATTCCAACCGATTGAACTTATGTACTATTTCTCATAGCAACTTCAGCATGGTTCAATTCAATTTAATTTGCGTCTTACTACTTGCTATCTTTAACGCTACTGCATCCCTAACCATCGAAAATGAATTTATCCAAATAGGAGGTGAATTCAAAAAACCAGAGCTCGGTATAAATGGCATCTTATCCTTGATTGACGTTAGTACTGTTGTTGTCCAGCAATTCAACAACCTGAATCAGACATACTACCTTGGAGGATACAACCCGGCAGAGGATAGTATTTTAATCTACGAACTTAAAAATGATGGTCAATTCTACTTGAATGGTACGCTCCATAAGAATGACACTGAATTATACTTCAGGCGAGCTGTAAATAATGGAGTTATCACTATTGTGGATATTGATTACATTACTATGAATGTTAAGAATGAAGGGGAAATATATCTCATCCTGAGTATCCCTGGACTGCTGGATACCGCTGATTTATATCTTGCTAGTAATAACCTCACATGCGTTCACAACACTTCCGTATCGATCCTGGATGAGAGTTCTGGAGATGGATGTATTGTTCTTGAGGATTCCGATATGCGCGCTGGAAAGCAGGTCAATTCCTGGATTTGCTTAGGTGGTCAATCTGAGGTACGTCTTGATTTCACTTCGAATACAACCGCCACAGTAATCAAAGTTGCCAATTTTGGCGGGAAGAATACTTTTATGATTAGCGGTATTGCCAATAATGGCACTGTAGATCCTTTTGAGTATAGGGAAAATCGTTATTTGGACGTCAAGCCTGAAAATGCCCATGATCCTATGGTATTCGACATTGGACCTGGATACGATTCAAAATCGTTCAAGTATGAAGTAGGGCTGCATGGCAATGGTGTTCTTAGAGTTTCGTATCCGTCAGCTAGTGATTTGGGGAACAGCTGTCCTTGTTCGTGTTCCAGTATCTCTCCAGTCAAGGTTCCAGGTGTGGTTCCAACTGTCATTGCCACTACCTTGAAGAATTCTGCTGCAACCGTGGTTACAAGCACAGCAGCAATTGATACTAGACCAACAACGATCGGAGATATCGTAACTTCCGCAACGAAAACAACTTCGACTTCTAAAGATGGTGTGGGCAAGAATGCTGCTTCCTTGTTGACGACTATTATGCTTATATTGTCGTGCCTCTGTATTATTTAGAGTTGGGTACAAAAGCATACAATGCAGTCATATATATGTATGTGGGAAATTTAATTGAATTTTCGCCACGGATATACTTTTATACATATTTCCATCATAAATAATAAAGAATCTATTTTTGATCTATATACTCTAAAAATACTTCTTTCTTCCTTCATAAATTTTGACCTAACCAAACATACTTCATCTTCGCACCCACGCCTTCCGAACTCGAGTTCGCACTACTATTCCAGCCCACTTCTTCGTCGCCCAATTCTTGTTCACTATCAGACGAGGAATTGAAATTATAAAAAACCGGTCTGACCTTTTTCACCGTCCCATTTTGTGCTGGGCCATATCCCGATCCAATAAATTTGATCGAATTCTTTCGTGATCTTGAACGAGACTGTCGTGGAGATTGGGATTTTGAATTGGACCGTGCGGCAATTCCGGGAGATGGACTTGAGAAGGTTAATGAAAGCAATTTTTCAATTTCATTCGTTTCATCTTCTGTCTCACTTTCGGATTGTGATGGCTCGTTGAGTTTATGTTTTGATACGGTAGGTTTCTGTTGTTGTTTTCGAAGAGTGGAAGGGACACGGTTTGGTGTGAGTGATCTGACCTGGGATCGAGAATTGTTGTTATTGTTGAGATATACTCCCGACCTTGCCCTAGAGAGTGTATGTACTGGAGAATCTCTGCCTCCAAAGGATATGGATTCGATGGTTTCATTTAAGTCGAGATCTGATCTTGATTTTATGAATTCGGGAAAATATGAAGTATTTTGGACATCATTGGGTTTTGGAATCTTTTGGTTGGGCCCATTTGCAGTTGGAGCCATAAAGAGAAGTTTGGCTATATCTACATCTGATTCATTTCTTGATTGTGAAGAAACACTAGATTCAGAATATGCCAAACTTACTTGTGAATTTACTTTCGAATTCAATTGATGAATCGGGATTTCATAACTATTTGAATATTTCAATTTGAGTGGATTTTGGATATCTTCATTTGACAATAATTTAGTTAAATCGATCACTGAGTTTGATCTTGTCGGTTCTGAATTTGGTGATATATCTGGACTAACTACTCGCGAAGGATGATTGGATAGATCGAAGTTGGCTCTAAATGATTCATCATTTATCATTTTTTGTTTAAATTCAGCTTTGATTTGGTATAATTTTGTTCCAGGCTCCCAATCCTTTGCAGCAGGACATAAATAATTCTTCGTCTTTGAAGTAAGTTTAAACGAATCCCGAGGTTTGCTAAATTCAGGAGTAGCTCCATTTGCTGGTTTGCTATTTACGTCAGTTCGTTTAACGAAATTTGTCTTGTAGTAAACAACATCAGTTTCTAGATTTAGGGTATAATCCATATGTTCATCAATTATATCCAATGCATCTTTCTCTAATTTCCAAGTATAATCATCTGGGTTATATTCTTCCACATCAACTTCATCGTCATCATAAGCGATTTTCTCAGCATAATTTATTTTAGCCTCTGGAATTTCTTGGAAAATACCTACTAATTACTTTTTACAGTACTTTAATAAATATCGTATTGGTACTGATTAATTAATTATAATATCTTTATTCTTAATGAAATTTGGTTTATCATAATATGCTAACAATTTGACAAAATATTCCTTACATCTCATTTGATAATCTTTATAACTCAAATCAGGTCCATTAAATCCACCCAAAGTGGTAGTTGGTCTAAAATTGGAACAACTACTTTTATTTTCCAACAGTTTTATATTTGCAGTATACATTTTATAAGCATCATTAGAATCAATAATTGGAGGCTTAACACCCATTCGATCATGAATCCATTCACTCAAAGCAAAATCTCCCAACAACAGGAATTTCACTTTATAATTCAGCCAATGAGTAGCTAATTCTTGCTTCAATTCAGTTAATAATATATCTGCCGATTGACAACATCTTAAATATGGGCTAAAATGGATATACACATTTTTACGTTGACTTGGGCCCGGAGTATGTGAAAATGCTTTTGTTGTTTGTATGATATCTTCTACTGCTGAATGTAGTTGTTTAATTGCACTTGTTGATAATGAAGGATCATACTCTTGATAATCTGATAAAATGGGAGTGGCCAGAGGATCTGATTGTAGAGCATGGTCTATTCGTTCACCGTGTCGTAAGAAGTATAACTCGGTCATTTTTGTTTCATTAATCTAGTTCGAGGTTAAGGAAGAATGTGGTGATTGCTGTGGGATGGTTAGGTATTTGGTATTTTGTATGATCTGATGTGACCACTTTTCCTAGTGACGTTCAAACAAATGTGGTAGGAGAAAAGGGGAGGTGGGGGGAGTGGCTTGTAAATCTAAAGTTGATGAATTGCTAATAGCAGCAGAGGGGAGTATGATTGTTTCGGTATGTCTCCTGAATCAGGCGGGTAAAGGGGTTTGCTGTAAATTTAATTGATTTGTTATGTTGTTAATTAAAAAAGATAAAAAAAAGAAGAAATTGAAATGAAAAAAAAGTTAATCATCTGATGATACTGCACATAATCATATAATATTTATAAGGGATGGAAATGACTGGAAATTAAAGATAAACGAAATTTCTCTTGCTGATAAAGAGATTTATATACTTAATCAATGTATCATATGAATCAATGGTTGTATTAACTATGGTTCATACCTGTATTGATTTTAGTGAAGTCTTGGGTCACCTCATTATATGCCTAAAATCATTACGTCATTGGAAGTTTTAGTACAATTATGACAGCATGGAAAAAAAAATATCACATGTCAAAACTTAGACCAGCATAATTCTATAATTTTCAGTTAGCCCCTTCAACAGAACGCCCCGACTCACCTACACATACATGTACAATACATAGCAACCTTAGAATATTAAATGAACCAATCTAGATTGAATTCAAAAGGATATTAGAGGTTTATATAATTGGTTTATATGATGTGGTGGTGTAAATTCTTATCTGCATCAACGGTTTTGATACGTTTTTTTAACACACAACGTGTTAGAACCCAACAACTTGAAATCCATAATTCAAAGTTTACACCATGTACAAAGGACTATCCTTGCTTTGTACCAAGTATTTCTTGAGATTTGCAAGTAAAAGATGCCAGATTTGGTTTATCGCTTGAATTTGCAAAGTACTTCATTAGAGCAGACAAACACACATACTAACAGATTAAATCTTATAATTGATTAAAAAAATGGTTGCGAAAAGATTACTTCTCTCAATAATTAATTTTTTGCAACTCTTCAATGTTCCATAGACAAGGAAAATCAGTTACTGACATACAGTATAAAAGTTTTCATTTATTCTATTATACAATTATAATAAATGTGGAACGGGTCCAAATCAATTGTACGAATCACAATGGAGCCTTTGAATTACAATTGAGCATCGAGATTTCCCGGCCAACAATAGCACAGCCTCGTAATTCACCAGCCACCAGAGGAAAAAAAAATAGAATTAGTCATAATATTCCTTTGAAGACTTAATGTTTTGTTCATAAACAACTGCTGTTGTAAAATATTGATTCAGAAATCATTCAAGTATCTATTGATAATTATACTACTAAAATATCTAGTGGAGAAATAAAGAGGGGGGAATTTTGAACCGTTTTTTTTTACTTTTTTTGTGTCATTTTTTGTATTGACAGGGCCCGATTGAAATTTCAGGTTTACCGATCTACTTAGTACTCGTTACAAAGTTACTGTCTTTTAAACTTACTAAGATACATTATGACAGCAGCACCAAAGAAAAGATCAAGAAATGGTTGTTTCAGTTGTAAGAAATTGAGAATTAAGGTATGTCCACTTCGTTTCAAAACAGATTCCGAGTGGTCCACCCAAATTTACTAACATTTTGATTCGTAGTGTGATGAAGCTAAACCCCGATGTGAATATTGCGTACATACCAATAGAGAATGTATATACCCAGTTCCGAAATCATCAATAGGATCATCTCGATCACAATCTCCAGTCACACCAATGGTAAGCAATAGCTTATCCACACTTGATTCAATGGATTTTTTAGGGGAAGGAATGTCTTCATCATCGTTAAATACGAGTAATTCCAGTCCTATGTCACCGGTTGAAGATTCAAATCCTCTGCTGTATTTTGGCGAAGATCCAGACTTGTTAGAAGACATCTTACCGCGATCACCTAACCCTACTTCCGATCTCATGTTAACTCAAGCAAGTTCATTACTTGGGATATCCCGATTTGAATTAAAACTAGTTGATTTCTTCAATCGCGAGTGTATAAATTTATTATCATTTGGAGTTAATAGAGGTGTTCAACGGACTTGGGAATTTGAAGTTCCTCATATATTCCTTCAAAGTGAATTACTTCGACAAAGTATATTTTCCTTTTCCGCAATAGGATTAATGACAACCTTAAACATCGGTATAGATGAACTATACTATCAAGACAACAACGACATCGCTCAGCTACAACTATCTCACAAATCAGCCAGGGACTACCTCTTTACTAAAACAACTGATTATTTCATGAACGCCCTTGCCGAGACCACCAAATCAGTCGCTTTGGGCCCGAACATTTCACCCTTGAGAGCAAAAGAATTATTCACGTCAAGTATATTAATCTTCGCTTATCTCGGCATCCACCCCCATAAACTCCTTCCATTAATCTCCTTCTCCAGAACCGAAACCGACCTTATATCAATCACAAAAGGAATGCGTACGGTATTTGTCGAATGCGTACCGATTATCGCCAGAACTGAACTACATCAATTGCTTCTCTGGGGAGACAATCAAGAAATCATTTCTCCTCCGCACAATTTCAAATCGAGCCCATATCCAATTATAAAAACACTCAGAGATGATTTATATGCCTTGGTCGGAAACTCTTCACTTGATCTCGAGACAATGGATAAGATCGAAATCTATAAATCAGGAATTGAATATCTAAACAAGGCATTATTCGAATGTATGCATTTCAAATTCCCCATACCTTTATATCGATGGGTTCTTCTCCTCCCGAACGAATTTCGTGAATTACTATACATCCAGGATGAATTCACCCTTCGGTTATTATTCATCTTTTCTTGCTTGTGTTCGATTTGCAGGTTTCAATTATATGATGAGAATAATATGTGGAATGATTATGTGGAGTGGTATGTTAATGGATATAAGCGTGGATATTTGGGTGATACGGGGGGGTTGGATGCGTGTCTTTATGAATTGGCTATGGTTAAGAAGTTTAGATTTGATCAGTTTGATAGGATTGGACATTTTGATCCGGTTGTTGAATTTGGGTTGATTGACGCCATGATTTAGTCATGTAGAAGCGGGCAGACTGGGTGATACCGGGAGACTGAAGAAAGATCCGCAAATGCACGTATATGTCAGCCGTTGTAAGTGGCATTGTCGTAGGTGGTCTTATGAAATCAACTCTTAAACATAAAGGTGTGGATATGTTGCTTTAAATTCAGATTCATCTGTTGTCACCAATGATAGCGCTACTATTTTGAAATCTATCACATTTGATGGGCCAGTTGTGAAAGTAGTGGTGGACATTCCAAAAGTTCAAGAGAATGAGGGCGTATATGGGACCATTTCTGCAGCTGTTTTGACTGTTGCTTTCACTCCCCTTCACCTTAACCAAACGAATATGAAGAAGAGATTATTGGAAAACTTGCAGGCTTAGTAAAGAAGCATACGATAAACATGGCCACTCATACTACTAGTTGGGTTATCGAAAAAGGATGAAATTCAATTGTTGGTCTTTCTTCTGTTGCCAGAGTAGATGATGTTTTAATTGCAGCAACAGTCGACTTATCTGGACTTAGAAGAGCCTTTCGTGTTGCAAAAGCTGGTATGCTTTTGAAATCAAATATGATTTTGACAGAATAATTAAACTCTAGCAAAGAAGTTTGTTAATTTAGACATAAGTAGCTCCTTATATACTCCACAAGGTATGCAACAGTGATTTTTACTCTCGTATAGCAAAATGTGTCTAGCAATAAACGTCAAATGTTTGAATTACAGTCTTAAATTTGTCGATTTTCAAATGACAAGTTATCTGTGCTATTGGGAACTTGAGTAATACTGCTCTCTTCTCTTTTCTTCTTCGAGAACACAAAATTCATGGTAATCATAGGTATTCAACACTGTCTGTTTGGCTGGCATTTAAATCCGGAAAATCTACGCCGCAAATCTCGGAAAAATCGATACACCTCCTGATTCCCCACTCAATTTTTTCCACCCCTTGCACCACCCCTTCGTCTACTTCTTGTTCTTTTTCACAACCAAGACAACAACGAAACCGGTACAACCAATCACAATGACAACAATCAGCACAGATGTAATCCTCTTCGATCTCGACGGCACCCTCGTCAACTCCACCCTCGCTGTCGAAAACTCCTGGACAAACCAAGTCAACCTCCACAACCAATCGCATCCATCATCACCCATTTCCCTCCCGGAATTACTCCACGTCACCCATGGTACTCGCACAATAGACACATTTAAGAAATTCTTTCCAGAACTCAAAACTGATCCGGACAGTATTGAAGCCTGGGAACGTGAAATCGTCACGAATTTCGGCCATCTCGGCCATCCCATCCCCGGCCTGTCCGAATTCTTACAAGCGTTGAATCAGGCGGGGTTGAGTGACAGATGGGGTATCGTGACGTCGGGAACGACGGAGTTGGCATATGCGTGGTATGATAAATTATTTGGGACTGCTGGTGTGGAAAGACCCGGGGTGTTTGTGACTGCGAATGATGTGGGACGGGGGAAGCCTGATCCGGAGGGATATTTGACTGCATTTGGGAAGATTCGGGATGGGTTGGGGAGAGAAGATAAGTGTGAGGCGATTGTGTTTGAGGATGCCCCTACGGGGGTGAAGAGTGGTGTGAACGGTGGGTTTTTGGTTGTGGGGATTGGGAGTACGTTTCTGAAGGAGGTTTTAGTGAATGCTGGGGCCAAATATGTAGTGGAGGACTTTACAAAAGTGAAGCTAGAAAGAAGTAAAAATGGGAGGATTATTTTAAAGTTGGATATTATGTAGAGGAATGGTTCATATAAAAAAATGTTCTTGTATAAAGCCTATAGAATAGAATAAGATACTACTACGCCATTGATAATTCACCAAATTGATCACCTAGTTTAGCCAACCGGTCTTTCTTTCTCTTTTCCTTTCTCGATTTCTCATTAACTGAATTCCTATATTCGAAATATTCATTCACAACAGCATGATCTTCATCAGCTATATCTTCAAAGAAATCGGCTTGACTAGTACTTCCATATTGATACTCGTTGTCTGGAGTTTTCAAAATATCTCGTATTGATTCATTAACTAATAATTGTGAATGTAATCCAAAACTAAAACACCATCTTAAATGCTTTAATCTAATATATGAATACCATGTATTTATCCTTAACGTTTTATACTTGGATAACTTTATCGAAGAAGAATCAATAGTTGAGCTTTGTAACTGTAAACCTTCCGGTGTACCCTTATATACCAACTCTCGTTTACTTGGGTCTACATATGTCCTTACAGTGTTTGAGATATTTCTAAAGACAGAATTAACTTCCTTTTTATCCTTTTTAGAAACTTTTTTAGAAGATAAATTCAATAATCTTTCCAATATGGCGAATAATTGTTCTTGTTCATAATATGGAGAATTTACATTATAATCTTCATCAAATTGAGCTCCTCCATCTTCTTCATCTTCTTCTAATGAATAATCATACTTTTCATAAATAACAGCAATTGTCCTACCTGCAGCTTTTGCAATATCTCGATTTTCATCATTATCCAATAATGGAATCAACCTAATCATTAAATCTTGAACAAATTCATTCAAGAAATTTCCCTTGGGTAATAATGTCAAAAGACATCCAATTCCATGTAAGGCAGTGACTGATACTAGTGCTTCTTCTGCTACTTTTGAATTGGCTTCGTTGATTAAACGTTTATCCATATTCTTATCAGTTATGAATGTTGCATGTTCTCTGTCTCCAGTTTCCACTTGTTTCTTGAGAGCTGTTGAACTGGCAGTATAACCTTCAGCAATATCCATCAAGACTAGGATTCTGTCATCGATACCAAACTCGGAAGATCCATGATGAAGCACGAGAATAAGGGAGACATATCCACTGATGATGTATGCTTTGTTTTGATTGGTGATTATACTTGTAGCTGGTTCTACTAATAATTTATTGATGTAGGTATAAAACTCATTTGTAACCAAAGAACCAAAGTCTTCTATATCACTGCAAACTAATGCGATCACTGATTTGAATAAATATTCAAATTCAATATTACTTCTATAATCACCAACAACAAACATATTAATAACTTTATTCACTTTATCTTCATCAACATAATTATTAGTACCAATATTTTCTTCATTAGCAACTATGATTGGTTTCGATACAATGAGTTTATATAATTGAGCTAATAACAATTCTCTTGAATGAGAACTAACATCAGTTCTACTAAAACTTAAAGAAACAATTATATCAGTAATTGTAGTTGCTTTTGATTGAATTCTAGTTTCATTTAATAAATTAGCAGTATGTTGTCTTCTATCGCCAACACTAATTCTATCTTCTTTACTTGTTTCTATTTCAGTATTTTGCAAACTAGTTAATTTTTCTCTTAATAATTCTTCTAATTTAAGATATTCAANTATTTCAGTATTTTGCAAACTAGTTAATTTTTCTCTTAATAATTCTTCTAATTTAAGATATTCAAGTTGTTCTCGTTCATCACCTTCTTCATCATCTGAATCTTCAGTATTACGTATTGGAGTTCTCGATGCTGATGTAATACGAGATGAACTATTGGATAATGGAGTTGATTCTTTACTGAACTTCTTTCCTTTAAATAATGATCTATGTGACATATTGCCTTGCTTGTTGCTTTATATAAAATCAATTGTAAAAGAAAGAAAGGAAGAAAGAAAACGTGAAAAATTTTAAAGATTTTTTAAATAGAAGAAACGATTGAAATTTAAATAGAAGCGAATGCAAATAGAAAAATGACCTCATTAATTTATTTTTTCTCTCATTCATTAATTACATTACCCCAGACAGTACAAGAATATAGGTAAACATAAACTATGACTAATCACCCATAATAATAATAATATGAACATCTACACTACCCTTCTACCTGAAATTGATTTACATTACAATATATTACTTGGTAGACCATTTACAATTACAAAGTTTATAGTGCTTGGCAACTTTTTCTATGTATTAAGCACAGGGCTCAAACAATGGACTGCATATAACTCTTAACAAAGGGTCATCTCCATTTGTATTAGGATGAACAACATGTACACACTCATATCCCCCCTAACACCCCATGTGGGTACACATACTTTCAGTATCAAATGTACAATGACTCACTCACTCACTCACACAATTATTTAATCTTCTCTAGTCAAGTTAGTTTCGCTAGGTAGGTATGTTACAGCTCCAACTTGATTAGTGGAATTACCGGAACAAAGGATTCTCACTGACAACGAAGCGTTCAACTTCAATATGAAGTCGATATAATTGACAAATAACTGTAAATTCTGTTGTATTATTTACAATATATGCTAAAATACTATTTCTTGAGGTAATACATATACTTTATCACCATTCTCTCGCACTGTTTCTTTCTTAACATCTCTGGGTAACAGTTTTCTCATATCAAAAGCATCTATTTCATCATCTATTTGGTTCCTATCCATTGGCGCTGTTCTCCCATAATATCCAACTACCCGTCGATAAACACTATAACCCAATTTCTCATATAATTGTCTTCCAATTACATTTGTCACCTTAACGAACAAGTCAACAAATAAAGTTTCATAAGGTTTAATACTAGTTAATCTTTCTAATTCTGTACATAATTCACTTGCTAATCCTAATCGACGATATTGATCTTGTATAGTAACTGCAGTAATATGAGTATGCCATTCCTTTTTAGATAATTTCCCTTCTGTCTTCCCCATCATATATCCACTAATCTCATCTTGACCATTAGCATTAAATGCAGAAATTTCTGTAGATTTAAAAAAGAGTGGTGGCCATTCAACTAAATATTGTAAATAGGCTGAGATATTAAAATTTTCAGTTAATGGATCTAAATTTACAGGATTTAATTCAAATAAATCTTCAATTTGAAATGGTTTAATTGATGTCATATTGCCCTTCCTATACTTCCTTCTTTTCAATGACTTCTATGACAATTCAAATCTATTTGTTTTTATAATTGCTGTCAATCAATTGGTTGGTCCCCTCCAAAAAAAACGTTTGCTTCTATTTGACAGAAGAATCGAAAAAATAAAAAATTTTCAACTTCTAAATCTCGAGATTTCTTAGTTCTCTCTTCTTCTTCTCCTACTTTACTAATAATCATATAATAAACAATGTACGGAGGTCCTCAACCAAGTGAAGAACAAAAGAAGCTTCAAGAACAATACGCTTATGACACCTTAAAATTCGCTGGTCTTGTTGCTGGTGCTTTATGGGTCACCCCAATCATTTACCACTACATCAAGAAACAACTTTAATTTAACGGCAAACAACAACATCGGTATATATAGAGCCCATACACATCTACGTTTCATTTCATATTAATTTTATCATGTTTTAAGTGTCTATTTTTTTGCTTTTTAGGAAGTAGTAAACTGTATATATATATAAAACAAAGAAGAAAAATACACAAAATTGATCATTTTAAAGATTCTTCAAAGATCATCATCCTCATCATCCTCGTCCGCATCTAATTCCATCAACTGTTCTCGTCTGTTTTGAATCCTTTGAGCTAATTGCAAATATTCCATTCTTTCCGCAATCCTAAATGCTGCATGAAGTGCTTTATCTTTCTTAATCATCTTGGCTACTTTCCATGCTTTGGTAATTTGTGCTTCCTTACATGCATCAGCATATAATTTTAATAATGATTTATCATACATCATGCCTAATTCATGAACTTTTTCCAAAATGGTAGATTTATCTTCTTCATTAATAAGCTCATCTCCCAATGTTGCAGTCAATAAACTACCCAATGTCAAAGAACGGACAAAATTCTCTTCAGCATCGTTGTTATCTTGTTTTATCTGATCCGAATCCTCATCTTCTTTGTCTTCATCATCATCGTCAAGATCATCCAACACATCTGATTTCTTTTTCGGTTTCTTTTCCTCTTTAACAATCACCGGTAATTCAATATCTAATTCAATAGGTAAAGGCAATGGGAATTTTGGATATTGCGATTGACTATTCTTCAAAATCAAACAATTTAATCTATTATCATATAATCCCAACGGCCAACATTTCCAATGTTTCCTACTCTCATCACCATTATTAGATACCGCTTGAGAACAATTCAAAACCGGGATCCATTTCGAATTGTTCTCAACCCTCCATTGTGATAATATCAACAATGTATCATCATGTCCTCCTACAATGCATGGATCATCATACTCATTAAAGAAAATCCCCTTAATCAAAGGTGTACCAGCCGCAGCCAGATGTCTTAAGGGTAAATCGACATTCTGTTGATAGAATCGATAATCTTGTCCCAAAGATAGGAGCGAATATGTGAAAACATTTGTCATAACTTGATTAATCATAAATAAATTCCCTTGGGTAGAACTAACCAAACAAACAACCGGATTAGTTTTGATTAAATTAATACATAACCCCGCCAGATTGAAAAACCTCACATATCCAAAATTACTTCCTACTGTGATCACACTCTTATCTTGATCTTGTTGGGAAATACATACACTGACAATATATTCATCCTTCAATAATGGGATCTTCTTCTCCCATGCCTCCAATTCAGACTCATGATCACGATAATAAAGCGTGGTTGATCGTTTTGATTTCTCGTCATATCCTGATCGACATAACAATATCCCATCATTATTAATCGATGCGAGATCATAGCCGACATTATCCACGAAATTATAGTCACGATGTTGGGATCTGTCAAAGAACGAAACACTGATGTTTTGTTGTTGGTGTTGTTGCTTCACACACCAGGCATATCCGGTATTATTCATAGTTAAATAACGACGATCGACTGAGCCTGAGTTTTCAAATGGGGTTGAGCCGGGTGAATACGGTTTGATTGGGAATTCTTTGGGAATAGCAGCAGATGTATGAATTCCATTGGAGTGAGTTCCGTTTGATTTGAATCTCTTGTGGGAATGCCTTTCTGGGATTGGTTCTTCTCCGAATAGATCTTCATCGTCATCATCTTGGTCGAGAATTAATGAATCTTCTTGATGTAAATTATATCCATCCCCGTTTGACTTTCTTTTCTTGGAAAAGATATCTTCATCGGCTTCGAGTTCGTCTTGTTTGGCTAATAAAGGATCTCCTAAATCATCTTCTTCGAGATCCAGTTCAACTTGTAAGAATAAATTATCGATATTGGGCTGTGGTTGTTTCTTGACAATATCTTTATAGATCAAACTTTGCCCATGGGTTGTACCTACGAATAAATGATTCTTATTCCAAGTTAAATTCAATGGATAAAATCCATCAAAATCAAATGATGTTTCTTCAATTAATTTGTTTGATTTAAAATCATAGATAATGAATTTATCTAATAATAAAACCGCTAAATGAGAATTATCTTGAGATAAATTAAAATCAATAATCTTGGATCCAACTTCAATCTTTTTGGATATTTGCCAATCATTGCTATCTCTATCATATAATTTAATTTGATTCAAATCAGGTACCAATAAATATTTCCCATCTTTAGTCCATTCAGTCTTTGTTGAAAATAATTCCTCATGATGCTCGTCATTATAATCTACTTTATCCATAGATTCAGCAACTTTCATACCAATACAATCCTTCAAAGTATGCAACAAATTAAGTTCCTCATTAACCACAGAATAAACCTGACAATTCCCATTAGATAAACTTACAACCACAATCTCAGCATTAATATTATATGACAATCCCAGAACCGAATCAGGTAATGGAACCTTAGTAACCTTATTCTCATTACCATTCCCTCTATCAATCACCACTAATTTATTCTCATCCCCACCACAAACAATCCGATTTCCCAGATTGATAAATACAGCATCACGTAATGGTAATTCAAACCTAAACAAATTCCCATCAGATTCCATGGTATCCAAATTGATCAATTCAAGTTGTCCTTCAGTATTTGTTACAATCAAAGATTTGCCATCTGAACATACTGACGTTATATTTTCTCCAATATCGATTGCGGTTGGTTGTTGATCATCTTGAATGTTGAAACATTTGAGGACTCCTTCACTATTGGCGATAATTAATCGGTCGATGGTAGTATTATAATGGACGAATGAATTCCCACCGGGGAATGCACTAATCTTCTTATATGACGACAGCATCTTGTGTTTGTCGGTATATATGATGGAAAGTAAAGCTGGTGAAGGTTTGAAGAGTGCCGTTTTTTTTTACAACCAAATCAAACGCGTTACTTTGTTGGTTGTAAAAATTGAAGTTTTCCAAACCAAAAAAAAAAAAACGCGTAACAATTGTCGCGTCAGATATTTATGACATTTGATGGTTGCAAAAAAAAATGCAGAACATACAGAGAACTTTTTATCGATTTAGAACGGCAGTGGGTAAATTAGCGGAGGAAAAGTAGTAACACTGTGTCAAGTTGGCAAGTTAGTTAATGAAAAAGTGAAGATGATAGAAGCCCTACTCTGATTAGAAAGTCACCTCTTCACTACATGGAGATGGTGAAACTCAATTTGTAAAGTGTTGACTCAGTTACTTGCGCTAGGAATCAGAAAACAATAAAACCATTTTTACGAAGAACTTCGGAAGCTTGTGGGGCCTGTCGCAGCCAAATAATACTCGTTAATCACAATACAACTGTTTGTGAAAATGAGGCATTTTATCTGATCTCCCTTATCTTTTGTTTGTGAGGCTGTGTGTTGGAAATTGAGGACTTTTGGACTCGAAAATTACAATAGAATATTTTTTTTGGCAATTTGATCCGTATCATGGATCAGTATTGATAGTAGTTGTAAAAGTGAAGCTAGAGTCATAAAAGCCTCACTTTCGGTTGCTTAGTTGAGTTATAGAAAGATACCCCAAGCTATTACTTTTCAGCCACTTGACGGCTTGATTATAGTCCTTCATCCGAGAAAAAGAAAGTCGAATAATTCTCGATTTGGTCTGCTTTTGTTTCAAATTTGTAAAGCGATGCCTCATATAAGAAGCACGAGCAAGAATTGGGCGGAAGTTAAAGTCCATTGAAAAAGAGGCGATGTATCAACATGAGCTTAATAATACGATGTAATACTCTGCCTAAAAGAAATTAATAGAAGGCAAGTAATGCATATGCTCTAGGCTTTGGGATAGCGGAATTTCCCTCTTTCAGTAGTATGTCCATAAAACGTGTGGTAACAAAATGCACACATAATGCCCATACACAGTTTCTCCCACTGGGAAAAAAATTTTCATTGGTGCAAAAAAAATTCCCTCAACATTTGAAAAATAAATTATTTTTTATTGTTTTTTGCAGCAAATACGAGTGTTTGAAGTATCTGAAAGAAGAAGGGAGACGCAACAGGTGCATAAAAAATATATCTAAACATTTCTTTTTCATTTGTTTCTTTTTTTTTTCAATTTATTTGATCCCTTTTGTTATTTGGTTGATGTTAAGTTGTGAAATATTTCTCCAATGTAAGAAGAATAACATACTGTATAGAATTAGAAAATAACATGGCTTAGAAACATTTTGTTTATAAAATATTAGTCACGTTATTTATTTTACTCTTAGGACTTAACCTCTGATAGCGATTGATTATCTTCCTGTTGAAATTTGTTTTATAATCTCGTTGATTAGATGGTAGTATAGATAGATGAAACAGACATAGCCCCTGTTCTGTTTCTATTGTACTATTACATTTTGGAAAGCAATTTAAATTCCCTCTTTTAACAAATGCAACTCTCAATAAAATCCCTCATTCTATTCAATAAATTGAAATCTGTGAAATTTTTATATTATTAGGTGGCTTTCTTCGAATTAATTAAATTAATTTTTTTGTATGAGGGATTTTTTGATTTTTTTTTTTTACGTTTACTTTAGCTTGGCCCACCCACCTTTTTCTATTTTTGTACCTTTTAATACGAACAAAAAAATTTTGCAGTCAATCAAAATCTAGAATTGAATCATCAGTACTTACGATGGCTTTGCCTACATATATAGTATTAGGGAGTATATAAGGCTTGTATGATCCTTTTCTTTACTTCTTTTATTTTAAGAATTTTGTTTATTTGTTTTTTCTAAATTTAAATCAAATTTCGTTATTATCAAATCAACCCATTTCTTTTATACATGGCAACCGCTTCAATCGCTGTTGGTGAATCAAAAAAAGTCATCAAAGCTCACCCTCCTACTTATAATGCAGCTATTGCTGATCACGATATGGATGATAACGTAAGTTTCCAATCTATTGAAAATGATGACATACATCCTTCTACAGATGAAGAAGCTTCTTATATTGAAGCAAAAGAACCAACTGTCGTTAAACAAAATTGGAGAGCAATCCTTACAATGAGTTTTGCATCACTTGGTGCAATTTATGGTGATTTGGCTACTTCTCCATTATATACTTTAAACTCCATTAAATATTCCTCATTACCTCCAAGTAAAGATGATGTCTATGGTGCTGTTTCAGTTATCTTTTATGTGTTTACTTTCATTGTCATTATTAAATATATTTGTATTGTTTTGGTATTTGGTCCAAATAATGGTGAAGGTGGTCAGGTGGCTATCTATGCTAAGATTGCTAGACATTTAAATATTGGTCCAAAGGGTGTCACTATACCTGGTTCCCCTGAAGAGTCTGATTTAACACTTTTGACTAGACAAGATACAACTGCTTCTTCGGTTCAAACTACATTTTCCAGAATTGAACAAATCAAACAACATCCAACTATAATTTATTGCATTCAAATATTTATCTTAGCTGCATGTTTCATTGGTTGTTCATTGGTTATTTCAGATGGGTTATTAACTCCAACAACTTCCGTCTTATCGGCTATTGGTGGTATTCAAGTTGCCCAACCTTCATTTACAAATGTCTTGGCCGTCTCCGAAGTCATCTTAATTGCATTATTCTTAATTCAAAGATTTGGATCAGCCAAAATTTCATTCTTGTTTGCACCTATTATTTTTATCTGGGTCATTGGTTTGATCCTTTGTGGGATTTACAATATTGTTAAACATCATCCTGGGATCTTCGCTGCGTTGTCTCCTTACTACGCTATTAGATTATTGAAAAATGGTGGTATTGATGTCTTTGGTGGTGCTATGTTGTCCATCACAGGTACTGAAGCCATGTTTGCTGATATTGGACATTTCGGTAAATTGCCTATCCAGATCTCAATGGGATTTTTCTTATATCCAGCTTTGATGTTATGTTACTTGGGTCAAGGTGCCTACATGGTTCAACATCCAGAATCATATGTTAATCCTTTCTTCATTTCCCTTCCTGGTGGAACTGGTGGTGGAATCTATTGGACTATGTTTGTTTTGGCTACTTTGGCTACCGTTATTGCATCACAAGCTTTAATCTTGAGTGTCTTCAGTATTGTTTCTCAATTAATCAACTTGGATTGTTTCCCCAAATTAAAAATCACTCATGTTTCCAGTAGTCATCATGGTAAAGTTTATATTGGTGCTGTTAATTGGATGTTAATGATTGGTGTTGCACTTACAATGGCTGGTTTCAAAAACTCAAACAACGTTACAGCTGCTTATGGTTTAGGTATCACTTTGGATTTATTTGTCACATCAACATTAATGTTTATATGTATGATTTACGTTTACAACATGAACCTTATATTCCCAATATTATTTGCATTGATATTTGTCCCATTGGAAATGTGTTTGATTGTCGCCAACATGAAGAAAGTCCCCCATGGAGCTTGGTTTCCACTTTTGATTGCTGGTCTTTTCGCTTCCTTCTTAACCCTTTGGAGATGGTGTCGTTCCAAAAAGACTGACCAAGAATATCAATCTAAATTGAAAATAAGTGACGTCTATCCTTACTTCTCCCAAAAAGCAAACCCAATCACCCTTGACCTTAACCCTACCACCAACAACAACGACAATACTGGAATCAAACTTCCTGAGAAAAATGAAGTCGTAACCAAATTCGGTACCTTGCCATTGATCCGTCATCAAGGGGTCGCTATTATGCATGTTGATAATATGTTCTCCAACTCCCCAAACACATTACCATATCTTTATGCCAAACTCATTGCCGAATTCGGTTCCATACCGTCGAGATTTATCTTTTGTGGTATAAGAGTTCTTTCTATCCCATATGTCGACATTGAAGATCGTGTGCTTATGGCTCCTATGATGAAATTAGACGGTCATTATAAATGTATTCTTAGGTTTGGATATATGCAAAACATCGAGATTGATCAAGAAATGGAAGCTACCATATTGGCCAATTTACCAGGAAACGTAACTAATTCTGAAAATCCATTACCTGTTTTACATATTTTTGAAAATGATTTGATTAGATGTAAGGAATATGAAAAGACTAGGAATTTTGTCAAGATCTTTGGTAGACTTACGAGAAAGATGATTATTGATCATTTTTATAGTCCAATTGATTCATTAACTAAAGATCGTGGAAGAATTGTTAAGCTGACTGATGAGCATGAAGAACAAGAGAAGAAGATATTTATTGGAAGTGTTGTTAGATTGTAAAGGGGTTTTGTATAGAATGTTTGGTATTTTTATAGGTTGGGAATTGTACAATATATTTATTGGTGTTATTGAATTTTTTTAAACCTGTAGTTTTTCGCAATTGGTGTGATATTTTGCAGCCATTCAACCTGAAAAGTGTCGGATCTAAAATAATATTGGATCGCCTCGCTTCGCTAGATAGACTTATCTATCACCAAATATCAACATTGTTTGGTGAGAATATAAGCAATGATAATAACTGATCTACCGGGTACTGTTTGTTTGCAAAATTGCACCCATTATTTTTTGCGATTATTCTAAATTGAAGGCACTTAGTCAGGAATAGGGTTGGTCGATCCCAATTATAACTAAACATTGTCACTCCTTTACAGGAAAAGAGAAAACCCAGGTTGTATGTTTGATTTAGACTATTACAAACTTGTATTGGAAATGTCTTCTAAAGTATAATTACGTCATTAAGTGCATTTCCATACAACTCATGGACAAATAAAATACCTCTCTTATCGGGAGTCTGTTGGCAGTTCTTGTAATTCATGCAGATCTATCTTGCATATATCCGCAATTCATATGCACATTACTTGTGGCTAATTGATAACCATACTGCTTTTTGCAACACAAGAGAGAACTAATTTACTGCGCTTTTTTATGCATAATTTGCCACAAATTCTTCGTTAACTAGTGTTATCACCGAGCTTTAAAATGTCGTTCTCTGCAACAGAGCTACCACACTTGACTGTACGACAACTAAATGAAAGGTCGAAATGACATACCATTTCAGGTTCATAGTAAGAGAAATTATTCTTCGATTGCTTACTGTAGCAAAAAGAACCTGAAAAGGCGTTGTGATATAAATTTTGCGAAATTATCGTCCTATTAAAACGTTGTTCGTAAAATTACACACCCAGAAAACGAGCGGTTAAACAAATTCGATATAAGCAACCTTGCGAGCCCAATAACATCGGTCCTCTAGATCTGTTAATGGGCCCCTGGGATATACTGATGCAACTCCTCGGGATACAGCCGTATAAAACATGTAAAACCCTTCAATAAATGGGTGACAGAGTTTCCAACCATTATGTATTATAAGCTCTACACATACCATGTTATGAGACTATATTGCAAAACTCCCGTCTAGGGAATCATCTTACGCTCATTGCGTCCAGAACCCCAATCGCAATCGGCTTTTAAAATTTTGGCTACAATTATAAATCCCTAGAATAGAATCATACGGCTCTCCCGTCACGATCTTTACAGCTGGGAAGGGGGGCTTCAAATTTGTCGAAGCAAATTCAGAATCTAGGCTTGGATTATACAGAAAGTCTATTCTTTCCAAATTGGAAGACGAGCCAAACACAAGCTTCGACACATCCACAATTTCAAGCAGATTATCTGAAAGATTGAGATACTTCAAAGAATCGAGAAATTCCAAACCAGAACCAGATTGAATTAAGCGACCAATATTAGAATCTTCTAAATCAAGATTCAATAAATTTTAGTATTTTAAACACTCCTCGATCAATTCTTGTTAATTTGTTTTTGCGAAGGTAAAGCTCTTTTGATTGATTCTGGAAACACACCTTCTTTTAGTTCCTTGATGTTACAAGCATTTAGGTTAAGGAAGTGCAATTGCTGGAATTTTTCAAATGATAAGTGCTTCAACGTTGGCGTAGAAAAAGTATTGATGGAAATGTCAAGCTTCTTTAGGCTCTTCTTGTTCAATTTGTTAACGTTACCCTTTAGAATTTTATTCCTCCGGGAACGATTCTGTTGGTATAGCAGTACTCAAGGTTCTCGGGTAAGACAAGGCTATCAAATGAACTAACATTGTTGTAAGATAAATCAATGTTTCGAACGTCGGATGATTTAAGGTTAACCGAGCCTAACCTGTTAGAACTCAAATCCAACATCTTGATGTTGGGATGTAATTGCCAGTTAAATAACTCTTGGGTATTCAAATTAAACTCTAAGGAGTACAAGTTGGGCAAATCAACTACTTTTTCTCTTGGTCCAGACGGCAAAAGTGAAGTTTTTAGACGTGTTAATGATTTCGGTAAATTATGAGGAAGAAGATTACTTACCAGCTCTCCTACAACATAAAGGTCGATCAAATTGGGTGGAATGTCAATAGGAGAAAGTATCAAACCAACTTCAAGTTCCAACTTTCTCAATGATTGAGGAAACTCCCATTCTGCTGGAGAACAGCGTATGGACTTGGCATCAACTCTGAACAGCTTGAGATTTGGTGGAAATTGACGAATGCCGAACCGCATCATCTCCAAAAGGCCGGGGTCTATTTCGAGTGTTTTTAAGTTCACTTTCTCAAATCCACGGCGAGACAAATCAAAGTTGATTGTTTCTAACGAGTCAGGTAAATCGACGTCAGCAAATATTGGCTGAGCTTCGGCAAATTCAATACTTATGCAAAGATTTGTGAGCTGATCATATTGCTCAATGCACTCTAACGATATCAAAAGATTAGATTCCATATGTAATGTCTTTATTTGTTTTGGTGCCTTCAAACTAATTAAGGACTCTGTAGGGTACCACCTACAAATCAAGTCACTTAAGCATTCCAAATCGCTAATGTCGAATTGGAAATCATCCCAGCCAGCGTCATCCAGGTCGGGGTCTTCCAGATCATCCAGGTCGTCCAGGTCATCATCTTCTAAAAAAATCAAGCCGCTCTAAGTCTGAAGGGAAATCGAACTTATGCTTCTTTTTGGGCAGTGATAATTTAATCTGTAGTATCTTTAAGCTTGGTGGTAAGTGACTCAATTCGGAAACGGTAAGCTCTGGTAATATATAAAGCTAAGTTAATATATGGTTCTCCAATGGATTGAAACTGCAATACCGTTTTATTTCCAACAGCTGAATTGATTTTGGAAATTCGTGGTAATGAAGGCTTTCAATTGAAGAAATGCCATATAGGTTATATTTAGAAATTTCCTGTAAGAATTGCTTTGCATTGTCGAATTCGTCTTCCTCCACTAATTCTAATCTCTCAACATTTTTGAACCACGATAAATAGTCCTTCTGCGAATGAATTTACTTTAATAGAACAATCCCATGAACGAATAGACTTCTCAATCTAAGGCGACGACGATTTCTCATAAATTCTATAAATGATTCAGGACAATCAACACTATCTGGAAAAAGGAAAGTGGTGTCTTCGGCAGATATGTCAGGTCTTAGGTACTCAAAAAGACAAAAAAACAACCATGGTCAATCTTGCTGTAACTATATAAGGCTTTAAATCCGAATTTTCCAATTCTAATAACCACTTTAATGTTTTGTTTATTTAGTGTATCTGCGGCATGCTCACCAAGAATTGGCATATCATAATATTCCAACAAACGATTATTGGGAATATAACGGCAAACCTGTCTAATGATGTCACGCCGAAGCTGTAGGAAGGCACTGACCAGAAATTGACAACTCTCCATTTATAACTTACTAATCGACTTCTACTATGGAATAACTCTTGAACCAAATTGGTAAATAAACAACGGTGGGTATAAACGAGCAGACGCGGATATGGGCCATTATCACATTCAGAAATACCCTCGACATAATCTTTAAATAGACCAATTGTGTGGACATTCGCAATGGAAGATGTCCAGGGCATAAATTGCGGTGAACATACTACTTCATTAAGATATATACTACTAAGTGTGGTATTGGAAGCCAAAGGCATAGTCTGGGTTAAAGAAGTATCGTTATTAAGCTTTAAGAAACACAGAGGTATCCATACCGCGGGAGTTTTAGAAAAGTAATAGAAGTCTACAAGCCATCAGCAGCACTTTCAAACTACAGTTTACACCAACCACTACTAAATTCTAATGCTTGCTAATTTACATTACATACATATACAATCTATATGCCCCCTACTAAATTGTCCTTATGGTGATGATTCACCAGTAGTATTCGACTCGTTGTCATTGTCTGTCTTCTTATCACCTTCAACTGCGTCCGATTTCTTCATATCAACCAATTCACTTTGGTTATTGCCATCAAATCTAACTTTTTGATCCACTTTCGCTTTCTTCTTCCCTGCATCATTTCTGTCTTCTTCGTCATGTTCATCCTCGTCATCAATTCTAAACATAGCATCATCATAATCGGGTAAAGTCTCAGCATTAAACTCATCAAACAACCTATCTCTCGCTTCATCATCGTCCGCATCGTCATCATTCCGTCTTTGGTTTCTGCTATTACCATATCTTCCCAATTCCAAGGAATCAATGTCATCTTCAGTGTCGCTATAATCTTCACCGGGGATAATATCAAATTCATAATCATCTCTTCTCCGTCTTCGACTGCTACCAGGCGTCTTATGGAATTTGATTATTAATATGACAATTATGAATCCGACAACAGCCAAAGCCATGAAATATTGACCAGTATGTTCTGCAACATATTGTTTGTTTTGTCCGTCGTCTTCCCCACCAGTAGGTTCAGTTGAGGTAGAAGGCTCGGCGGAGGTGTCAGTGCTACTTAAAGATGATGACCCAGGAGTGGCTGAGGAAGAGGCCACCCTGGTGCTATCCTTCTCAGCTTTGGTACTTGTCGTCGATGTGGTAGTAGGAGCAGCAGATTCTTCCGGTTTTTTTTGCGCTGCTTGCAATTCTCTCCTTACGGCCGCATAGTCCGTCTTGAGATCAAATCGTGACGCCTTGTCAGTCTCAATAGATTCCCCAAATAATTTCAACTGCCAATCTACAAATTCAATGCTTGTTTTATCACCTCTTGAATCATCGGCAAACACTTCAGCGGTCCAATCCCCAATCCCAGTTTCGCCCCAATGGGCAACGGACATAAATGTCCAGTTTTGAAATCCGGACCCATCACTATCTGCAGGACGGAAGGTTGCTAAGTCACTAATCACGCCATGAGGGGAGATTAATCTCATTCCAACTCTACCTCTATATGATGAATTGATGTTCACTTTAACCGTCACGTGCTCAACTCGTTCCAAATTCATAATCTTTAAGTCATCTTCTGATATGGAAATTTTGGATTGTATAATCTTGTCTTCATCCGATGCTTTAGTACTTACAATCTTGTCATGAACAGGGATGACGTCTGAATAATACCATGCTTGAGGCTTGACATTTTTCCATTCTTTGGCGAAATGAACCATTTTATAAGCATCGATTTTCCCATATCCATATTTATGAGAATACTTTCTATTCAATGCTGTAATTTGGTAATTTCCATCATTTTCATTTATAGGCAGGGCTGATAATACACTTACATATTGGACATCTCTCCACGTTAATTCCGGGTTAGCTGATAACATCAATGAATAAAGACCACTGGCAAGAGGTGCTGCTGCTGATGTTCCACCATGTGATGCGGAACATTTCTTCTTAATATCAGTTGTATGGATATGTTCACCTGATCCAGAAGAATATGTAACCACCATAACCGCAGAACAAGCTTCTGCATATGCAGGGTGTAAACCCTTGTAATCGACTGCACCCACAGTAATTGAATAGATCGAATTGGTATATCCATCGAAATTACATGAATCTCCTGATCTACCACCATTCCCAGACGCAAAAACATAAACAGCTCCTTTTTTATTCCGGCCATCAATGACTCCTTTCACCATTGCCTCTTTAACGATCAAATCCGGCTCAGCCAAAGTTCTACCATTATCAGTTGGACCCCAAGAACACGAGTATATATCATTTGTATCCAATCCATAGATCATGGCACTTGCTTCATCAGCCGACGTGATTGGACCCGACAAGATTCGAATACCACTAACTTGTGATTTATACGCCACTCCAACCCCACATACATCATTCTTCACGGCAGCGATTTCTCCAGCACAACGAGTACCGTGGTAATCGTCACCTAAACGAGGTAAAGGCACGGGAGAATTATCATTGAAATCCCAAGAACCTTTGGCATTAAAATTTTCGGCAAGGTCTTCACCTTGGGCATCGAGTCCATCGTCAATAATTGCTGTGACAATGTTTTGGCCCAAGATGTCTTCGTACCATAATCCGGTGACATTAACATCATTACCAGGGTATTGAGTATTAATAATATGCCATTGGGAAGCGAATTCTGGATCGCTGATGGAGAAGTGTTCTTGTACCTGTGCTAACCTTTGGACTGCTTCGTCAGTTGCAGCTACACCGTTGCTGTCATCTCTTTTGTTGGAATATGGTACGATTTCTTCCGGATCTATAGGAACTGGTAATCTTTTTGATAACCTCTTCGGAGGTAACATGTGAATCGATTTAAGTTCGGGAGTGGTTATAAAATGGTCATAATGATCTTCAAACCCATCTTGTCGTTTCATTAAATTGCGTTGTTCTGAATTTAGATTACCCAAGAATGAGTTATGAGGGTGTGATTTGTCAATACTGAATACGTAATAATTGTCCAATGAAGATAATTGATGTTCAAACTTGTAATGGTCTTTATATTTATTTATGAAATCATTTAATGGTTTTGAACTATTGGAAGTATCAATTTCAACTAAAAAATAATTATTTGATTCATAATTTCTTTTAGGAATAACTTGTTGTTGATATGAGAAGGATATCAAGTATCCTAACACTAAGGATAGAATTCTAATCGGTAACATTCTTCTCTTCTATTAGTTGATAGGTAATATCCTTTATATTTCTATATATTGCCTTTGGTATGAACTGGTAATCCCCTTGTTTTCGTTCCTGTTTCCGTTAACTTGTTAAGCTAAAAGTGCAAAGTGTAATTATACAGTCTTGTGGAAGTGTGCTGGTAGTGACTAATATATGGGGAATAGTGATAATATCTATATATAAATAATGAAAATCTGATGAAATGTAACAAGAGAAAGTTGTGTGTTGTAAAAAGTTCGTTTGATGATTGAATTTGGAAATTTTTAATTATTAAGATGACGACATTTCCTCTTTAGGAAATAATGTCTCACTTCTAAGATTTACCTTCCTCGTCAATTCAAATACGACATTTCTTCTGGTCAGTACAGCTATGACTAGCACTTCCATTTAAGTTAAGAATAACTATATGGAAAGCCTAAGAAATCGATTGGAGTCGAGAAATAGCTTTTGAGTTACGTTTTGTGAGGCTTACTAGAAGAATTTGAACTGGAGAAGAAGAGTATTAGGAAAAGTCCCTGATAGAGAAAGCTCCCCATAAATATGGAACTTCTGTCAAAGAAGAAGTTGTTGTACATATACTCGCTTACATATTCATCTTTCAGATTAAAATAAAGTTTTGTGTAGCTTGTACAAGTCAGGAATGCAAGAATGTGCATACTACGAACTTCGCAGTTGCGTATTATTTCCCAATTGGGAAGTCAAGCTTGGCATTGCCATTTCCTTTAACTTTTGCAACAATTTAAATCTGTCAACCATCTATAGATATAGATATAGATCTTATACAAGCAACTACTAGCTTTGTCTTCTTTCTGACTCGGTTCTGGAATACCCTCTTGTCAACCGGTCCCATCCTTTGTATCATAAAACACAAATAAATCATTAAATGGCTTTTCCGAGATTTTCGCGTTCTTTTTTTTTAGCAGCAAATGATTTAGTGAAATCAATTTCGGCCATTTTCTTTTGCTCGTAGCAACCAAAAAACCCAACAACCCCTAAAGGTATAGACACTAGATCCAAAGAGAATGAAACACTTACTTCCTCTATTCACGCTATTATCATACGTCTTAGCAGATGGTAGTGACGATCACATGATGGATATGGATTCTGAACGAGTTGAATTCCATCCCGTAAATGCCGGGTCAAAATCTTTTCATTGGATCTTATCATTATTCATTCTATTAATAATCCCATCCATATCGGCAGTATTCGCATTTGCAAATAGATTAAATTGGTCATTATTGTTACAATATATTTCAACTGCATATTCCATTTTTGAATCAATGTTCTTGGCATTTCCAGATTCTGATAATCATGAAAATAGAACTTCAAAGGGAACATCATGGTTTTTGAGTTTATTATTAGGGGTAACTATATTCTTGGGAACTTTGATTAATGGGTCTAACCTAATCATCAATAAATTCTATCCTCATTGGGCCAAGGGTAGAAATGAACATTCAGGAATAATATACAATACATATAGAACCTTGTCGTTCGTAAGCGTGTTGGTAGGTTGGGTAAGAGTATGCATGGCCCCTGTAGCATTATTTGGATTTTGTTATGGAAAACATACTGGACAATGTATAGCCCATGGTATAATGGGTTCAGCATTTATCTTTTACTCATTCGTGTTATCATTGGTTTTGGTTATACCTTGGATCAGAACTCATCAATTACAAAACTCACCTGAAGCCAAATATAAATCACAAGAATTCTTTGATTCTACAGTCATGTGTGCTTGGGGGATTGTAAATACATTCACAGAACATAGATGGGGTACTGAAGCTTGGTCAATGGGTGATTATCAACATACTTCAATGGGTATAGTCTGGTGGGCTGGTGGATTATTGGGAATGTTTTTAGCTCGTAATAATAAACGTACCTTCATCCCTGCATTATTATTGATTTTTACAGGATATTCCATGTCAGCCCATACTCAACATTTAGCAATTTCAACCAAAGTTCATGCCATGTTTGGACTTGCGTTAATTGGAGGTGGTGTTTCTCGTATAATTGAAATTTCATTCTTATTGAGAGATAAAGCATGCAGTGAAACAGGATCGATTTTATCATTTCAATATTTCCCACCATTTTGTTTAGCTTTATCAGGAGTATTGTTTATGGGAGCCACTGAAGAACAATTACAATTGGTTCATGATTTAGGATCAGATCATTCTGCATATATATTGGTGGTTTCTTCTGCTGCTTTTATGATTTATTTATGGTTTCAATTGTTACTTTTGTTATACTTGAGATTAGTTGGATATAATGAAGATGGAGAATTAAATAAGGAAAGATATAGTATTATTAATGAGGCTGCATTGAATGAGTTTGAATTAGGAGATATCAGCGATGGCGAGGATGGAGAAGACACTCCAGATACTGGAAGGGATTGATTTATCTATCCCATAAGTGTAATTAATACCTTTATAGTGTGTAACGTAGAGATAGTATTTGTGTAGAAATTTGTAATCATAATTGTCTAATTGGGTGCAAACTTTTTTTGCTGCGTGCGGCGGTCTCTCTCGGTCAGATATGAAAAAGAAAAAAAAATCTGATTATTAATGATTTCCCATCTCTCTATTTCTTTAGTCAATCATGAGTGCATTACTATCAGCAGATGATCTAAACGACTTCATAACACCAGGAGTAGCCTGTATAAAGCCAGTAACAAACAACTCCCAACCTCCAACTTCCACACTCAACGAACACGGAGAAGTCGAAATTCAAATTGATGAAAATGGAAACCCTCTCGAAATTTCCAAAATTGATGGCAAACAAACTACCTTATCACCAGCTCAGATCTCATTAGCAGATTGTCTTGCATGTTCAGGATGCATAACATCAGCTGAAGAAGTTCTTGTTGCCCAACATTCCCATCAAGAATTACTTAAAGCCTTATCTAATCGTCAAGAAGATATGATCTTTGTCGCAAGTATATCCCATCAATCTCGAGCTTCGTTAGCTACCGCATACAACCTATCTATCGAATCAGTAGACAGACTATTAATAAACTTATTCATCAACAAGCTTGGGTTTAAATATATAGTGGGTACGTCTTTAGGTAGAAAATTGTCATTAATCCAAGAAGCATCTCAATTGATTTCCCAAAAAGAACAAGGAACTTTGCAAACACCGGTATTATCTTCAATATGTCCCGGTTGGGTCCTCTATGCTGAAAAGACCCATCCATATATTCTTCCTCGGATGTCGACTACCAAATCACCACAACAGATAACAGGATATCTTTTGAAGACGTTGGTTGCCGCGGAAGAAGGCGGGATAGGCAGAAACAAGATATATCATCTTTCAATCATGCCTTGCTTTGATAAGAAGCTTGAAAGTGCCCGTCCTGAGATATATGGAGATCCCACCCCTGATGTGGATTGTGTATTGACCGCAAAGGAATTGGTTACGTTGTTTGCTGAACAAGATATCGACTTTCTCGATGACCAGGTGCAAAAAGAGAGCATAGAAGATATTGATGAACTTTATAGAAGATATGCACCCTCAAATTGGCCCTATGTTGAATATTCATGGAGTAATGACCCAGGATCAAGTAGTGGAGGATATGCATTTCATTATTTGAAAATATATCAATATCATCTAATCAATACCCAACCTAATGTTTATCATGATGACAAATTTGAAATCAAGTTAATCAATGGGAAGAATTCAGATATTTATGAATTAAGACTATATTACGATTCGAAACAAATTGCATCTAGTGCAGTTGTGAATGGATTTCGAAATATTCAAAACCTCGTTCGGAAATTAAAACCAGTCGAATCGAACGGAAAATCCTCCACTACAACTACTAGAGCCAACCCCTTGGCAGCCCGTCGAAGAGCAAGAATGGCCAATAAGACATCAGCCCTGTCTGGCGATATTGAAATCGCAGACGCTTCGAAATGTGACTATGTCGAAATAATGGCTTGTCCAAATGGATGTATCAACGGAGGTGGACAAATTATGCCACCGGATAAAACACAAGAAAAAGAATGGTTGAATGAAGTAATGGCGAAATATAATAGTATTTCCATGTTTGATTTACCAAGTGAACATCGTGATGATATGGAGATGTTGGTGAAATGGAGTAATGAGGTGCTTGATTGTGGGGAGGATGGACATGATAGAGTGTATAAAACGTATTTTAATGAGGTTGAGAAACCAACTGACCCAAATGCAGTGTTGTTGGGTGCTAAGTGGTAATGGGTTTTATATTTATATAGGCAAGTAATACAATTAATTATAGAGGGTGGGTAAACCATACTACAGTGTTCCCCGTACATAGTTAATGGTTTGGATTATATAATCAAGTACTATTGGATTACGTAATCAAATGAGAATAACCAATTAACGAATGAATTTTTCTTCTTACTTTTTTTATGAGGAAAAATAAAAAAAGTTTTTTTTGTTAAAGTTACACTACCCTTTACAAAGTGGGATCCCAATACTGAAAATTTATTAATACCAATTGGAATCTTTATAGAAGTTGCTTGGAAGACTAGTAGATTCAACTTCAAATTATTATTTATATACATATACACTACTCATCATCACTAAGTAGACATAACCACCTACCCCCAACCCATTGCATTATATAAACAATATACACAACAGAATGATGATTAGACAATCTATAACATCTATGACCGCTAGACCAACGGTCATGCTTACCCGTAATCTTTCAATGACATCCAGACTTTTGAAACCTGCTTTAGCAGCCGAACGTACCGACTACTTAACCACTGGTGGATCAACCCAATCCGCTCCATGTAAGGGATTCAGACAACCCAGACCAAAGACTTGGGAAGAATCAGGTGAATCTGCCTTGAGTAAAGCTACCAAGTTTTTCTTTTTAAGTGAGATTGCTCGTGGGATGTATATTTGTATGGAAATGTTTTTCAGAGCTCCATATACGATTTATTATCCGTTTGAAAAGGGACCAATTAGTCCTAGATTTAGAGGTGAACATGCGTTAAGAAGATATCCTAGTGGTGAAGAACGTTGTATTGCATGTAAATTATGTGAAGCAATTTGTCCAGCACAAGCAATTACAATTGAAGCTGAAGAAAGAATTGATGGAAGTAGAAGAACTTATAAGTATGATATTGATATGACTAAATGTATTTATTGTGGTTATTGTCAAGAATCTTGTCCTGTTGATGCAATTGTTGAATCTCCAAATGTTGAATATTCAACTGGTACTAGAGAAGAATTGTTATATAATAAAGAAAAATTATTGGAGAATGGTGATAAATGGGAACAAGAATTACAATACTGTATTGATGCTGATGCTCCATACCGTTAAAACTGACACCACCGTATGTCTGATTTTAACAATCTCTTTTGTATAATTCATTATTTTTTTAAAAAATTATTAGTTGTTTATTTTGCATTCGTTTATTTATTTAATAAAACAGTTTATTTCGATAATAGTATGATTGGTACTTGTAATTACCACTGATTAGAGAGGTTTCCTTCCGTATTGATATAAAATTTTATTTTATTTGTTATCAAATAATATTACTAAATCATATAAAAAAAAACAAGCTAACAATTAATACTTTCATAAAATGTAAATTGATGTAGAGTATGCCCTAACTAAAAAGCATCCAAGTGTGTTTGGGTGGGTGGGAACAATCTGATTCTCATACAACGTATAAAACCAGACATATAAAAATCAAATATAAAATATAAAAAAAGAAAAAGACAGTCTTTTCAAGAACTATAACATTTAAGACCTAAGTTTGTATGAATGTGTGTATTGGTCTCTGTTTCAAACTTAAGTGCAAAATCTCTTCGTAAAATGCTTTCAATGCATGTGTGATGTTGGGGTTAATAAATATAAAGAAAGAAGTAAGTGAATTAACCTCCCTTTTTTGTTGTTGTGTACTTAAATGTCTTTCCTTATTTATTGAATTTGAGAATAACCAGTGAATGGGTTAGCATTCTTAGATTTCAAATATTCATCAGACTTTTCTTGCCATTCTCTAGTCATAGTGTGAGGAGCTGGAGCAGCTAATTGTTTGATACCAGCAAAGATAACAATAGAAGCAACAATACCACCAACAACACCCCAAAAGACCTTTTGTTTATCACCTGGACCATAAATTGGTCTTCTTGGACCCCAAGCACCAAAAGAAATATAATAAGCAGCCTTCTTTTCAGCACTAGTTAATTCATTCCATGGTAAGGTCATTCTAGCTTTTAATTCTTCTATTAAAGCTTCTTGATCTTGTTTAGGTAAACTAGTCCATCTAGTTTCTAAATTTCCAAGGTAAGCAGTAGATAAAGCCTTTGGTGCAGTTTTAGCAACAGTACTATTGAATCTAATAGCAGTTCTTGTTAATGATTTGACAAGCATTATTATGTATATCTATCTATATTATTAAAAAAAGGAGGTTAGTAAAACAAGCTACTTCAAGTAGTCACCAATAAAAACGGGGTATTTCAAAAAAAAAGTTATTATTAAAGAAATGTATTTTGTATTTGAATAATTCTTTTTTTTTTCAGTTTGTATTACAAATCTCTTTCTCTCTTATTGTTATATTAAAACTTAATGATACGATTTTTTTTCTCTTGTGTATTTCTTAATAAGTTCTTTTTATTTTTTGTTCTGCTGTGAAATTAAAAAGTGAAAAAATTTGATTGGATGTAAAAAATTGGTTTATAAACGACTTTCTCTAAGAATCTTAATTGCAACCTATAATTGCAACACCTGATTAATACGTTTACTTCCATGATATTGTAGAACTATAAGTAATTCTTATCATTATTGTAATTATATCATTCACAACCAGATTGCCCATCTCAATTGTATCAATTTTAATATCAGTCACATCCAATATAGTACGGGGTTTGATCATCTCCTAAAAATCCCATACATTACTAATCAACAAATATTCTAATATATAATTTCATATTCTGATTGTTGCAACGTCATTCTAGACAATTGAGGATGTAGTTGGTTTATATATTGCTTTTGGAAGCCATAATTGGTAAGGTTTAATTTGCTCACTTTTCCGCTTATATTCAAACATTTCTCCACCTAATTGGATTTACCAAGAGAGTCTTTATCTTTTTCCTGTATTGACATTTCTCCAATTCATTGTCTATTTCTTTGAAATAACCCCTTTTATCATAATGAAAAGTAACATACCTTTATCTGGTAATTCGATATCTTAGAATTAAAGAATCAAAAGAGAAGAATTGGTTTAATTGTAATTAGGATTTTTTTTTTTGTTTGGTCTGTAAGAGTCTTTATAAAATTTAGCTCAATTTTATTTGTCAAATGTATAAAACTAAAAAGGTCGTGTATGATTTACCATTTTCTAGAAACTTACATGTATTGGTTTATTCTATTAATAACATTACCTATTTATAATATACAATATTCACTAAAGATCTCTTCAATTGAGAATCATTAATCTCTTCAACTTCAACTTGAAACTTATCAGTCTTTATTTTATTGAAATAATTCAAGAATTCAATAACTGACCCCCCAACTCCAAAGTAAATATTCTTTGCAGCCAATAAACATCTGGAATTATTAGCTTGTGAATTACTAAGAATCTCTTTAATAGATTCTGCTACTATAGGTAATGTCTCTCTACTATAAATTGTTTCTGAACTTATTATGAAATCAATATTCGCTTCTTGTATCAATTTATTAAATTGTCTTCCCCATGATCCAGATACAAATGAAATATTGATATTAAATAATTGCAAGCTATTTTTGAATTCTTGGATTAATAATGGAGTTATCAATATTTCATCGTTATGAAATACCGGGTTTTGTTCACTGGTAGTTAAGTTATGTAATTGTTCTACGGGAAGTGTAGAAGCCCAATGAATCAAAATATTAGGTAATGTAACTAATCTTAATACATCATAATTGAAATCAGATAAAATCAAATTCATTTCATTCTTGTTCTTCAATTGTAATTTTTTCATCAATATCAAACAACTAGGTAAACTTGTTCCACATCCAAATTCCAATACAGATTTAACTTGATCTAAAAATCCTTCATTTTCAATCAAATTACATAATTTATCTACAGTATCATAAGCGCATTCCCAACTTTTAAATCCACCTTCATACTCATTCTTTTGCAAATCGGAGTTATTCTCTTCAATTAATAATTCATTTAGCTTTTCCCTATTACTACCATCTTCTTGTCCCTGATCGTCTTCAGTCATGATTTGATGCTTGACATCAAATAATTCTCTCCTATAGACTAAACTCTGTCCGATAGGTGTTGTATAGTTATCGAACGAGATTCTAACATTTTCTAATTTCGATAGTATTGAATCTAATGTATGCAATTGAGGAGCAGATTTAGGATCAATAATGAGCGTGTCAAGTGGATTCTGATGTGGTTGGTTCAAGTGTTGTTCCAGTTGTAGTTGGGTTGGTTGTAATAACGACGACTCGTCTATTTCATCGTCACTGAAATCATCTTTCGTAAATCCAAATGAAAAGGACATTTTGGGGGATTGGTTTTGCTAGCTAGTGGGATATCTTTAGATGCTCATCTCAGATTTGGTTAGAATAAAAAAAATTTGTATTGGGCGCAACTGAAAAGCGCATCTGTAATTTTGGTTGCAAAAAATTTTCTAATGGATAAAATAAAAGAGAGTAAACAAATTATTTAACGAAAACAACACATTTTATTTAAAAACAATAAACTCGAAACATAACGAAAAAGAATATAAAACTTCAAAGAAGAATATCTAAACTAAGAAAGAGTGTTTACCAAGAAAGAGTGAATTGCTCAGCAAAAGCACCTTGTTGGGTATATTGTTCCAATCCGGTAACATAGATAGTCTTATGGTCATACTTGAATGGAATCTTGGTTTCACCAAAAGTCACATGTTTTGGAGCCTTTTCAACTCCCAAAATGGTAACATTGGCCAATGGTTGTTCAACTTTATATTCACCAATTGGAGAAACAACCAATTGACTATTAGAAGCAACAAAATCAACATACAAGCTTTCTTCAACATTAACTGATTCACCATCATCAAGGTATAACTTACCAGAAGCAGCATTATTGTTATCTAAGGCAACAATTAAACCAAATGGATTTTGACGAGAATCAGCAACAGTATAGCCTGGTTCTTGAGTTGGAAGAATATGTCCACCTTTAAGATGTAATGGAATATGACCTAATGGTGCATCTAAAGTTTCATTCTTACCTGGCTTAAAGTTTTGTTTCTTATGAGTGTAGAAATCGTAATAGACAGCATCTTCGCCTGGGAAAACACCCTTGGTATAATTCACACCTGGTTCTAAGACTGGAGTAACAAGCAAAGCATCACCAACAAATAATTGATTGTCAACACCAGCTAAGGTCTTGTCATATGGGAATTGCCAATTCAATGATCTTAAAATTGGTAAACCAGAAACATGAGATTCATGTAACAAAGTGTAATAGTAAGGTAATAACAAATATCTAACTGCCATTGAAGTCTTGGTAGCTTCAGTAACTGCTTCCCAAACATATGGTTCTTGATCAATTGCACCGAGATAATTATGATTTCTATAGAATGGGAAAAATGAACCTAATTGCATCCATCTTGAACATAATTCCATATCAGTGTTTCCATTGAAACCACATACATCAACACCAAAGAATGGAATACCAGAAGCACCCATGGAGAAAGCTTGTGGAATGGAGAAATACATCATATAGTAATCAGCAGTATTGTCACCACCCCATGTCCCAACATAATGACCACTACCTGGGAAACTTGATCTACCAATAATGAATGGTCTCTTCTCATTGTCAATATTTAACAAAGCATTGTAGATTGCTCTTTCTTGGGTGAATCCATAAAGATTATGAATGTCATATTCTAAAGTACCATCAGCATGAGTGGCATTTGGGGAAACTGCATGGGTAGCAAGATCGTGATCACCTTGAGCATTGTTGATAGCATATGGTGGATAGTTGATGTTACCTCTACCTGGAGCTAAAGTGTTCTTGGAGTCAATAGATACTGATGATGATGATGGTTGAGGAGCAACTGGAGATGCAGTAGCAGCGAGTGCAGATGAGATTGACAGCCATTCAGTAGCATTGGTAACGTTGAAATTTAATGGATAGGTAGTTGCGGCATTACCAACTTCAAAGGGTGGATGAGCTGGATTGTCCAAGATTCTACCAGTACCACAAGATCCAACACAGAAGGAACTGACTTCATTCATATCTGTCCAGATACCATCAAATGGAAGTCTTTCATGCCATTCCTTGAATAAAGTATTCCAGTATTCTTGAGTTCCATTGTTTAAGAAATCAGGATAAACAGTGTAACCTGGCCAAACAGCACCGATATATAAGGATCCATCTGGATTCTTTAAGAAAACATCAGATTCGTTACCTAAATGGAATGGTTTATAATCATTATCAGTAGCATTGTTTGGATTTGGAACATAGATAGCAGCATCAAAAATTGGAACATAATGTTGATTATCCTTGTGAAGATCGTCTAAGAATTGCTTATATTCATCCTGTGGAAATCTGTAAGGATCACTAGTGAAATCTTTGTAACTGTCCATATAATCAATATCAGTCCAAATAGTTTCCAAAGGAATATCAAACTTTTTGAAATTGGCAACCACATCTCTAAGTTTTTGAATATTGTCATAACCCCATCTACATTGATGATAACCTAAGGCCCAATATGGTTGCATTGCAGGCAATCCGATTTCTGTAACATATTGTTGAATGACATCCTTTGGATCAGGTCCACTGAAGAAGTATAAATCAATAACACCAGAAAGAGCCCTCCAAGTCAAGGATTCTTCACCAACTAAGACTTCTTGAGCAGCAGAAGTTCTCCAATAAACACCATGGGTAGTGTTTGTATCATATCTTTGATCATAGTAGATTGGGTGAACACCATAAATATTACCATCAATTGGATCACCGACATCATTAGCATATAAAGTCTTAACAACACCAGGTTCATTTAAAGAACCATGAATGGATTCACCTAAACCAGAAATAGCATGTCCTTTAGGTAAGGTAGTATTAAATTGAATAAATTGATTAGAAAAAACCAATGGATTACCTCTAGTAGAAAATAAAGTTTCACCAGTACTTGCTCTCGTAATTTCAAATCCAAAATTTTCAACATCATAAGAAAATACCAAATCAGATTCATCAAAGTTAAAAGATTCCAAATCACCTTCTAATTTAGGTTTAGCAACCAAATCTTCTGGTAAAATAAACACATCAGTCAAATCAACTGGTTCAATATGAACATTCAATCTATCACTAGTTTGATATTCAACCGTTAAATTCAACATTTCAAAATCATACCCATAAATATTGGTAGCACCTTTCAAGGATAATAAACCAGTTAAACCTCTTGGAGTAGCGGTGACATTAAGTAATGAATAACCTTTTGCTACAGCGTTCGCATCAACTGCAGTCTCATTCAAGATGTTGGGAACTTGTTTGACACCAAGTGTTAATTCTATTGGGACAGTTGGATGAGCATCGGCAACACTACTCTTTGAATGAGATGCACGGGGTAAAGCATAAGCGGAAGTAAACAACCCCAAAGCAGCTGCGGTTGCTTTTAGGAATGGAGAAATAATCATTTTGTTAGCTTGCTGGTTTGTTAGCTGTTGAGGGTTTTAAAAGAATTAGAGGACTTGTCGGGGAAGTTTCGGGACCTATTTATAGTTGTAAATGCCCGATGGTGGTAGTGGAAGGTATTTCGGTCATTTTTCTGAAATATTTATTTTTTATAGACTTAGTTGCAAATATTTTATTTTTTAAGTTCGATATTTTATCCGTAAAAATTTTATTTTTAGCATTGTTTATTGTTTACTACACATATTTTTTTGTTTCAAACAGCTTGGTCATGTTGCAAACGAATTCGCCATTTGGGTAATGGCTTTGGAGTGATACTTTCTATTCCTCTGATACATTCTTGCTATGGTTTGTATTTCACTCTCTGACATGGCCACCATGAATGATCCCTTCATATACGCTATCATTCCAAAAAAATGCTCGTTTTAACGAAACTCAGTACTATATTTTTGCATTGTTTGAGGAAAGGTCTTTGTTTTGATCAAAGAAATGAAAGTTTCAAAACTTTTTACATTCCATTGGTTAGATCATTTATGAGGTATTGTTCCCCTATGACCCCACTGACTAATTTTTTCAAATTAACCCACATTTAAGTTAATGAAGTTTGGATTTTCGGAAACTTTTTGCTTTTTGATTTCCCTATTGTATTTTTTGAGCATGAAAAATGCAAGTTCCGGAATAATTCCGGAAAATATTTTTTCCCATAAATCAGAATGCCTAATGTTCAATTTTCATGACAGTAGGGAAGCCTGGTAGTCAGTTTTTCGGACTTGCTTTTTTTCGAAAGACACAACAGGAAGTCATCCGTTGATCGGACAAAAGGTACCTTTCCTGTAAGGGATGTTAGAGAATATACTGGATCTTTGATGATGAACCAAGCTCTGGTAACACGTTCATAATTATTATGCGGCGGAGAAATATTGTTCCACTCATCTAAAAAATAACGATGGCATATTGTTTAGTTGTAAATTGGGGGAAACTGATCCGAGATATTGTAACCCCTTGCTCTCAAAATGGTATCTTGATTAATAATGTAAGTCCATTTTGGGATGTCTGAGTGGAGGTAAACATTGCGAGAAATATATCTTCTCTCAAAATGATATGGCACAAAAGTTTTGCAATCATACAAAATATTTTTTTCGCAATATTATTCGCAATTAGCTTTTGATTTACTCCATTGTCTATAGTCGGAACCCTGGGGCGCCCTTGGAGAAATTGGTACCTATTCGCCTATTGTATCCGATTGCGCAATTTAGTGGCTATTGTTGGGAACAGGATAATCCGGATTATAATTATTTCAACTTCAAATTGAATTTCCCGACCCCACTTCCGCCCAATCCAACTAAAACATACAATGAGTCCTTGGAGCTGTTAACCAGACTACTAAAGGATGAATAGGAGAAACAAAGAACCCTAAATTAGAGCAGCAATAATTTTCGCAAATTGCTGCTCCTACACCTTCCTCTGAATCAGGCTTGGTAAGTCTAAGTACTAAGCCTTTCCCAGCCTCCCTTTCAAGAAGCCTTTCTCGGTTCTTATGGGCTTGGCTCTTAATCTACGACTCTTCCAGCACTAATTCACAACGAAATTGATTTAAGCCTAGTACAAATCGAATCAATTATTGGCTTAAAGAAAGTACGCCCTGTCAAAGCAATATTGTTGTGGATAAATCATAGATATATTTGTCTTGAGCCCCTTGGTAGAAACCCCAGATTACTTCAAAAGCTATGATGACTGATTCCACCCAAATCGTAGTTTCAAATTTAACAAAGATGTTCTTTCAGATGTCTTTCAGATGTAGCTCTAGCAAGATGGAGAAGCCATTTTCTCTAGTAGGAATAATAAAATGCTCACACCTCTCAGTTGTAATGCCGAAAGTTAAAATTTATGTTGGTTCTGTACCTCTTTTGGGTAAGGGTTACTTATCGTCGATTACACATACATCTGCGTTGAATTCAGGGCATTGACTATCTCGCGGCTATTTGTGATCCTGTGGTAAATCGTCCAGTTCGCCTTCGTCCAGATTAAAATGATGATATGACCGCAATTTCTCCTGAACGAACCTTTTACCGAATCAACTTAACTAGGTATAACAATAAGATTATTCTTACAAAAAATACTCATTAACAGCATACTAATACAAACAAATGTTTGCGATATAGCGTCCAAACAAAGTCTCTTCTAGCTTTTTCAGTTTCTTGAAATCATATGTATTACGGTATATAAAAAGAAATAATTATAAGGTAATATATACGTCTCCTGGACTACGGTCTAGAGGGGAAACCTATATGACTTTAAGCGGTTCAAAAAACCCTTTATGGGCACACTATGTAATGGAAAATTACATAGCCATGTGTGAGAGTCGCCCTCTGGAGAATACTCACTAAAAAACCGGCATAGTGTGAATTTTAATTTCTTTCTTTTGGCATATTGTGACTTACTTTCTACTTTTATGACATGTAATGGTAGTTAAAGGAGTAATAGTGGTAGGGTTGTGTGTGTGGAGTGTAACTAGAAAGACAGTAATTACTGTCGTCGTCGTTCCACTCTTTCAATGATCTCCTTTAAATATCCATTAATAACTTTGATCTCTTTGGAGTGTAGCGTTGCTGAACATTTTGCACACGTGAAAGTCATGCTTATATCATGTGATTTTAGTCACGTGATAATTTAACACCAACATCTTTCCATGTTTATAACCATGCAAGCTTACAGTTCGTCAATAGAAGCTCAATACTTACTTCTTCTATTTGTTGGATGTAACTCGTTTGCATTAAGATGTCGGGTTTATAAATTTGTGGTTAAGCATTTTCAATATTTTTAACTAAAGTTTGTAGTTATTTTAACCAATTTTTTTTGCAACAATTTTCTTGTTTTGTTTTACAACCAAATCAATGAATAGAGAGATTCACATGATAAACGACCCAATGATCAAGTAACTGCTAGAACGACAGTTAATGATTGTATTCCAATTGAATCAAAGGCAATATCATATACTTTATGTTTTCGAATTATCAAAATGAGAGCTTCCAGATAAAGTATGGGGATAGGTAAGTCAGTGATATGAGATTCCAGTATGTTGCAGGAGGAATATAGTAGTCCTCCTGAAACAAGAAAAAAATACTTAAGTTTGTTGGTAGTCATGTGAGTATTGAGTTGGTAAATTAAGGAAATACTGAAATCGATTTGCATACAGCTTGATACATGACTGATACCAGTTCCAAGAGTCACATGATTCCCGTATCTCCCCTTAAGAGAATATTTCAAAATTGGCAAAAATTTCTCGTGTGCCTAAACTCGACGGAGCTAAGAACAGCTCATACTATTCCTCAAGGGTTTGAATAAGGGTACATGCATTTTGGTCAAGTACCTCGGTAACTCTATCCCAGATAAATCCAGTTGATGCAACAGAATAATCTCGGATGTGAGGAAACGTTTTAACGTAAGATGACAATGGGTAAACTTAAACTAATGTGTCACAAAAATTCTTGGGTGACAAATTAACCACTAAATAAAGAATCATTTGATAGAATTGTGTGTGTCCCTATAGTATGTCAGTTTACGCAGGTTAGAATATCCAATCATGAAGAAAAGAACAGTACTTGGCGAGTACTCCACCGGTTTTAAATCAAAATAAAAAAATAAATGCGCCAAAGAAATTAAAGAAACTAATCCAAGCGAGATAAGAAAAATGTACAGCAATTTAATAATAATTAATTACATGTCCTAATTGTCCCACTCAGTTGTTCTGCTCCAGATAACACATGCACTTTAACCGATCACAGCCGTCCAACTGATCTCGACAATGTACATGATGTGTAATGTCATACTGACGAACACAAATGCTAATCTGGAAGATTATATCGCTATATGAACCAAACTCGTTGGATTAATCTAAATTGCTTATCAGATGGAGTTTAGAACAAAAAAAAAATGAATTACCATTTACAATGATCTCATTGGATTAAGATAAGTTTTTATTGGAACTTTTTTTTTCCCACTTTTTTTTCCACTGATAAGTTTACCCGTACGATTACGTAAGACCACCACCAAGAAAAATGGGGTAAGATAAAGTTTGAAATTTTTCATACTTAAGAAAATTTCAGATGCCACCTGATCCCTCCATAAATTTCAAACAATTCCGCTAAAATTGAAAATTTTTGAATAAAACGGTTTCCCTTCTTTCTTTCTTCATTTGTTATCATCAATTGTTGTGGATTGTTAAAAGAATTTCAATTTATATATTTTTATTTAACCAAACTTTCCAAATCTAAAATCCACACATAAATAGATATACATATATTACAACTGATGTCACCTCCATCTTATTTACCACGCAAAGAATTCGAGGAAACCAATGTGTACAACTATGATGAAACTCCAGAAAACAAATCTTGGGCTTGCACTTTACCAACAGCCAAAGGGTTATATAATCCTGAATTAGAAAAAGATGCCTGTGGTGTCGGTTTTACTTGTCATTTGAAAGGTATTCCTTCTCATAAAATTGTTTCCGATGCAAGATACTTATTATGCAATATGACCCACAGAGGTGGGGAATTAAATCCTAAGGATGGTGATGGTGCTGGTCTTTTGACTTCAATTCCTCATATTTTCTTTAGAAGAGAATTTAAATACTATTGTGGTGTTGATTTACCTCCAAAAGGTCAATATGGTACTGGTAATTTATTCTTTAAGAAAGATGAAACTGTTTTCAATAAGTCAAAAAAGACTTTTGAGAATATTGCTGAGTCTTTAGGTTTGAAAGTATTGGCTTGGAGAGAAGTTCCTCATGATTCTACTATTTTAGGTCCTGCTTCATTATCTCGTGAACCATTTATTTTACAACCACTTGTCGTTTTAAGTGAATTAATTGGTAAAGATATTTCATCTGAAGAATTTTCAGATAAATATCAAGTTGAATTTGAAAAGAAATTATTTATTCTTAGAAAACAATCTACCCATACAATTGGCTTACATAATTGGTTCTATATTTGTTCATTATCCAACAAGACAATCGTTTACAAAGGTCAATTACATCCAAATCAAGTTTACAATTACTACCACGATTTGAATAACGTTGAATTTGAAGCTCATTTTGCTTTGGTCCATTCTAGATTTTCAACCAACACTTTCCCATCTTGGGACAGAGCCCAACCATTGAGATTAGCTGCACATAATGGGGAAATCAACACTCTTAGAGGTAATAAGAATTGGATGAGAGCAAAAGAAGGTATCATCAAGTCTAAATTATTTGGAGATGAAATTGATAAATTGTTTCCTATTATTGAAGAAGGTGGATCTGATTCTGCTGCTTTTGATAATGTGTTAGAATTATTGGTTATGAACCGTGTTGTTAGTTTACCAGAAGCTGTCATGATGATGATTCCTGAAGCTTGGCAAAATGATACCCACATTGATCCTTACAAGAAAGCATTTTATGAATGGGCTGCTTGTTTGATGGAACCATGGGATGGTCCGGCACTTTTCACATTTGCTGATGATAGATACTGTGGTGCTAATTTGGATAGAAATGGTTTGAGACCATGTAGATATTATGTTACTGATGATGATCATATTATCGTTGCTTCTGAAGTTGGTGTTGTTGAAATTGAACCAGAAAAAGTTTTAATTAAAGGTAGATTGCAACCCGGTAGAATGTTATTAGTTGACACTGAACAAGGTAGAATTGTTGATGATAGAGAATTGAAATCCAATGTTGCTTCCAGATTCGACTTCAAATCTTGGATTTTAGCTAATATGATCAGTTTGAACGATTTAACTGAGAAATTAGAAGCAAGGAAAGTTGACATTTCTCCAGAACCAATTGACTTGAAGTTGAGTGTTGCAAGTGATCCAAGATTAGTAGCATCTGGTTATTCTCATGAACAACTTTCATTTGTTTTAGCTCCAATGGCTGAAGGTGGTAATGAAGCTTTAGGTTCAATGGGTAACGATAATGCATTGGCTTGTATTTCCGAACAACCTAAATTATTATATGAATATTTCAGACAATTATTTGCTCAAGTTACTAATCCACCAATTGATCCAATTCGTGAAAAGATTGTCATGTCATTAGAATGTTATGTTGGTCCTCAAGGTAACTTATTAGAAATCAAACCTGATCAATGTAATAGATTAATGTTGAAGACTCCAATCTTAGATGATTCTGAATTATTAGCAATTAAGAACATTGAAAAAGCTTATCCAAAATGGTCAGTTGCTAATATTGATATCACTTTTGAAAAGACTGAAGGTATTCAAGGATATATTAATACTATTGATAGAATTTGTCAAGCTGCATCTAAGGCAATTGCTGATGATCATCAAATTATTGTTTTATCTGATCGTAAAACCTGTGCTGATAGATTACCAATTTCTGGTTTGATTGCAATTGGTGCTGTTCATCATCATTTAGTTAGACAAAAGCAAAGATCTAAAGTTGCTTTGATTATTGAAACTCAAGAAGCTAAAGAAGTCCATCATTTCTGTTGTTTGGTAGGATATGGTGCCGATGGTGTTAATCCATATTTAGCAATGGAAACTTTAATTAGAATGAATGAACAAGGATTATTGAAAGTCTCATTACCTTCTGATAAAATCATCAAGAATTACAAAGATTCCATCGATGCTGGTATTTTGAAAGTTATGTCCAAAATGGGTATCTCCACTTTAGCTTCTTATAAGGGTGCACAAATTTTTGAAGCTTTGGGTATTGATAATTCAGTAGTTGATCGTTGTTTTGCAGGTACTGCTTCTAGAATCAAGGGTATTACATTTGAATATATTGCTCAAGATGCTTTTACTTTACATGAACAAGGTTTCCCAACCAGAGAAACAATCAAACCAGTGGGATTACCAGAAACAGGTGAATATCATTGGCGTGATGGTGGTGATGCCCATATTAATGATCCAACAGTTATTGCCTCATTACAAGATGCAGTTCGAAACAAGAATGAAAAATCCTATGATATTTATGCCAAAAAGGAAAATGAAGCAGTTAAGAATTGTACATTACGTGGTTTATTAGATTTTGATTATGATTCTAATCCAGCTATCCCAATTGAACAAGTTGAACCTTGGACTGAAATTGTTAGAAGATTTTTCACTGGTGCTATGTCATATGGTTCTATTTCTATGGAATCTCATACTACTTTAGCTGTTGCCATGAATAGATTAGGTGGGAAATCAAACACTGGGGAAGGTGGTGAAGATGCTGCTAGATCGTTGGTTAATTCACAAGGTGACACTATGAGATCAGCAATTAAACAAGTTGCCAGTGGAAGATTTGGTGTTACTTCTTATTATTTGGCTGATGCAGATGAATTACAAATTAAGATGGCTCAAGGTGCAAAGCCTGGTGAAGGTGGTGAATTACCTGGTCATAAAGTCTCAGCAGAAATTGGTAAAACTAGACATTCTACTCCTGGGGTTGGATTGATTTCTCCTCCACCACATCATGATATTTATTCTATTGAAGATTTGAAACAATTATTGTATGATTTGAAATGTTCAAATCCAAGAGCTAGAACTTCAGTTAAATTAGTTTCAGAAGTTGGTGTTGGTATTGTTGCAGCTGGTGTAGCTAAAGCTGGATCTGAAAACATTTTAATTTCTGGTGGTGATGGTGGTACTGGTGCTGCTAAGTTGACTTCAATCAAGTATGCTGGTTTACCTTGGGAATTAGGTTTAGCTGAATCTCATCAAACTTTAGTATTGAATGATTTAAGAGGTAGAGTTATCTTACAAACTGATGGACAAATTAGAACCGGTAGAGATATTGCAATTGCTTGTTTATTAGGTGCTGAAGAATTTGGATTTGCTACTTCTCCATTAATTGCTATGGGTTGTATCTATATGAGAAAATGTCATTTGAATACTTGTCCAGTTGGTATTGCTACTCAAGATCCTGAATTAAGAAAGAAGTTCCAAGGTACTCCAGAACATGTTATTAACTTCTTCTATTACTTGGCTAATGATTTAAGAGGAATTATGGCTCAATTAGGATTTAGAAGCATCAATGAAATGGTTGGTCGTACTGAGAAATTGAAAGTTAGAGAAGATTTAAGAAATACTAAGAATGCCAACATTGATTTATCTCCAATTTTAACTCCTGCTCATACTATTAGACCTGGTGTTGCTACTTATTGTGTCAGAAAGCAAGACTTAAGATTACATGTCAGAATTGATAACAAATTAATTGATGAATCTGAATTAACTTTAGCTAAAGGTTTACCAGTTACTATTGATTGTAATGTTTCAAATACTGATAGAACCGTGGGTACTACATTATCTTATCGAGTTTCCAAAACATTTGGTGAAGATGGTTTACCACATGATACTATTCATGTTAATGTAACTGGTTCAGCTGGTCAATCATTTGGTGCATTTTTGGCATCGGGTGTTACTTTAGAATTAGAAGGTGATACTAATGATTATATGGGTAAAGGATTATCAGGAGGTAGAATTATTGTTTATCCACCTAAGGAATCTCGTTTCAAAGCTGAAGATCAAATCATTGCTGGTAATGTTGCCTTTTTCGGTGCTACTTCTGGTACTGCCTTTATTAGAGGGGTTGCAGCTGAAAGATTTGCAGTTCGTAATTCTGGTGCTAACATTGTTACTGAAGGTACTGGTGATCATGGATGTGAATATATGTCTGGTGGTAGAGTTGTTGTTTTAGGAACTACTGGTAGAAACTTTGCTGCTGGTATGTGTGGTGGTATTGCCTATGTTTTAGATATGGCTCAAGAATTTAGACAAAAGGTTAATAAAGCCACTGTTGAATTATCTCAAGTTACTGAAACTGAAGAAATCTCATTCTTGAGAAGTTTAATTGAAGATCATCGTCATTATACTGGTTCAGAAGTTGCTGATGAAATTTTGAGTGATTTTGCCAGATATTTACCAAAGTTTGTCAAAGTATTACCATATGATTATAAGAAGGTTTTGGAAAAGGAAAAATTATTAGCCCAAGAAGCCAAAAAGAAAGAATTAAACAGTTTCTTAATGACAATTAGAGAAGATCCAGAAGCTGATGTTACCAATGGAGAAGCTGCTAAAATCAAACAAGGTTATGTTAAAGCCCCATCTGCCAAACCTGGTCCAACTAATGAACCCAAAATTGTTGACGTTGAAGATACTATTCTTGATACTGAGTTTGAAAAGAAAGCACCAGTCAAATTGGATAAACTTCGTGGATTTATGAAGTATAAACGTCGTAATGAAAAATACAGAGATGCTAAAGATAGAAGTAAAGATTGGAATGAAATGACATCAAGATTAACCATGGAAGAATTAAAATATGAAACAGCTAGATGTATGGATTGTGGTGTTCCATTTTGTACTTCAGATACCGGTTGTCCAATTTCAAATGTTATTCCAAAATGGAATGAATTAGTATTTCAAGATCGTTGGTTTGATGCCTTACAAAGATTATTAATGACTAATAATTTCCCTGAATTCACTGGTAGAATTTGTCCTGCTCCATGTAATGGTGCTTGTGTTTTGGGTATTAATGAAGATCCTGTCAATATCAAATCAGTTGAATGTGCTATTATTGATTATGGATTTGAACAAGGTTGGATTAAACCAGAACCACCAACTCATAGAACTGGTAAGACTGTTGCTGTTATTGGATCTGGTCCTGCTGGGTTATCATGTGCTGATCAATTGAATAAAGCTGGTCATAAAGTCACTGTTTATGAACGTAGTGATAGACCTGGTGGGTTATTAATGTATGGTATTCCAAATATGAAATTGGATAAAGGTATTGTGAAGAGAAGAACTGATTTATTAGCTGCCGAAGGAGTTGAATTCATTTGTAATACTACAGTAGGTGAAGATATCACAGTAGGTGAATTGAAAGCCAGTTTTGATGCTGTTGTATTTGCAGTTGGATCTACTATTGCTAGAGATTTAAGAATTCCAGGTAGACAATTGAATAATATTGATTTTGCCATGAAATTATTACATTCCAATACCAAAGCATTATTAGAAGATAATTTAGCTGAGATTAGAAAACAACTTGAAGGTAAGAATGTTGTTGTTATTGGTGGTGGTGATACTGGTAATGATTGTTTAGGTACTTCCACTAGACATGGAGCTAAATCGGTTGTTAATTTTGAATTATTACCCCAACCTCCAAATACTAGACCTAAAGATAATCCATGGCCTCAATGGCCAAGAATCTTTAGGGTTGATTATGGTCATACTGAAGTTGCAGCTCATTATGGTAAAGATCCAAGAGAATATTCTATTTTATCCAAAGAATTTGTTGATGATGGTGAAGGTAATGTTAAAGGGATCAAGACAGTTAGAGTTGAATGGAAACGGTCAGATACTGGAGCATGGCAAATGGCCGAAGTTCCAGGTAGTGAAGAATTTTTCCCTGCTGATGTTGTTTTGTTATCGATGGGATTCATTGGACCAGAAGCTGAGAATTTAGAAGTTGATAGAACCAAGAGAGGTACTATTACTACTGTCGATCCTAATGTTTATCGTGTCAATGATGATGATAATTTGTTTACTGCTGGTGATTGTAGAAGAGGACAATCTTTAGTTGTTTGGGGTATTCAAGAAGGTAGACAATGTGCTAGAGAAGTTGATATTTATTTGATGGGATCTACTAGATTACCTGGTAATGGATCTGTTGAACAAAGAAATTATAAATTATTGGAAGAATTAGCTGATAATGTTTAGAATGAGAGATTTTGTTGAGTTTTTATTATTTGATTTATTTGATTTATATTTTATATTAAGTGTTTGTTTTTTTATAGTTTGTGATATTAAAAAAGAATATATGTTTATTAATCTGATCTTCTTTATTCTTATAATATTTAATACATTGGATTGTAGATTGGTAATGGTCTGTATGGGGGATAAATGAAATTTTTTTTCTACTGTAAACTAACTATAAGAGAATGATGTTGATTAGGAAGCACTCGTGCAGGTAAGGAGGAATATACTAAAGTATAGTTAATATATAGAAAAAAGTTAATTAAAACTATGTAGCTAAAAACCCTAAAGTGTAAGTATACTAATATAAGATTAATATACAGAGACCAGTAATTTTTGTAATAGATTCAGTATCTTCAAATCCGTTAAGCTTAAAAGAATAGAACCGTTTGGGAAAATTACTTTGGATGGTTCATTTTTCTGGTCAAAGGTAAACTGGATAATTTACACGGGAAATAAAATATCCTAATGTTAACCAATGACGGTAAAGTTATATGCATATTTATTTGTGACGTTACCCGCACAACCCTCTAAGGTAGAATACCAACACTCCCCTAATCTCATCACTGACCGGGTGGCATTGATAGATTGTATTCGAACCTTAAAACCATGGTACAAATAATTCCTCAGAGACCCAACATTTCTTCAACAGCTTCAACCGAATCCCCCAACATCTCCAACATTAAGTCGATTTGTTCTAAATCCTTATGTATCTGACTTAATCCAAACAATTGATTTCTAAAATTCACAAAGTCTTGTCTACCTAATGGTTTCGTAAACATATCAGCAATATTAGCCTTAGTGCTTATCCAGGACAAATAAATATCTCCATTTGTAGCAAGATCTCTTAAATATTTATAAGAAATATCAATGTGCTTCTTTGAATGATTGAAATTTTGATTTCTGCAATATTTGACCACACCCATATTATCTTCTCGAGCAATGATCTCATCAATCTTAAAGTTCATATTCTCCATGATACCTTTCAATTTCAATGATTCTTCAACTGTTGACTTCAATGCAACAATTTCACTTGCATATGTACTAGTAGTAATTGTCTTCTGTCTTTTGGTAGCCCAACTAATCAAATAATTGTTCAAATAAATTACCCTTCCGGATATAGAATACCTTTCAAGATCAGGAGCATAACTTGCATCTGAAAACGTATCAATACTGAATGTACCGACTGGTTTTCGACTTTGACGTTTGTAATCAATTTTAATATCTAATGTACATTTAACATATCTGAGACAATACATCAATTTCTCAAAATCATTCACCGTAGGTTTTGATGCCTTTCTTCCTAAATGATTTACAGCATAACTTAAATCCGGCCTAGTATTATTGGCTGCCCATAATAACAGACCAACAACCGACTGATATTCTTTCTTGCTTGCCTCATCTAAGTAATCACCATTAACATTCCTGACAAAAAATTCTTCTTCATTATCTTTAGAATCTGCATGCTTATAGTTGTCTTGAACCATTGGAGTTGATTTTAAGTATTTCTTACTATTACTAATTCTGTAATTCTTGTCATCTTCAGAACAATATTTCATAACAATATCCAGTAAGAATTTCTTTTGACTGATTGAATAACCATCTGAAGTTTTTTCATATTTAATTCCAAGATATTCAGAGATCTCCCCTAAATCCTTAAAATCCACTTCACTTTTCAACTTTGTTTTGAAATCTTCAAATAATTCATTCTTCGAACAAATTATAAAAACATCATCAACATAAATAGCAATGATTATCAATTCTGAACCATGTCTTTTTAAGAATAAAGTCTCAACAATACTCTCGAAACCTAACTTAAGAAATATCTTTCTAAACGTAATAAACCATTCATAACCAGCCTGTTTAAGACCATAGACTGATTTATTCAACCTCCAACATTTACCTGATTCAATTTCATAACCTGGTGGTGGTTTAACATAAATCTCATCGGACAAATCTGCATTCAAATAAGCCGACTTTACATCTAAATGATGAATCGTAAAACTAAATTCAGTAGCAATAGCTGTCAATAACCTAATTGTAGTTAAATCAGTAACTGGAGATGATATCTTGGTAATGTCAAAATCAATACCTTCATGTTGTCTAAAACCTTGGACCACACACCTTGCCTTGAAGACTTCCTTTTTCAAGTCATCCTCTTTCTTTGTAAATACCCATCTAGTTGGAATTGGTTTCTTACCATTTGGAATTTTAACAATTTTGAATACATTAAAGTCTTGAAATTTTTGAATTTCTTTATCTTTGGCTTTGATCCAATCTTGTTCATGTTTCTTCTCAATTTTGTTGACTACAATAAATAAATGTTCTGGTGCAATATCATCTTCTATATCTAATAATGCGTTCATTAAAAACAAATATTTCTTTGGTTTGATAGTTCTACCTCTGCTAGATATTCTAATTGGTTCTTCATCTTGATTTGTTACTTCTTGTACTTGAGCAATTTTTCGTTTTCTTGCTTTTCTGGTGTTGACCTCATGGTCTCTGCCACCAAGTAACACTTTCTTCGCTGTTTTAACCCCATTTGAGAATTCAGGATGTTTCAACTCCTTCTTCTTCGTTTTCCTGGGCCTCACGTTGTCGCCACTCCCCAGGGTGTTTAATTTGTCATTGTTGCCGGGACTCACGTTGTCGCCACTCCCCAGACCAACTACTTTGTTGTCATTCTTTTGAACAACCTTTGTACTGGACCTCACGTTGTCGTCACTCTCCAGTCTGTAGCTCTTGGAACTCACGTTGTCGCCACTCTCCAATTGAGCTGCTTTATTTGCACTCTTGTGTACAATAAGGCTTTCGTTTATGTTGTTTTCGTTTGCAACATTTCTTGATTCTCTAGGATTGAGGTTTTCATCGCCACTTCCCAGGAATTCATTGTAACTGCTCGCACTCACGTTGTCGCCACTCACCAGGTCAGTCACTTTATCATTGTTTTCTTGAGCAATAATATTTTCATTGAGATGGTTGCTTTCTGTCACAACTTCTCCCCTAACACTCGTATTAGTGCCTTCTTCATCAATTTCAGTCTCGAAATCTTCATCCAAATTTGGATATGTATGAGGTATATTCAATATTGATTTCATTTTCACATGTTCTGGCTTTTCAGATGCCTTCAATAGAAATTTGTTCAATTCCTTTATGTCTAACTTCAATACATCATGCTTCTCTGCATAATAATCAAAATATTCATGAATAACCTTATACGTTCTTAAAAATGTAATATTTGATGTAACAATTACAGGATAATCTTTATCTGAGATCATTATAATGTAACTGTTAGAATCTGTTCCATATCCCATGAAACTACCAAATACCACAGGAGGTGTAGTCTTATCTGATTCAACACCCAATCTTTCTGCTTCAACTTTCGATGAACATTTTACAATGACATCTACGCCAAATGAATGACATTTAAATTTGTAATCACGAATTCCAGTAAACCTTTGAAACGGTGACAAACCACCAAATCTCTTCTTTGGAGTATGATTTATAGTTGCCACACTATAAAGACAAACATAATAAAATAAAGACATAACTTCGTTATGCTTTTCTGGAAAACTTAATATACATTTTCTAATTGCATTAAATACAGTTCTATTAGCACGTTCAGCTGTTCCATTTAAAGCTGGAGTATACGCACCAATTGCATCTCTTCTGATTCCTAAACTCAATAATTCTCTAGTTGATGGCATTTCAGCAGCATTATCTGACCTAAAATGTGCAATCTTATGTTTACTATGATAATTATTCCATAATTTCAACAATGATAATGTTGTTTCCTTAATTGCCTTCGTTTGTGTAATAATAGGTTCAATATAACTACTAAAACCATCTGTCAATAACGTAACATAATGCTTCACAAAACCAACACCAATAGGACCAACTGTATCACAGTGAACTCTCTCTAATGGTCTTTTAGGAGCTTTTTGTGTTGTCTTGTTATGAGAATGTTGTCTAGCATTTACCACTAAACATACTGCACACATTCTGATCTTTTCAATATCTCCCGGATTTGCTTTCACATCAATTTCTTTCCTCTTTATTCTCGCTCTCAATGCCTGCAAAGACATATGATTTCCAGCAAGATGTTGACCGTATAAGGTGTTCTCGTTGTCTGCTTCTACACGTGGGATATTATGTACATTAATATTATATATAAACCCAATATCTATAGCTTCTGTAGATTCAATGTCACCACTAATTGGTCCAATGTAGAGATTCTTCCTTAAAACATTCTTAGCAGCGAGAATACACCTTCTTTCATTCATATTTAGCAAATACAAGCACTTGTTACTTCCATAATAATTGTATCCAAACTCAGTTATTTGACCCAAAGAAACTATATTCATTGCTGCATTCGGTACCAACGATACATCTGAAATGATGATTTCTTCACCATTAATATTCAATGTTAATGTACCTGTACCTTCGGATCTTAATAAATTCTTGTCAGCAACTTTAAAGTATTTCCTCTTCGTCTTATCGAAATTTGTCAACAAACTTCTATCTTTAACAACTGAAGTACTTGCACCTGTGTCATATAAAATCAGCTTCTGTTTACCGTCAACCTGAATATCCTTGTATTCATCCCTCTCATCGTAATAATAAATGGCTTCACTAGATCCTTCATCAACTTTATCCAGCTTGCCAACCCCTTATTTGAATTTCTCAATAAATTCAGCAAATGCCTTCACTAATAGACTATTGCCTTTATCACCACCTTCCTTCTCTTCATCAACTTTCTCTGATGATTTATCTTTCTTAGAAGCGCCACCTTTCTTCTTGGCACTATCTTTCTTAGAACTCTCATCTTTCTCTTCATCATCATCTTTGCTGTATGGATGGTATCCTTTACCTCCTTTGTATCCACCTCTGTATCCACCTCTGCCTCTGGATCCACCTCTATTTCCACCACGACCTCTGTAGTTATTTCCATCATGGAAAGCTAAAGTTTCTTTCGGTGCATAATCCGCATCATAATTGGTGAAAAACTTGTTGGAGTTTATATCAATGTATTTATCTGGATCCATGTCATCCTTGACTTCTGCTCTTCTCTTAAAAGACGACTTATACACCATCTTCGTTTCAATCTCATGTTCAGTAGGTGGTTTGAATTTATTCTTATCCTTATCTTTGAGTTCTTTACTTTCTTCCCATTTTGAATAGTAATCTTCCATTACTTGATTAAAAGCTTTGACATTTCCATAAATTATAGCCAGTTCATAAGCTCTGGTAACTTCACCTTGGATGTCATCATGACCATTCATAGCAATAATGAATTGAATTTCCTTATTGGACGATTTCAACCCATCGATGATAAACATCTGCTTACGATGCTCTTCCCTATTTAACCTTGGACGCCTTGCGTGAACACACGCAGCAAAAGCCAAGTTAATAGTATTTGCCAACAGATAATCCTTTGATTCATCGACAAATTTCCAGATCTTATGGATATTTATATCTTCAATACCACCGTCAGCTTCACTAAACCTATCCTCATGAATTTTGTCTAATAATTCAACAACAATGGCTTGACAAAACATGTCCACATAATGAGTGGTATGCATTGGACTTTTCTGCATGAGCTTGCTGATATTATACTTGGTTTGGCGAGCATCATACAATTCGGGAGTACAAATGACATACGAAATACCACCCTTACCATTCTTGTTAGAGTAAGTTCTGAACAATTTTCTAAAAAATGTCAACCACTTGTTTATTGTCGTAGCAGAATTATCCAATGCGGGTAAATTCACAATGGATTTCTTCAAAACTCTAATTGCTGGCTCAATCGAGGCATTGCATAACTTCCTTGTTACAGCTATATCTCTGAAATATATTGAATAGTTAAAGTTATCAAATAATTGAATCTTCTTCGTGTATTCAACTCTATCCCTTTTGCCATGTCTGTCGGTAACCCAGTAAGGTTCTTTCTTCTCTACCTTATTGTCATTCTCATCTTGACTACCAACATCGACAATCTCGTGTTCAGATTCTTCACTATAGTCTGAATCACTTTCAGAATCTTCATCTTCAGATCCATCCTTAGACTCCTCTTCAGAGTTATTTTCAGAATCAGAATCAGAGTCAGCACCAGCATCCTCAGTTTCAGAATCAGCAACAGCACCTTCATCTTCATCTTCATCTTCAATATCAATGTCAACACCATCTACTTCTAATTCAACTTCACCCTCTGCAATCTCATTTGCTCTAACATCATGATTTCCCAATCTTCCAAGATTGTTATCGTCTAAATTGTTATACTCCATTTGAGCACCATTTCTAACCTCCAATCTGGTTGGAGTTCTATGATCCATTCTAGACCTTGATCTCTTTGTTTATATAACTAATTAACTAAAGTTGATTTCCTATCTAACTTTGACTTCTAATCTGTTGATTAGGAAGCACTCGTGCAGGTAAGGAGGAATATACTAAAGTATAGTTAATATATAGAAAAAAGTTAATTAAAACTATGTAGCTAAAAACCCTAAAGTGTAAGTATACTAATATAAGATTAATATACAGAGACCAGTAATTTTTGTAATAGATTCAGTATCTTCAAATCCGTTAAGCTTAAAAGAATAGAACCGTTTGGGAAAATTACTTTGGATGGTTCATTTTTCTGGTCAAAGGTAAACTGGATAATTTACACGGGAAATAAAATATCCTAATGTTAACCAATGACGGTAAAGTTATATGCATATTTATTTGTGACGTTACCCGCACAACCCTCTAAGGTAGAATACCAACAAATGAAGCTCATCCCAATAATTAAATTTATTTATTCACTATTCTTCAAAGAGGTGTACCAAGAGAGACATGGCTGATTTGAAACAAGTATTATTTACACCTGATGTGTTATCAAGGATAGCACCAGACGTAGCATTACAAAGACATCTTTCAATTGGAATTAGACCAAATTTACGTAATTTCTTAGAATTCAATCCCATTGAAATTGCTCAAACTAATCAACTAACTGATAATAATAATAATATCTTTACATCATCGATAATCAAGAGTGGACTGACTACTATTATAAATACTATTACTTTAGGTGTAGTAGAAGATTTCCAAGAAGATCATGAAGGGAGATATAGTTCAGTATATCCAGTAGTTGAAGTATTAAGAGGGAGATTAGGTGCACCAACTGATGAAGAAATGGTATTAGCACAGAATTTATATGAAACATTATATCATTCTAAAATAATCCCTAGTGAATCATTGAAAATAAAGAATTATGGTATTGCCGTTAAACAAGAAGGAGGAGATGAAACTATTTATTATCCTGATTTAAATAAAGAAGAATGGGAATATATAAATACTTCATCAACTCATAGTAAATCATATTCATTTGTATTAAGTTCATCAATAAAGATCTATTCTAAAACTACTAGCATTAATAGTTTATTTGATTTATGTTATTTATCAATGATTGATGCATTAAAGAAATTAAGATTACCAAGAATCTATTTATCCGATTCATTACAAACTAAAATATCAATGAAATCAAGAAGATCAAATACAAGAGGTTTAATTAATATTAATAGAAGAAATAATAATTTAAATATTGATTTACATCAAGATTTATATTGTGATATTAAATTAAATAATGTTAATGAAATATCAAGTAATAATTTTGGAGTTATTAAGGATGAAAATAACAATGTGATTATGTTAGCTGATTTAGAAGGTGAAGTTGAAGAAGTAAGTATATTATCAAGATTATCAATTATTACTAATAAAAATGGTATTATTAATAAAATAAGTTTAATTAATGGTGATGATGGTAACGATAATAATGATTGTTATTTTAATCTTGATTTATTAAGAGATGCAATTGAAATTAGCAAAAAGAGAAGTAGTGAAGGTATAGTATAATATAATATAGATTTGTTACTTTATAGATTATTGTATTGTATTATATTTGCTAAGGTGTGGCTGTAGTGAAAAGCTGATTGATGGTTTACAGGGGCGGACAATAGGCTTAAAGACATTTCTGTAAGTCAAGAACAAACAAACTATGTAATTTATTGTATAATTATCTTATTCATTTTCTGAAACAATCCTTTGTATCTTGTAGAAGCATCATTAATTCCTTTACATACCTCTTGTTCTCCCCAGCTCGCTAACCCTCAATTGAAAGGATGTCCTATATGTGCAAAATAAAATTAAACAATAAGAATTCTATTTCGAACATACGACTCCCCATTCATATAGTCCCTCTCTCTCTCTGTGGGCTAATAATCATATTTAACTCGCTCTNTCCTATATGGGCAAAATAAAATTAAATAATAAGAATTCTATTTCGAACATACGACTCCCCATTCATATAGTCCCTCTCTCTCTCTGTGGGCTAATAATCATATTTAACTCGCTCTTCCCCCCACAAAGAGATCCAACCTTAATAATAGTTGAAGTTAATAAAACATTAACCTTTAATTACATAATTAATAAAATAAAAGTTTAGCAACCTACGCCGCACAAACAAAAATTTCATCTCGCTCTCCTTCTCTCTCTTTTTGTGCTTTACAATTTCTCTGTCTCTGTGTTTTCTCCCTTTTACTAATTAATTAAGAATTTGCATTTCATCTTCGCGTCCACAAAAAGATTTGACAGATTTTGATTATCAATCNTTTACTAATTAATTAAGAATTTGCATTTCATCTTCGCGTCCACAAAAAGATTTGACAGATTTTGATTATCAATCAATTTTATATTACTATAAACATTAAGAAGTAGTATTATTATTATGTCACAAGATATTGATAGAATACTACAACAACCACAACAAGAGCAACAACCCCAAGAAAATGAAGAAGTAGAAGAAATAATAGAAGAAACTCCTACAGTTGGAGAAAAAGACGAAGAAGAGGAAGAACAGGAAGAAGATGACGACGACGACGAAGAAGAAGAAGAAGACGAAGGGGAAGAAACTCCAGAAGCTGTACAACAACAAACTCAAGAAGATGTGGATGAACAATTAATAGAGAATAGACAATTGATCAATGAATTATTAACTAAAAATACTGGAAAAGAAGGTGATGAATTCTATTTAATCTCTCGTGATTATTTAAATAGTTTCTTTAATTTACAAGTTAATGATTTCCAACAATTAATTCATGAATTGGGTCCAATTGATTGCACTAAACTTATAGATGAACAATCAGGTCAATTATATCCTGAAAATGATGAACCAATAGCTACTTATAATGTTTCACCTATCATATTCCAATATTTATCACAATGGTTTGGTATTTATGGTATTCCAGTATCAAGATGTCTTATTATTAACCCAGAAACAGGTACCAAGGAAGTTGAAAGATTCCCACCATCTTTTATAGTTCATCAAATTGTTACTAAACGTCAAAATACTCATACTCTGAGTTATTTTAGAAGTGGTGGAAATCGTCATCATCATAACACTAGTTATCATGGTAGTAATGATACCCCAATTCCAGTAATGTTGTCAAGAACAAGGACATTTTATGATTTATTAGAAATTATTCGAATTAATGTATTGAAAACACCCAAGAAATCAATAACTGATTTTAGAATTTGGTTTATTGATTCAAATGCTGATTTATCATTTAATATTACTCCCAATACATTCATATTTGATATCAATCAAAAACGTCTAGTCAATCAGGGTATATTACAAGATACCCTTAAATCACAAGGAATTGATGCCATAACTTATCAAATAGTTGTTGAAATTAAAGAAAAACATGGGTTCCCGATTGATCAATTTGTTTCAACCCATTTGAAATCATACAGCGAAGAAAATGAAACCGCGACAGGAGCAGGTCATTTAGGGTTAACAAATCTAGGTAATACATGTTATATGAATTCTGCATTACAATGTTTGTTACATGTACCTGAAATTAATCATTATTTTTATTATAACATTTACAAGAAGGAATTAAACCCTAATAATCCTTTGGGATATCATGGAGATGTTGCCAATTCATTCGGATCATTGTTGAAACAAGCATTTGATATCAATGCTAGCAAGAGTAGTTCCAGTATTACCCCACGAGAATTCAAATCCACAATTGGTCGTTATTCATCTATGTTTTCTGGATATTTACAACAAGATTCACAAGAGTTTTTAAGTTGGTTATTAGATGCATTACATGAAGATTTGAATCGAATTCATGAAAAACCATATTGTGAAAAACCAGAGTTGGAAGATTCTCAAATAAATGATCCAAATGCAATCATCAAATTATCGGAAACTTGTTGGCAACAACATCAAGCTAGAAATGATTCGGTTATAACTGATTTATTCACCGGATTGTATCAATCCACTTTGGTTTGTCCTGATTGTTCCAAGACGTCTATCACATTTGATCCATTCAATGATTTGACATTACCATTACCAATAAGTAAGAAATGGTATCACACATTCACTATTGTCGATTTATCCCCCGAGAAAATCATGCCTCAACGAATTATGAAATTAGAAGTTGAATTAAATAAAAATTCAAACTATGATGAATTATTAAATTATTTAAGTAAATTCCTTAATATTCCAAGTTCATTTTTATTCATATTTGAATTATTCCAAGGATCTTTTTATAGTGATTTCCAACTTGATTATCTCAAAAATAAATTCTTACCAATCGGTGATATAATTCGTGATAATGATGATATTTATGTTTATTGTATTCCTCATGATTTGGATCAAGATATTATCGTACCCGTGTTTAATTCTGTTCAACAGGATTCATCTGGGAAATCATACAGAGGTGTCAATATGTTTGGAATCCCCTTGTTTGTCGTGTTGAATAAAGAAGAAGATGGTGATAGTTTTGGAAATATTAGAAGAAAATTATTGTCCATTAATGCCGCATTGACTGAAGTTGATTTAGTTCTGGAATATGAGAATATAAAATCAAATATGGAGAATTATATTGATAAGGAATATTATACAAAACGTGATTTCCCCATGATTGAGAATGAAGTGGAAGACGAGGAAGGATATGATTCAGATGTATCATTAGCCAATCCATACATTGGTGGTAATTTTGGGTTTACGATTAACTATGTGCATGAATATACACCCAAAATGGCAATGAATTTCCGATCACGGTTCACATATGGTCATCATAACAAACATGCCAAGCAACAGCAACAACAACCGGAAAGGGTCATAAATGCTCCAATGCACAAGCCTAGTATTCAAGAATTCAAGCCATTAGGTGAGCAATTATCTGATGTTAAGCGAGATTATTATCATTATCCTGATTATTGCCAGCAGAAACTCGATCAAGAAATGGAAGAATTGATAGTGGAAGAAGACGGGAAGACAAGTGATGTTCCTGTGGCAGAAGAATTTACTAGTGCGAATGTTTCCGAAGAGACTTCTGAAGAGAGTTATGTTATGGTTGAAGGCACGACCACTTCTGAAGAACAAATACAACAAGAACACCGAGAGGAAGTTATACCACCGCCATTACCACCAAGAGGAAGAACAATCCCCGTTTCTTCAGATGAAGATGAAACTGAAAGTGAAGTGAATTTAGGAACTTTATTTGATTCAACCCTGAACTTACCACCACCTCCCCCATCAACATATTCCGTTTCTTCGACCAAGCCTTCAAATGTGAACTCTCCTGTTGAACAAGAACCAGAAGAATCCCCAGAAGTAGGTCAGAAAAAGCCATTAGTCACCAAGGATACAATATTACTATGTGATTGGGATCCAGAAATATTTCAAAAATGTTTCGATATCAGTCAACAAACATGGCATACCATCCCTAATCTCTCCAACCCGGAACTCGAGAAAAACAAAGCAATCCTAGAACGTCAACGTAAGGCCAAAATATCAGTCTATGATTGTGTGAAATGTTTCAGTACCCCAGAAATACTAGGCGAACATGATTTATGGTATTGTCCCACCTGTAAAGACCATAAACGTGCCACCAAGACAATTCAACTCTGGTCAACTGGAGATATTTTAACTATTCATCTAAAGCGATTCCACAGTGCCCGTGCTTTCAGTGATAAGATTGATATGTTGGTAGATTTCCCCATTGAAGGATTGGATATGAGTTCATATATCGCCAATCCCGTGGCTGCAACCCACCCCGAAAATAATTTATATGATTTGATTGCGGTTGATAATCATTATGGTGGAATTGGTGGGGGGCATTATACTGCCACAGTGAGGAATTTTAGGGATGGTGAATGGTATTTGTTTAATGATTCACGGGTGACGAAAACCGCCCTGGTGCTGGAGATTGTCACTCCTGCTGCATATTTGTTATTCTATCGTCGACGTAGCAGTGAGAGTGGTAATTTAGGTGGACTGAGGTTGAATGAGTTGATTGAAGGTGGAAGAAAGGAATATCATGCTGGATTGATGGAGAAGAAGGCGAAGGTTATGGATGTGGATGCACAATTGGGGACATATTATGAGATTGAGAAGAGATTGATTGAACAGATGGAATTGGATAATGAGATTCAATTGCAGAAGGAAAAATTAGCCCAAGAAGGAGAAGAAGAAGTGGAAGTGGAATTAGAGGGGGGAGAAGCTGGGAGGCTGGCTGGGGCTGAATTCAATCTTGTGGAGGAAGAAGATTATGACTATGAAGAAGAGGATGAGGCAGAGGATGACGAAGAATTACAAGTTGTTAAGATGGAGGAACCAGAATCACAAGAGGAGGAAGTCGTTATTTATGAAGAAGATGATGAAGAGGATGGTAATGATAATATACGTAAACAAAGATTAATCTCCAAGGAAAATAATAGTAATTTATTAGTTCAAATTAAGAGTAATGGAAAGACAGAAATTACTTCTAGTCCAATACAAGCTGATTTAGAATCTGATGTTGAATCTAGTGGTGGGAGTACTAATAATAATAATAATGTGTTTGGAGGAAGTCAAATATAATATTAGTCTATCTTTCTGTTACTAGTTGTATATGCATACTTTTATATATAATCTATATAACTCTTATAAACATATAAAGTAAAGAATACTGAAGTAAAGAATCCCATTCCATACAATTTAGATAAACAAAATAAGTCACGTGCCCTCATAGTTAATTTTTAATGTATGGGGAAAAAATAAATTTTCCCTTTATCAATTTTGTGGATACAAAGATGGCAACCAAAGTACAAACCACATTTGTCAATCGCTAGATTTATTGTTAAAGTTATTAGAGAATCAATTAAGTAATCAACCATTTAGTATTAAACAACCAGATAGAAACACATCCTACAAATCCAATTGAGAGTTTATTTGGGTAGAAACAAGGTAACAAAGTGAAAGACAGATAGAAGAATGAGTGTATCATTGGTTGCCAAACAACACAATGAAACTTCAAATATTATAAATCATCTATGTAAAGTATTATTACCCAACTATTCAATAAATGAACAATATTTACTCAATTGGCAATATAATGAATTGTTAGATTCAACAATTGATTTCCATCAATTATCAACTATAATATCACAATCAGTCATTTTTGCTTCTCCTGTTGACGAGGATGACAATAATACTGCAAATCCAATTGACAATTTAGAGTATTCCCATTTTCAAGAATTATGTGATCAATTGACCAAACTAGATGACTCAGAATATCATGAATTTAAAGTTATTATCTATGAGATATTATTGTATGTGATTTCCTTATCATATGATTTAAAGATCCAATTATCACAAAATGGGTTTTTGGAATATTTAATTGACTTATTGTTGACTTATTTAAATACATCATCAATTAATAAAGGAAGTTTACAGCAATTACATCAACCGTCATTATTAAGTCAATATATCAGATTGGTGATCCTGTTTTGTGAATTAGGATGTGATACAATTCATCTAAAGAAATTGATAACACCCTCACTATTATCCAAATCAAATCCATTTGTCAAATTAATCCTCCTTGAATTATTACAAGAAATGTTTACTAAATATCCCAATCATTTTAAATTTGCATTATTTAACAAGCAAACATGTTTCCCATTCAGTAATGATGTTTTAAAAAAATCATTTTCTATTCAATCTTGGTTTAAGGTCCATCATCAACTACATACCAATGAAGAGCCCATTACCTTATTTGTATTAGCAAGTGCTAGTTCCTCCGATGATTCCTCCTTTTCAACGACTTTAAAAGTGAAATTAATCAATTATAATCAATTTATTGTAGCGGTAGAAAATAACCGTAATGGATCTAGAATGGAATTCCCATTCAATCAACTCCTAAATGAACAAACAAGCTCATCTAATACCATCACCGCCAACAATCAAGGCTTTACTCATTTCGCATTAACTTATGACAATTATGCTAATTTGAATTTATTTATAGATGGAGAGTATAGTGAATCAATACCCTGTCCAGAAATACACAAAGTACTTTCAACTTGGGATAAAGTTTATATCGGGAATGAAATTGACGATAAATATGTCACGGAGAATGATGAACTTTTAGTCAAGAATTTTACATTATTAAATATTGCATTATCTTATGAATGGATTAATTTACTTTATAATTTGGGATTAGGTTATGATTGGGATTTTAAAGATTTTACTAATGAAAATTTACTTGATTTATTGAGTCATTTAAGTTACAGAGGACTAAGCAATGTTTCAATGAAATTTAATGAAATTAATGAACAAAGAACAAATCTAGGTGCTCATGACCACCATCACTTAAAGACGTCAAGGTCAACTAGGAGTCAAAGGTCAGCCAGTCATGATAGAGTAATATTAGATCGAAAACAAAGCAATTTAGAAGTTTCAGGTACAACTATAGGACACAACATTTTTAATGATAAAGATTTTATAGTAAAGTCATTAACTAAATTAAAGCAAGAGAATGTCCTATTTGATACTCATGAATATTTTCAATTATTACAAGTCCAACAAAAGAGTCAATCAAGGCCAAAACTTATTTATTCGCTTTCTGTTTGTTTACATAATCCTAACCCGATCCATGCTGCTCTTTATACCATTGGTGGAACGTCATTAATTCTACGAATATTAGAAGCTTCACTTGAAATTCCAAATTCAAAAGTTAGGGATACTATTTTCTATAAAGCATTAACAATTTTATTAACTGTGCTATCTAATAATTGGAGATTATGTAAAGAATTTGAGGATTTTAATGGATATGGAATTTTATCAATTTTCTTATCCAAATTCAAACAACAAAATAAACTGTTGACCTTTAATTTGATTTCTAATACCAAGACAAACAACAACACCAACTACCAAGAAGAAAGTTTATTGACTATGCTATTGAGTTTTTCGGGTTATGACTTTATAAATCCATATGAATCGATCATTATAAACCCACTCGCGTACAGATTATTGATTTTGAATTTCAATTTACATTATGGAAGTAATTCATTTGAATATTTATTATTCCAATTACAAATCCTATTGGATGGATGCAGACATAGAGAACATAATTGTACTGAGTTGCGAAATATGAAACTTCTTAGGAAATTTATCCAGTTTTTGAAAACCCTGACACTTGATGATCATAAATTAACTAATTCTTTTAAAGAGCAATTAACACAGACATGGTCGAGTATTATTAGGTTAGATTCATCCGTGGAATCAATTAAATCGATATCTACCTATATCACCTATTCCCTATACAATACTGATTGTTCTACTACATGTGGTGAAATTGTATTACAAGTCTTGACTGATAATCTATGTGATCCAAAGACTTCCATTAAAACATTAAAGAAATTCTCACGGTCAATTACTATCCATTGGATTCTCCTATTATTGAAATTCAAGGATTCGCAGACCGTCGTTGACTGTGGGATTCGATTATTGACAAAGCTACTACGAATATTAGGTTCACCTATCATAAAACAATTCTTCATTACCAATCACGGATTAGATATCTTAACCCTGTTTATCAAACCCTGGTGGGACAATGACATAATCCTATGCACGATTTTCTTAGCTGCATTCGGGATTGATACGGAACCAGTAAGTGCCGAATATCCAACACGGAGTATTGATCTCCCGGCAGTCATAAAACGAAACATGTCGGAGTTGAATCTGTTAGTCATGCCTGAGTTCTTGATTTTATTAAATAATATGGTATTAAACTCAATGTATAACCTAAATCTTGAATCTGGAAGATTGTTAAGTAATCCTCCAAGTCCAATCCACCCCTCAGTATCAATGAAAAGAGACATGACTTTGTCTTTGAATGTATTGCATTTGGTGAATGAATATTTGGATTCGATAAGTATTGGATTTGAATCATGTAAGGCATTAAAGGTAAATTATCTATCCAAGGAATTTCTAGAAGGTATAGTTGAATTGTTGTCATATTTGCGACTTTCAGTAAAGTGGGATGATCACGATATTCAAGTGGCAATGAAGACTAGTTTTGATAAATTAATTAAAATCTTGACTGAGTTTTATATTTCAAATATATCGAATGATCATTTCTTAGGTGGGTTTGAAAATTTGAGTGATTTCACAAAGAAAGTATTGCTTGATCTTATCTTTCCCAAGATTTTCGAACATGTCAATGAATTTATTACGGTTTCGAAATTTGTGTTTAATGAAAAGGTGTTTTATACTAATACTATTAACTGTTTGCTATGTTATAATGATCAACTTTTAAAATTGAATTATTTTGTGAATGAAGCTGATTTGGATACATTTATTCTCTGTTCAATTTTAGTTATTGAAGCCGTGGCAAATGTCAAATATGCACAATTAGGAAGATTGAAAACTGCACTTGGCGAATGCATTCAGTTGAAGTTTTTGAAAATGACAGATTTTAATCTGTTAAGTTATGGTGGAGCTGGAAATTTAGAAAAATCTTTAAAAGTATTGCTTTACAGACAACTTGTGATTCTCCAGAAGGAAATTTTAAACAATGACGGATTAGCTAATGTTATCAAAATATTATTGGGGACAGTATTGACTTTGAATATGGAAAGAGAAGAAATTGGTTTAGATTTGCCTTTTAATTTCATCCGAACATGTTATTTAATGCGACAAGAAGATTTTTCGAATGGCATTATTTCCAAATTTACTAGTGATAAGATACTCCTTGAGGAGTTTTTCAATAATTTAGTATCCAAGAATGATGTGGAAACATTTGGAAGATTGGAGAAATATCCACCCTTTTCGAGAAGTTTAATCAAAGAATCTCATGTTGTTATCCAAAATAGTCTTCAAGCTGAACTGCAAAAGGTTATCGATATGATTTCAGTAGCTCTTCATAACGGCGGAACATTAGGAAATATGAATAGTATCTATATCAAAAGTTTTGAAAAAGATTGTGAGCTGCTAAAGTCGCTGACGATAAATGGAGAATTGCTTAAATTCAATCGAACAATTCAGGATAATCAAGAAAATGACCGGTTTTATATCTCGAGCTATCATTCATTGAAGATTGAAATTAGTCGATTATATGAAGAGGAAAAAGAGAACCATTACGTCGTGGATTACATTGAAAATTCAGACCGAATGAGACGTCGTTTGATTATGGAAGACCAGTTGCCAGAGTCCGAAAAATTGACATATAATCTAGATATCCCTTTGAAAAAGATTGACTTATTTGATAATGAACTTGAATACGACTTGCATGAATATGATTTCGCAATTGCTGCTAGAGGGATAGATACATTAAGCCTATCATCAAATGATACAACGTTTGAATATGATGGCGAAGATTCGTTTGAAGTTGTTGAAAGTAATAATTACGAACCTGCTGATCAAGATTTAGAAATTGGAAATATGTACGAGGATAAGAATAGAAAAGTTCTTCGGAGCCTTTTTGTTGGAGATCTGATTGTTACAATTTGGAATATTAGTCAAATTAATGGATTGGTGCCTGTTGAAAGCTTGATGATTTTGGGTACCCATCATTTATATTTAATTGAGAATTATTTCCATTATCAAGATGGAACTGTCATTGACGTCGAAGAAGCCCCGCCAGAGCTAAGAGATCCAGTATTACAATTAGTGAATTCACAGTCGAGCAGTCTTTTGAAAAATGACAGCAAATCGCACCGGAGAAAGAATTGGAGTTTAGATACTTTAAGTTGTATTTCCAAAAGACAGTTTTTATTACGAGATATTGCAATAGAGATGTTTTTCAGTGACGGTGCAAGCATTTTAATCACGTGTTTGACAACGAAGGAGAGAGATTCGATATATTCAAGGTTACAACAGTTTGCCACTGGAAAAGGAATAGACCATGATCTCACACAAGCGTTGCAAGCTTCATCATCGCTGCCTACTCTTTTAAGTCCAACCAGTCCATTAACAGGCACATCGTTTTTAACTTCAAAGATTGCCTCTGCATTCTCCCAGGCACAAACCTCTCCTGGTGGGTTTATTACAGCAACAAAGAAGTGGAAAATGGGGGAGTTGTCAAATTTCTACTATTTGATGATTATAAATACATTGGCAGGAAGAACGTTTAATGACTTGACTCAATATCCTGTATTCCCATGGGTTATCGCAGATTATACAAGTGAAACACTTGATTTGTCCAATCCTAAAACATTCCGAGATTTATCTAAACCAATGGGAGCACAGACTGAAATAAGGGCCAAACAATTTAGAGAAAGATTTGAAGCTTTAGATAGTTTACAGGATCCAGATGCCCCTGCATTCCATTATGGGACCCATTATTCATCAGCTATGATTGCATCATCATTCTTGATTAGGCTTAAACCATATGTCCAATCATATTTGTTATTGCAAGGCGGAAAATTTGATCATGCCGATCGATTATTTAATTCTGTGGAAAAAGCCTGGTATTCTTCGTCAAGGGATAATACCACTGATGTTAGAGAATTGACACCGGAATTTTTCTACCTCCCTGAATTCCTAGTAAATGCCAACCATTTTGAGTTTGGAAAATTACAGAATGGACAGTCGGTTAACGATGTAATACTTCCAATTTGGGCAAAAGGTGATCCGAAAATATTTATCGCTAAGAATAGAGAGGCACTAGAAAGTCCTTACGTATCCGCAAATTTGCATTTATGGATTGATTTAATATTCGGATACAAACAGAGTGGGCCTGAAGCTGTCAATGCTTTGAATGTGTTCCATCATTTATCTTATAATGGAGCTATTAATTTAGATAATATTAAGGATGAAATGGAGAAGAAGGCAGTTATAGGTATGATTAACAATTTTGGACAAACACCGACTAAAGTGTTTACGAAGCCTCACCCAAGAAAAGAGGTGCTCAACTTGCCAAATTACTACTTGACATTATTGGAGAATAATGCACTAACTGTTGTATTTGAATCGAAAATGAAATTACCCATTTATAAGTTAGAGATGAGCTCCAAAAATAATGGTAAATGGGTTGGACGACCCAGATGTGTTTCTTGTGAAGATGATTTATTGATTCGGAAAGCTCATAACTTCAAGTATGATAGCGGATCATTAATGATCAATCAAACTCCAGTTTTAAATATTCATCTGACCAACATTACTAATATTCTTCAAATTGGGCATCGCTTATTTTTGTCAGCCGCAGAAGATGGAATAATTAATGTTTGGAAATGTGAATTAAAACCACATACTTCATTATTGTTGCAAGCAATTTTACGGGGTCATTTATCTTCAGTGGTTCAACTTTGTTTCAGCAAGAGTTTCAAATCAGGTGTAAGTTTAGATCAAAATGGAGTGGTTATAATCTGGGATTTAGCTAGATTTAGATTTGTCAGAAAGATAGTTCCGCCAATTTCAGAAGCCAAAACTGCGCGGATCACAATATCCAATGACACAGGCAATTTTGCAACAATTCATCGCAAAGATGGTGTTACTATATTGAGGATTTATACAATAAATGGTGATTTGGTTGTTACGAAAACCTTTAATGATATTAAGCATGACATTGGAGTGATTGGATTTTCTTCCATAAATGATCCACGGGTAGATACAGGTAAAAGTCTGACTGTGAACCATCATATCTATTGGACAAACGAAATTTTTGCCATTGCCTTTGGGCAGTCTATTGAACTTTGGGAGCTAGTAGTGAATGAAAATGGTTGGGCTTTGAAGAGTCTTGGAGGTGTTGTGAATTTAGAAAATCGTATACATGGCAGCATTACTGCCTTTGAGTTGTTTAAATGTTCAGAAGTTGATGGTGATATTAAATTATCTAGAGGATCTTTGAAGTTAATCATTGGTGATTCTACAGGAACGGTGTATAGCTTATAGAGTTAGGTTAATAAAAGTTTTAAAGTTATTGATGTGCCATTAGTACGTAGATGTCGTAGGTGAATTTTCTTGAAGGATATAGCGGAATCCCATTGTCTGAGTAATTTGTAAGTAGTATAAATGACTCACCAATATACTTGGCATCGCCAAAATTTCCAATCTGGGAATCTTGCGCGTAAAGGCGGGTTCATAATCGGCACGCAACAAGCAGAGATGACTCAAAAAATTCATCAATACCTGGAGATGGGATGCTCTGTACCTTGTGGCTCTTCTTCCTTACCCAGTCATGCCAAAGGAAACAATAACCATTACCGAGATTGAGTTCTCCAACCTCAATGAGGTCGGTAGGTCGGCATTTCATAACGAGTCTTTAGATATCTCCGAGAATCCAACAACCACTGAGCAAAACATAAACGAAAACAATGAAACTTATCCAGAAGGAGGTCTTAAAGCCTATAGTGTCTTATTCGGATCATTCATAGGACTAGTTGCCAACTTCGGTGCAATTAACTCTATAGGTGCAATTCAGGCTTACATTGCTACTCATCAACTTGAGGGAATTAAAACGTCTACAGTCTCCTGGATTTTTTCGATTTTTTTGGCAGTGGCTTTAGGTAATACGATCTTTGTTGGTCCTTTCTTTGATCTTAAGGGAGCAACATGGCTTTTGGTTCTGGGTACAGTATTGGCTTTTGGAGGATTTATGGCAGTTGCTAACTCGACTACAGTGCCCCATTTCATTTTATCCTTTTCTTTTTGTGTAGGGTTGGGAGTTTCATTGAATACTCCACCATTGGTAGGTGTGTTGAGTCATTGGTTTAGTCTGAAACGAGGGGCAGCTATGGGCGTCGCCACTGTGGGAGGGTCGGTTGGTGGTATAGTTATTCCATTAATGCTACAATCACTATATGTTAAAGTTGGCTTTACGTGGGCTATTCGCTGTCTTGCATTCTTCTTTTTAGGGTGCATGATATGTTCCATCTCTCTTTGTCGAGAACGGTTCATTAGAAAACTTCAAACATATGAACAAACGCATAAGTATAAACAAATTTATTATCAAGTAGAAGAATTATTCGAATTCAAATCATTATTGGATCCAACATATTTCTTCTTAATGGCTGGTACCTTTGCTGCCGAGGTTTCCATTACGACATTGTTAACGTATCTTGCAACTTATGCCATGACCCAAGGGATGAAGGAATCTGACTCATATATTTTGCTTACGATTTTCAATGCTACAGGTGTTCCAGGTAGATTATTACCTGGTTATATATCAGACAAAGTTGGTCATTTCAATGTAATGAATATCATGTTATTGGGATTCACAGTATCTATTTTGATAATTTGGTTGCCGTTCGGATCAAAATTTGGAGCTTTGTATGCATTCGCTGCAGTTTGTGGATTCTTCAGTTCATCTATTTTCAGTTTAATCCCAGCTTGTGTGGCCGATATAACTCCAGTGAACAAGTTTGGTCAAAGATATGGATTATTGTACTTTTGTGTTAGTGTCGGAAATTTATTTGGAATTCCACTCAGTGGTGTCATTATTGGGAATGGCTCTAAACACCAATATAATATGTTTGTTGTTTATTGTGGGATTTTAGCCTTGGCTAGCACTGTGTGTTGGATAGTAAGCAGATACTACATTGTTGGAACTAGATTGAATGTCAAGATATAAAATCATTATTCAACGGTTATGGTCACAAGATATTAGAAAGCACGCCATAATTTCTAGAGTTGGTAATGCTGTTTAAGAAAATTTTCTTATATTACACCCCTTTCATACGGTTTATTATCTACTATTATATATTTACTAGAATCGATAAGTAATTACTCGATTTGAAAACTCTCTTACATATATCCGTAAGGTCGCTTAATATTTCCAAATCCGGGGAAATTAGCGCGAGGCATTTAAAGTTTTAGCGCCTGAATATTTTTCATGATCCCATTATTTTAACTATTTAATCAAGCAACAATTGAGGGAGGGTTTAACTTTAACTCTTGTTTCTCTTCTCTCAAAACCAAGCATGCGAAGGAAAAGTACAATAACGACAGAAGAAATCCAATTGACTAATCTCACCGAAACCAGAAGTCTTGAAAGACCACTCACCGCTTCTTCGATTGTCATATCCGAATTTCAACCCACTGTTAGCATCGAACCCGAAAATCAAGATGAAGCATTCCCAGATGGAGGATTTAAAGCATACAGCGTAGTCCTTGGATCTTTTATCGGACTAGTAGCTAATTTCGGAACATTAAATTCAATAGGTGCAATCCAAGCCTATGTCGCGACACATCAACTTGAGGGAGTTAAGACATCAACCATATCCTGGATCTTTTCAATCTATTTAGCGGTGTCATTTGCCAATACGATTTTCGTAGGTCCGTTTTTTGATGTCAAGGGAGCAACCTGGCCCCTTGTGCTAGGTACAATATTGGTATTTGGTGGATTCATGGCTGTTGCAAATTCCAAGACAGTTCCACAATTTATATTATCTTTATCTATCTGTGTTGGATTGGGAAACTCATTGAATATTGCTCCATTGGTAGGAGTATTGAGTCATTGGTTTAATGTGAAAAGAGGGGCTGCAATGGGTATAGCAACTGTCGGGGGATCTGTTGGCGGAATGGTCATTCCATTAATGTTGAAAGCATTATATGCGAAAGTTGGCTTTGTATGGGCTATTCGTTGTCTTGCATTCTTCTGTTTGGGTTGCATGTTATGTGCGATATTGCTTTGTCGAGAACGTGTTTCTCGGAAGTTGGAAAGATATGATCATGGACAAAGATATAAACAAATCTATTACCAATTTCAACAATTGTTTGAATTTAAATCATTACTTGATCCAAAGTATTCCTTTTTCATTGTCGGGATATTCGCTGTTGAAGTGTCTATGATGTCATTGTTAACATTCCTTGCAACTTATGCCATTGCTCAAGGAATGAAAGAATCCGATTCATATGTCTTACTTACTGTATTCAATGCCACTGGAATTCTCGGAAGATTATTACCGGGATACGTATCTGATAAACTCGGTCATTTTAACATTATGATCTTAATGCTTATTGGATTCAGTGCATCACTTTTGATAATCTGGTTACCATTTGGTTATAATTTCGGAGCCCTATATGCATTTTCAGCGATTTGTGGTTTTTTCAGTTCCTCAATATTGAGTCTTACCCCTGCTTGTTTGGCAGCCATAACGCCAGTAAGCAAATTTGGTCAACGGTATGGGTTAATGTACTTTTTCGTTAGTGCTGGGAACTTATTTGGGATTCCACTTAGTGCTGCAATTATCGGAGAAGGAAGCAAACATCTGTATGATATGTTTGCAGTTTATTGTGGAGTATTCGCAGTCGTAGGTACTTCGTGTTTGGTGGTTAGTAGATACTACATCGTCGGGCTTAGAATGAACGTAAAAATATAGATTAGTTTGTTTATTCGATATTTATTCTTAATATACACAGATTTCTTATCGCCTTTTTCTGGCACTACCTTCCTTTCCTCTACTTCCAGAAGCGGTGGCACCTCTGCTTGCAGGTGGTTGTGCTAATGGTGGTGTTGGAGACAAGGACGATGACTTCACAACCCGTTCGTTAGCAACCTCAGCTTGCATTTCTTTAAGTTGATCAGCAAAATCAGGATTAACCACTTGAAGAATATATGGAGCTACCAGAACAGCCACCATAACCGTGAATATAATAGTATATGTTCTATTCTTAAAAATGAATCCAAGTGGACTATTCAATACAATATCAAATATTGATCCACCTGCCTTTTCATAAAATTGCTTGGTTTCTCTATATTTCAAAACCAATGGAGTTTGTGAGACATCAACCTTAGATGATACATTGTAGGAATTTGAATGCAAATAATCCTCATAAGCCAATATCTTTTCATTTTCCACAATAATTCTATATCTGTTATTATATAATGCAAAATCATAAGAATTGACAACCAATTCATATTCACCATCAGATAAACCATCATACTTGAATGAATAGTGTTCATCTACCAATGCGGGTAAGCTTGTGAAATCATTGCTATCTTTATCCAAATTATATAAATCGACTTTTATTCTAGCTGGATAATTATAACCATTTACAACAATTTTATTATTGGAATGATAGGGTTCAATGATTTGTTTTGGAATATTTTCAATACGAGCTTTGAAACCAATTGCTAAACATGCAGTGGAGTATATGACAATTGATAATATAACGTTTAGTAAATGCATTGCTGTTGGAAATTGAATACGCTCTCTGATCAGCAATCCCTAATGATTATTTTACAACCAGAGTTTAAAATGATGAAATGAAACCAAGATAAAGTATTACCCGGACATTTCTCGTACATTTTTTTTTCTGTTGTAATAATTTGGTACGGTGATGATTCAGTATAAAAGTAATGAGAGATCGTTCAAGAATGAAAAATTTTCATTCTTTTTTATTCTAATTTTAACTTCTCTATTGTACCACGTATGTGTATTATTGTAGGGCAACAATTCAGCTCTTTTTGTTTTTATTAACAAGAGAATTCTTCCTACGGTTGTCGCTCTCTACAACACATACCAGAGTATACTAGTCAATTTGTTTTCTTTCGAGGAAATAAGTGGGTAGTCACGGAAATTACGGGCGTGGTTGACTAAAGAGAACTTGAAACTCAGTTTTAGGTAATCTTAATTGCAACTGGGCATTCTAGCCTCCAAACAAACTTTTAAATTAAAATTAAGTGGATATGTAGAAGTGGGAAATCAGCTTTGGAGTTCCTTTTGAGTTGATATACGTGTGATTGAAACTGTAATAAAGGATACCTATCCATATATACCAACTGGTTAGTACTACTCGGCAATCAGTTCCAATAAGGATAATGGTACTATATGAGGTTTACTCAATAACTTCGCATGCCCCTAAGATTACTCTATGACTCTCTCAAACTGAGAATTGACTATAATAAATGCATCATATATTAAGACTATTAATATTTACATATATTTCAAGTTCTCAGAGGTTTCAAACTCCTAGAACCCCATCTATCATAACAATACAACCCCACGGCAATCAACCCAAGTCCAAGAAATTGTTCAGTAGATATTTTCCCAAACCATTTCTCATTATCTCTCTGTCCATCCCCACCAGAGGTATGTCCAATCGCAAGCACGATACTCACGGCAATAATCAAGATTCTTTTCATCATAGATGCAACTGAATAGGATAATGCCGGTATCAGACCTAATAAATGAAATGATAACATGAATTGCATGAAATGAGATAAAGAATCTAAAAATATCAACACAAATATCGTGATAACTTCCGAAGTGGTATGGATTGTACCTTCTTTTGGCATTTCATTAGATAATTGAAGATATATCTTTGGCATTTCATTCATTATAAATGGAGGTAAAGAAAGTGCCGATCCCACAAGTGAACAATATAATACTATAGTTAATTTATCAGGTTTGGGGATTTTGTCAAGTTGGAATCTTTCAACAAGGTATGCAAATGGATTATTTACCATTGAATTATTATCATGAACTGTTTGGATATAGTTTACATTATTCAATGGTGAATAAGTATAATTCTCTCTTTTTTCATTCAAATTCAAATCTGAGGTCGAATATGGGAGATGAATAGATGGTCTCAGTCTGACGTATTGTTGTTTTGATTTTTTAGGGTTGAAATAACTTCCACCATTTGATTTCTCATCGAAATCCGTAACTAAGGGTGTACCCGGTCGAGTCAATTCTGTATTTAATACCAATGAGGCAGGATTATGAGCTGTTGAATCTGAGTTATCCCAACTTACTAATTGTTTACCATATACATTTTGAGCTGCGAATATGATTGTACTTACAAAACAGTAAACGATCCCAGTAATATGTTTTGTATCTAACCCAGTATTATTTTCATTTTCCAATAGATTCTTTTTGGAATTTGAAATTGAATCAGAAGTAATAATCAATATTACTCCTAATAATAAAGGTATAAGCGATAAATATGTGATTATGGGGAATATCACTTTATATACAGTTCTATAAGCTAAAACGATTAGCAAAGGAGATAATGCTTTGATACTAGATGTTGTAGATAATGGAATTAATGAAGTTGCATTTAATGAAAAGTATTTGCCAGCAAATTGAAATAAACCAAGTGGTAAGATTTTCAATAGTAATGCTATTTGAAATATTGGTCTTGAAGGATCAATAGGTACACTATCGTCCGGTAGCACATCTATTACTTGTGGAAACAATTGTGTAAATGATATGAATGTGAATGCTAAACATGCCCCAGTTAAGAATTGACATTGTGATAGGAATAATGGATAAGGGAATCTAGTTAATATTAGTTTTGTTAGTTGTGAAGTAATTGATGATACTGTATACCATAATAAACATGTAATTGTTGTTTTAATTGAAATTGGAGGTAGTAATGATTTAATTCGATTCATCTTTCTATAAGTTAAATTAATTATTATGATTTGACAACAATTTGGAGGATATGTTTATGATTTGACCTAATTGACTTTAAAAAGTATCTTGTAAGTTGATTTTACTAATATAGCGAATGACGTGTATGAGTTAAGTAATGGCTGTCTATTTTTGAAACTAAATGAAATCTATAAATAGGAATGGTTTCCGTTCCCTTGCTAATACTTGTTCTCTCAATCTCTCTTTCTGCGTGATGTTTATTGAAAATTTAATTCTTGAACAATGGAGGAAATGTTTAAAGGGGGCAGCAGAGGAATTGGAATTGTTATAAAAGGCTAAGAAACACAGACAGATGGAATTGATTGTTAATTGCAGGACAAACAAAGAAACATACAAAATAATTTTTTATTGCGTGTTACACAATTATTAAGTGCGCTTTCCTTGTTAATGTTTATTTTTACCTCAAATGAAATTTTGACTGCAAAAAAATTAATTGCTAAAATATTTATTAAACTATTTTATACACCTTTTAAAAGAACAGATAAATCATTCAATTACTTTGTATTCTCTTCTCTACGAATATAGATACAAAAGTTCTTTGGAAAATGAAATATAAAATTAAACTTTTTCGAGAAAATTTCGTTTAAATTCCGATTAAATACAAAAAGAGCACTGGTATTCCACACCGTGCACAAGTGAATCTACTAGCCTCACTTCGAGAATTGTTACACAGACTATTCATTATCGGCCAATTTGTTAGAGTCAAAATCTTTTGCAAAATTATATCCTTTATCATATGCCAGACCGGGATTATTCCACCCATTCACAAAATCAAAATCAGTCTTTACCCAATGAGCAAAAGGATAACTAGGTTGAGTCTTAATTGGAGTATCTTCCTTAATAATTCCCAATTCTATTTGTCTCTTAATCAAATAATCAAGATATTCTACAAGATGATCCCTCACAAATGGGAATTTCTTATATTCCAATATTTTCTCAGGACCTTCATACATGATTTTCTTAATTAATGAAGGTATCATTGGTTCATCCTTCATTTCTTCAAGTGAATAGTATATTGGGTGATTCGAGAATATAATCGCCTTAGTCTTTGGCAATCTTCTCAATGCTTGTCTTTCAATCCGAATTCCAAATTTGGTTGGATCAGTAGATTCCATGATTTCTTTGATATTGGGTTTGACTTTGGGATCTTGATTAAGATCACTCATTTTTAATTTATGATCCATTGTGATATTCCAACTTGCTCTTTCAACAGGTTCATTAACTTGTAATTTCCCAAACCATTTCTCCATCGAGTTTTGTAATTTTTCTTTATAATAAGGAACTTCCCCATGTATGATATCCAATGGTTTCCCCAATTTAGGAGCAACCTCGAATGATCCCCCTGGAAATGGAACTGCAGCTGCCACGAGATAATGTAAACCATCTTTAGGATTCTGTTGAACAATATAAAAATCTTCCTTTGCAAGTTTCGAAATATATACAAACGGATGTTCCTTAAGTGGCAATCTCATATCCAAAACTTCCAGAGTTACTTCATTTCTCACAATCTTCCCCCCTTCTCCTTCTCCCGCAGCATCTTCATTCAAAACAGTAAACAAGAAAGGATATCTAACACACATATGTTCAACCACAGTCTCCATCAACTCAAAACATGCATCATAACTCTCAGGCAACCAGTCATAACATTCCTTATCAAACTTCTTCCAAATCCGTTCCTTCTCTTCAAGATAATGCACATAATATTTATCCATATCCAACCAATGATTGATATCCAATTTAAAGATCGACATGGTTTGATGATATGGCCATCGAAATGGTCGCCATGGTCTGTCGTCATAATTCTTGACTTGGTCTGGTGTGATCATTAACGGGGTTGGTTTTGGTAATTCATTAGCTGTGGTATCTTTAGCATATGATGACTTCTCATTTGTGTTTATAATAGATGTGGAGGGTTTGGTAGTGTAGTAGTGAAGAATGAAAGCATTGAGTTGTTTATGGTAGATAAGCCCAATGACAACAATTCCTACTAGAACAATAAATGTCACCATTCTAGTAGTAATAATTTCCCTTCTATAGTATATGACAACAAGTTGAAACGAATGGAAGCAGGCAAAGTAGAGAGAATCAAGGCATATTTAAAAGCTTAGGAATACTAGCAGTGGGGTAGAATATTATCTATACTTGATATCCCTTTCCGCATTTTTCAGATAAAGGGGTTGGGGGTAACAATCTACAACAAAGATTCCAAAAAGAGGAAATATTCCCGACGATCATTATCGATTTTCTTTTGATAATGAAAAAGGGTATACTCTGAGACGATCTAGATACTAACTTGATTTGGTCTCTGACATGCTAAGGTTACTATAATCTTTAACGCTCAAAAGTGGGGGGAAGGGCCCTTTTGATTTCTGGATCAGACAAATTGTCTCTTCTTGCAACCTACTTTACTTCCTTTCAGCTCCATGTGCGTTCGCGAGAACCTTGACAAGGCACACCTCGAGTATTTCTGGGATCAGCGAGGGCAACATCCCAACGAGCCGATGGTTCTAGAAATCCACAATATGATGTGGTGAAATGCTACATCATAAGAGGAGAACACATATTTTTGCAGCAATTATACGAGGTCCACATTCAAGACTCTTTATCACCACAGTAGGCCCTACGACTACAAACTACGAATAGTAACAATCAAATCTTTTAAATCATTTCCCACGTTATATGTAAGCTTTTTTATATTATAAATTTTATATTAATAAAATACTAAGAAGATAATGATGCATGATACAAAAGTTTTAAACCAAAATTACAAGAAACAGAATAAACCCAAGTAATATAACTCAATCACAATCTTCTACCTCTTCTACCACCCTTTCTTCTAGTAGAATCAGATGGAACTGGGGTAACATCTTCAATTCTACCAATTCTTAAACCAGATCTGGCTAAAGCTCTTAAAGCAGATTGACCACCTGGACCTGGGGTCTTGGTCTTAGTACCACCAGTAGCTCTTAATTTGATGTGGACAGCAGTAATACCGACTTCTTTACATTTAGCGGCAACATCTTGAGCAGCCAACATGGCAGCGTATGGAGAGGATTCATCTCTATCAGCCTTGACTTTCATACCACCAGTGACTCTGGCAATGGTTTCCTTACCGGATAAATCAGTAACGTGGACGAAGGTATCGTTGAAAGAAGCAAAGATACGGGCGACACCGAAAACTTGGTTAGTATCTCTTTGACCTAAAATTATAAATGTTAGTAAAATTGATCCTGGGTATATGATCCGTATGTACTATTCTCAGATGAAATGCGATGGATTGGTTGATTAATTCATGAAATAGGAATGGTCTTCTTGACTTGGTCAATAATTTAAATCAACTTGGGTCGTTCCCTACTCGAAATGTGATGAGGTTCTAAAAATATTCAAATATTCAATATTCTTGTTGATTCGTGAAGTTAAACTATTCATTCTCATAATGATGCGATTCTTTCTTTCGAAATATGTGGTTGTTTTATTAGTTATTTTATTGATTATCAAACTCTTGTAGTTGAATTTCCGATGTTGGCTTCTTTTGACGTTAAATATTCCATTATCTTCTCTAGCGAGTAATCACATTATCCTCTCTCTTTTCCATATACATCTTCACCTGGTCTAGTACTCCTTGGGGGTATGTGGGTAGGTATAACATACCAGACATGTTTATTGATATTACTGTATACTATATTAGAAGAAAGTATTGAAATTTTATTTTCACTTTGAATGCTTTTTTTTCCTTCACTCTCTCACTGTCTCTGTGCGCTATACGCTAACAAACTGAACCTCATCAAAATTTTCAGAAGAGTTTTTTTCTCAGTAGTGAACTTTACATCCTTACTGCAATAATAAAACAAAGGATGTCAAACACAAAACTAAGTCACGTGGAAAATAACAAGGATTAGGGTTCAGCCCTAGTCCTCTTCTCAAACCTGCAAAAAAGACTACCATGTCAATCTCAGATATCAACGAACATAATTCAAAGAGGGTTTAAATGAATACTACAAACTATCAATATTAATTATTATCGTGAAAGTTTTTATTAAATATGCAATGTAAAATTAGGATATATATATATAACACATTTAGTAAACGAAACCCAAAATCTTACCAGAAACGTGCTTTCTTCTAGCTTCTTCATGGTCCATAATACCAGCAGAAGTGGTTAAGATAACGTAACCAAATTGTCTAGCTGGTAATAAGTTATCAGTCCATCTTTCAATATCGTTAATCTTGACGTTGAATCTTGGGGAGATAACACCACACTTGTTTAATCTACCGTTTAATTGAACAACAATTTTACCGGATCTGTGATCATCAATGTATTCGAATTCACCAATGTAACCATGCTTTTGCATAACGGTCAAGAATTTGATGATGACCTTGGAAGATGGTCTGATTAAAACTTGACGTTTACCGGTTTTTTCAGCGTTGTTGATGGCGTTTAAAGCATCAGCTAAGACGGAAGTTCTAGTCATTTTCGATTGTTGATGGAATAACCGTTCTTGAAAGAAAAGTTGATGATTGTTGAAAAATTAATTTTTTTTGGATGGTACACCTACTGGAGCTGCTAGTACGGCAAGGGGGGGCAGAATCAAAGGAGAAGAAGGAAATTTTTCATAAAAGCAGTCACATCGAGACTTTATTTTACATGTTAGGCATATAACATGTAAATATAGTTCTAATCTGTAATAATTGTTCAGGCTAAAATGTAAAAAATATCTTTTTTTTCTTTCAGTTTGTCTGCTACCAATTTTGCTCAGTGAAAAAAAAATCTGCTTCAAATTTTAAAGCAAAATTCTTTTCAAAGGTTTCTTTCTCCTAACTAAGCGTTCATTGAATATAATTAAAGATGCCTGTATGTACATATAACAATAATATACCGATGGGATCATATGGCGAATAGAAGGAAACAATATACAAACATGTCTATACATCCAACGTAGGTTATGAATATCAACAAGTTAGAACTCAACAACGGCCATCTTCAGGCAACCACCTTGCAAGCAAATATTGGGAAAGCTACATCAGTGTATAAATTAAGTACGATGGAAAGTAGTACAAGTATAGCGTATTACACGATCCAACTATTCCCAATATAAACAAACAGCACTCGCACTCATCAGATTTCAATATTTTACAAAGAACAAAGTACTAACTAATCTCATTTTATAGTCTCAAAAATCTTTCAGAACCAAGCAAAAGTTAGCTAAGGCTCAAAAGCAAAACAGACCATTACCACAATGGATCAGATTAAGAACTGACAACAAGATCAGATACAATGCTAAGAGAAGACATTGGAGAAGAACTAAGTTGGGTATCTAAGCTATTTTGGGTTTCTTATTCTACAAAATTATTTAAGATAAAGCTTTGTTGAGGTGGAATAATATATATTTTATACATAAGTTGGTTAATCACAAGAAAATGATATATATGTATCTCCCCTCTGTTGTATAAAAATAATGGGTTAATACGATTTTCTTTATAGCATTTTAATATATTACTATACTCAATTGAAGAATCAAGGTATACATGTTATGAAAGAATAGTGGACGAACAATGTAGAACATAGAAATGGAGACTACGCAGTTTGGGGTTTGCCTGAATCACCTTGGGACGAGCTACCAACATGCAGAGACATACTCTAAATTTGAGAGAACAAGTTCAAGTATTTCATTACTAAACTTTCGTATAAACTACAATACTCTACACAGGTGAATTAAATATTTGCTTTTTGGATTACTGCATTAATTATTCTATAAGCGCTCCTTTTCTCGCTCTGATATTTCCTCCCACTGTTGATATTTCCATGTATCTTCCTTAAACTTCTTCTTCAAATACAGTTTCAATTGGTTTTTCCATCAAAGCAGCATGAGAACCAACACAAACAGCACTGGAACCAATTAACCACATCATAGTGGAAATAGGACTTGCCAAGAATCCCAAAGGAATAGCAACAATTAGTAAACCAGTATATAATTGACTAGTATTATATCTACCAAAAGGAGTAGTTAATTCTTCCCCATTTAATCTATTAATACCATAAATCCCACCAATAACAAAACAAGTAACAAATAATAATAAGAAATTGGTAATAAGAGCATAAACACTTAATATTGATACAATAGCAATATAATTTGCTGAAAAATAACCTAAATTAAATCCAACTCTATTTTGAATTTCACCAAAATTGGCAGGTTTTGAGATTCTTCTAAAATCAAAGAATTCTTGTGGAGGTCTGAGTTTGGCAATAGTACCATGAACTGAATTGAAATCACTTCTGATTCTATCTAAATTGAATCTATCCGAAACATTGGCAAATTGCTAAAAAGAAACTGTTAGTACTTCACTCTTCTCTCAAATCTAAAAGTGTCACATGGGAGTCAGTAGGATGGTTGGAGATACATACAGATAAGCTTAAGTATTGAGCCATGGTTATTGATATTATTATTGGACGGTGGTGGTTGATGAAAAGTAGGAGAAATGTAGTGTCTGATATATTTAAATATAGATTTTTAAAACCTGTAATATTGGCTTTAAATAAAATGTAACGTGAAACAGACAGACAGACAGAAAAAAAAAGAAATCAAAATTTAAACAAATTATTACGTGTCTGTCTGATTATTTTTTGGTTTAAACACACAGCCTTTTCTATTCGTGGCTCACAATTGGAAATATAAAGAACAATGGCAGCCAAACCAATACTTCCTTCTAAACTGTTTCAATAGAAACTGTTAATCAGATGTTAATCGGTTGCAGTAACAATAGAAAATTCGTTAGTATAATGATAAACTGTAAACACACACACACACGATTTGTTGCCACTCCGTCACAGTCTTTCTTTTTTTTGAGTATGTTACGGATTTTGCAGTAGAGAATGGTTGCAAATAAGGAACACAAGGTGGCAAAATTTAGCTATTGCTATTTTTAACTCTCTCCCCTCTAACGGTAGTCATGTAAGTGGATTACATAGCCTGGGAAAGGCATGGATATCTCGCTACTTTATTCTCCTATCTGGTTAGAGTTTCTCCATTTCATTAGAACGTGCAATTCTTCTTCTGAGTAGACATGGATTGTGCAAGAATAGGCAAATGAAAGAGGGATCTAAAATGCAATAAATAAGCTTTTTTTCATATATTAATCCTATAAATTACAACATCTCATAAAGCCAGTCTCTATAAATTCAAATCTTTCTTAACCATAGCTCTACAAATTGGATGATAACTCATTTCAAATTTCTTAAAATAATAAATTGCCAATTCACGATCAACTTGATTCAATAATGCATAACCAGGTCTAACAAATTTCATTCTTCCAACAGTACCTAACCATTCTCCCAATTTAGTTTTAAATTCTGGACGTTCACCACTTACTTGTAAATAATACCATCTGAATAATATTTCTGCATTAAGAGTTTGATTATATTCTTTATAAGTAGATTCCATCAATTTTAATAAATCTTGATTTTGGTTCCAATTGAATGATTCTACTTTTCCATAGGAGATTAATGTATCTAAGAATATAACTGATTGATTAGCATTAAATTCAGAAATATCATCTTCGGAGAATGTATTTGGTGGGACTTGTTTACCTCCAGTATAACCATACCATTTCCCAGCTAAATGATAACATTTATCTGCGATAGTAGTATCGAATTTTGGATCAACAGGTGGCATTCCTGGTTGATATAACCATTTATCCCAATCGATAGAATCCAATTCTTGGGTTTTATCTTTGAAGAAATCATATAAGGTATCAATGAATTGATAAGTATCCAATGAAATATATCTATATGTTTTAAAATAATATGGAATAAATTTATCAAATACTTTCTTACCTCCAACTTTCTTTTCAATATGGAATAATAAATTAAACCCCTTTTCATAAGGAACAGTTGAAAATGCATCATCTGGATCTTCACCCTTTTTCAAATCTTGAATCAATGTTGAATATTTATCAACATCGTCTCCCATTGATTTAAGATTATTTTCCAAATCATTCCAACCAATAATCGCATTAAATTGTCTTACACTCTCCCCATATTCTTCAGGATTTTCCCATCCTTTATCCCTAGCTTCCGCAATTGCGATCCCTTCAAGAATTCTTCTTTCTAAATATACAGTCCATCCTTCATTCAACCAAAAATGTTCCCAAGAACAATTAGTCACCAAATTCCCGGACCAAGAATGAGCCAATTCATGAGCAACAACACTAACTTGTGACCGATCTTTACAAATCAAAGTTGGTGTCAATTGACATAAATTAGGAATTTCCATCCCTCCATAGGGGAAACTTGAAGGTAAGATCAATGAATCAAATCTTAACCATTCATAATCAAAAATCAATTTCTCAGCAATTTGAATGAAATTTTCCATATCATGTTCGAATTCCCATTGACATGCTTTGATCTTACATGGCTCTGAATAAACATCGGATCTGGGACCCACGGGGGCATTGACCAAGTCTCCTGAAGCGATGGAGATGAGATATGATGGGATTGGTACTGGTTGGGTGAAATTATATAAATTGTCTTGGGTTTTTGGTAATGGACGTCCAGACATTAAGGTAGGTAATGGGGATTTCGCTGATAGGGTATAGGTTGATTTGAGTGCTGGGGTATCGAAACAAGGGAATAAACTTCTAGCATGGATGGCTTGACATTGACAAAAGAGATATGGAGCTTTTTTACCATCAGTAGCTTCTTTATCTAAGAATTGTAAAGCGGTACATTTTTCAGTAGTTTGGAAATCAATAGATAATTTGAATGAGGAAGGGACAGTTGTTGGAATTGGAATTGATAATTTGGAACCTAATGGTTCTTGACGTTTATGTAATTGAAAATCTTTAATTTCAATAGAATCAATGATAATTTTATTAATGGTAAGATATGAAGTATCTAATTCAATTGTATTAATTTGAGATGATTTCTTAATTAAATCATATTCAGCTGAACCAATTACAATCTTTTTATCAAATGAAATATCAAAATGTAATTTAGTATTATTAATTGAAAATTGAGTATAATTTGATAAAGTTGAAGGATCAATCTCAGGTGATTGAGTTGGACGATGAGATTTAATAACTTCCATTGCTGTTGTTCTTGATATAAGATTAGATGGTGAGGTATAGAAACGTCTTCTTGTTTCTGGTTTTATAAAGTTAAAAAGTGGATTATATAATAGTTTTATATTAATTATAAATCTTGTTAGAATGCCGTGATGCCTTATCATCATTTTAGTGTTACTAAAATAATATTTTTATTTGTTAAAGAAAATTGATGCCATTTGATTATATGGAGAACTTAGAGGATTATGAATTTTTATAATTGACTTAACTAAAATATTATTGACAGCAGTTTATATGGAATGATTTACGAGATATAAGCAAAAGAGATGAACTGGAACTGGTTTGTCTAACAAAGTATAAACAATTAAGACCATGAAGAACACTGTCCCGTTTGTGAGAGAAAAGAGAATATCTACTGGTTGATTTTCTTAAAAGAAAGAGAGATGATTCTATTAATAGGCAATTGTTCATTCATCACAAATCATACACTCTTCTGTAACATAAACTCGTAGTAGCTACTTCTCTTTTACCGTGTAATTGCAATTAGATCACAAGAGTTATCACTTGGCGGGAGAAGAAGTATTGAGTGTATGCTGTTTATCCAATCAAAGCAGTAGAAAAAATAATACTACGAGTCCAACAGCCAAAAAACTTAAACACTGAAAAATTCATTCTACTATTTCTTATTTCTCCCCCATTAATTAAAACACTAACAAAGTAAAAATATGGCACACAATCCTTGGGCTAAAAGAGACGCATGGAGATTTGAAGGACAATTCACTCGTGCTAACCGTTTCAAAGGATCATTACCAGGTTTTGGTACTGCTGTAGTTGCATTTGCTGCTTATTGTGTTTATGAAAAAATGTTCTTAAAGAAAGATCATCATGATGAACATCATTAATAACTTAAGATAGTATTTATTCAAAGGTGATAAAGAGAGAGATAGAGAGACAGAGAGAGAGTCAGAGACAGAAACGCATCGGGTATAGTTTGTTGCGATTGTTGTTTATTTTGTATATTTATAGGTTTTTAATTTGGCATTAATACATTTTCATTTGTTTTATATTGTGTATGTTGATATTAACTTTCTATTTACATGAAGAGGAAGAAAGGTTGAAATTATTTACTTTCAGGCTTTTTTGGTGCATTTTCTAATGGAGTACCTTCAACAAAGGAACTTCCTAATACTGCTTCAAACATAGAAGCAGGTTTATCTTCTTCAACCATACTACCACGAGGAGCATTAGTTGAAGACATACCAGCTTCCACAGCATCAGTCTCCTTCTTAGCAACTACAGCCCATCTATCAATAGCTTCTTGTTCATGTTTAAGACCGGCATCCATAACTGAATTAACATGTATACCACCATACATGGTAGATTCTTCTCTTGCAACATGACTTTCCATTTCTTCTCGCATTCTTAATTTATAATATTCAAATCTTGCTTTATCATAAGCATCAAATAAACTATATTTATTTCCATCCTTATCAACTTCATTCTTTAAAATATATAAAGTTCTTTGAACAACACATTCTCCATCCAATGGTTGTCCCAATTGTAACAAACGCGACCAATTACCATTATTATTCATTCTTCCGTTTTCAATTAAAGTCTTTGGACGTGCCAATTCCCAAGGATGATGATGATAAAATACATCTCTTAATTGATCTTCTAAAAACTCTAATTTTGGAACACGATGAGTATATTTATGTTTATTAGACCTTTCCGGACGAGTAACTCTGGTTTTAAAACTACCTGTCTTAGGATTAATAGCATCATTTTCTAACATAGTTGCAGGATCCACATATTCGGTTTTATCAGTGAATTTACGAGGAACCTTGGTGAGATTGATTTCTGGTGGATGTTTAGCAACAACATCTATCCAACATGGGTTTTCTTTATAAACTCTCTTTTTGACAAAATGTGAAGCAAATTCAACAACACGACCTGGCTTTGTTTGGAACTTCATCCTGCTTTGCTTCCTTTACTTTCCAATGTTGACTTTTCTACTTCAACGTTTGGTGGTTTAACAAATTGAAAAATTTTTCTTAAAGGTTTTGGCGCAACTAGTGGTCAAGAAAAAATATATTTTTCAATAAGACTATCTCTCTAGACAGAGATGCCTTTGGAAACCTTCATTGGCCAAAGAAGTGTTTAAGAAATATATATATATAAAGTGGAGAGAATGGAATATGAACATTATACGGAGATATAGCACAAGAATAATTCAATCTCCCATAAAATTTCTGCCATCTTTAAATGTTGCCATTGAAAGTTTTATAGATCGAGTGAAATTTGAACAATCTAAAAGTTGTGGGCCAGTATTGAAAGCTATTGATTTATTAGTAGATACTCATTATGACGTTCTTATTAAGAGGTTAGGACTTAAAGATATTTCCAATCCTTATGATACACGACAGGCAATATATGACAAGTTGTCAAAGTATCAAATACTGAATACTATAGAACAAGAAGTTTTGGCCCGTCGTCATGAATTACAACAACAGAATAAGAATACATTGACAATAAGTAAGAAATATCAACGATTCATAAAGGAATTATATTCCCCTAATAAACCTTCTCGATTTCTATTTGAATCCGAATCAAAAGATTTCGATATTGTCAAGAATGCTCAAAAGTTTACTCATCACCATCAATTACGATTATACCAAAGCTATATGCAACTACCGTCTCCAGCACCATTATATATGACAGCCGAAGATTTAAACACACTAATTGAAAAGTTTGTAATGAATGTCCAAATCCATATGCCCCATCTGGTTTTGCGAGGGGCACTTTCGCAACAAAATCCAGAAATTGGGGCTGGATACCTCGCAAATAAGTTGCGTGATCGACAAGAATATGTATCGATGTGTTCTAAGATCTTACAGGATATCAAATCGGCGGGATTACCATTAACAGAAAATGAACAAATTAGATTTGCCTTGTTGTCATTTTATCGAGATAATAAGCGAGTTTCTGATTTTTATGAAAAATATCGAAATGAAAATGATCCCGAGTATCCAAAGTTCAATTTTGAAATTTATAAAGAATTAGTCAATTCATTACCACGACATCCCAAATCGGGCGATTTTAATAAGCATGCATTTGGGGTATTAATGTTTCATGCGATTAGACATGATCAATGGGAAATTATTCAAGATTTATTGAAAACTAATCCAGGTTCAACCGATATTTTATGTGATGATGACACTCGTCATAAAATTTCCTTACGTACTGGTCTGATGTTATTAGAATATTTTGAAGTCAATATTGATCGACCAGGTAATGTGGAATATTTAGCTAGGGTTTTGGATTATATTACCCAAGGATATAGATTCATAAATCATGCATTGGTGAATCGGGTGATTACAATGTTAATAAATACGGGGAAAATGGAATATGCAGAACGACTACTCAAAGAAGCATATTTCTCACCTAATCAACTTGAACAACAACAACAACAAGAACAGGAAAACCAATATAGTATCGAAAGTCCTGAAGAAAAAGTAGCTAGACAATTAAGTAAAGAAGATAGAAATCTTGATACGGAATGGAATATAATTTATCGAAATTTAAAACTTATAACTCAAGATACTACCGTGTTTTATAATTTGTCAGTCACTTCAAGAACATTCTATAATTTAATCGAACACTATTGTAATCAAAAAGATACTTCATTTTCACGATTAAAACTCATGCTCAAAATCATCACCGATCATGCCAAACTCCCCATTTATACCAATATATATCAACTAATCTACGATGGATTTATCCTCCGTTCAAACGATCCCGATATTTCCGATTGGACAATCCAGGATCTATTAGAATTAACAACTCAATTAATCGGAGAAAGTGAATCCTCAGCTCAGACTATGGAAGATACTCAAAAAACAATTACCCAACTCCTCCATGCTGGCCGAGTGTCCATGCGTGAATTTAATGATGTTTTACGAAGCTCATTACAAGAACAAGAGAAGAACAAACGGAAAGAAAAGACACGAGTACCTATTAGACATCTGATGATGTTGACTATTTTTCAAGCATTTGAGAATACGATTTGGAGATATTTACAAACAACTGGTGATAATAGATATAAAGAGATTTTGAATATGGTGGAAGGACATCAGCATGAATATTTAAGGGCAGTAGATTTTTGGACGGTAGAGGACCGAAGAAACCCGTATGTACGGGAAAGACTGACTGCCACGAGACGGGTTTATTTGCTTGAGTTGGTTCAAATGGTTTCACAGGCTTTAGACGGGGGAAGACGAACTATCCCTGGTTCAGCTGAATGAGAAGAATAGATGTACTTGGAAACACACTTGCATTGTAGATTTTATTAAAAGTACATAATACTTTATAGATTTAAGAGTCATGTATATAGAAAGACAGGCGGGAATGCATATTTATTTATTTATTTATTTGGTTATATCATAGGAGATATCCTAGATGGGGTTGAACACAAAGTATAAACTCCATATCTGTCTCGATCTGGCAAGAGTAATTTTGTTTAAAGCACTAGAGCATATCGATCAGAATCTTAGATCAAAATTGCACGAACGGTGCGAATAATACAAGGCTTTGAGGATATGTAAGTGATTCAAATAAATGTCTCAAATAGTGTTCAATTGATACAACTATTGGAAATATTTCATTTTGATACGATGGACGTGTCGTTTTGAAGAGGCATTGATACACAAGGCTGATTATGTAAATCTCTAAACGAGGTATGCAGAGAACACTATACTTCTATAGAGCTAGCCTTGCGATTATCAAAAAAGAAAAATGACAAGCAATCATTGCAAATGTTTAATAGATTGATTTGAGAGATTTATTAGTTAGAGTTGTAACTATTGTAACATCCTAGTTGTTATTATTCTTATATTTAATTGCTGGCGAGGCTAAACTGAAATTTTTAAAAAAAGTGAAATTCTCCTTTCTCATTATTATGATTGAACAATTGTAGAATTGTAATTTGTAATAATTCCTTTAATTTTAGGGGAAATAAAATTATAAGCAACGCAAACGGATAAATTAAAAAAATTCATACATTGAGTTTCTCTTATAAATAAATAAATTTCTTTGGTGTTGTTGTCAAAAAAATATTTATTATTAACTTTTAAATTTTATATCAAAAGCATTCAAATTGCAATTGAGTTTTTAAATTGTTACAGTATTAAGTAGATATCTACAATGGCTGCTACTCAAAATCCACCTGATGCGGCAAAGTCAACTGATGTATGTATTTCTTGATTGAGTTTCATATCCCCATATTTCCAGAAGACCTTCGCTTAAGAAAAATAATATGCATGGAAGAGAAGGAGTAATTTTAGCAACTTTTACTAACAATTGTCCAATTCTAGCCAAATGAACTTATTAAGGCTCCAGAACAAATAGAAATTGAACAAGTACCATCAACTGATAAAGCAATTGGTCAAGTTCAACCTTCAGAAAAGAAAGTAAATCCAATAATTGAGCCAAGAAAAGATGTATCTGCCCTTTCATCATTTATCGGTCTGAGAGAATCCCTTAAAAAAAATAATACCGCTAAAAGTAATGTTTCATTAGTTAACCTTACACCTAGTGAAGATTTAGATCTTAGTAATATCAAAACTAAACCCCCTTCTAGAAAACCAGTTGATGTCACTTTTAGAGGTTGGAAAGAAGTTGGTAGATATGAAGAAGAAGATAAATTGACCGAAGAAGATGAATTGGTTGATTTATTATCTAAAACCTCTATATTTGATAATTATATCCCACCGGCAGCAATTGGAGATTGGTATCATAATGTTGGATATTTAATTGGAGGTGCATTAATCTCGTGGTTAATTGGATGGTTTGGCTTTTCTGCTGCTCCATTATTCTTTGTCATGGTTGTATTTTCCTTGTTATATCGTGCCTCAGTTAAGAAATATAGAGCATTATTAAGAGAAGAAGCTCAAAGAGAATTCTCAGTCAAAAGAATTGAAAGTGATTATGAAACAATGGATTGGTCTAATTTATTTTTGGAAAAATTTTGGTTTTATTTAGAACCTTCAATTTCTCAAATTGTTTGTGAAAATGTTAATCCAATATTAGCATCATCTCCAGCACCAGCATTTATTCAAAAATTATGGATTGATAGTTTTACATTAGGTACTAAACCACCTCGGGTTGAAAGAGTCAAGACTATGCAAGGTACTCCTGATGATGTCGTAGTTATGGATTGGGAATTTTCTTTCACCCCTAATACTATAACTGATTCTAGTACCAAACAAATTAGAAATAACATTAATCAGAAAGCAACAATCAAGATAACTGTATTTGGAATAACCATCCCAATAGCAGTATGTGATGTTGCATTCCGTGGGTATGCCAGAATTAGAATGAGAATGATGACATCTTTCCCTCATATTGAAACGGTTAATGTATCAATGTTAGAACCTCCACAATTTGATTTCAATTCTAAGATTTTAGGAGATATGCCTTGGTATTGGGAAGTATTATGTATACCTGGATTATACCCGTTTATTAATGAAATGGTTAAGAAATATGTTGGTTCCATGTTATACCATCCACTTTCTTTCCAATTGAACGTTCAACAATTATTATCGGGTTATTCTTTAGATTCGGCTATTGGTGTCTTGGCAATTACTGCAGATTCGGCCAGGGGGTTAAAGGGTTTCAGTACTATTGGAAACACTTTAGATCCATACTTGACATTTGGTTATAAAGATAAAGTATTGGCCAAAACTAAAGTTATTGATGATACTAGTGAACCAGTATGGAAAGAAACGGTATATATTCCAGTTTCATCATTGTCAGAACCTTTGAATATTTCCGTTATTGACTTCAATGATTTTAGAAAAGATAGAACGGTTGGGGTTATTCAATTCGATGTGGAACAATTATTAGATCAACCTAAACAACCAAGCTTGACCTGTCCATTCTTGAGAAATAATAAACCAGTTGGTGAATTGAAATTTGGTGCTGTTTACATGCCAACAATTGAACCTATCAAACAAGCAGATGGATCATTCACTCCACCACCTGATTTAAACACCGGTATTGCCAGAATTGAAATTGTGGAAGCAAGACATTTGAAAGGTGGTGATAAAGGTGCTAGTTCATATGCACAATTGAAAGTCAATGCTGAAACAGTTTTAACCACTAGTACTCAAAAGAATACAAATACACCAGGTTGGGGTTCATCAACTGAACAAATTATCTTTGATCGTGCCAAAACTAGAATCAAAGTCAATATTAAAGACAATAATGATAATTATTTAGGACAAGTTAGTACCAACTTAAACTCTTTAATTGACGCTACCCAAGTTGAACATACATGGTTCCCATTAGCAAAAGGTGGAGAAGTTAGAATTACTGCAACTTGGAAACCAGTGGCTTTGGAAGGTGCAAGTGGATCAGGAGGATATACTCCACCAATTGGAGCTGTTCGTATTTCTGTCAAACATGCGGAAGATTTACGTAATTTAGAAGCGATTGGTAAAGTAGATCCATATGTTCGTTTATTAGTTAATGGATTTGAACGTGCTAGGACAATTGGATTTGATTCGACTTTAAATCCAGTATATAATGAAATTCATTATGTGACTGTTTCATCACCAAATCAGAAATTAACTATTGAAGTTATGGATTATGAACCTAGATCACAAGATAGAACTCTTGGGTCATTTGATGTTACTTTGACTGATATTATTCAAAAGGATGAAACTGGGAAATATATTGAATATATTGATGAGAAGGATAGAACTAATAAATTGATTCATAAGAAGGGTCCAAAGGGGTCAGTTACTTATTCACTTTCATTTTATCCTGCATTACCGGTTATGTCATTACAAGATATTAAGGATGAAGAAGAAGAGAAGAAAAAGGAAGAAGAAGAAAGAAAGAAACAAGAAGCTGGATCAAAGGCAAACAGTAAGGCAGATCTCAATAAGGATGAACAGATTAAGAATGATACTGAAACCCTTAGTAGTAGTATTGTTGATGATGATGAAGAAGAAGGAAGTGAGTCTCAAAAATTGAAATTATCTCTTGAAGAATTAATTGAATATAGAAGTGGTATTTTCATCTATGAAATAATTGATGGTACACTTAGTAAAGATGATGTTTATCTTCAAGCATTTTTTGATAATTACGGATATCCAAATTTCACCAGTTGGGAAATCAAAAAGAAAAAGACCAAGATTGGATTAACTGGAGATGTAGTTATCAAAGAATTAGATTGGTCCAAAGCAAATTTCCGTATTTCCAAAAGAAAGGACGACAATCGCGCTACAAAAGCAGTTGCAGAAACTACAATCCCTACTTTACAACTCTTGAAAAATTGTTATTATAAACCATCACAATTGAAACTCGCCGGTGCAGGTGATGCAAATTTCACCATCCAATGTTCTTGGATCCCATTAATTTATGAATCAGGAATCCCACCCCAAGATTCAATTAATAATGCCGGTATGCTCACCGTAGAAGTTATACGTGCGGAAGGACTCCCTGCTGCCGATAGCAATGGTAAATCCGACCCATTTATGCAAGTCTATCTCAATAATGACAAGGAAGAATTCTTAAAGACCAAAAAAATCAAAAAGACACTTGATCCAGTCTGGAATGAATCAGGTACAACTGAAGTCGCCAATAAATTCGATTCAGTACTTAGATTAGTATGTTATGATTGGGATCTTGCAGAACTGAATGATTTATTAGGAATTGGGGAAGTTGCTTTGAAAGATTATGATACTCGTCAAGGTACTCAAGAGGCTGAAGTTGATTTATTTGGTGAAAATGGTGAAAAATCGGGTAAAGCATATATCAAACTTTCATTCAAACCTGCATTTGTCATGACTGTTAAGCCAAGAGGTACTACCTCTATTGGGTTAAGTGCTGTTGGTAATGTTGGAAGAGGGGTAGGAAAAGGTGTTGGAACAGTTGGAAAGGGTGTAGGGACAGTTGGTAAGGGGGTAGGAACTGGTATTAGAGGACTTAGGAGAGGTCTTGGTTTAGGTGGTGGTTCCGATAAGGATTGATTTTATAGGAATGTTTATTGATTTTATAGGATAGTTTATTGATTTTATAAATTGTATATGTACTTTACTAATTAATTACAAGGCTATCAAATTTTTGACAATATAGATCACGTGACTGAAATTTGAATTTTGTGATTCTAAAATTGTAGCAGTGAAAAAGAGATGAGCATTGAACTGAAAATGAAAAAAAAAAAAATTGCATCCTTAATTTTCAATTGGTTGTAAAAAACTTTATCTGACTAAATAGCAAAGACAACAATCACAGATACACAATGGACATCTCTAAACCAGTTGGTTCAGAAATCAAGTCTGTTGATTTTGGTGTTTTGTCTGATAATGAAATTAAAAGATTGTCAGCTAAACAAATCACCAATCCAACAGTCTTTGATAATTTAGGTCATCCAATAAATTCAGGTCTTTATGATTTAGCATTGGGTGCTTTCTTAAGAAATGTATGTACTACTTGTGGATTAGATGAAAAGTTTTGTCCTGGTCATATGGGTCATATCGAATTACCTGTTCCTGTTTATAATCCGTTATTTTTCAATCAATTGTATATCTTATTAAGATCTTCATGTTTATATTGTCATAAATTCAAATTGAATGAATTGGAAGTTCATAACTATAAATGTAAATTACGTTTGATTCAATATGGTTTATTATTAGAATGTGTTGAGTTGGATAATATGTTAGCTCAAACTGGTGCTAGTTCTACTGATAATGACGATGTGGAAGATGATGATAATGAAGGCACTTCCATTGACAATAAAAGTAGAAAAGAATTAATGGAACGTCGTGAATTATTTGTTAGTACTGCCATTGCTAAAGCTCTTAGTGAAGGAAGAACCAGTGAAAGAGGTGTCATTACTGCTACTGTCGGTGAAGAAAGAAAAGCAACCATTCATGATTTCTACAAAAGATTGTTGAGCAGACCAAAGTGTGATAACTGTGGGATGTATTCTCCATCATTCAGAAAGGATGGTTTCACCAAGATCTTTGAAAACTCTTTGACTGATAAGCAAATTACCAATAATCGTGTCAAAGGTTTACAACGTCCTGATATGATTAAAAACACTAAGGGATCTACTCAAACTTCTGCTACTGAAAATATTCCAAATTTAAAGCATAAAGCTGGTTCAAAGTATGTCTTATCTTCTGAAATTAGAAATATTATGAGAGCTGTTTTTGAAAACGAACAGCCAATCATTCAAAAAGTCTTCCATTCAAGACCTTATCAACGTGAAATTGTTAGAGGAGATATCTTCTTCAGACAAGCATTATTAGTCCCACCAACTAGATTTAGATTACCTTCTAAATTAGGTGATGAAATTCATGAAAATGCTCAAAATGAATTATTATCAAACATTTTAAAGACATCTCTTTTAATCAGGGAATTAAATGATCAAATTTCAGGCATGTACAAAGATAAAATAAGTGGAGAGAACAAAAAGATCGTTTTCAACAGATTAATGAATTCTTTTGTCACCATCCAAAACGATGTCAATGCATTTATTGATTCTACTAAGAATCAAAACGCACCAGCAGGTAAAGCTCCAAACCCAGGTATCAAGCAAGCATTAGAAAAGAAGGAAGGTTTATTCAGAAAACATATGATGGGTAAGAGAGTCAATTATGCTGCTCGTTCGGTCATTTCTCCAGATCCTAATTTGGAAACTAATGAAATTGGTGTTCCACCAGTTTTTGCAAAGAAATTAACATATCCTGAACCAGTTACTCCTCATAATGCAGCTGAATTAAGACAAGCAGTTACCAATGGTCCAGATAAATGGCCAGGTGCAGTTCAAGTTCAAAATGAAGATGGATCATTAGTATCCTTAATCGGGATGAGTTTGGAACAACGTAAAGCTATTGCTAATCAATTATTAACCCCTTCAAATGGTGCTTCAGTTGTCAACAAGAAAGTTTATAGACATATCAAGAACAATGATGTTGTGATTATGAATCGTCAACCTACTTTGCATAAAGCTTCTATGATGGGTCATAAAGTTAGAGTTTTACCAGGTGAAAAGACGTTAAGATTACATTATGCTAATACTGGTGCTTATAATGCCGATTTCGATGGTGATGAAATGAATATGCATTTCCCTCAAAATGAAAATGCAAAGGCTGAAGCTTTGAATTTGGCTAATACTGATAATCAATATTTAACTCCAACTTCAGGATCTCCATTAAGAGGGTTGATTCAAGATCATATTTCCGCTGGTGTTTGGTTAACTAGTAAAGACACTTTCTTCACCAGAGAGATGTATCAACAATTGATTTATGGATGTATTAGACCAGAAGATGGACATACTACCAGAAGTAAAATTATCACTGTTCCTCCAACTATCTTCAAGCCTGAACCATTATGGACCGGTAAGCAAGTCATTACAACTATGTTATTAAATATCAAACCAGACGGTGTTCCAGGTGTTAACTTGATTTCTAAGAATAAGATTAAGAGTGACTATTGGGGTGAAGGATCTACTGAAAACGAAGTCATTTTCAAGAATGGTGAATTATTATGTGGTATTTTGGATAAATCTCAATATGGTGCTTCTCAATACGGTATTGTGCATTCCTTGCATGAAGTCTATGGTGCCACAGTTGCTGGTAAGGCTTTGAGTGTCTTGGGTAGATTATTCACTAATTATATTATGATGACCGCATTCACTTGTGGTATGGATGATTTAAGATTAACTGAAGAAGGTAATGGATGGAGAAAGGAAATCTTGAAACAATCAGTTGATATTGGTAGAGTTGCTGCTACTGAAGTTACAAACTTACCTACTGATACATCTAACCATGACGGTGAATTATTAAGAAGATTAGAAGAAATTTTAAGAGATGATAATAAATTAGGTATTTTGGATGCAATTACTCAATCTAAAGTCAACACAATTACTTCTCAAGTTGTTTCCAGGTGTGTTCCAGATGGTACTATGAAACGTTTCCCTTACAATTCGATGCAAGCGATGGCACTTTCCGGTGCCAAGGGTTCCAATGTTAATGTTTCCCAAATTATGTGTCTTTTAGGTCAACAAGCTTTAGAAGGTAGAAGAGTCCCAGTTATGGTTTCTGGTAAGACATTACCATCTTTCAAGCCATTTGAAACTGATGCCAGGGCCGGTGGTTATATTAAAGGTCGTTTCTATTCTGGTATTAGACCACAAGAATATTATTTCCATTGTATGGCTGGTAGAGAAGGTTTAATTGATACTGCTGTCAAGACTTCCAGATCTGGTTATTTACAACGTTGTTTGACTAAACAATTGGAAGGTGTTCATGTCAGTTATGATAATTCGGTTAGAGATGGAGATGGTACATTAATCCAATTCTTATATGGTGGTGATGCCGTTGATACTACTAAACAATCTCATATGCATCAATTCAAATTCTGTGCTGATAATTATGATGCATTATTGGCTAAATATAACCCAGGTGATTTAACTGATAATTTGGATACTGAAGAAGCACTTTCATATGCTAAGAAGGTTCGTAAATCACTTAAGAAACAAAAGGACTTACCTCATTATGAACAAACAATCAAATATGATCCAGTTATGAATGTATTCAACCCAGCTAAATACTTAGGTTCTGTATCTGAAAAATTCCAAGAGAAATTAGACTCATTCGTTTCTAATAATTCATCAATGTTTGCTAAATCTAAAGAAGAAGCTAAATCTACTGGTAAATTGACTGAAAAGAAATTCAGAGCCTTGATGCAATTGAAATATATGAGATCCTTAATTAATCCAGGTGAATCAGTTGGTATTATTGCCTCTCAATCTATTGGTGAACCATCTACCCAAATGACATTAAACACTTTCCATTTCGCCGGTCACGGTGCTGCAAATGTTACTTTAGGTATTCCACGTATGAGAGAAATTATTATGACTGCTTCAGCTGCCATTAAAACTCCACAAATGACCTTACCTATCTTAGATGACGTTAACGATGAACAAGCAGACGCTTTCTGTAAATCAGTTGCTAGAGTTGTTATGTCTGAATTTATTGATAAAGTTATGGTTACTGAAACTACTTCACAATCTGAAGATGGATCCAGTTCACGTTCCTATGTCATTAACTTGAAATTCTATACCAAAGAAGAATATGAAACTGAATATGATATTGAACAAACTCAATTGGAAAACGTCATCACATCTAAATTATTACATGCTTTAGAATCTCAAATTGTTAAGGAAGTTAAGAAACAAAAGAAGCCAGACCATTTACCAACTGTGGGTAAATCCGCCGGTAAGACTGATATGGAAACTGTGCTGGGTAAGATCACCGAATTAACTGGTGACGAAGATGCTGAAGAAGAAAAGATGCGTGGTAATGTCAAACAAGCTGTTTCTTACGATGGACCAGACGATGAAGAAATTGAAACTATGAAGAAGGCTGAAGAAACCAGTGATGAAGAAATGGAAGATAGTGATAGTGAAGATAAAGAAAGTTCTGATGAATCAGACGATGAAGAGGATGTGGACATGGATGCTGCAGCATCTACCAAGGAGTTATCTAGATCTGCCAAGGATCGTCAAGCTGACGTGATTGCTTCTCATCACATGGTTACTCAATTCAACTTTGATGATGATAATGGTGAATGGTGTGAATTCAGATTGGAATTAAATGGTAATGAAACTCAAAAGTTATTGATGGTTAATATTGTGGAAGATTTGTGTCGTAAAGTGGTTGTTCGTGAAATTCCTCATATTGGGAGATGTGTTCGTCCACAACCTGATTCTAAGGGTAATAGAACCTTAACCACTGAAGGTGTTAACTTCAAGGCTATGTGGGATCAAGATGACTTCATTAATGTCAACAACATCACATCGAATGACGTTGCTGCTGTTTTGAGAACCTATGGGGTTGAGGCTGCTAGAAATACAATCGTGAACGAAATTTATCGCGTTTTCGATACTTATGGTATCAGTGTTTCTTCACGTCATTTAGATTTGATTGCCGATATGATGACTAGAGAAGGTTCATATCTTGCTTTTAATAGACAAGGTATTGATAGTGGTACTTCTGCATTCATGAAGATGTCGTATGAAACTACATGTCAATTCTTAACCAAAGCAGTTTTGGACGGTGATCGTGAAGAATTAGAATCACCTTCTGCTCGTATTGTATTGGGTAAATTATCCAATGTTGGTACTGGTTCTTTTGATGTATTCGCCAAAATGCCAAAAGTATAAATTGTATATTCATATTGATTTTTTTGTTTAACTTGTGTTTTGTATTTAATTTATTTTTAGTTTAATTGCATTTGTATAGATATTGTTTAGGAAATTATAAAAAAAAAGCTTATATATATAAACACTACTGTAAATGACATCCAAAATGTGTAGATGTCTCGTGATCAAATGACAACTATCCTCTCGTCTCTTCTGTCAGGGGGTGAAGGGGTGCATAACAAAAATTTTATGAATGTGTTACTGGGAAAGTTGTAGGGAGGGTCTACTGGAGATCCGAAGTATGAATGTCAAATCCTAATAGGATTGGCTTTGGTATGGAATGACGGCTAGTCGACTAAACGCTATGTTGGGTCTATGGGAATATGGAAAGAATGACGTTGTACTAAACAGTGATGAGATTGGTGACGATTTCCCCTATCAGAATGTTAGTATTGTAAGCACAGAAACATCTCACGTGAACTATCTACAGTTTTTAGAGAATTTTAATAAGCATAAGCATAAGATGCCTGTGTGTCTGCATATTTTTGGTAGTATTGAACAGGTGCTATATCTGACTGGAGATGCTGTACCTCAGGATATGGACAGAAGGCACTCGACTGATGGCTCGATTGAAGAAGAGTTTGGTGAAGTACACGATAGTATTGATGAAAGTGATACACGAAAGCAAATTATCCACATAACGACTTCATTAAAAGAATTGACTATAAGCTCATCACGACCTAATACCAAATGATTGTCTTTTCTTACTAAAAAGAATGTAAATATATAGATATATAAATGTAGAACACCTAAATATTATAAGCAGCAATAATAAATGCCAATACAAATGATATTTTAAAACTTGGTTTTTGTAATACTAATTCTTTAAGATCAACTTTATCTTTACCTACAGTTATTATATAAGTCCAAGGAATATGTATGATGTTTCTTGATTCTAAAAATTCTAACATAAAATAACAAGATAAAGTGAAAAACATAAATACTGATGATAATTTCCCAATTATAATTCCTAAAAATAATCCTGTTACTGAACCAATTGTTAATTCTTCATAATTCAATTTACCACCAAATCTAGACTTCCTATAGCCTGGGGCAGGTTGTAGATCACTAATATCTATTCTATTGTCTTTTAATATGGAATCATTGTAGATTCTATTGCTAGGGGAAAGAGACAAAGATGATAATAACAAAAATGAACCAGTACTAGCAAATAATAATTTCAAAGATGAACTTGATCTAGTTGATCTCAACCCAGCTGATTTAGATATAAAATTAGGTTTCAAAGTCTTTGGAATTGACTTCATAAACAGTTGTTTTGTAATGGTTGAAAATTGCGCGGTTGCGGGGGGTCTTGTCAATATGGCTGCAGCACGTTTCAACCCAAGCTGGGTTAATGATGGTAAATTAAACATCTCAATGATAATGTGACAATTGGTTTATCCTTGATTTTGAGAACCTTTTCAATCAATGGATTCTTGATAATTCGTTTCAGATGTCATACTAATGGTTGTCACAGCAAGATTAACAAGACAGGCAACGGAATTTAGACGAATGCCAGAATAACCTGTAGACCAGTTTCCTTAAACTGTAAGATTATTCTTTTGCAGTTTATACCGAATTTTACATGTTTGACTTTAGTTTGAAGAAAGCAGAGAGTCGTGCACATGATTCCAATCTTGGCTCTGTACAGGACGCCTTTAAGAGAAAGTCGTGTGCGAATATCATACTCTGAAAGCTAATACGTTGCCAAGTAGATAGTTGGTAAAATCGTATTCTGATTTGACTCAAGGTTGAGACCAAAGTGTAGAGAAAATGTTTCCAAGGCGTGGAGGTTTCATTTCTCGGGTTCTAATAAATGCATATCTTTGATATTGCTCAGAGAAAGGCTCATTCTAGTCCTTCTCTTTAATCTAAAATGTGAGTCTTCCATATTGTCCTTAAGACTGTGGGGAACCTCTTGTTGTGTCCCTCATTTGACAGGAATTTTCCCACTCCCTTGTTATTTCGCAAAATATTTGCAACAATTCTATTAGAAGTTGCCAGAATTATCCATAATGGAAGCCAGCTTTCGCTTTATTCAGAATAGAGATCCAACGATATCCGTCCAATAACATCAACGGATCAAAGCAATCAATAGTTTAAAAAATATTCAAATGCTTCCGCTTTCTGATAGTTGGCGGTTTTGGATTACGGATGAAGAATAATGGTTATAATGGGGAGCGACATTTTCCCTTTTGGTGAAATCCGTGGAAGAGACATTTCTTGGGGTAAATTAACAAGGAGACATTTTAGTAAAGCCTAAAAATGATGGCTGGACCAACGCGCCAAATCAGGATAAATTAATCGGGGATTACGTAATCACCATTCTTTCACAAAAATTTAAGAAATGCGAGAAAGCTAAAAAGGACATTAAGAAAAAGAAATTCCAGAGACCAATTGGGAATTTTACAGGTTAGAGTATTTACATGTTAGCTTAAATGCCTTATTATTTTTATTTCATTTCTTCCCGATTCTTCTTATTAAATAATTTCTCTATATACAGCTTTCTCTTACTCTATTAAAATCTTCTCTTAGTCTTGTCTTCTTCTGCCCTTTGTTAAAATTTATTTAAATCTGCAATGGATCCCCAAGTTTAATTTTTTTTATAAATTATATTTTTATTCTCCATCTTTACTTTTCATTTATCATTTGTTTTAAGTTTTATGTTTTGCTGATCTTTAGATCTTTACATATACTCAATTGATAAACCATATAGATAACACTATACACACCTATCAAAAAGAATACCATTCGTTTTAATACAACTTATACAGTAGAACGGAAGGCATTTTACGAGTTACTATATTATATAGAACCTTTCTAAATTTTTTATTTATATATCCATATATATACAAGCATATAGCAGATACTACTAAGCTAGTCTACCGCTGGTACAACCACGACTACTATCCAAATTAAAACATCCTTTCAAATATTAAAAAAGAAGTCCAATATTCCAATTTTGTATTAAAAATTGCAAAAAAAAAAGAAGTCTGTCTTAAAAGTCTACCAAAAGAAAGTGCTGCAAAAAAAAAAATATTCATTAGTTACCAAATCCACCATACCATGAATTACAACAACAACTCAATCTTTTTCAATCCAGATACTCCACAAGAAATATGTCCTTCTATCTGGTTAGGACCTTATAACTCATTATTAGATCATGAATATATGTTAAGAAACAATATTAAGATTATTATCAATTGTGGATCTACATTAAAATTCCTTGATTTAATTGAAAATAGCAGAGATGTACAAATATCATCAGATGTAATTTTATTAAGTCTTGATCCTGCTTTTGATTGTCAACATGAATTGGTTTATAAATTCAATCGGAAATTCAATCGAATTTTACAAAATTATTTGGATTCATTTTATAAGAATAATCCAAAGGCATCAAATTCAATGTATCAATTACCTCATCTGTCAATTGATTTAACAACACCAATTATATCTGGAAGTAATTTAAAATTACAATTTTTTAATTTGGTTCGATTAATGTCTTTATTTAAAGTTATTAATTTAGATTTACAAATATTGGTTGTATCTGAAGATGGTAATAAGAATTTATCTACCGGATTGATAATTGCTTATTTAATGGATTGTTACAGATATAATTTACCTAATTCATTTAGATTGATTCAAAGTAGAAGACCAAGTATTCATGAATTAAACAATAATTATTATGAAGATTTATTAATTATTGAAAATTTAAAGAAATTTTATATTGAGAATTGTGAAATTAAACAACAGAGTAATCCAATCCTAACTAACAACTATAAATTAAAAAGATCAAATGATTCCGCTGATACTCCTGATGAAGATGAAATGATTGATGAAATTCTCGTTGGTGGTGGCGATAGAAAAAGACGATTTGTTCATTGAAAAAGTTTTGCAACCAAAACACGCACCACCTTCGTGCCCTACGATCTCATTCAAACCACACCTTATTTGCTGTAAATTACTATTATTATTATTCCTTTCCAAGGAATCCTTTTTGCTTTTAACATAAAAAGTCAAAAACTGTTGTATCATTATTCTTATTTTTTGTACTTTTATATCGCCTATTTATTGTCCTATGTAACTTTTTAAAATATACGAACTTGTATATAAGTATTTCTGTTTCTCTAGTCTTTACTAAGTAGTAACTGCTACACTATATGCTGTCTACAAGCAAAAAATGTAGGATTATTCCAACTTACCCATTATCTATGTACACATCTATGGAATCATATCTACCAATTCCAGTCTGTCGAAATAGAAACTTACTCGGGAACAGATAACCCAACTCTGTTAGCGGTCTTTCTAACATTATCTTCTTGACTCATTGTCAAACCAGGATTATATCTTTCCAATAATTCAATATATACCCTTTGACTATTTAAAAAGGTAACAATATTATTCAAATTATTTATTTGATAAGGGGTTGGAGTAGCTTTAGGTTCTTTAATTAATTCCAGTAATATATGTCCATCTTTCAAACTCTTAGATTCAGCAACAATACCATTTTCTAAATCTTTTAATTTTTGATTAATTTCAGTTATATCTTTACCTTGCTTTGCTAGGGTTATTTTCTTATAAGTTAATAAAGCTTTTGATTTTTCTAAATCTCGTTCAGCATGGAATTTCGCAGATTTATTTTGAATTAAGAGGAGCTCTTGACGTAAACTCTTATATATTTGTTTGAAAGGAGGGAAGTTCTTTGTGACAATAGACATTTTAATAAGTTGGAGACTCAGAAACCACAGTAAATTGGATGGAACTCCTTAAGAGCTACCATTAACCTGATTTGTAGTTGAAAAAAAAAATTAGCAAGAGATTGAACATCGCACGACTATTTTGAAATCCCTTCTGTTGCAAGATTTTAGTTAGGACGTTTTTACACTGTCCAATATCATCTAGACATCCGGTCAACATCACGACTCATCACTGAGCTGTTTAATATATCATTTTGCTGGCTGATCGGAGAGAGCTTTTAAAGACTATGTGACAAGGTAGTAATCATATTGCGGTTCATCCCGAAAGTCTGATGATCCCAGAAGTTATTATTGTAACCTAACGATCGTATCTCAAGTATTGATTTTATCGTAAGTGAATACTGTCAACCAGGCTAGCAGTTGATCGTATGAACTGTCCATTATGAACATAGTTCAGGTCAGCGATTTTTTATAATACCTAGCCTCATCAACATCCTTCCGTCAGAAAAACATTCTCGGAAAAACTGGCGGCCATCTTTCAAATAAGCTCAATCACCCAGCTGGGTATTGGGATTCAGATGTCTGTACTTACAATATCAGATACCCACAATCATATAAAGACACGCAGCCATTACGTGGAATTACCAGGCACTTCTATATACTCGCTTTTGGCTGGGCCCGATAGTTTAGAATCCGTGCCATGTCCGGCTGAACCAATTCCAATTCATGACGAGATCCGGTTCTGCCTGACATATTTCTAAAGGCAGACACGTCAATCCTCTCTAGATGAGATCAGCCAACATCAATACCCACATTCTCTACAGTATCCTCTCAACGGTGGAAACTATGTGTTGAAACATTTTCATTTGTCCATAAATGCTACCTGTCAATTCTCCGAATTCCGAATCCGACACACATACTAGAAAATTTCCTGCACAAAAACATTTTTTTTGCAGCCCTGGATTAACCGGACTTTTTAATTGTGCCGACTGACCAATTAAATTCAAGCAGAAGGCAGCGATCTCATCTCTATTTCTTTCGGAACCGAAGGTCAAAAGTGACACTAAATCTAAAAAAACCACTTTGGTATTGTTCTTACGGAGAGGTAAAAATGTTCTCTTTGTTACAAAGTGCCGATTTTTTTACTATTGACAGTTCAACCAAGGTGGTTTCTAGTAGAGGAGGGGAAGGATTGGAGAAAGACGTTGGTTACTTGGCCACTTGGCCTTGCGTATAATGTAGATCATACTTTAGTAGACGGGGGATGTCACTGGACTTGCAATGCGTTAGTGTAGATAACATCAGTTAACACATTCAACGTATTGGATGTGTTTGTTTTTTTGAAATTGAAAGATGTGTGGTGCCTTATGTGTCTTTAAAAATCTCTCTATCATCATCTTTAATTCATTTCATTGAAAATATTTTTTTTCCTAGTACTCTGTAGGTCTTTTCAATTGGATCCCATCATTTCAATTTTTTTTCCAAAAGTTCATTTCTTTCAACCCTTTTTTTCATTCTTCTACATCTTTAACTAAGAATTCACCATCCACATAATGCTTAGATCTATCATTGCTCAAAAGGTATGTGTTCACCATCCCACCAACTACCCTGTACTATCAATTTTCTATTTGAACTGACATTGCTTCCCCTCGTTGGGGCTCAATACCAACTCCGAACGGGATTGAAATAATGCAACCGTTCAACGAGCAACGTCAAAAATATAAACATTGAGAGTACAAAAGAGGTCAACAACTGTTTTTACTAACTCCTTTTCTATTATAGACCGCTGTTCGTTCATTAGCCACTTTTGCATCCCCAGAATCCGTCTTACCAAAGAAATACGGTGGTAGATTTACCGTTACTTTAATTCCAGGTGATGGTGCCGGTAAAGAAATCACCGATTCTGTCAAGACCATCTTCAAGGCCCAAAATGTTCCTATTGACTGGGAAGTTGTTGAAGTCAGTGGGGTTGAACCACAAGAAGGTCGTGTTGATGAAGCTGTTGAATCATTAAAGAGAAACAAAGTTGGGTTGAAGGGTATTTTATATACTCCAAGTGAAGGTTCTCATAAATCTTTAAATGTTGCTTTAAGAAAACAATTAGATATTTATGCTTCATTAGTTTTAATCAAGAATATTCCTGGTGTTAAATCCAGATTAGATGGTATTGATTTTGCTTTAGTTAGAGAAAACACTGAAGGGGAATATTCTGGTTTAGAACATCAATCTTATCCAGGTGTTGTTGAATCTTTAAAGATTATGACTAGATTTAAATCAGAAAGAATTGCCAAATTTGCATTTGATTTCGCCAAAAAGAATAATAGAAAATTAGTTACTGCTATCCATAAGGCCAACATTATGAAATTAGGTGATGGTTTATTCAGAGAAACCGTTAAAGATGTCGGTCAAGATTATTCCGGCATTGAAGTCAATGATTTAATTGTTGACAATGCTTCTATGCAAGCTGTTGCCAGACCACAACAATTTGATGTTTTAGTTACACCAAACTTATATGGTTCTATTTTATCCAACATTGGTGCTGCTTTAATTGGTGGTCCAGGTTTAGTTCCAGGTGCCAATTTTGGTAGAGAATATGCTGTTTTCGAACCAGGTTGTCGTCATGTTGGTTTAGATATTCAAGGTAAGAATTCTGCCAACCCAACTGCCATGATTTTATCTGCATGTATGATGTTGAGACATTTAGGTTTAAATGAACCAGCTGATAAGATTTCTCAAGCTACTTATGATGTTATTGCTGATGGTAAAGTTAGAACTAAGGATATTGGTGGTTCTTCTTCTACTACTGAATTCACTGATGCTATTATTTCTAAATTAGCTTAAGCTTGAGCTTATCCCCATTTTATTTATAAACACTTTATAAACATTCTTATTTAAAATAACAACATTCATTTTTTAGTGTGTCTTTTATTGTATTTGTTTAAATATATATTGGAACGTTTTGTCATGATTCGGAAAAAGAGTGTCTTTCTAAAATTTGTAATGCTTCTATAGCAGATGGGTTTCTTGCTAGAGACTGAAACGAAAAGGAAGAAATAAATATGAATAGATACAGTAACTCAGAGCTTGCAGTATTGGAAGGTTGATAATCCAGAGACGATGAGGCAAAACTCAAAATTTGCAGCTAAATTCAGTTGCATATTTTGTCACCTTGAAGCTTTATTTAGCATCGTTCCGGTCTTTCCAATGAGAGAGCTACCGTATAAATTACAAATCAGCTACAGTTACAGGACTAGTCCTTGAGGAATGTCTTATCTACATAAACTTCCAAGTACATTTAAACTATGTAATCTGGCATTTAGACTCATAAGTTGTCATATCATACAAGAAGTCAAAGATTGTAAACCTGCATATTACTCCGGGGTACAATTAGCTCATTATGACTCAGTCATAATTTTATATGTGTGTGAAATTTTTTTTCTGCTGCTCAAACAATACTCAACGGGCCACTGTGAAACAGTTGAACAATGTCGCAGTCATTCAGGGAAGTTCCATCGATTGGTTTTTTCTTCCAATGAGATTTTTCAATTCTTTCTTTCTTTCTCTTTCTTTTTCTCTTCTTTTGGAGTTTTTGGTTTTAACGAGTTCGATTCGTTCATTCTTTTAATAGAATTAATATTAAACAAAACAATCAAACAAACAAATGTGTGACGTAGTATTAGGTGCCCAATGGGGTGATGAAGGTAAAGGTAAATTAGTTGATTTATTATGTGATGATATTGATGTTTGTGCAAGATGTCAAGGTGGTAATAATGCCGGACATACTATTGTTGTAGGTAAAACCAAATATGATTTCCATATGTTACCATCAGGATTAGTTAATCCAAATTGTAAGAATTTAGTTGGTTCAGGAGTTGTTGTTCATGTTCCATCATTTTTCCAAGAATTGGAAAATTTAGAATCAAAAGGATTAAATTGTCGTGATCGATTATTTATTTCAAGTCGTGCTCATTTAGTATTTGATTTCCATCAACGTACTGATAAATTAAAAGAAGCTGAATTATCCGCCAATAAGAAATCTATTGGTACTACTGGTAAAGGTATTGGACCAACTTATTCCACCAAAGCTTCTAGATCTGGTTTAAGAGTTCATCATTTAGTTAATCCTGATCCTGAAGCATGGGAAGAATTTAAAACTAAATATATGAGATTAATTGTTTCAAGAAAAAAAAGATATGGTGAATTTGATTATGATTTAGATGAAGAATTAGCAAGATATGCTAAATATCGTGAACAATTAAGACCATTTGTTGTTGATTCGGTTGTTTTTATGCATGATGCTATTAAACAAAAGAAGAAGATTTTAGTTGAAGGTGCTAATGCTTTAATGTTGGATATTGATTTTGGTACTTATCCATATGTTACTTCATCATCAACTGGTATTGGTGGGGTTTTAACTGGGTTAGGTATTCCACCAAACCATATTAATAATGTTTATGGTGTTGTTAAAGCTTATACTACTAGAGTTGGTGAAGGTCCATTCCCAACTGAACAATTGAATGAAGTTGGTGAAACTTTACAAGATGTTGGAGCTGAATATGGGGTTACAACTGGTAGAAAGAGAAGATGTGGTTGGTTAGATTTAGTTGTTTTGAAATATTCTGCTATGATTAATGGATATACTTCATTAAATATTACTAAATTGGATGTTTTAGATCAATTTAAAGAAATTGAAGTTGGTATTGCTTATAAATTAGATGGTATTGAAACTCCAAGTTTCCCAGAAGATTTACATGATTTAGCTAGAGTTGAAGTTGTTTATAAGAAATTCCCAGGATGGGAAACTGATATTACTAATATTAAAAGATATGAAGATTTGCCAATTAATGCAAAGAATTATCTTAAATTTATTGAAGAATATTTAGAAATTCCAATTCAATGGGTTGGTACTGGTCCAGCAAGAGAATCAATGTTAGAAAAGGCTATTTAAGAGTCTAGACTTTGAGTTTTTAGTTGTTGTTGGTTGGTTGGTCGTGTAGTAGTAGTTTTATTTTAGTTTATAGTTATAAAAATCCTTATAAATATTGAAGTTTTATTGATATAGTAAGTATTAAGAGTCATAGAAGAATTAAGATGGTATGAATATTATGGTTATTAGTTTAAAAATGAATGACTGGTCAAATGATTCTCGTTTAATTTCATTAGGGCTTAGTTCTAATTAGTTTGGCATACCATGTCTGTGTTTACTGCTCGAGGTCTGTAGGAACGATGAGGTATGTATATACGTCAGCCATAATAAAAAAAGAAAGCTCATGTGTGGCCCCCCCTTATACTATTCAATTTTCTAACTAAAAGAATTAAATTACCATTGTAATTGGTAGTAAACTAAAGATAAGAAAATTGTCACACCCGTATAGATTTATACACAGCAAAAAAAAATGAGGCTAACGTAAATCTCTACGTGTGGATGTATTAATTGTTGTTTATGTGTCATATTTTATTTGAACATTGATTCTTTGTTTTCCCCCTTTTTCTTACTGATTAATAAACTTAATAGACTCTCCACAATTTCTAAATTTTTTTTATTCTTTTTTACATTCCTTCTTCTTCTTTCTTCTTTACTTTACTTTAATACTATATGCTATAAAAATCTATTTACTATTACCAGCTAACTAACCACTTACATCCAAAAAGGACAAGAAAGAAAAGAGAGACAAAAGAGTGGAAGGATATACATACCATATCTTATCCCTATTACTAATTGAATTTGTATTTATTGTCTCTTTTTACATGTCCCCTTTTTATAAACTTATACATAACTTCCATTCACATCAAGATAATTTTGCTACTCCTAATAGTATTTACAGCTACTGTTAACATTCATAATCCTATAGACTATTCATTTTAGCTTTTTTAATTTGATTTTTTTTTGCATTTTTTATACCACGGAGAGAGATAGATATAACTTTAGCTGCAAATGGATTTACTATTATCAACTCAAGAAACTGGAAGTATAAGATGTATGTATAACAAACCGAGTAAACTACCTATCATATGTGAACTTACAAGACTAACTAATCTTTACATATAGTTGTTAAATTATCTAAATCTCATAATAATGATGATACATTGGATATCAAAATTAAACATGAAATTTGTATTGGTGGCAAAGATAATTATATTCAAAGAATTTCTAATTTTAAATTCCAACATAAATTACATTTACTTATAGTTAGAAAGAATGGTTTAATTCAATTATATAAAAAACAAGAATCAAAGCATCAAGGTACTTTTTATCAATTATCAAAAGAATGGAAGAATTCAATTTTAAATCAACAAGATTCAATCATTTCACTTGGATTTTTAAATAATCAATATCTTTATAGTTGTTCAAGAGATGGGAAATTAGTTATTCGAGATTTAATTAATGATGATGCCGATGAAGGTTATAAAGTATATCTTATTCAAAGTCCAGTAAGCAATATTGATATTAATATGAATAATACAAATGGAATTACAATTGTAAGTTGTGGCAAAAATAATGAAGTTAAATTATATGAAATAGAAAACTTAGTTGGATATTCACCACCACCCAGTAATACATCATCATCATCTTCGCCAAGATTTTCAAGTCTACATGATGATTCTACTGCTGAATTAACATTTGGTACCATTATGAGAAATAGACCATTAAGAAGATCTTATGCTAATTTAAATCTAAGATTTGATTATTCAACTCAACCTAATTCTGATAGACATGTAATGACTTTATCACCATTTTGGAGTTCATCTACTCATTTTCTGGATTTCATATATAATGCTCAATCGTTAGAAAAGATTTCCAATTGGTATATTTCAATTGTTATAGTTGGAGGTGGATATATTGTATGTGGAAGTCAATTTGGTAAATTATCATTATATAATGCAGTTGAAGATTGTTATGCTATAAAGACTATTACATTATCACAGTTTCCAATTCTTAATTTAAAAGAATTAGATAATGATCATATTTTATATAGTGATTCCATGTGTAAGATTGGTATTGTTAAATTATCAACTATGCAAGTTATAAATCATTATGATAATTTAAGAATTGGTCCTATAAATCATTTTCAATTTATTTTACCTGGGAATTTAACCAAGAAGAGGAAAATAAGTGGTGATAGATTAAGATTTGATCCAATTTATACAATGAGTACTACAATTGATAAACGATTTGTTATTTATAAATTATATGATGATAATAGGTTTGAATTATTATTGGATGTTAAATTATTTGATTCTTTAGTGCCTTGTATAAGTCTACTAAAAAAGAATTGCAAAACCGATTATGAAATTTTTCAATCATTATTTGGAGGACAAGAGGAAGAAGAAGAACATGAAGGTTTCCATAACATGGAAAGATTATTCACAAAGAAACGGAAATTATCCCAAGATTCACCTATTCCATTACCTTCTCCACCTCATTCACAACATAGTTCTTCCGATGATACCAAAAAGCTTAAAAGTGGTGAGGAACTATATGCTCATTTCCAACATATGACAAATCTTCCCTTTTCTCCTTTCTCGACCGTTGACCCAACAGTTACCACCGCCACCCCACCACCTATTGCTATTCATGATAGACCGGCCGAATATGATGATTCACAAGATGTTGTTCATGACCTTGATGATTACGAATGTGACGATGATGATAAAGAAACCTTTAAGTAATCTATTATAAGCTTATAATGCTATGTATATATCTGTTTATAGTAGTGAATTAATGACAGTGTAATAATCTCTCTAATCTAATGGGTGCAAAAATTCATTGCGAACCAGAAAGGGTCGTGTAAATTGGTACAAACTTGACCACACTGAAAAAAACACCAAGTACTCCACTAAAATTATCAATCTCCTTCTGTTGCCACCAAAGAAAGTAAGCAGACCCAATTGAGAAAATCAAGAAAATGTCATACAAGCTAAGTTCTACATTATCAGGTCATGAACAAGACGTGCGAGATCTCTCAATCACCGCCGAAAACCAAATCATCTCGGTTCTGAGAGATTCAACCACCCGAATCTGGCAACACATCAATCATTCCAATTCTGATTCAACAATCATCTTCCATTCCCCAACTTCCAGCTTCATAAATTCAGTAGCATACATTCATGAGGGGACAGCTGAGCCATTAATCGCTAGTGGTGGACAAGATGCTATGATTTATTTGAATGATGTATATCATGGGAAGGATACCGAGGGGAAATATCAATTAATTGGTCATGAAGGAAATGTATGTGCCTTGGATTATTCTCAAGGGGAATTAATCTCAAGTAGTTGGGATTCGACGGCAAAAGTATGGGATTTGGATAGCTTTAGTGTAAAGTATGATTTAAGAGGTCATGAATCTTCAGTATGGGATTGTAAAATAATTGACCAGGGTCATTATTTGACTTGTTCGGCTGATAAATCGATTAGATTATGGCAAGGGAAATTTGAAATTCGGAAATTCTTGGGACATACTGATGTAGTTAGGAAGTTATTAGTATTGCCTGGTTTAAAACAATTCATGTCTTGTTCTAATGATGGTACTATCCGGATTTGGGATCTTGATAGTGGGAAGAATTTACAGACTCTTGTAGGACATGAATCATTTGTGTATGATTTAGGTATTTTACCTAATGGAGATATTGTTTCAACTGGAGAAGATAGAACAGTACGAATTTGGACTAATGAAGGCACGATTAAACAAGTTATCACCTTGCCTTGTATTTCCGTCTGGTGTGTTGTTGTATTAAACAATGGAGATTTTGCCGTTGGTGGATCCGATGGAGAAATCCGGGTATTCACTAATGATGAAACTCGATTCGCACCACAAGATGAATTAATCCTGTTTAAACAAGCAGTTGAATCTTCTACTATTGCCGAACAATCGTTGGATGATTTACATAAGACCGATGTCCCAGGATATGAAGTATTAGAACAACCAGGTAAGAAAGAAGGATCAACGATTATAGTCAAGAACTCAAGTGGAACAATTGAAGCCCATCAATGGTCAGGTGGAGAATGGCATAAGATAGGTGATGTTGTTGGATCGGCTTCATCGGGGAAAAAACTGGTTTATCAAGGGAAAGAATATGATTATGTGTTTGATGTTGATATTAAGGATGGTGAACCGGCCTTGAAATTACCATATAATGTGAATGATAATCCATATATCGTGGCGGAAAAATTCCTTGTTGATAATGAATTACCTTCGACATATACTGAAGAAGTTGTTAGATTTATAGAGAAGAATACGGGTGGGTTTAATTTACAAGAAGGTGGCGATGCTGATGTTGGTACTGGTCCAGCTGATGGAAGTAGGGTTATTGATCCTTATGCAGATGCATATGTTAGACAACAAAAGTTGGATAATGTGTTAAAAGTCATACCTGAAAAGACATATATTCAATTTGTTGATTATAAAAAGGATCTGCTTGTTAATGGATTAAACAAACTTAATCAATCACAAGATGAACTGGTTCAATTTTCGAATGAACAAATATCTACCGTGACTGATTATTTAACCGATTTGACTTCTAAACAGGCATTGGATTTGATTACCAAGTATGCTTCTCTTATTATTCGAAATTGGACACCTAATGCTAAATTAATTGGATATGATTTTATTAGAATAAGTATTCCCAAGATAACTACTGTTGATTTAATAAATTCTACAGAAGCGGCAGAAACCATATTGGATGTTTTGAATTCTGGATTGGGCCATGTTGATGAATCTAATATTGCTTTGTTGATGATGTTATTAAAAACTTTGAATAATTTAATTGGTACTACTTTATTTGTTCAATTATATATTGATCCAAGTGATGATGGGAAGACATATCAGTATAATCATTATTTTATAAAATTATTACGTGATTTACAATTGGTTTTAGGTAAGATATCACAACTGGCTAAATTGTATAATAGTACAATTACCACCCTTGCATCAGTTGTGTATAACTTATCAGCATATCAACTCCAAACCATTGGTTTAAAGAATAATCCAAGGGCATCAATTCCAATTGTTGAATTTATGGAGAAGGTGGGAAATCAAATTGTAGAATCAAATAGTGAAGCTGCTTATAGATTGGCTGTTGCTTATGGGAATTTAAAATATGCCAAAGCTTATGATAAAGAAACTCCAATTTGGTTAATACAAGCTGGGAATCTTTATACTATTAATGGAGAACAAAGGTTTATTGATTTAGTTGAAGATTTAAAATTATTATAAAAGTTTTTATCTATAGATGATTTGTTTTATTAATATATATTATATACGTAGGCTATTCTCTTAATCAAAGAATAATTCCGGTACTTTATGAACATATTGAACTAATTTTTGAGCAACATCTAAATTCAAATTATCACTCAATTCAATAACTGAAAACACATGAACATTTAAATTTGAACTATTACTACTTACTTTCCCAATAATTTCATAATTTTTGGTAATTTCCATATTTATTTCCATTGGTATTTCTAAAGTTATTGGTCCATTACTAATTAAGGTTGCTATATTTGAATGTCTATCGAATGATTCACATTTTCCAATTATACGAACTAATTTTCCTTGATTTGCTTGTAATAAAGTAGCATCTATTCTTATATTGGCAGCTTCCATTGTGTGTATGCTTGTAGTTGATAGTATCTACGGATCAAGGAAGAGTTAACATTGAAAGAAGACGCGTCTTTTTTTTTCAGGGTTTTTTTTGTTTTTCTGAATGGTTGCCTTAAGATTTTCACTTGGGTGGGTGAGAAATTCAAAACGTGATTAACACCCAATTCAGAAGATCTATTGGCCTGGATAACAAGTTTATAGTAACAGGGTGAGTTTATTATCATAAAAACACAATACCCGGCTTTGATTTGACAAAATTTGGCCAAGTAATAGCTTGTAACCAGGTTTTAGCTGCAAAGGATAATGTTGGTTAATCTGGGTTTTAGTATGTTAGATTGGATGTTTTATCACATAAGAAATGCTGCAAAATAGTGAAGATTTTGGTGCGAAAATGTTCAAATTGATAATTTCAACTAAGTAACCGCATTTTCAGCACATCATAGGAATCTATAATTGAAAGAAGTAACTTTATTAATAATAAGATGAATTGATATCAATGGCAATTGAATAAGACTTGATTCTTGTTTAAATAGTAAAATAATTGATAAAGAAATCTGTATCCCATATCTGATTTTCGAAGAAGATGAATCGTCTTTTTAAATCTCAATATTTTGCAACACCCAGAACTAATCTATAGTGTCCCCAGAAGAGACATTTTTTAAAGCCCAAAAATCACATAATGCTGCATAGAAATCTAAGGTTTTGAGAGTCAACAATTTATATTTCTCATTAACATTATTTCAAGAATAAGAGGTAGGAGAATTAATCAAGAATAGAGATATTATCAAGAATAGAGATATTATCTTTTATCAAGCAGTTAGATAAAACTATCAATTCTGGTTGTAACAGTTTAATAAAGTTGGTTATGTAGTTTCTGAAGTGAACTTCCTTCGCTGTGGATTTATCTATATACTACCAGTTTGTACACTTTACTGTCCACAACCATATCTATAAGAAATATTTGCAACCATGAATCACGTATTTGCACATATATTCTCAACTACGAAAGATAACACCATCTGCTAACAAGAATTTAATGAGTATATTGAAGGTTGTAATTCACGATAGGGTTTCCTGATATCCATCGTGTAATATAGCATTGCAGTAGTACGCATTGGAGAGTAAGCGAGTTAGACAGAAAAGAGACACATATAAATAATGACGTCATAATTATTGTCAAGGTTTTTAAAATGCGCAAGAAAAAATCAAATTTAAGAAATTACCGCTAAGCAAATTATTAATTATTAATTTATTGGTAACAACTCCGAACTTCAAATGTTAAATAAAATAATAAATAAATCTTAAACAAAACCCAAATTAAGGAATCATACGATATATTTACACATTATAAAGTAAATCGGACTTAGATTTATAAAGTTAGACTACATAATTAATGAGTCATCTTCATTGTACTGTTTTACGTCAGGTGAGTATTTGACGTTAAATATACGGTAGATGTGTAATCTTACAGTACATATAGGGAATGTGGTGAATGTTTGTTGAAATGGATGTGGTGAATCTGTTTATAAATCGTGGCATCTGTTGTCGTTGTTCCATGTGAAAAGTGAACGGAACTGCATATAACCCATGTCCTCCTTCCCCCACATTATTATTTTTTTTTAATTTAATTATAATACTCGGAGTTTAATAATTTATTTGTTTAACCCAATACCCAAGAATTTCCCTCTCTCTCTCGACTATAGTTAAACAAATTGTCTATTATTATTAATTAATATTTATTTATTTACTTTTCTATCTTCTTTATTCTTCTTCTTCTATCTTCACTTGCTATTAGAGTAACAATGTTAGGTAGACTTGGACAAAGATATCTCCTCAAAACATTAAATAGAATACCATATTCTTATTATACAACTATTACATTGGCTAATTATGAGCATTTTGCAACAACTAGTAATACTAATGAAACCTTACAACGCATTCATGATCATATTATAGCACCATTATATAGAACAACATGTTCTTCAACTCAACTTACCAACACCAAAGGTACCAACAACAACAACAACAACAGCTTACAATTACCATTTGAAATCCATTGTCTTAAACTTCCTCAGAATCAAGAAAGACCAATTGTAAATTCATTTCTTGATGCTCAAAATTTATATCATATTCATAAACATCCATTTTATTTTGATGATCCTAAACACAAATATTGTATTGAATTACTTAAACTATTTCAAGTTTATTATGATGAAATTACAAGATTAAGAGATTTTATCGCATTTCATACAGGTTCTACTCATTTCAATGTTTCAACGAATCAACTTATTAAATTAATTGAAGATTTTAGACAAACAACTAGATCTAGAAGAATTAATATAATGACTAATAGATTACTTGAATTACTTGATAGTTCATCTTATCATAAACAATTAATCAGGGTATCTAGTTCAATTGAAGAAACTAATCAAATTTTAAGTTTATTTGAATATAAACTTGATTATTTCATTGATTTAATAAAATTATATTATCGTAAATTTAATAAGTTTGAAACGATTTCAACTTTAGGAGATTTATCAAATTGCTTGCGTAGTGATATTGAATGCTTACTGATTCCAACTAAATTTAATCAACAATATTTCCAATCAATAATATTAAAATATCGTGTCAATAAACTTATTGAGATATTAAATGAACATTCAGATACTCCAATATCTGTTTTAACTAAAATCATTAATCATCCCCATTTAGATCATTATATTTATATATTAGATATCCAATCAAATAGTGATCATTATTCAATTGGTTTCGTTAATAGTCATTACTTAAACATGTTATTAAATACTGGACTTATACCCCATTCTCATGATTATTACCAAATAGCCCCTAAATTATATCAATTATCTATCGATACTACCCAACCAGAAATAATCAATACTGCAGCCAAGAAAGTATTAGAAGAATGGACTAGTTTCATTGCGTCAAATCGCAATATTCATGATCTGTTCCATGATTGTCCATTATCCAAAATATACAATGTTTCATCGGATATTCATGTCAATTATGTATTTAGTAGTTTTTTATTAAATCATATCCCATTGGAGAAATATATTCATAATTGTACTGGCAACAACGACTTGCGGGACAGGTTGTTTGAAACGTTTAAAGAAGTAGCTGATCATCATCCCCATACTAGACATTATTTGTTTGCATATTTAACTCCAGAACAATTTGTAAATATATTTAATTCATCCCGGTTAATTAAATATTTTAAATTGAGGAATATCCCATTATATAACTTATTTCCAAAGAATTCAAAGGTTTTCAAACATATTGATAAACTTGAATCAATTAGAAATGAATCTGGTAAGAAATTTGGGGATATGAATTTATCCGAATTTAAACATTTGATAATGGGATTAGAACCTGAATTATCGAATAGTTTAAGTGAAGAATACGTCATTGATAATTTATATATCTTAGATGATCTACTTGATCGTAAGAAGTAGTTGGAATAATCCCATTAGAGGGCTTCCTTTGTTATTATTGTAGAATAATCCACTTCTTCATATGTATAGTTAAAGCATGATAACCAATATCATATATAAAACAGCCTCTTCATTATCTAATTTAAGACAAATCTAAACATCGGTATAACATTCGTTATAATTATTTCTNCCTCTTCATTATCTAATTTAAGACAAATCTAAACATCGGTATAACATTCGTTATAATTATTTCTCTGTAACCTATTACTAGAAAATCTCCCTTTCTAAATATCATTAGCCAGATTATTCTAAATTCTCGTGACTAGAATTGGTGCTCTGTTTTTTTGGGTCTATATTGGCGGTCTAGATTTATTTTTGTGTTGTTGTGTTAGATTCTTTTTTTTTTGCAGCCAATTTTAACCACCAGATCGCCAAAAATTTGAGAAAAACTTTACATTTATTCTTCCTTTCTTTTCTTCTTTCTTTCTTTACCGACCACAAACAAAAAAGCCTACCAACATAATAATGCCCCCCAGTTCTACCCAACCTGATCAATCCCCAATCAATCAATCAAAGCCAATTATGTCTTTTAATGCCCCAAAAAGGTATTCTTGTTTTGAAATTAGTTGGAAAGAGAAGGTGGATAACCACCACAAATAATTGATATCCAAAAAAGCCCAAAAAACCAAACTCAATCCTTCTTCCAGAAACAATCAATGCACTAATGTCCCTACTCCCTTATCCATAAACCATACGCTTAACAAGTAAATTGATTAATCTAAGTCAGAATTTACTTTAACAATTCATTTAAAAATCTTCATCTTCTTGTTAATTAAATTAAAACTTTGACTTGTCTGGGCTAACTGTGGATTTCTTATCTTCTTTACTTGTCACTTGAATGAATCGAAATGAATAGATGTGCTGGAGGTTTGATTGGAGGTGGTGGATATTGGAGCTTGGATTTTGAGGTGGTGGTGGAAGAATTCGAATGGATGTGGGAGGATTTGAATGGAGGTAGAGGAGATTTGGAGGTTTATTTTGAAGTGGCGACAGGATTTGATATGGTAATGGAAGAGTTCGAATGGATGTTCTGGAGATTTTAATGTGAATTTCGAGGTGGTGGTGGAAGAGTTTTAATGATTTTGCTTCCCGTTTATTTCAATGGTTTCTTTGTGGAGATTTGCATGTGGTGTTCAATGAAGACGACGGTTTTATGATTCAACTTGGAGAGAGCTATGCTCAGTTTCATGTATTGTGTGTAGTCTGCATACTGAATTAGCCCCCAGGCAAATGGTTAGTTTATATCTGACAGGTTTGTTTTTATCTGATTTCCACGGAAGATGGATTGACTCCATGTTGGAATTAGAAATGAAGAGTGTGATGAAGACTTAAATTTGGATTTGTGTATTGGGTATTGGGTAATCTCAATGGTGGTGATGAAGGTTTGATTTGATCTAGGTTGGAATTACACAGAGGCGTGAGGGTTGGATCTGGATTCAAGGGCTTTATGGGCCCTCTGAGGATTTCAATGGGATATCGACGGTGGTTGCAACCTTAACATCACCCCCGAATAGCAGAATAGAAAAGAAGAGGTCATCGAAAGAGGTGGTAATTTTGATGGTGAACCTCAGATATCCAAGAGATATCCCGGTCTGTGTGGTAGAATCATCAGTTGGAAAACTATTACTACCATTCTCAAAACTTTCCAATATCAAGACATAGAAGGAACATCTGAGGTTATTTCTGAAACTCATGAAGGACCAACTGAGGTTATTTGTGGAAATACTCAAAGTTAACAGTAGGCCCTTTCCACTTTTACTCATGTATAATCACCTCCACAGTGAGGAATCTCAAAAGTTTCCTATATAAACCAAGGACAAGTACATCTACTAGCTCATTGATAAATCATTTATATAAATCTGACGAGAGACAGGACAAACTAGCAATTATGGTTAATCAACAAATTCTACACTGCAGCAAACTCAAATTGGCCCACATGATTGTCATTTAAAAGGGCTCCACTCCATGAATACTATGCAGGTTCATGGGAACTTTCAGAGAATTATGATACATCCAAGTAAGATGAAAATTATTGAACTGCTCCATCCATTTGATAAGTCTCCAACACATTCGATGAGTCTGAAGATCAAGATGGCAATTTTTACGATTTTTGAAGACAAAGCGATCAATTGTCGCAATATTAAAGATGAAGTGACAAATATTCAATTGTTGAAGGTGGAGAATACCGCAGTGATTCCATTATTGCCCCTCGGTTGATGGTTTATGATGATGAAGAAGCAATCTATCCAGCAATATGATTATATACCACCTCCCTAATATGGCTCCAATTACTATTGTCGTTTCGTAATGTGTTCCTGCAAGAGATGAGGTTTTACTTAAAGATGTCCATATCATCATTAGTTGGGATGACTGTTGATCATAAGAAGGGGGGGGACTGCAAATGTAAATCTAGGTTGCATAGCGAAACTGTTTCCTCCCGTAGCACTTCTATTTCAAATGTTTTATATGGCTTGTTGGCCGAAGGGGAGTTTGGTTATGACCGATATGGCAGAATATGATTTCATTCGATTTAGGTTAGAATTTGTTAAACTATGTACTAGCGTAAAAGCAAACAGTTCTCGAGAAGTTGAGTACTCTTGCAATACGCGGACTGGGGTTATACTTGAGTTAATTCATGATAATATTCAAGGAGAAGAGTCCACGTACTAATCTTAGGTAATTAGTTAATGTAAATTGTTGCAAGAATAACTCAACCCTGAGCCTAGTTTAAATTGGAAAGTAATTGGTAAGCCGGTTAAAAAGGAATATCATATAATATGATATAATATGATATAATATAATATAGTATAATATAATATAATATGAATGAAACCTCAAGCCTAGTGGATATCTCCGGCTTGCATTCGGGAACGGATTGCTAACATTCTCCTACGTTCTCGTTTATGAGAATTTCCAATCCTACGGTCAAGAGAAAGTATGCTGATCATACTCAATTGTACAATGTGACTTCTAAATATTGATGTCAACATCGTAATTAATAATAATCTCTGAGACAAAAAGATTAATAAAGAACAAGATTGCAATAAGTTGGAGAGATATGTCTTACGCTTAAGTTTGCTGTTTCTGTATTCGATCATGAATTTCATGTGTGCGATAATAATATCCCCGCCATGGACTTGGTACAATGACTGTGGAAATTGTCATCAAGTAGATTGTTCTTCATTCATGTTAAGACTACATAAATAAACCCCACCCAGTTATCAATTCTTCTACATATATAATCTATATAAGTTTCTTATATTTTCGAGAAAACGATTTGGTGATTGTAAGATATTGGCAATGATTTACCTTTAACCCGATACTCGGTAATAGTAGGAAATGTCGCATGTCGTCTAACGTTGAGAGATAATAAAATTCAACAAAGAATGTCTCTTTTATTTGTCATTTACACTACCCTTCACTCTCCACCTTTACAATCTCCATCTATGGATGGCTCCCCCCTCCAAATTCCCCCTTCAATTTGTAATCCTTTACTTTTACTTCCTCCAATTTATCAAACCTCCTTTTTTTGAAAACCAGGAGTGTAAGTTATTAACAAAAGTCTTCAATTGGATATTTCTATTCTTTTTATATCTCCGATATTGTTATAAGGAAATATGTTACTGAAGAAATTATCACATCAATCAAGAAGGATTATTTATATTAAGTACTCAATTGTTCCTAAACCATTATGTTGCATTGGAAATGCTATTTACATCAGTACTAGAACAGCCACACATGCTGATTCTTCTTCTCCTGGTGCTATCACCAAACAATCAAGTTCAAGATGTTTTACAACTACTTCATTCAAGATGGCCAACCAAATTGAAAATGATTATGAAATTGATTTAATCTCATTAAAGAAGAAACCAAAGAAGAAGGCACAAAAAGATATAGAACCAATGTTTAAGTTTGATGTTCCAGATTATAAGATTCCAGATTTGAAACTATCAGAATATCAAGAAGTATATGAAGAAGGTACTAAACCAATCTATGAAGAATTTTGTGGACGGTTTAATGAACCTGAATTACCGTTCACAGTGAATGAACTAAGAGATTTATGTGAATATGCGTGCGCAAATACTGCTGAATCATTATCAGATGTGTTGACTTCATTTGCTGATAAACATAAACAGTCCGTTAATCACCAAATTATGGTTAGTATTTTTCAGCAGCTTCTAGATTCTCACCCAGTTTTTGAGTCACATTTCAATACACTCATGTCTCAAACAGATAATGTTAAGTTACGGCTAGAAAGATTCTTTAAAAGTGGCTTAGGTTGGTTTAGTAATGAATTAAAGGGATTCTCTGAATGTAAGTCAAAAAAGCAATTTGATAAAGAGTTAAATAGATTGATCTTCAAATATGAACAAAAATTGCCCAACTATCATACAGCGAGTCCAAAATATTTAAGAATTCTTTTTCGAGTAACCAGATTGAAGGAATTGCGAAAGATTTTGAATTCACTTGATTATCCATTGGAAGAAATTAGATACATTGTGAATTTATCGAAATTTGAAGACTGTAATAAAGCAATTAAAGAAAAGAATTTGTCAGCAAGCAATTCTTTAAAGGGCTTATGTCACTTCTTAAATTGGTCTCACTTAACCAAGTCTAATGGAAACTATACAGTTTTATCTGAATTGCAACATTCAATTGAATTACATGAAGTTCCGTCTATATGCGAGCTGGTAAGGAACCATCTAATAATGACCATCTTAAAAGACCCAGACGCTAAGATGTCCACTTTAGACCCTTCGGATTTTAAATTTATTTGGGACTCCGAGAACAACACAATCAATTTCATGTCTAGCTTAATGATGTATTCGGGCTTAACTCCCGAGGTTTTGAAAACGTATATTGCACAACATCTTGACAGGGGTTCCTCACGTAAAGAGCTTCATAATCAGTTACGCAAGTTTACCTTATCCAATCTTGAAAAGAAACTTGGAGGCAATTATTATGATTGGATTGTTGATATTCTAAGTGATAATGAATTTGAATTGGCTTTCCTTAATATTATGCCAAATTTTGGATGTAGAAAGTATGAATGTTTTCCTGATATTATCCCCTTTGCCAGTGAAATTGAATCTTTAAGTAGAAAGTATAAGTCAGACGGTGGGTTCGAGAAATTATTAGATATTTTAAGTAAAGATGAGAATACGAGTGATGAGCTCAGGAAGGTTCTTAGATCCTTCAACATGATTTGTTGTAACAAGACGGATATTTTGCTGGAATTATTATCCGACAAAAGGTTAGTTGAAGAGTACTATGATAAGAATTTCGATAGATTTATCAACGAGATAATCTTCATTCAGGGCTCTGCGAGACTAGATATTATTGAGTTCTGGCAAAAGATGGAACGCGTGATGTTAAATGGTGAGGACAAAGCTCCTGTCAATCTAAGACTTTCTCAATTTAATCGCTTGTGGGGTAGTTATGGATGGGAGAAAGGCAAAAAATTGCCACCGGGTAGAACGTTTTGCAATCTACAGGATAAGGTGAAGGCAGTGCTAATCAATCATTATGCTCTAGGTCGGCAATATCAACCCAAACAGGCTCAAGAATATAAGCAAATACCCGATGACTTGAGTATTCATGATTTTACTCCACAATTAGTGAAATTGCAAGCAAAGCTTGGAAGTTCGTTTGCTAATTTTTCGCCTGACCAAATTCTTGAGGCTTTGCAAAGCCAAATAGATGCTCTGTTTGAAAATTGCGACTCAGAAGTTTTGGCATCGAATAAACCTGTTGCGTTGAATGAACTTCGGTTGAAAAGCAGGTTGGAGCGTTTATTTGATACAAATGGTGGGAACACTCAAGTATTAGATCTGGTTCTTAACTCCCAAGCGGTATTTGAGAAATTTGAAGCATCTAAATCAGGCAATAAACTTGATCAGAAACAAATTAAACCTCAAGAATATAAGCAAATCCCAGATGATTTAAATATTCATGATTTTACTCCACAATTAGCTACGTTAAAGCAACATCTTGGAACTTCATTTGCTAGTGTGTCACCAAAACAAATTATTGAAACCTTGCAGAGTGAGATAGATGCCCAGTTTGAGAATAGCGAATCTGAAGTCTTGGCATCGAATAAGCCCGTTGCATTAGATGAACTTCGATTGAAGAATAGGTTAGAACGTTTATTTGACATAAATGGTGGCAATACTCAAGTATTGGACGTGGTTCTTAATTCCCAAGAGGTATTCAAAACATTTGAAGCTTCGAAAGCAAGTGCCGGCACAAATCAAAGAGAATACAAGCAAATCCCAGATGATTTGAATATCCATGATTTTACTCCGCAGTTATATAAGTTGAGATCAGCGCTTGGATCATCATTTGCTAGCATGTCGCCAGACCAGATTCTTGAAACATTACGAAGTCAAATTGATTCCCTGTTTGAAAAATATGACTCTGAAGTCATGGCATCTAACAAGACTGTGTCTTTTGATGAGATTCGGTTGAAGAAAAGGTTAGAACGGTTATTTGACATTAATGGTGGAGATACGCAAGTTTTAGATCTGGTTCTTAATTCCCAGTCAGTGCTTGAAAATTTTGAAGCAACTAAAGTTGGGGCTGCTCTTAAGAATAAACAAAGTGAAATTCCTAGTCATGAGGAATCTATAATCTGTACTAAGAAGTTTATGGACTCGATTAAGAAGGATTTAAAGAAAAAGAATGATTCTAACGAAAGTCAACCTAATGAGAGACCAAGTACACCAGTTGAGATTGCAAGCGGAATTGATGAAGGGCAACTGGAAGCCAAATATGCCCATATTAATGAATTATTTTCTAATTTAGATAAAGAATCCACTCCTGCTGATTTGTCATTTGGTGGGTATGGATCCATGATGGAATCATTGATGGGTGCAATTAAATCTACATCCACTGGAAATGGTCCTCTTCAACCACCATCTCCACCATTGTTTATTTCCCTTTCCTCCAAGAATGAGAAACGCAAGGCAAACCAGAAGAGTGTAAAACCTCCATCGCCACCTCCAGTGATGTCAACTTCCAAGAAGGATGGAGATATGAAGAAATCAGCAGAAAACGTGCGTCCTCCATCTTCACCTCCAGTGGTTTCAACTGTTAAGAACGATGGAGCTATGAAGAAACAGGCAGAAAACGTGCGTCCTCCTTGTCCACCTCCAGTTATTTCGAAACCAATTGAGATCACCATCGAAAAGGCAATACAAGAAGCCTTATCGCCAGATGCTGAAATCGGAGAACGTGCTGTACCAAAGATACCAAAGATACCAAAGAAGGAAGAACACTCTTCAGTTAATGTTTCAGCATTGGAAGATTTCTTACAACAGGCGCGTAAAGAGAATTACGATGTCAATAGGGCAAAGGATGCACTTGAATGGAGTACTTCTATGATGTATAAAGGTGAACCAGTTGAGAATGATTTTATTAATAATCCCAATACATCATTTTTATTATTGACAGTTGAAGGTGGTATTATCCCAGTTGATCGTGCTTCATTGGGTGAAATTAAGGAAGAAGATATATTTACTATTCTTAGTAAGTTTGAAAAACTGGAATTAACCCAATCATTGGGTGCAGTTCAAAGATTAAAACGTCATCATTGGAGAATGATTGGTAGTAGAACAGATGGGGATAAAAAATATTTCATCATGGCTAAACCTAAGCGGGCTAGAGGTTGGCGTATTATGAGGACTATTAAGACGATTTTGGCAATTATTGGGTCGATATTGATTACATTGGTGGGAATTAATTTCTTTGTAGATGATTTGAAGAGTATTGAACAGAAGAAGGAAGAAGAGGAGGATGAAGCAGAGAGGATTGCTGAATTTGAGGCATTGGCAAGAGATGTTTCGGGACCTTTCACATTGACAACTGATCCTGCATCTCTTGCAACACATCCAGATGATGAGGAAGATCTGTTGGAAGAATCTCAAAAGAATCAAGGTGCATGGTTGAAGAATTTACTCTGGAAGTAAATTATTTGAATGATTTTAAGTTTGTCGTTTTTTATAGTTATCAATTTTTCATTTAGCATAAATAAGTTAAACAATCTATGATTTTAGTAAACTTTTACAAGGGGTTCTATTTGAACTGCGTTTAGAAGATTAAGGGCCTATCCATCTGATTCTACTCAATAACTGTACATCGCAATGACTCGTCTATTAAATATTCTATAAATTATTTTCGTCTAATTAGTATGACTTCCAGGTACAATCTTGAAAGATAAAATGTCATTCTTTCCTACATCTACGGTATCTTCTTCACCAATTTTTCTTCCACCAACACCTTCAATAGCTGCAATAGTTACATCTCCCATAATTTTTCTAGCTACTGAGATTACCGGCGTTCCCTTTTTAACCAAAATACAATCTCTAAATACATAATCTCCAGAATTCACCGTAAAACTATTTATATTTCTCACGGGGAAAATTGGAACTAATTGTAATAAATCAGCAGCTGCTTGTAATAATTGAACCACACCAGTTGATCCAAATCTATATAGTACCAAATCACGGATATTTTCAATTCGGTTCCTTAATTTATCATCAAGGGGTTTTAGACCTGATTCGGGACCTAAATCATCTATTGTATCTACAAATTCACTTCCTGGTTCATATTGTATATAATTTTGTGCTTTTAATTTCCGTAAGAAAACTTCAGTTATTGAAGAAGTTAAAATTGCTTTCAGTTTTGGATATTTTAATATAATTTTAGATACATTTTTATCAGAATCAGGATGATCCATTTTATTTAATGATAATACGGTGGGGAATTTTACTTGCATAAAAGTTTTCACCACTTTTTCAATTAATTCTTGATTCCAATCTTGTAAAGGTGGTAAACCAGGTAATAAATCTAAAGTTTGACCAATTAATTTCTTATTGGCAGAATATCCTCCTAATTGTTGACATAGGGTATCTAAAGTACTTGATTTAGTTCCAACATGTTTCCTTACCACGGAGGGCCATCTTTCAGTTAAATTCCCCAAAATCCATCTAAAAATTTCATCTTGTAACCATTCAATATCTTGTAATGGATCATAACCTCTAGTAGCTTTCCCCTCGGCATCAGTAGTTCCACTAACATCAACAATATGAATCAAACAATCAGCTTCCGTCAAATCTCCAAGGAATTTATTCCCCAATCCACGACCTAAATGAGCATTGGGAACTAAACCTGCAACATCTAATAACATTATAGGTACTCCTCTTTTCCCATTTCTACAATAACCATAATTTGGTTTACAATTAGCTTGTAAACCAAATCGACTACATGCACAATCAATTTCAAGATATCCAGTGGCTTTATTTGGATCAATGGTTGTGAATGGGAATGCACCTACTTTTGCATGGGCGTCGGTTAAAGAATTTAATGTGGTTGATTTCCCACTAGATGGTTTTCCTACTAAACCTATAACTATTTCTCTACCCATATTATTCTTGTTATATGTTTTCTTAATTTCAATGGTGGACCTAGACCTACAAACTAAATGAAAAATTTTTGTATAAAAAGATGCGCTTAAATTTATTTTTATTTTTTCGGTTGAGTCTTTGTATAAAGAGAGACTGGAGATGCAATTGATAAATATGAGAAAAGTATCTGGAACGACGATCTGCAGTGTCATCCATTATGGTTGGAGTATAACACCAGTAGGATATTATCATTGGATACTATATGAATATATACAATTTGAGGTTGTTGGAAGATTGAAAGAGAGAGTGGTTCCACGCTTTGAACGTGCCAAACAAGTAAGCCGTAGTATTTCACAGTTGATTTACTGGGAGGCGGGGAGCTTCGAACAGAACATGATAGTTAGCATGTTGGGTATGTATTGACTCTAAGTTATTTTTAATTGCACATTCATTAGAATATGATAATTATAGTTCTATGGAGATTATCAGTAAAATATAGGTTTGATGGTAGCGCCATCATAGAAAGGAGGCACTGGCCCTGGCTGGATTGCTGCGTGGGGGGCTAGACTCATAGACTGAGTAACAAAAAAAAATAAAACAGAACAACACATAATTTCATTCAATCACATCCCGATTCATCCTAATCTTAATTGAAATATATAAGAAGAAGAACAAGACGAACTGAATCAATTAAAATATAATGGCTCTTAGTGTTGGTACAATATTTGGTAATATATCTGGAGGACTTTCCAGTGATTTTAAAAAGAAGAATTTCTCAGTTTACGGACAATGGATTGCAATTATTACAATCTTTTTATGTTTAGCCTTGGGAGTTGCTAATATATTTCATTTCAATTTAGTAATTATATTCTCAATTATATGTATAGTACAAGGCTTAATTGTTGTATTTGTTGAAATGCCATTTTTACTTAAAATATGTCCATTAACTGATACATTTGTTAATTTTGTTAAAAGATTTGATGATAATTTACCAAGATGTGGATTCTATTTATTGAATGGTGTTATACAATGGTTAAGTTTAACATTACAATCAACTAGTTTAATTGTTGTTGCTGTATTCTTTACCCTTGCAAGTTTCTGTTATGCAATGGCATATTTTACACATCAAGAATTTATGAAATCAACATTAGATGTTAGTGGAAGTAGTAGTGGAAATCAAACTGATTTTGAAGCTCAAGTTGGTCAACATATTGTTAGAAATGTATTATAGAGAGTTTGTAGGACATATTTTCTTTTTATCACACTCTTCTCTTTTCCCTCCCCCTGTTCCTTTTATAAATTAAATATAACTAATAAATGTGTTTGCCGTCTGCTATCTTTCTTCATGTATCATATTGAATGTATTCCTAACTTAATCAAACAGAGCTAAAGATTTTACAATAAAACTTTGCGTATGAACCTCCAGTAGTACGTAAGGTTCCTAACTGATGTTAATGCTTAGGCAAATAAAGGTACGTAGGGCAAGAGCTCGAGTACTAAAAGTGATTTGACAATTAGAAGATCCTTAATTAGAACTTTATTATCTTCAATTAAATGAAGTGGTTTTGTTTAAATAAGGTAAATATTCAAAGCCACTAATCTTAATTGAAGACAATAAACCTTTGCCTTTTGGGTGTTCTATGTCCTAAGATCTGACAGTTACATATAATCTGTACAGTAATTAATCCAAAAACCGTTGCCATTTAGAACAAACTGTCAAATTTAATAGAAGGAAAAAAAAAAGAAAGAAAAAAAAAAAACAAAGAAAAATTTAGAATTCATCATCACATCACATCACATTTCAACGGTAATTAATTTTATATAAGTTGACACAATACTTTTACTACTATACATATTCATATCATGTCAGGTATACTACCATATGTAGAGGATACAGTACCCTCTAAACTAAAACGAGGGAAATATACTGAAAAATCAGATCATCACGATTCACCATATCAACCGCCAACAACAACATCACTTTCCTATGATCAAGTAAATGATAATGCCGATGAATTAATAGAACTCAGAGGAGAAGGAAGATACTTTGGAGTAACCGACCCATCAAACCCCTCTCAAGCATTAGGCCCTATCTGTGCAAATTGTCATAAAAGAGGTCATTTGCGTGCTAAATGTAAAACAGTAATTTGTCATAAATGTGGAATTGTTGGTGATCATTATGAAACTCATTGTCCTACAACTTTAATATGTGCAAGATGTGGTGAAAAGGGGCATATTGCAATCAACTGTAGTAGTAAAGTTAAAAAAAGACTGTATTGTCGAAATTGTGATACATTTACTCATGGTGATGAAAATTGTCCAAGTATTTGGAGATCATATTTAACTAAACGTGAAACTGATAATGATGAAAATAATGAATGTCTGGCATTACCGGTTATTTATTGTTATAATTGTGGAGATAATGAACATTATGGTGATGAATGTCCAAAATATAGAACTTCAAGAATACCAAATGTAGGTTCAGCATTTAGTGGAAGTAATTTACCTAGAAAATTCCGTCCATTATATTTTTCAAGACTTAAGAGTAAGAGTAATATTGGTACTAGTAGTAGTAGAGGAGGAAATGATAGTTATTATAGACCAGAAAGTGCAGTTACAGATTATCAAAGTGATTATTCCCTGGGTACAAGAAATTACTTCAGCAACAACAACAACGATTATCTGAATTCATTTGGACAATATGAATTGAATAATAATTATAATAATAAAATGCCAAGTCGATCAGGATATATGCCACCAGCAACAGTCAAAGGAAATAATAGTGCAAGCATGCATAAAGCTAATAGTTTTAATGGCAGACCAATAACAAATTTTAGTTTACCTACAAGAAGTGGAACTATTCGAAAGATTGTTTCTATGGACTACGGTGATAATAATAATAACAATAATAATAAGCCAAAGCAGAAGCAAAATCATAATAATAATAATGGAGGTATAAATAAACCAAAGCAAAAGAAACAGGGAAAGAAATCTTCAAGGCAAGATCTTAATGGTCCAACTAGATCGGGGTTGATTACAGAAAGTGGTGGTAATAAAAAGAAGCCTGCAAGATTTATGAGATATTAGATTTCATGTATTTATTGGCTAATTAGCTATTATAGACCTTTTCAGTTGTATTAGTATTACTATTATTGTATTAGAATGTGTATATGCTAGAAATCAAACTAAATCAAGGGTTAGTGGTTTGATGGAATAACTTGTCTATGTTTGGTCAGTTGTTAAAATTCTGTAGTGTATTAATTGACTAGATTAGAAATATCATAATCTATAAAGACGCTTATCTTATTCCTGGTCATCAAATCTTGATTGCTAAATATAAAAACGATAAGATGTTCTCAATTCAAAATAAGATAGGCATCTCTATTGATTATCATATTCCGTTCCCAGCCGATTAGGGCACGACATAATTACCAAATGACACTCTTTTTTGTAATTACACTAGTTGCCAGAACATGCTTGAAGTTATACTTCCTTGAAACGTGGATTTCCTAATTTTTAGTTTTATCAATTTCTCATTAACTTGTGTTGATACATCCAGACAAAATAAGGGGGTTTTTTGGAGCCACTGTTTCAGTAATTTACTAGTTGTACATGCCACACTAAAGAAAAGGGATTATCATGAGTTAGTATTCGTTTTGCTTTGTTGATACTTTAAGTTGTTTACTTAAGATTCTTCTTTTTCAAAATTTTGTAATCCATAGAGTAGTACCATATGGGGGTGGTTGTAGAGTAATTAAAAGAGATTATTAAAAAGTGATACTTAATATATAAATTCTTATTGTTAACTATTCTATATAAATAACATGTAATTTAATGTGATCTAAATATTTATCATCATCAGTAGTAAGTTATTGTTTCCTTAAATTGTATGGGTTTTAGCATATCAAAGAAATTATTCCAATCCAATTGATGTGTAACATATTCCCACCCCCTAAAATTTGTTATCAGTTTTTTTTTTTTGGCAGGGTGGCCAGAGTCCACCACTCCCCCCTTAATTTCAGATGTAATATTATACATACCCTTATCTAACAATTTATTCTTTTTTACTTCTACTTCTTCTTCTTTTAGAATTATCAATTGAGTGTCTTTGACCAGTAGGTACAATAACCAAATGGGTTCAGAGACACCGTCAGAAATAGACAATACAACGCCTGCTACAACAAAGACACAATCCACCCCAACCACCACTGCCAACTTCCCCATCAATGATAATAATAATAATGACCACCACCAGTCGCAATCACATAGTGCTACTTCTCAATCTACTCCAAACAATACAACATCCTCATCTAATGACCAATCAATGCAACGTAGATCTCAATTCATGATCCCAAATGACATCCTCAAGAATCTCACTCCAATAAAATCAAAACCATCATCATATCGATATAATGACCATCTTCATCCAATCAAGAAAAAACAAGATCATTTAAAATCGATTCAATTCAAATTAAGGATCCGATCCCAGATGATTCAGAACCAGATTATGAAGCATAAACAACAACAACAACTGTATCGGGATATGAAAGTGAAACGATTGAGTCAGAGACATTTGGAGACTAGACGAAGGCGATTGGAATATTTGAAGATGATTAGGGAGAGGGCGAGGCGGGTTGTGTTTGTGAAGATGAATGGAGATGGGATGGATGGGAGGGGGAGGAGTAGTGGAAGATATGAGAGAGTTGTGTGGAAGAACGGTGGGAAAAAGCGTGTCGAGGGGGGAAGGGAACGGGAGGGTGGGCTTGGAATGGAGGAGGAGGTATTTGGGGGGAGAGGTAGTAGTTCTCGGGAGATTGTTAAATTTCAACGGATATGTCGTCGATATTTGTTTAATAAATATCTTAAAATATTAATCAAATCCCAATTTTTGAATGAATTTGAAGGTTATTCATTTAATCAAATTATTAATATATTAAATAATAATCATCATGAAATTACCAAGAGTATTTATTTTATATTAAATTATTTGAACGTATCGAAATTACGTGATTATGAATATAAATCATTTATGTATTGTTTTATTATGATTAATGACTTTAATGATTGTATGAAGGGTAATAGTCAATATCATCATCCTGCTTCTAATGCAAATGTGAATGATTATGATGAACGGTCAATGTTTTTTAATAATTCTATTTGGGTGATTGTTTATAAATATACGATATTATTGCTTGAAGAATTTAAGGTGGTGGTTGCACAAGGGAAGAAGACAAAGAAATTTGATATATATTGGAGACAATATAGTTTTTATTTCAAAGTGTTTAAATGGAATCATTATTTGAATATTAAAGAAATATTGATAAGTTCAATTGAAGGATTAAATAATCAATTTCAAATGATTGAAGATTTGGTAGATCCTATACGGGAACAATTGACTATTCAACAAATGAAATTATCCAATGAATTGACATTATTGAATAGTTATTCTGTACATGGATTAAAGCGGTTTATTTCCACCAATGAAGTGAATCAATTTATGAATAATTTGAATTGTAAAATATATGATAATCATAACAATTGTGATTATTTTATTATTAATAATTCAAGATTTATTAAATTCAATTCTTTACGGTTTTATATTCCTTATGTACCTATTTTCGATTGGAGGAAATATTGGTTTGATTTATATTTAAAGATTCATTCAAATAAGAATGAAATACCTAATAGAATAAAATCGGGATATGTTGAATCATTTGATATTCGAGAATATATTGATGTGAATGAAGTGACTAAACATATTAGTACATCACTACAAGATGTTTATCAACAGTTTTATCAATATTATACTGAATTTATACAAGACACAACATTAAAGAGGAAACTTATAGAGCAGGCACCACCTGAAGGAAAATCATGGAATTCGCTTGAAGAATTAATTAGGTTCTGTGAACCGGGGAATATGGTTTTGATAGATTTGATTAAGAATTATCAACAAGATGAAGCAGGGACAATTAAACAATTATCAATTGTTATTAATAATTATTGGATTAATAAGACTAAATTTAAGGATTTTAATCAATATCAACAATTTGATAATATTTATTTATTAATTAATTGTAATAATTTTCCAAATTTAAATTTTAATTGGTATACATTTAATCCACAATTATTATTTCCAAAATTTTATAAATCAATTATTGAATTAACTAAAGAAGATGATGATGATGATTATTTTATAATAAATGAAGATGTTGTAAATTGTTCATTTAAGAATTCTTTATTAAGAATAATTATAAATAATCCAATAACTAATATAAATGGTAAATTTTTCATGAATATATTCAATAAAATGATACTAAGGGGGAATATTGAAATTAATGAATTGAATGTTGTATTTTATGATAAATTTATTAGCCTACATTATAAATTAACCAAATTAATTGAATTGAATACATTTATATTAATGTATTTAAATTATTATCATAACCATCATACAGAGACAGTATCCCAGGGCCATATTTCACAAATTATTACTAATGAATCATTTAATTTAAATGAATATGATTCTAAATTTGTTGAGTATTATCAACAATTTAAATCATCAATAATTAAAATATTACAGGAAAAGTTATTAATAGCATTAAACGATCCATTGTTAAGTTATGACATTATATTAAAGAATTTTAAGTATTCCTGTTGTATTGATAAAGTTATTAAATTAATTGATGATGTTAATAATTTAAATTCATTTATTTATAAATTATATAATCCAATATTAAATTGGATTTATTTTGATTTAAAGTGAGGACTATCCATATATGAGAATATAGGAATATGTATGGGTATATAGGTATATGAGTATATGGCCATGGGGTATTAAGTCACATGATGGTTGCAAATTAATTTGCCGTAAGGTTTATTGTTGTTGTATTGTCCTGCATATAGACTATCTATTTAATTTAAGAATTCTTCTTTACTGATTTAATACCGCGCTTAATTTTTTTTCAAATTACTATAATTGGTTTGAGTCATAAAAAAAAAATTTTCATTCTCCATAAATTTCATATTTAAAGAAAACATTTTTTTTCTTTCTTTTTTTTTCCTTTCTTTCTTCTTCTTTTTCTTCAGTTCTTATTGGAAGTATCGTTACTTACTTAGTATTAACCTAACCTCATTCTCTATCAAATATGTTAAGACAAGTTACTAGAAGATCAATTAAAAGATTTTCTAATACTTCATCGTTATTACGTGCTTCTACCGTAATAAATGCACCAGTTCCACTCAGTGTCAGCAGTACCACTACCACCACCCAAAAAGCATTTATTTCCACTACTCCATCTTATTTATCGACAAAATCAACTGTTATTCAATTATTAAACAACATTGGTTCTAAAAGAGAAGTAGAACAATATCTTAAATATTTCACATCGGTATCTCAACAACAATTTGCCGTTATTAAAGTTGGTGGAGCTATCATTACTCAACAATTAGATGAATTAGCTTCTTGTTTAGCATTCTTATATCATGTTGGTTTATACCCCATTGTATTACATGGTACTGGTCCTCAAATTAATGAATTATTAGAAAATGAAGGGGTTGAACCGGAATATATCGATGGTATTCGTATTACAAATCCAAAAACTATGGAAGTTGTTCGTAAATGTTTTTTGGAACAAAATTTACGATTAGTTACTGCTTTAGAAAAAATTGGGGTTCATGCAAGACCAATTACTGCTGGTGTATTTGGGGCTGATTATTTAAATCAAGAAAAATATCAATTAGTTGGGAAAATTACTTCGGTTAATAAGACACCAATTGAAGCTGCTATTAATGCGGGTTATTTACCAATCTTAACTTCCCTTGCTGAAACTCCTTCAGGTCAGTTATTAAATGTTAATGCCGATGTTGCTGCTGGTGAATTGGCTCGTGAATTTGAACCATTAAAAATTGTTTATTTAAATGAAAAGGGAGGATAATATTTACCATTATGACCACTTTTTCAAAGACAATAATTAAATCTACTTCTTAATGAAGATTTATTAAAAGAAAGCTGGGTTAAATATGGTACTAAATTAAAAATTAAAGAAATTCATGATTTATTACAACATTTACCAAGATCTTCTTCAGTGGCAATTATTGATGTTGATGATTTACAAAAAGAATTATTTACTGATTCTGGTGCTGGTACTTTAATTAGAAGAGGTTATAAATTAATTAATCGTAATTCTTTAAAAGAATTTGGTAATCCTGATTTATTAAGAAATGCTTTATTAAGAGATCCAGAAATTAAAGCTGGGAAATTATCAGTTGCATCATATCTTAAACATTTAGAAACTGCTGAATTTAGAAGTTATGGGGATGAACCTTTAGAAGTATTGGCTATTGTATTACAAAATGATAAAGTACCTAAATTAGATAAATTTTTATCTTCAAAAACTGGATGGTTAAATAATGTTACTGATAATATTTTTAATGCCATCAAGAAAGATTTTAAATCTTTATGTTGGATAGTTAATGAAAATGATGCTAATTTAAGTTGGTATTTTTCAAAATCTGATGGTTCATTTGCTAAAAATGGAGAAATCTTATTCTGGTATGGATTAAATACTGATGAAATTACTAGTTTAATTAAAGAATTTGAAGTTTCTGCTATTGGATCTTCATTATCTTCTGCAAAAGAATCAGGTGTTTTCAGTACTCCACAACAAAAGAGAGGTTTCCATCAATCAACAACAAGATTTCATCCAACATCAAACCCAAATCCTCCATTACGTGAAGGTAAAAACAAAGAAAAGAGAAAGGTGGCATTAATTGGTGCTAGAGGTTATACTGGACAAAATTTAATTAAATTGATTGATAATCATCCATATTTAGAAATTTCTCATGTTTCTTCCCGTGAATTAGAAGGTCAAAAATTAACTGGTTATAATAAAGATAATATTGTTTATTCTAATTTACAAGTTGAAGACATTCAAAAATTAGAAGAAAATAATGATGTTGATGTTTGGGTTATGGCATTACCAAATGGAGTATGTAAACCATTTGTTGATTCAATTGATATTGTTAAAAACCCCAATTCAAAAATTGTTGATTTATCAGCTGATTATAGATTTGACACCACGGGACAATGGATATATGGATTACCTGAATTAAATGACCGTTCCAAAATCGCACAAGCTAAAAAGATTTCCAACCCCGGGTGTTATGCCACTGCGGCACAAGTTGCAATTGCTCCATTAAAAGATTACATATCTGGTATTCCAAGTATATTTGGAGTTTCAGGATATTCCGGGGCCGGGACAAAACCTTCCCCAAAGAATGATTTAAAAGTATTAACCAATAATTTAATTCCATATTCATTGACTGATCATGTTCATGAACGGGAAATTAGTTCTCAATTACAAACCCAAGTCTCATTCATGCCTCATGTTGCCCAATGGTTCCAAGGTATTTCTCATACCATCAATATCCCCATCAAAAAGGGGTCATTAACTTCTAGAGAAATTAGAAATATTTTCCAAGAAAGATATCAAGGGGAAGATTTAATCACAATTAGTGGTGAAGCTCCATTAGTGAAAGATATTAGTGGGAAACATGGGGTTGTAATTGGTGGGTTTGCCGTTAGTTCACAAGCTGATAGAGTGGTTATAGTGGCTACTATTGATAATTTACTAAAGGGTGCAGCAACTCAATGTTTACAAAATATTAATTTATCTCAAGGATATGGTGAATATGAAGGTATTCCAATTGAAGTAGTTATTAGAGGATGATTTATTAGTAGTGTGTGTGTGATTTATTTAGTAGTTTATAAAATAGAATTGTATTTTTCATTGCTTAGAATGTGATCTTACTGTAGTGTATATCATTACCATTTAATGGCATTCCATCACTTCAAGCGTAAAACTCTCTGTCTATTTTCATTTGGTAGCTCGGCAATCCTGACTCTGTTTCCATTTGGTAGCCCATCGGATATGAGTCAAAAAAAAAATTTTGGTTGTTTCTGAAAAAATTCAACTGTTATAAAAAAATTTCAATTCTTACATCTACAGTGACATTTAGGTCAATAGGCTGCAAAAACAAACCCATAAAATGACTACTGATGCTACCAAAAGACATGTCTTGATGATAGACAATTATGATTCCTTTACTTGGAACTTATATCAATACTTACATCAATCCCCAATGTGTGGGAAAGTCGATGTTTATAGAAATGATAAACTTGATATTGAAACCATTGAAACTCAAATTAAACCTGATATTATTTTCATTTCACCAGGTCCTGGACATCCAATAACTGATTCAGGTATTTCTAGTGATGTCATTAGACATTTTACTGGGAAATTACCAATATTTGGAGTATGTATGGGACAAGAATGTATATTTGATGTATTTGGAGGTGATGTCACTTATGCGGGAGAAATTGTTCATGGTAAGACAACCACGATTAAACATGATGGTAAAGGGATGTTTGAAAATGTTCCACAATCAGTTGCTGTGACTAGATATCATTCTTTGGCGGGTAGTTCTAAGACATTGCCTGAATGTTTGGAAGTTACTGCTATTACTGAAACTTCTCCAGAAGTTATTATGGGGGTTAGACATAAGAAATATACCATTGAAGGGGTTCAATTCCATCCTGAATCTATTTTGACTGAATCTGGTCAATTAATGATTGATAATATTTTGGGAGTATATGGAGGAACTTGGGAAGAAAATGATTCAATTAAAAAGGGTACCAGTTTTGATAAAAAGGAAAATATCTTGACAAAGATTTATAAACAAAGACAATTAGATTATTCAAATATCGAAAAATTACCTGGGAAATCATTCGAACAATTAGAAATTGAATTATCTTTAGATATTGCTCCACCTTTAATCAATTTTTATGATCGTCTTAAATATACTCAATCAGAATTGAAACAAACGATTATTTTATCGGAATTCAAACGTGCATCTCCTTCAAAAGGTGATATTAATATCCAAGCTCATCCAGGTAAACAAGCATTAACTTATGCTACCAATGGATGTTCTACTATTTCAGTATTAACTGAACCAACTTGGTTCAAAGGTTCATTAGATGATTTATCATTAATTCGTAAAGTAATTGATAAACCAAATTTATCAACCAATTATAAACGTCCAGCAGTTTTAAGAAAAGAATTTATTTTTAATAAATATCAAATTTTAGAAGCAAGATTAGCAGGAGCAGATACAGTTTTATTAATTGTTAAAATGTTAAATGATTCTAGATTATTACAAGAATTATATGAATATTCTTTAAGTTTAGGTATGGTTCCATTAGTTGAAGTTAATGATAAACCAGAATTAGATCAAGCATTAGCATTAACCTATAATGGTGATAATAGTGAACCATTAATTATTGGTGTGAATAATCGTAATTTGACTACATTTGATGTCGATTTAAATACTACTAGTTCATTAGTAGATGCTGCTAAGAATAATAGTGGTAGAAAGGGAGATGTTTTAGTATTAGCATTAAGTGGTATTACTACTGTTGAAGATGTTAAGAAATATAAATATGAAGATAATGTTGATGGATTTTTAATAGGTGAAAGTTTAATGAGAGCTGAAGAAAAAGGACAAGCTGGTGAATTCTTGAATGAATTATGTAACTGTTAGAAGATGTAAGTATTTAAGTATAGACAAATGAACTTTATTATGTTTTATTACCTTGTAGTGTCATTGTTTAAATGACTTAATTAATTAAGAAAATTTGCAATAAAATGTGTTATTTTTGCAACATATGGGTAATCATCCACTGTCAAATATTTTCTAAATCTTCTATTGGTCATAATAAAGTCAGCACCATTCACCTTAGAAGTCATTTTCAAAGCCAATAACTCATTTCAAATGGGAGCTCTGATTTTTTTGATTACCTGGTTCTGGGTACTATAGACACCCAAAAAGTTTCTTGCCGAAATACTTGTGACTTGGCATAATGAATAGCCTTTTGACAGACACTACTTACCGTTCACCAAGAGGACAATTAAGCTTTTCTACTTCCTAATTCTTGGCGATTGTATGTATCAAGCCTGGGTCTTGGCATATTTTTCAATTAACTATTAATGGAAAGTTACAATTGCAATCTCAAAGTATGTAAATATAATCTGGTGATTTTTACCACCAATTATTAAATTAATTAAATTAAAAATACTAACTCTATAAACTCTATTAATACACTTTGTTATAATAAACAAACAAATTACTCTATAAACGCCATTTTAGGATATAGCCCATTTCCCTCTCTCTACTATGCAAAAATTAATAATTAATAACCTTCTTTCTCTATAACTCCCTTATCTCTCTCTTTCTCTATAATTAAACCCCAATCATCATTTCCTTCTTGACCAAAATTTAAAACTTAATGAAGAATCTTCTTTTTCTTTACCACTTTCAATTGGACTCATAGTATCAGGATTAGATTGATTATGATGACTATGACTAGGATAAACATTTGGAGGAGTAACTACTTTCCCCGTCCGATTAGTATTCTCAGCTGCCGCTTTTAATTCTCTAAAAAAGAATAAGTTTGATAAAGAACTTGAACTTTCCTCAGCTTTTGATTTTTTGGAAGGTAATTGAGATAATTTATTAAATAATGAATGTGAACTATTTGATCCACTATTTGTAGGAGTTGCTGATGCTGTGGTGGTTGTTGGGGATGTGATTGCTGGACTTGGTGCTGATGTTGGTTTGGTAGGTGCTACTGTTGTTGGTGATGTTAATATGATTGGTGGGGTGGTTGGGGAGTTTGGGTTTGTGATGGGTGATACTAATTGGGTTATTACTTGATGGTTGTTATGATAGTTGTTATGATGACCCTTTGGTGAAAGTAGTTGTTGTTGTAAAGAATGGGAAGTTGGTGCTGTTGTTGGTGAACTCGATATGGTTGAATTATTGCTTTTAATTAATAATGAATTTGATTTAAATTTACTAACAAATGAACTATAACCATTCTCCTTAAGCAATGCAAAAGTTTCATTTCTTGCTTTAATTAAAACCAAGGGATTATGAATTGAATTATTAATTGATTCTTCTGCAATTTCTTTAAATAATTTTTGAGAGATATTAATTTGACAAGTTGAATCAATTTTAATATAAGTATTCATAATATAATTCCATTGATTCATTAATACTTCTTCATCTTCTTCATCATCTTGTTGATAATCAAATTCACTTTCAGAATCATCGTCAATTTGTCTTGATCTTAACTCTTCCCATATATTAGCATTAAATTGAGCATATTCATTAGCATCTAAATCGTCAGCCATAAACATTCCATCATCATTATTTATAGTACAAGATGAAGTTGTGGTAATGGAATTTCTTTTGGAACTGTTATTACGATATGAAGGTTGTATTATTGAATTAAGTGATGCATTAGATGACATATATTTAGCTAGACTTGGACTTGGAGTATGATTTAATCTATGTTCAACTGATTCATGATTATTATTATAAAGTTTATTATAATAAAATTCATATTTATAAATATCAATTAAGAAATATAAGTTTTCTTGACAATGTTGTTTAATTAAATATTGCATAAATGATTCAACTATTGATAACTTATTAAGATCTTCAAGTTGATTTATTGTATGTAAAAAACAATCATTAACTAATTCATCTAATGGGGGGATAACACTAGGTGAGCTTGACCTCGAATTAGAATTAGAATTAGAACTATTGGTACTATCACTTGGTTGTAAAGTTGGTGGCATCCCAAGTTGAGTATCTATGTTGAGTAAAGGATTGGTTATACATTGTGGTTTAGTGGGTATAGGGTTATACGTCTTAATCGATGATATGGAAGTAGACATGGAATCTTGTGCTAGTAATGCGTTAGAAGATGCGGTTGTCAATGTTGTGTTTGTAGTAGAAGACGCTTTCATTTTCAGCTGTGGATGTAGTGTAGGACTGTTATTCGGTATGGATGGAGTAATACATGTATCAGGAGTATGACTGGTTGTGTTTGTGGAAGTAGGAGTAGGTATGCTCGGTGTGGTATTATTATTATGCTTATTATTATTATGACTATTCATTCCATATATATTATGTGCTCTAGTGTATGAATGAATGAATGTGTTAGCACGAGTATCTAAGTAAGCTAATTAACCTCTTTTGATAATGATAAGTGATGATTAATGATATTTAATGGTTAATAATAAAACTGCTAAATGGAAAAAAAGAAACTTTTCCAACTGTTAAATAATAAATCAGTTTTGTTGCTAAACAAGAAAAAATTGTGTGTGTAAAAAAAAGAAATTAAAAAATTGAAAAAAGAAAAAAGAAAAAAATTAGAAAACCGTTTTATTTTTTAACTGCATGTAAAATCTTGAATAACAACCGATTATCCAAAAGTACACGACTTAGTTTTTGTTTTTGTGAAAATTGCAATTTTGTTTCTGCCTTCTTCTTTTGTGATACTCCGACTAATTTTTTTGTGTATTTGTAGTATCAATAAGAGATACGGATTACCAGGAGATAGGAGTTTTCGGAAGGGTTATCTATCATCAGAGATATATATATATATAAATATATATCCCTTAATAAATCTAATACCAAAGATCCTCCTCTGATGATGATAGTGGTGGTGGAATTTCATATCCGAAACGCAAATCGTAAGATTTTTTATTTTTGGGTTCCACCCTGAAATAGTTTATGTTAATTATTTTCTTAATTACAAAAAGTGAGATGGTGCAATAAACCCCTCATCCGTCGCCCCCCCCCCTCTATTCTGCCCCTCGCCATCGCGCCCAATTTCAAAAACTTTGGGAAACATGAAACGCATATAAGTGCAGATGTTCTTCGTTTACTCAAATCAATTTTAATACTACATTGATTATTTCTAGTTAAACCCACAGTTGCTATGAATAGCTATGGGAAATATTTGATTTCCACGGAGATACAAATGTATGACCGGTTTTATAGACAACCACACTAACGAAAAAAATAATAATAATACTGTAAAAAAATAATAAAAAAACAACGTGTATTTTTGACGTCGGATAAACAATAAACTAATAATTTTCAAATTATTAAATGAAAAAATAATTACATTAATAGAAAAATGATAACGTGTCTTTCTTTTTAATTTATTCTAGAAAACTTCATAGTTTTCTTCTATCATTGCTAAATTGTCATCTCGATTAAAAATTAGGCTCTACGGAAGGAACAAAAACGGTTTACTCCTCTTTCCTTTTTTTTCTTGCAAGTTTATGCTAGAATGACATGTTTCAACATGCAATTGGAAATCAAAAAAAATCTTTTGTTGGGAGATCCCCCATCTCTCTAAGCATCCTCAAGATTACTCTTTTGAAGTAGATCTCCTCAAATTTACTTTTTTCATGGTAACTTGAGCTAATATCGGGGTTTGGAATCCATATCTCGGTATGCATATTGCGGAGTTTATTAATATAAGATAAGGTACATATGCATATCGATGACCGTTTTATTGTCATTTCAGTAGAGGGGTACGCGTTTTTCATGCGAGAAAAATGAAAAATGAGATAACCCCCCATCATACCCCTCATAGGGTCATCACTCCGACGGTTGTAATGGTGATTAATGTAAATAACGTTGATGAGATAAAAGATGTGGTTCGATTTCACATGTATGATTATTTTTAGCAACCTTCTTAACTCGACCAATAATAATTCACTCCACGTTTTTTGTTTAATCAGCCAATGATGATGTGATAAGGGTTGTCAGTCCGATAAAAATAGTTTGACAATTGACGTTTCTGTTGGCGTGTCAATATGGAATGCACAATAGGCTTTGATAAAACCTTACAATGGTCTTTTCGCGTATCTTTTCGCGTATTCTATCTATTCCTGGAAGCCTATTTAAGGTTTTGATGGACATTATTTAAGGTTTTATTCTATAAATAAAAAATTATCACGCGATTTGGAGCCCAGATTGAATTATGCATCAATGATTAATTCAGAAATGAGATTCTCCTGTTCCCCGGGATATATCATTCGATTCTCCAATACTTGTAAGGAATGGTTATGTACTCCTTCCTAATTGGGCGATCGTGGAGATTATAGACTATCGTCGTATGTACATAGTACGGCTGCTGTGGGCGAGGCTACTGTGAGTAACTGTTCCATTACGGTGATTTCTGAAAATTCCCTGATCCGTTCTCTGCCTTCCCCGTTCCTACACCTTTTAGGACTCGAGGATAAAGCTTTTGGGAATTGGTTGGAGAACTATCTGTCTTTATAGACCACCTGCAACTCTTGGTTGGCCTCGGAATTCCTAATACATGTTCACTGTCGATCCATCATAAGATTGTCTAGCGCTTCCACCATTCAAACAACATTCTTGTTTCGTATTTCTAGTAAAGACCTTCCAAGCTTACAATACTGAGGGTAATCGGTGTGTAATTGAATTACATCTGATCCTTCAGAAGGGTGATTCAACTACCAAACTACCCTTGGTTGCAAAAGAAAATTATCAAAGTCAATTCATACCAAAGAAGGGTTATGAAAGCTAGACAATAATCAATGCGATACACTATCCCCTCCCAATTCGGGTTCGTCTGTTGATTTTGCCCCTACTGAACTTCACCGCCTCCAGTACCTGATCCCCCTTTGGGTCCTCCAGTCCCTCCTAGTACTACACCTGCTCACTCTAATCTCAACCAACATCATCTGCTTATATTTTTGTTTTCTTAATTCCTGTGGCTAAAGTTTAGGATAGTGAAGATATAGCATTTGCGCGTGGTTGGAAAGTTTCCAATAGGACATTTAAAAGCTCAAGTTTTCAAATAGAAGTCTCCAGATAGAAGCCTAGCACCCACACCGCGTTAAAATCTTTAAGGGGGGTATCGAAGAATATGTAAGTAGATAATCTGGAACATACTCTTTTGTTAGGTATTGGATTGGTTATTATGTGGGCTTGTTGGTCACTTCTCTGTGTCCTCGCTATGAAAGCCTCACAACGGCATTGGCTGTGCTGCGTATCAAAAAGAGCACGATTATTATGATTTTACAGTAACATACTAAAGTTTAATTAAAATTATAGAATGAAACTTTAATTCTAGAACAAATTATATTTGTATGTAATTAACACAGCAATCTTACAACATCATATCAATTTAAAAAAGAAGGGGTGCGGCTTTTTTTTCCTTAATTATATTCCCCCGTAAAATTTAATTCTTGTATAATTCAATTCTTTCTTTAAAAGTTACATGCACCAATTAAAATGAGTTCAATTGTATTAGGTTCCACTGGGTTAGTAGGTGGTCAAATTGTTAAAGTTGCTAAACAATCAACAACACTTGAGAAATTAATCACAATCACCAGACGTCCTTTGCCTTCCGAAGAAACTGAAGATTCTTCATCCGCCACATCCAAGGTTATTTCAATAGTTGAATCCGATAGTTCCAAATGGCCCAATTTAATTACGGAACAAACCAAAACTGGTCCAATTGATGTATTCATCACTGCATTGGGTACAACTCGGGCCAAAGCTGGTTCTGCAGAGAAATTTAAGGAAATTGATTATGGAATTAATTATGACAATGCAAAGTCAGCTAAAGAAAATGGAGTCAAGACTTTAATTTTAGTTAGTTCTGGGGGAGCCAATCCTGATTCGAGATTCTTATATTTCCAAACAAAAGGGCAATTAGAGAAGGATATTGAAGCTCTCGAATTTGATAGAACTGTCATTTTAAGACCAGGGGTATTATTGGGGGAAAGAGAAAACTATCATGGATTTGGAACTAGTGCTGCTACCTTCGTGGGAAGATTGATCAAGGGAACATTCATGGCATCATTGATGAGACCTATTGAAGGACATGAAGTGGCTACTGTTGCAATTGATTTTGCAGAGAAAGCAATTAAAGGTGAATTGAAGGATAAGGTTACAATTATTGAACCAGCTGATTTGGTTAAACTTGCCAATACCTTACTGGGAAAGTAAAGGAACACAAATATTTATCCGTTTGATCTGATTTTCTTATTGCCTTGGCTAGTTTTATATGTTCATTGTTATTTGAACTCGTTTCCCTATTGTATTCTCTTTAATCTTGGAACTAATAAATAAATACATGGTTAACTTTTGTTGATTGACTCTTAGGTACCCGATATCACCGTTTCTATGTTCTCTCTCTTCGCATTCAAACTATGAAAGATGAAAATTTTTTTGTGATTTCTTCCCAGGGCAATTGCCAAGATCTCGATGCCCTTAAAAAAATGTACCATGTTTACCGAAACTCGGAGGTATAAAGGCATAAGGCTGTTACACATTTTTTTTTTTTTGATTCTCGTTTATTTTAAGAAGCAACCCTTTTTAATTACTAATCATTTATACAACAATTGGTAGGAGCAAGAATGTCAGACATACAAGCAGTGAAAGATTCAATTAAATCAACTAAATTATCTGATGAAAATGCCAAAAAATTGGCTGTAATTATCGATGGTTTACCAGACATCTTAGGTCAATTGGATAATCCAGAATATGATGAGATCTTTGGTTATAGAATCAATGTGGCAGATAAAGAATACGTTGATGTCCTGATCCGTAATGAGATCCTTTTGAAATTCCTTGCTGCTGATGGATATGATTTAGATTTAGCAAAAGAAAGATTAATTAATACTTTTAATTGGAGAAATAAATTCCAACCATTATCGGCTGCTTTCGATGAGAATTTCCATGTTGAATTAGTTGAATTGGGTGTTATAACTCATTTTAATAAAGATGTGAAATTACCAAATTTGGATATTGCTACTTGGAATCTTTATGGAAATTTAAAAAACCCAAAGAAAATATTTGAAAAATTTGGTGGCAAACTTCATAAAGATTTACCAGGAAGTGAATTCCTTAGATGGAGAATTGGTCTTATGGAAAGAGCACTTCAATTACTTGATTTCACCAATCCAGATTTAAACAGAATTGCTCAAGTCCATGATTATAAAAATGTATCAATTTTAAGAATAGATCCAGGAATGAGAGCAGCCACCAAAGAAATCATCAAGATTTTTGGTGATAATTATCCTGAATTATTATCAACCAAGTTCTTCGTCAATGTTCCATTGCTTGCTGGTTGGGTATTTACATTTTTAAAAGCTCTTGGAATAATAACGGAAGAAACATTACGTAAATTCCAGGTGTTAAATCATGGTGACCTTCTGAAATCATTTGGTGCTGATAATTTACCTATAGAATATGGTGGGAAGCTTAAGAAAGATTTATTTGCTTTAGAAGTGAGTAATGTAAAGTTGTCTGAATATGGTCAAGTTATCTTGAAAAGGATTGGTGATGAAGAAATCAAACATGTTAATGATGATGTTGAGTAGAATGGTTTATATATAATAATTTCATAATATTAATTGAATTTACCCATTTAGAATATTCCCACCAATTTTGTACATAGGATAAAAGAAAGTGATTATTACTTGGACCCTTACAGAGCTTACTGGAATAATAAGTTGTAAGACGCCGCAGGGTCTTTTCGTACTGTGGCCGCTTATAAATGTGCGTTCCAAAAAGGGGAATTTTTGCGTATTTTCCGAGGAAGGTTGTTTGCGCGGGGTGGTTCATCATCCCTCTCCTCATTTATTTTTCAAATTCTGATTTGATCTCTCTCTCTCTTTCTTTCTCTTTCATTACCACTAACCACCGAATATAATGATTAACTTAAAAGGAAAGACGGCACTTATCACTGGAGGTAGTGCAGGTTTGGGTGCTTCTGTCGCTCGTCAATTGGCTGCAGAAGGTGTAAACATCGCCATCAATTATGCCAATTCCAAAGAACGTGCCGAAGAATTGGTCCAAGAATTGAAATCAGAACATGGAATTAAATCAATNACATCGCCATCAATTATGCCAATTCCAAAGAACGTGCCGAAGAATTGGTCCAAGAATTGAAATCAGAACATGGAATTAAATCAATTGCTATTCAAGGAGATGTTTTTGATACTTCAAACATTTGCAAATTGGTTGAAGAAACCGTAGAAAAATTAGGTGGATTAGATATCGTTATTTCTAATGCTGGTTGGACAAAAATGGTTCCATTTGAAAATTTAGAAGAATTGGATGAAGAAATCTGGGATGGAACATTTTCAGCAAATGTCAAAGCCCATTTCTTCTTATTTAAAGCAGCCAAGGCTATATTTGATCAGAATGAAGAAGGTGGGGTTTTTATTGCATCAGCATCAGTTGCCGGAAGAATCCCATATGGATCAAGTATCCCATACGCTGTAAGTAAAGCCGCATTAATCCATTTAGTTAAGGCGTTGGCAAAATCCCAAGGTCCAAAATGTAGAGTCCATGCCGTATGTCCTGGTTTGTTATTAACTGAATGGGGGAAACGCTTCCCACAAGAAAAGATTAATAGAACTAAGGAAATGTCTCCTATAAAGGAAATTACTGATGTTGATGAATGTGCTGTCCAATTTGTCACCTTATGTAAATTGAAGACAAGCACTGGTAGTATTATTGCAATGGATGCTGGTATATCTATTTAAAGGTTTTCATTAATCCCCAATTTCTTAGAGTAGAGTCTGTTGTTTTATAAAGGTTTTTTTATACATTGAGGGAATAATACTTGTTTCTCGTTTGTCTAGCTCTTATGTTCTTTATATCTTTGACTACATCCAGCTATGCCTAATCTTTTTCTTAAATCTATTGGCCGGCTCCCAGGATTATATCCCCACTTGTCCGTCAAGGGGGGGGCTTACTAAGTATTGCTTTCGTTAGAAATAAACAGAGATATCGTAAAGAAAAGCTGGTTCTATATACAGTAACATTACAACTATGTACAAAGCCTTATAACTATATAGTATCTAAACCTAAAGATTTGGCAGTATTTTGCATGTACATTTCAATATAATCTTCAAGACCTTTTCCTTTCCCTCCAAACCTATCACCAATCAAAATCTGCCTTAAACGAATCAAATAAAAGATGACACCCGAGAACGATAATGATAATTTAATCTTAAATAAATCCCAGTAATCAGCAAATGTTAAATATTGCCTGTCGTACAATAACGAATCAATAGCCTCTTTCGTTAGCAAATTAATTCTATTGACTGGGGATCCGAAATTCTGATTTAAATTCTGAATCATTCTCATAGTCCTTGCCAAGAATGGTAATTCCATTGGGAATTTCTTCTCATCACTAATAAAATCTCTTAATAAAGAAGGAACATTCCTATCATCGTGAAAATCTTCATTTTGTGGATTAATTAAAACCGGACGTAACTGAACCATGCTTGCAAAAATTTCAACAGAATTAATTCCCCAACTTCTTCCAATACTTTTAATCCCAATGGTATCCAACAGGAATAAATATCTCCATAGATTACAATATTGTACCCGAAATTCTTCCGGTATAGTGATGTACAAACCGTGATCAATGAGCACGAGTTGTTGTTTCCCATTTTCATCAAATCGGGCAATAAGATTACCTGGATGCGGGTCAGAATGAACAAAACCATATTGAAAGATTTGTCTACCAAATAACTTCAAATATTGGACCATGATGGTAGTTAAGTTGAATTTTTCCTCCAACAACTTCTCTTTATGAATCAAAGAGATCCCATTAATCCATTCTGCTATCAAGATTTGTCTAGTAGTTAATTCAGGATAACATTTGGGAATGTATACATTCGTATGTTTCAAATTGCCATCCGATTTAATAAATTCATCTAACTTCTGTGAATTGTGCATTTCATGAACAAAATCAGTCTCTGTGATCATTTGTTCGGAAACATATTTCGTAAACATAGTTAAGGGCATCTCAAATACATGCTCATAAATCCTTGAAATGAATCGATAGATCATTAAATCCACGACGATCTGTTTATCTATATAATCATGTTGAATTTTAATCGCAACCTCTTGGCCAGTTGATTTCAATTTCCCTTTATGAACCTGGGCAATGGAGGCACTTGCAACGGGTGTCTTATCTATCCAATCAAAATGCTCTTCTTCGTATCCTTTCCCAAGGTTAATTCTTAACATTCGATCCATCTTTTCCCATTCATCAACTGGTGCTGAGTCATAAAGCTTAGGAAATCGTTCTTGATATGCACGAGGAAACAAGGTTCCTTGGTTAGCTATAGCTTGTCCCAATTTGATATAGAGACCTTTATTCTTCATCAATAATTGTAATAACCTCTCCGAGGCGATCTCATGAAGATCTTCAATATGGGGATAATTATGAATATTGTAACCATACTGATATGCAATCCAAAGTAAAACATACAATGCACGTGTTGATCTAGTGATAAGGGATGAATAGTAGATGTTGTCAATGATATAGACCGTGGTTGCTCCTGCAGTTATAATACTTGTGGGATAGACTACGTATCTGATGAATCTTGATTTCGGTACCAAGGGTCTAGTGTTGTTGATTCCTATTGTGGTGGTGGTGGTTCGTAAAAATCGTACAGATCGTTTGGATATAACATCCTTCAACGTACATGATCTCCACATAACTTCTTCTAGTGGACGAATATTAATATCAATGTCACTACTACCCAATACCACTTCTTATGCAAAAAACAGAAAATGTTAAAGTGAATTTTATATTAATTATTTTGTTTTGTCTTACTAGATATCTCACGACTCAGTCCAAGACAAAACTTATTACACAAAAATAAGTAGTACACCGGAGATTCGGGAATAAATATCTTAAATATCATCCCCGGCAATCTGCATCCTTACCTATAACACTTTCATATTTTCTTACTGGGATCTCGTTAGCCATCAATCCAATGATATCAACTATCTTGGGGGGGTTGTAATTCCAGTTATATTCCATTATTTGATTGGACTGTCCTGTTTGTGCTTTTTCGGATTCGAACAATACCCAAACCAAACTAACAGAATTAGGGAAACTATTCAAATATGTAACTAACTTACCTCATGCTGATGTTAACAGTCTTGAAATATCAGTTACTGCGTTCATATAGACTATTTCTTTCTTGACATTAACATGCTTTTCTATTTGTATCCTATTCTAAAAAATCTTGGGCTACCAGCTGTTGACCGTGATTTATTGTTGGAGTTAAAAATTAACAATAATTTAACCTTAGACTATTAAAGTTTGCTTAGGCTATTTAATTGACACTTTGCTTGTATAGCTCCCCCCATTCTGTGCTCTATGTAGTTTGCAAAAAGCACTAAGGAGAATCACCATTTGTGGATAGCAAGGGTGATAGACATTGACAAACTACAGATTTACTAATAGATACTGTATATTCGTGATCGACCATCTTAAAAGGTGTTCTCCTGTCTTAAGTAGCCAAATTTATTCAAGTTTATTATTAATCAGTTTGTGTTCAAGCGTTTTTGTGGTTATGGAGTAGTGTGTATGTAAAACAAATTTTGTGAAATAGGTTGCAAATTTGTGGTTGCAAAAAAATCTCAAGTATAAATAGACCTAGAAATCCCCTAGAATTCAAATTTTTTGTTTTCTTCTTTTCTCTTTTTCTTTTCTTCTTTCGTTAGTTATCTCTTTCCATATTATCACATCTTTCTTTCAATCATTTCCTTCATTCATTCATCTACTTCTTATGTCATCTATAATGTTGTTTTGTCTACTACCTCATTTATTCATTGCTTGTTCATTCTTTTATCCATTCATAAATTTGTTCCCGTCACAGATGGTTCCTTCTTATTCCATTCATTTTTTAGTTCATTCAGTCAGTCAGTCAATCATTGTATCCCACATTCCATACTTCATTTGTCTTCCGTCGTCCTTCACTTATTTCTTATATTATTCCATCTAACAAGCCATCTGTCACCAACTGAGTTCAAAATATAACCTTTCACTGCTTTGTTCTCGGTGCTTTCCTCAAAATATTGGATGGTATGGTACAACCTTTCCCAACCCTGGTAGCTTCTCTTTGTTGGATTAAGTAGCACGAAATAGGTTCGTATTGAGGCATGGAGATAATCAAGGAATGGAACAGTGACTGCCTGACTGAATGAGCTAATGAATGGATCTAGGAAGGAACTAGTCAGTTAGGGAATAGATAAATAGGTAAAATATATGGATAAGCGAATGCGTATGGAGAGGGAGACAGGGCAGAGCATGTCGTGTAGCAAGCGGAAACTATGATGACCGGAGTTCACCAAGCTGTGATCATATTTGTAAACTTCTCTTTGTAAACTTTACAACCACAAATAGATATTTCAACAAGCATTATTTCAACCACGTGTTAATCAAGTTGATAGATCAACGTCAGAATGTGATAAGACTAGAAGGGAGATTACTTTCCACAGTATTTGAAGCACATCGGAGGAGGGTCAAAAATTGGCCGCCCACAGAAATCCCTTTTTGTGGACTTCTTTTCGTAAACTTAGCAACCACAAATACGTATTTCAATACGCAGTATTCCATCCCCATGTTAATCAAATTGATAGATCAATGTTAGAATGTGATGGTTAGAGAAGAGAGATTACTTTCCACACTAGTTGAAGCAGATTGAAAGAAGGTTGAAAATTAGCCGTCCAAGGAAGTCCTTTTTGTAAACTTTGCAACCACAAAGAGGTTATAACACAAACTGAAGTTTCTCACTCTGAATCTAATTCAAAGGGAAATTATGGTACAAGGCGTGTATTCAGGGGTTCGGAATATCATGAACAGGAATCGGGGACCATTTGTGGCCCTTTCCGAAGTTATTTGTATTAGCCGCCCAATCATCAATTCCGTTTGTAAACTTCTGTTTGTAAACATCTTAACCACGAAAGCAAAGATCAACCCCATATTTCAATCAGCAATAAAATGATACACACCCGTCGCAGCATTCCTTGAATCACGTATAACATTGCCAGTCACGCGCTACCTCATTTTGATCATACTTTTGCCCAGTTTCACAACGGAAAGATCATCGGTAAATGGGAAGGTGGTAAATCAACAGTATTAGTATAGTTGTACGTTAATTCTACATAAACAGTATCCGGTGGCCAAAATAGATAGCATTATCTGTAATTCTATATAGAGAGTGATTCATAAACTTCTTTTTCCTGTTTTGTAAAATATGAAACCACAAAAGTAAACTTCAAACACAGTTTTCAATCACCATACGAAGAACTCTCGCAGCAACATTCTCTACGTCATGTAGAGCATTGGTCATAGCTTAGGTTGAATCATCAAAAGGTTTTGATGTTATTCAAGCATAAGTTGAACCTCGTAGGAACATATTGTCAGTTCTATTGTAAGATATATGTATTATAAGATTCATAATTCTGGATAAACCAATAAATATAGTCATGGAATCAGCTGTTGGTTAGATCTTATAACCACAAATACTTAGAGCCATAGACAAAATCCCAATCAGAGGGTGATCAAATGGAGAAAGAGTACTTGGAATACAGCCCATAGTAAATTTACATTCTTAAAATGAAGATCCTTAACAAAATATGAAATTCAAAAGTTCCCGTTGGGGAGACTTCATAAATTTTGGGAATTCTAGACTTCTTTTGTGGTTGCTAGGTTTGATAGAAATTTACAAACCCCTCTTTTCAAATACACCTTAGTTTTATTTTGTGTATGAAATTTTTGTGCAATTATAATAGTATAGTATGTAGAAAACTATACAAATCTGGGTGCAAATTCTTTGTGGTTGCAAAAAAACTCAGGTATAAATAGACCTAGAAATCCCCTAGAATTAAATTTTTTTGTTTTCTTCTTTTCTCTCTTTCTTTTTCTTTTCTTCTTTCATTAATTATCTCTTTCCATATTATCACATCTTTCTGTCAATCATTTCATTACTCATTCATCCACTTCTTATGTCATCGATAATGTTGTTTTGTCTACTACCTTTTGCCTCATATTCATTTATTCATTGCTTGTTCATTCTTTTATCCATTCATAAATTTGTTCCCGTCACAGATAGTTCCTTCTTATTCCATTCATTTTTTAGTTCATTCAGTCAGTCAGTCAATCATTCTATCCCACATTCCATACATCATTTGTCTTCCGTCATCCTTCGTCCATCCATCCATCCTTTTTCACTTATTTCTTATATTATTCCATCTAACAAGCCGTCTGTCACCAACTGAGTTCACAATATAACCTTTCAACTGCTTCTTTGTCGACAGTTTTCTCAGAATATTGGATGGTATGGTACAACCTTTTCAGCACTTGCAGCTTCTCTTTGTTGGATTAAGCAGCTCGAAATATGATGGCATTGAAGGATGGAGACAATCAAGGAAGGGACAATGACTACCTGACTGAATGAGCAAACGATGGATCACAGAAGGAGCTAATCTGTGAAGGAATAGATAAATGGGTAAAAGACATGGATATGCGAATGATGCAGTATGGGGCATGTGGTGTAGGCAGTGGGGGGGGAGGGGGGCGGGGCAGGGCAGGGAATGTGGTGTAGGTCCGGGGGCAGAGCATGTGGGTAGTGGAAACTATGATGCTCAAACCTGTGAATTCACCATGCTTCATATTCGTAAACTTACATGTGTCAACTTCCATTTGTAAATTTCCAACTTCCATTTGTAAACGTCATCGGTAACCTTCTCTTTGTGAACTCCTGTTTGTGAACCTCTAAACTTCCAGTTGTAAACTTCAGTTTTTGTACACTTCTGTTTGTAAACTTCTATTTGTAAGCTGTACAACCACAAAGCGAACTTTCAACAGCCTGTATTCCGGCCCAGATGTTACTCAAATTTATAGATCAAGTTCAGGTTGTAATTATAAGACAAGGGAGATTAGTTTCCACATGAATTGTACCAATTGAAAGTTTGCCGCCGAAAAAAATCCTTTTTGTAAACTTCGTTTTGTAAACATTTCAACCACAAGCAGATATTTCAACATGCAGTAGTTGCACTACATGTTAATCAAATTGATAGATCAACGCCCGAATGTGATGAGAAGAGAAGGGAGATTACTTTCCACGTAATAAGAAGCAATTTGGAGGAGGGTCGAAAATTAGCCGCCCACAGAAATTCCTTTTTGTAAACATCTTTTTGTAAACTTTACAACCACAAATAGATATTTCAACTAGCATAGATTACTTTCCATATGATTTGAAGCGAATTGGAGGAGGGTCGAAAATTAGCCGCTGAGGGCAAATCCTTTTTGTGAACTTCTTTTTGTAAACTTTTCAACCACAAACAGATATTTCAACAAGCAATATTTCAACCACAAGTTAATTAAATCAATAGATCAACGTCAGAATGTGATTGCAAGAGAAGGAAGATTACTATAAACATGATTTGAAGCGAATTGGAGGAGGGTCGAAAATTAGCCGCTGAGGGCAAATCCTTTTTGTGAACTTCTTTTTGTAAACTTTTCAACCACAAACAGATATTTCAACAAGCAATATTTCAACCACAAGTTAATTAAATCAATAGATCAACGTCAGAATGTGATTGCAAGAGAAGGAAGATTACTATAAACATGATTTGAAGCGAATTGGAGGAGGGTCGAAAATTAGCCGCTGAGGGCAAATCCTTTTTGTGAACTTCTTTTTGTAAACTTTTCAACCACAAACAGATATTTCAACAAGCAATATTTCAACCACAAGTTAATTAAATCAATAGATCAACGTCAGAATGTGATTGCAAGAGAAGGAAGATTACTATAAACATGATTTGAAGCGAATTGGAGGAGGGTCGAAAATTAGCCGCTGAGGGCAAATCCTTATTGTGGACTTCTTTTTGTAAACTTTTCAACCACAAACGCAAAGTTCAAACCCAGATTTCAATTACCAATAAAATGAAATGTGCTGGTGGTGAGATCCCTTGCATCACTTATAAAATTGCCAGTAGGTTATGTTGTAATATCAAAGGTTTCAACTTTTAGCTGAACCATTGTTGAACCACATGTAAGGAAATTTTCACAAATGGATCAAATCCTCAGTATTTTTTCACAAAATTGATATATATTATTAGATAAGTGATGAAATAGACCAATGGATAGACATTCCCTTGATTAGACCTAGTGGGAGGGTCGAATTGACGTCTAATCAGAATGTGATCACATGACAAATTTCACATGACTTTAGCGTGACTTTCTGTTGCCAAATATAGTGCGTCTGGTTTTGTGCTACTTATGTCACGTGCATCTTATCACATGATTTGCACGTGGAATGCGCCGACGGCCCAATTCGGTAAGACTTTTTGATGCACCTCGCGACCATTTGGCACAGTTAGTTAGATCATGCACCGCAAAATTGTCTTTTTTTTTTGTAATTTTAAGATCTAATGTTCGACCCATGCATTGGAAATTAAGATCTATTTATGCTAAAACATATAAAATTTTAAGAATAATGTAATAATTCAAATTTTATATTAAGCTTATGGCAATATTTGCTTGTTTTTATTATATTTAGTCTTGTTTTACTTTAAAGTAAAATCGATTCTGGTGCCAATTTTTGCAGTAATGGCTATCTTATTTTAACATCCACAGCTAAACTATAAGAAGGAGAATTTTTAGCATTTTTCCCAAAGTCTATACTTTTTCCTATGTTTATTTAGAGTATACAAATAGAATGTATAATTAGAGATAAATTGGAGGTAAGGCGTTAATGGTACGTAATTATTTCTGTATAAAATTTGTAATTATCGTTTTTTGCAGCCCTGAAAACGTTGTGATGCAAGATCTTTGCGAGAGATCAATATTTAAATGTTATATTCAAGTGCTGTGTCGTTTAACAAGATGATAGACTGTCCGGATCAGTCCAGCTTAGTTTTGGTAAGCTATAGACACGTATACACGCCTATTGATTTAATGAAAAACAAAGGTGGAGATTTAAGAAATACATAGAAGAACAAGCGAAACTTGCTTTGGGCTCACAAGATGTTTAATGTAATTCATTTTATACTTACTATGTAGGGTATAAAGAATATTCTTTAGCCTCCCCTTGAATTTGCAGCTGGAAACCAATTTATGGCTCCAGCTGGCGACGTATATTCTTTCGACCAACATTATTCTGATAGTCGCTGATTTCGATGTCTAGTAAAGAATGAAAGAGTATTTCAGGAAACCAACAAGGCCCCATCGCTGATGTATCCCACCACTATACAATCTATTTAGGACACTGGTATAGCCTATCCCGGCCATCTTCTTTCCTACTGACTACAAAATGTTAGGAGTACCCGTTCCTAACTCCCAGGACACACGTTTCAGATGTTTATATAAAACATATAATGATTTCTACTATACAACGTTCACCAAAAGAGTTGCTCCTTTATCTCTTATTTTTTTGCTTGATTTCTTCGTCTTTACTTGCATGTAACTTAATGACATTAGGATAGTCAGGTTTATTTCCCATGTGTCCCAATGACCAATCATAACTAACTGCGTATGCAAATATGCTACCGTTCTTATTGAAGGCAGTCGCAGAAATGGAACCCGGTAATACCGGAAATGATTTCAACCTTTGCTTTGCATCTTTATCCCAGAAGCAGAAGGTGCCATCCGATCCTGCGGTACTAAAAGTTCCATAAATTGGATGAAATGCAATTGAGTTTACTGGGTATGCTTGGGATTCGGAATTTGCACTGGAACGTACAACAGTCGAGGCGGAAGTTGTGCCTCCTTTTCTGTGACATTTAAATGAGAATCCAAACTTCTTTTGTTCATTCTCGGTTATATACTGAATGGCGCATCTTCCTTCAATTGAACCAATCGCAAATCCATTGGCCTGCGGATAACAACAAATAGTTCTTGTTTGCCATTTTAAAGGCGATTGATAATTCTTGAAAATCTGCTGAGGATTATTCAAATCGATTACGCTGATATGTCTATCCGCACATCCAACAACTAATAGCTTCTGTGAGGCGTCCATCGCGTACACTCGTTCGGGCAATTGAACAGTCGTCATCGGTTGAGGAGATCTCATATCCCAATACCTCAAGCTCTTATCCCATGACCCAGAAACCACAACTTGAGTATTCGTAGGTCCACATTCAACATATCTAACCGATCTCACTGGGGCATCATGTTGTCCTATTTGCTGTGTTTGTTGTGTTGCCAAATCGAAAATCTTCACTTGATGGTCAGCAGCACCACTGATTACTTTCGTTCCATCTGATGACCATCTAGCAGAAAAGACAGGGGCGTCATGTTCAAAGAGCGCCCGACCTTGGTTGTTACCCGAGTTTGGATCTATTTCATAAATTCGGACTTTTTTATCCCAACTTGCAACTGCGAGAAGATCTTGTTGTGGTGAAAAGGAAAGATCAGTAATAGAATCTTCAGGTGCATTATTTATTGTGATATCATTGATCAATTCTTGGCCTGTTGATGCACTTGATGATGATGATGATGTTGTACTTGCCCCTAAGAATGACATATTATCTGTGGAAACTAAAATTAAGAACAGGTTCAGTTATTGATGATGTGACGATTTGGGCTTCACACTTTTTTTTTTTCAATCCGCATTCAAGTTAAACTGCGAAAATGCTTCGTTCAACTAACCTGTAAAATTTGTTCAGATAAACAGAACACTTCACCGATTTGGTTATATACAATCCCCCAAATGATTCCCTTTCCAACATCCAGTGGTCCAGAAGTGACTTATTCCATAGATGACGATATTCCAGTCTTACGATATACCAACCTAAATCCACCAACGAATGCAGCAACGCCCAAAGTGGTTAGTAAAACTTATGAACAACATACGTACATCGACTGGAATCATGAAACGCTTGCGATACCCCATCATTCTTCGTCATATATTTCTCGCAAATGGCTCAGCATTGGTATACTGGCTATCCTTGTAGGGTATGCGACTGCCGCAATTCAATTGATTTCAGTTACTTTGAATGATTTCAAAAAAGGTCTCTGTTTGAGCGATAGTGACAAATGGTCACTCTTGAACCCGTACCTGACATGTCCAAGCAATGACTGGTATGAATGGTCAAGATTCTTTTTTGATTCAAAGAATGAGCTTGTAAATTGGCTTTTTAATTTTCCAATTTATTTAGGAATTGCCATTCTATGGTCTGCAATTGCATTGCATATCACAATCAATCGTGATCATTTAATTAAACAATCAGGAATTCCAGAAATCAAGTTAATCATATCTGGTTTAAATTTTAATGTAAACCAGTACTTAGGATTGAAAACCTTGTTCTATAAAGTAACGGGATTAATGTTGGTTGTCAGCTCTGGTTTATGGTTGGGCAAGGAAGGACCATTGGTCCATGTGTCATGCTGTATATTTAACGTCGTGTATTCTTTGTTGATGCAGAGGAGTGGTAGAGTGAATGAAGCAGTTCGACGAGAAATACTTAGTGCTGCAACAGCAACCGGAATTTCTGTTGCTTTCGATTCTCCTATCGGTGGTGTATTGTTTGTCCTTGAGAGTATGCCCACTTATTTTATTCCCACTAAAATAATGTGGAACTCATTTGTGTCAGCTACCCTTGCGGTTGTCATCCTTACTGGATTTAGGCTATTTACAGACGGGAGAAATTTTTTAGAACAGGATCTATTCCAAGTTAGTTTTGGAAACTTCAGTTGGTTATTTTTAGAAATTGTCCCTTTTATTGTATTGGGTGTGTTAGGTGGTATCTATGGGTTTTTGCTTATCAAATTTAACACTTATTATACAGATGTCAAATTTCGAAGAACGATAAGAAATAGAATATGTGAATTATTTCAGGTGCAGCAAAAATGGGGCAAATATCTAGAAATAGTTGCAGTGATTGTTGTAACAACTTTATTAAATTTTCCATTTTCTATTTCCAAATTACCTTTACGAGCATATTTGAAGTTGCTATTCAAAGACTGTGCTAAAGAGTCAGCTTCAGATTTAAACAGTGATGACTTTTTATGCCTGGGAGCACATCTTGTTACCCTTTTCAAATTGCTATTCATATTGATACAAGGGTTCTTTCTTACTGCTTATAGTTATGGATTGGATATACCAGGTGGGATTCTTTTGCCTTCTCTTGTTTTGGGTGCAACTGCAGGGAGATCACTAGGTATTATTTCCCAATCCTTGCAGGCTGCTGTCAATTGGGACTCATTGGCTACATGCACTGAAAAATCTTGCTTAGTTTCCCCTTCGTCCTATGCTGTTGTAGGTGCGGCTGCATTTATGACTGGAATAACAAAGTTGACCATGTGCGTAGTAGTTATTATATTTGAGATGACTGGGGCAGTGACTTATGTTCTTCCTATAATGTGTGCAGTGATGATCTCAAAATTTGTGAGTGATTGGCTATGCCCTGTTAATATCTACGATAATTGGCTTCAGAATAGTTTCAATCAAGGGGATAATGTTGAATACTCCAAAGGATTTTCTAATGAAGGAAAAGGCTCCGGTTTAGTATCATTCTCTACATTATCTACTACCATTAAAACAAAGTTACCTGACATTGCCGTTAAGGACTTAATGATCCCTTTGAAAAGCACAAAGTGCCTCTGCTTGATTCCCAAAGAAGAAAATAATACCATTAATTCGTTGTACAGCTTAATAAATAATGACAACCATGAAGGCTACCCTTTAATTGTCAATTATGAAAGTCCTATATACATTGGATATGTTTCGAAGATAGAGGTGATGAAAAGAATTAGCCAATTGGATGATGACCCAAATCTGGTTGTATCATTTCAAGTAGAGAACCTTCCCAACAGTATACTATCCATGCAACTACATTACGAAAGAAATTTTGTGAATGCTGGCTTGATCCAATTGGAATTATGCGTTGAGAAGCCAATAATCATAGCAAATGAACTGGCCCCAGCAGTATTAATATCCGAAGAATTCGAGAAATTATTTTTGAATTATCTAGTTATAACTGAAAAAGACAATCATGGAGAACATCTTATGTGTGGCTTTATTGACAGATTTATTTTGGCTAGCTTAATTAGTGATGAATTTAAAGAGTTGCGAGGTAGTCAATTTGACTACATTTCGGGCTATGAACAAGGTAACAATGACAGCAATGAGCATTTAAGTCTCTCCAATTTAAGGATGAATAGAAAGTCAATTGAACTAATTACATAGTGCTGCGTTGGTGCTTGACATCCTTTTCACTGGATGGGTCAGAACAAACTACTGTCTTGGACGCAAATTCCCAACTTTCAGTTCTTTAGGTTTGTTGAAAGTAATAGACATTCAACTTCTTAGCAGATTTAATCTATAACGTTAAATGCCTGAAGATGGTAACATCCGACTTTTAGTAATACTATCTCTCTTGCATGATGAATGTACTACAGGTATTTGCCAAACCGGCTCGGGATGGTCTCAATTAAGGCATCGCCTCAAACTGGAAATAATGTTGAAGATACAATTTTTTCCAGAAAATTGGTAAATTACTTTAAAAGGGGATCTGTATAATTTTCTTTCCAATTTAGTTGATTTAACAATTTTGATTGTATTTAGTAGAATTCGAACCAATAGTCCATCATTTCTTTCACATACCTCCTGGGTATACGGTATGGTGGTAGTGTGACTGTTGGAAATGTATTGGTAAATTGTGTACTACACGACACCAATTTGTCAACAGAAGAAAATAAAACAAAATATTTCAAAACGCGTCGGCAATTATTTAAACCCAAAACATTCACCTTCATCCCCACAAACCTAATGAAAAAGAGTATCCTTAAAGACAACACTTTACCATTGCCAAATAGTAATCGGAGAGTATCCTTTGCACCAGATGTTACACTTCATAAATTCGATCTCGTCTCCAATAAGCGAAGAAAGACTATAAGCTCCAATGAAATAACAAGTACCAGTTCAGACCTAGGGAGTGCCATTTTCGGTACTTCAGATGGTACGAACAAAGGGTACCTAAGTCCAGTTACTAGGGAATTCAATCAAAATGAGATAGGAGATGATCATGATCTTTCAAATGGTTATAACGAGGACCTTTCAGACGTGTCAATGGAACTTACCGGCGAAATACATTCGTTGATGGAAGTTTCAAAACAGCAAAACTCCGAAACTCGTCAATCAAATTCCAATACCTCACTCAGTAATCCTCCTATTGCAACTTCTGACGAAGGAAAGGAACAGACTGGACTCTTGCCACAACCACATCATTTTGGACCAGAAGCCAAAATTGATGATGAACAAGAAATTACAATGGATATCACTGCTGTATTCACACATACATCCAGCGGAAAGGCTGAATCAACTTTTGACACATCTATTCAAAAATTAGAGAAATCTGGTCCCCAGTTCATAAAGACAAATGAAATAGAGAGTGTCGATCATATTTCAGGCAATGAAGGCAAGCAACCCAGCGCGAACGCATTTGCTAAAAATAGTCTGTCTTCACATAATCCATCAGCCAAAGATTCTGAAACTGGAAATAATGAGGATGAGCAAAATAAGGAGAACTTACCGGAAGATTCAACTATGACTATGGAGCTTACGCGTGTCCTCTCAAACATCCGGCCCAATCATCAGGGAAAGAATTTAAATTCCAATGTTCAACACATGTCCCGGAAGCATTTGATATCTTGTCCGGAGAAAGGTTCAAGTAATCTTAGCAATGAAGCTTTCGTGGGCAAAGTTCCTACCAACAGCCAGTCTCGAAGTGAAGATTGTGGAGGAGACAGTCAACCTATGGAACTCACTCAAACCATTCCAAAGATAACGAGGATATCGGAATCAAGCAGGATGACTAGTTTTTCTAGGTACGTACCTGGTCGTGAAGAAGACTTAACGCCAAAGCATTCCAGAAGTTCGCTGCCTTCTAAAGAAAGTCACATCATCTATTCAACTAGCCAGCCAAGTGGAGTCTTATATTCTGATAAACCTGAAATGGCTGAAAGCGAGATTGTACATATTGAGTCAAATAGTGAAGCGAACACATCTGTCTTGGGACCCGACTTGTCTGGTCTTGAAGAGCAGGTTACAACGACGATGATACCTCTTGCCCAAGTTTCTTCAAGCAATGAGCACTTTGATGGTAATGCTGGTCGTGAAAATACAGAGGGGAAGGAAGCTCATATCCCAGTAACATTTTCTCAATTTATAAATGATATCAATATACAATTTTATGATGATATGGATCTTAATATGCACAGATTGGGTCGCTTTCGAATTAATAATGAAGTTGATCTGGCCGAGTTAGGAGACTATGCTTTGGCTCTACCAAAAGTGGAATTATTATCTTTACTTGAATTCATAAATGATGAACTATGCAAAAGTATAGCAGAAGGGCAGAAGTTATATAGTGAGCATTGTCACACTATCGGAACTAGTAACCCTCCTATTATTCGTGAATATTACGAGGCAGATGAGGATAAAAAAATATCAATGGTTCATAAACTTCATATGATTCGTGATTTCACAAAGTTGAATGCACAAAGAAATTGGTATGATTGGCGAACTCAATTGTCGAAAACATTGCTAACCAAGTTGAATGAAATGCAGTTCTCGAATGATCGCGCAGAGCTCAACCAGACTATGGATAAATTCAAAGATATCAAAGAGGGACTTGCGAAATCGGTATCCGGACTAAGACAGAAGTTATGCTTGGTTTCGGACCTCAAGTCAAAGGTTGAATCGATGAATCTGAGTAGAATAAAGGAGCTCAAGGAACAAATTCTCCACAGCAAGCAAAAGCGATCATTGGCTAGAACGGCTCTCAATACGAAGACTGAAGAGCTTCATCAAAGCGAGCAAACGTTGCTTTTGAGTCAAGAGGACAAGTCTCTATTAGAAGACCAGTTGGCGCAAGCTGAGAAGCAATTTCATGACACAAAGCGCTACGAGTTTATGGAGATTAATTTGTTGAACCACAGGCTCTATTGTTTGCAAGGGTTGCTTAAGTTGAAATTGAACGGATTTTCTGAGCGGAGCATTGTTGAATTTATTTTTGATGGTGCAATTAGTTGCATGTTTGATAGTAAGAATAACGAGCTTAGGTGTTCACTGCTAGAGAATGCTCTAAAAACTCCCAAACTACTCGATGTTATTCCTCGCTTGCCAGCGTTGGCTCCATGCGAATCTTTGATTGGTAAATTCCTACATTTTAGGATGCAATGGAAGTGGCTAAAACAATTAGACTTAGATCTATCTAGGTTTGCTGCCTTTTATCCAGTTCATGTTGAAATTGATGAGCAATCTATTCAATTCACAATTAAATACTATAATTTTGAACATGACTACAAACTACAAATTTTCGGCAAAGTGTCCTTATCTAAGTTAATAAAATATGATGTACATTATGGTCTAATCGTGGAAATGAAAGGGTCAAAAAAGAGATTAAGTAATGCCCTCGTATGTAAGCACTTGTTACATGATTTGCCTGAGCTATCATTAAAAGGCGTAGTTATAAAGTAGGTAGTTATAAATAATACAACGTTTAGTGTGTAACACCAAGAAGTATGGTAACCCCTAGGCAGACAACCATGACAGCAACACCCCAAATGCTCAATAATAACCCTCCGTACTTGCAAAACTTCTCTAAACAATTCAATTTTGTAGCACCGTTTAACGGCTTAATCAACATAAAGCCAAATAATCCTGGGAGTATGAACGAAATGGAGGTGGAGCCTGTCGAACCGACGAAAGCCAAGACGTGTTCCAAGGAGGTAACAGTAACGGCCACAAGATAAGACAAAACGACAATACCTGCAGTTATAATATAAAATCTCTTTGAGGTTAGTGGAACAATAATAGGATCGTGCCCCTCTGTATCCTGGGCTCCCTCCATTGGAGTAGTGGAGATGAAGGACTCATCGGCACCTATGGACGAATCACTTTGTATGGAATGCAAGCTTTCAATGTCCGAGCTCAAAGCAGTGTAATTCTGGCGTGATGGAGTATTGCTGGAACTACGAATTTTCGACGATTGTACTCCTTCTGTCAAAAAGTGTATCACATGATTGATTGAACCTCTACACGGATGGCATTGCAATGGGTACGATAAACTTACCATAATGACAATACTAAGCCGTCCAATTAATGATGTCACTGAATTCCTAGGATACATAGTAATAATATTCCCATTAACCGTATCTCCAAATGTCAAGTACCCAAAAATGCCAACAACTAAATAGGAAACACAAGCAGTAGATATGGCATTTCTGATTATATGGTTGGATTGTCTAGTTTGTGAGCCGTCCTCGTCACATGGCTTCAACTCATTGATAATAGCAAACATATTTTGATGGCACGTATATGCAAATACAAAAATCGGGAAGGATGACAACGTAGCTTTGACTGATACTGGCCCAATGTAATCTATGTGTTTATCCACAACTGGTACATCACGTAAAAGATAGTGCTCCATTACTAAGCAGATTAAGTAAACAACTGAGAATAAAGCAACAACACTTGTATACTTCAATGAATCCAATTTTTTTAAGAATGATAAAGGAGCTACTATCACTACCATGAACAACGTGATCCAAACATTACGATGCATCCAAAGTGACTCCGGTTTAACGTTCAAACTTTCCATAATCTTGGGCATTAAGTCTCCAATCACCACTAAATAACTAACACCTACACCGAAACACTTGATAGATATGGCCGAGTCAAACAAAATAGATAAACTAGGGTAGGTTAATTGTGATAGACTGAAATAAGAAACGACTCCTCGTTGATCAGTGTATTTGGCTACTTTATTCTGTAGATATAAGCCAAATGCTGATGTTAATGATGACCAAATAACAAGAATGCAACCAAAAAGGAGACCATTGCTCTTAATACCATAGGGCATTGCAAGGATTCCTGCCCCTATAATTGTGTTTAGTAAATTGATTGTCCCCGACTTTATAGTTGCTCTACCCATATTTGCGTAAAAAGCTCTTTATGAATTATATTTGTAAAATGAAAGAATGCTAGTAAAGTAATGAAAATATACCGAATGCCTGTAAAATCTGAATTCTAGCACTGCATGAGGTTATCAAGTTGATGTTGATATGTGCTAATCGACACTGTAGATTGAATTTATTTTAAGGAAAAGAAAAAGTCGTGACCAGCATCAAAAGTCATGCCACTATCTGCAGGACAGACTAACATCAAAACTAAAGGTCTTCCTAAATGCCACCGTCTTTCAACTGCTATAGCCTATGGTATTATGTTTGAAGCAGTCTTGGGGAGTTTAAAGAATGCATTTTGTATTTTCTTTGAATGATCTTGCTTATCTTCGTTTTCAATGTTCCGGGTTGATATTTTTATCAAAATTTTGGCAAAAAAGTTGCAGTTAGAAAGGGAGGTTCTCCCAGCCCAGTTAACTAGTAGCGTTCATTTGACAGATAGTTTGTATTTACCATATCAAGAAGCTCACGAAATAGCAATTCATTTAAATCATTTGAAAGAGCAAGAGTAGTACCTTACGCTTGCGATGACGACTTTTAAACGCATAGATAATGTTATATTTGGGAAGCATACCGAATAATTGCCGAACTATCTCACCAATTTGTAACAGCCGTAAGAGGAAATCATCTATTATATCACGGCACTTAAAATTGGAAACACTTTTCCATGATTATTCCAATAGATATGAGCAAGCTATTCCACGGACCTCAATCCAGACATCTATTGAACAATATAGTGGTATCTCATTTCAGACGAAAATGACCATCAGAGCTACTATTCACATAGTTGCTTATATACCAAGAATATTCGCGCCAATGGGAGTATCGTGACCAGGAAACGCTAGGAAATGCACATTTTCTACTGTGGAGTTTGGGAATACATTAATAATCAAGCTCTTCGCGTTCCTCAGTATTGAAGGACCAGTTTGTCATTGGAGTCGCTAGTCGCAATTAAACGTAGGGCAATTAATGCTTTTACAGCGTTCAACCTTGCTCTATTTCCGTTTTCGCATACAATAGAAATTCCAGAATGACAGTCTTTAAGCTCATGTATTTGCAAATTGACCTTTCCTGATAGTACCCGAGAAGCATCTTAAAGGAAATACTCATCCCAGGCAACATTCCAGGAGCCGAAGTTACTAAGACAGATTCCTTCAGAGCATAGATAGTCAAAAGTGCCCATTGGTCGCAGCAGAGGAACTAGATAGCTATATGTACCACTGAACCACGCATTCGAAGAAATCTCATGATTTAGCATTTTAAAGCTGTTTGATTTTACAATTCGACTTGGTACATCAGTCTCCAAGTGTCCGTTTAACTGTTGAACCACTCTCTGAATCACCAAATCACAAAGTGCGTGATAGGCAGATAACAATGGGTTGCCCGGCTCTAGACCCTTGATCCACAAGTTTGTCGGCTTCAGGGCTGTTGAAAACCATACCGAAGCCCCTGGCTCTGATACATCACCGAAAACAAAAAATCTAAACTGGACCGAGGTCATTCATTTTGGTTGTTCAAGGAAACGTTCATGCAAGTTATAATTATCGTCATTTTATAGGACGTATGCGGTATGAAACCAGCTAGGAAACAATTCACCCTAAGGGGACTCTCGAATCTTTGATCGGAGCTGGATTCCAAATGTGAAAGATAACATAAAGAAAGGCTATTCTGCAGGTGCAACAAAGAAGAAAGGATTTGGGTCGAACATGCACATAACGAAGTTGTCTTCCCGGATTCGAACTACCTAAGAGAGAGTGATAGCAATCCTAATAACACCAGATACAGTTTCATTAACCACAAGACGCATGATATAACCAAATTAGACTCGATTATTATGAAACCTTTATACTTTGGTCATATATCTATTCTCCAGTGGGCTATGCGTTACTTAATATTGAGCTCCGTCGGTGCTTCCTATTTCTCATTTAGATTAAGTGAGGTTCGTGGGAGGTTCGTATCGCAAAGAGAGAGTACCTCTCATAGCAAAATTGATATGCATTGATTGAGTATGTCTCCAGTAAGTATGGATACTATCATCGAGCCGAGATAAACTTTGCCAGGAGATCAACAGTAAAACACGTTTGACAACACTGCAAAGAAGAATTGAGTGTCGCCTATTGTAGCTAACTACAAAATTTATATAAAATTGGGGCAAACTTGCTAAGTAATACTAACACCAAATAAACCCTTTTCGGGAGAAGTTCTTTGGCGTCTTATCCCCTAAACTTAATCCCTTGCTTTTACTAATCGTGGCAAGTGATCTGTGGGCTATTGTGGTCTTTCGGTGTCGTAATAGTCACGAAACCGACATTTAGGAATATGATGAGTATGCTACCACAAAATCTATTTTGTGTAACCGGAATTATCACATGGAAGCGGGAATAACACCGGCTAAATAAACACCGGAAACGGAGCAGATGAAGCCGACGCCGGCGTACGATGAAGCTACATGCAGGAACTTTATGGACGGGTTTAAGGCACACCACAAACCCGATACGGCCGTAAGAAAAAAAAAGCTAAGACTCGTAAAATTTAGTATGAGGAAATGAATTTTGTTGAAATTTCGCACATGTCCGGCATATAAAATCGGCGATTTAAAAATTATTTTTTTGCACACTTCCTGCAAATGTTGTTAAATTCTTTAACTCTTGCAAGTGCGGGACTGCATTCCTGTATATTACTGTTTTGTTACACAAAATCCATTTGCGGAACTGCCCGATTTAGTATAGGCCGGTTGGGTTGTTCCTTTTCGGCGATTGCCTATTTTGGAATATAGCCGGTAGCACAAAATCCAAACCCGATTGCACAAAACCGAAATCTGGAGACCCGATGGGACAAAGCCGGAGTATAAGAAAATCATGTCATATAAAGAATAAATAGCAGTATGCCCGTTGGGTCGTCAGATTCAAAGAACTTTGTATTATATATTTACTTACTTAAGAGGATGGTGTTGGCTGGGTCGAAGGCTTTTGCATAAATACATGTAGCATATACGCTTAGTAGTTAATTATGACCAACATTGTACCGTCTTTTGAGTTGTTGGAATCGTCTTGAACAGACGTGTAGTAAATATAAGAGAGGAAGATCTGTCTAGCTACAATGGTGCTTATGTAAATAAGTTTGTATGGATAGGTTAGGTAGTTCTTTTTATGTTGAATTGATAGTAGATTTTCGTTTATTGAATTTGGCGGTATGGCAGAGCTGTGGAAGAGGTTCCCGTGTAACTTGCAACATTCTGTTAATATCTGAAGTTGCTCGCTACCTTTCTGTTATCCTGGATAAATATCCATGAATTTGTCCTATTTGAAGTCAGCTAAATCTTACAATCTCATAAGGCTAGTAAGAGGACTTATCTTCTTACACATATTCAAACCGTAGTCCTCTAATAGCGCAGGTTGTTTTCAAGCTAACACCAATTAGCGGATATGAAGCTTAGTACCAAGATTGGTCTCCGGAGTTTTCAGAATTACAGGGAACAATTAGGTACTCAAAGAGGCATGCTGCTATTGCGATCTCGATTGAAATGACCAACGTCCTTTTTTTGGTTGATATCTATTGAATATTCATCTTGTATCACAATTTTGATTCTGTCAGTTGTGGCATGTGCCATTTTATGGCTTATTGGGGCCCTCGAGTTATACATGTATAAGACATGCAATGTAGGCGTAGCCGCTGAGAAGCCTTAAAATAGTATTCTCGGAACACGTATACGTGGAGGAACAAATACGAATCACTTAAGTCGACCGGAATGGACACATACCAAAGGCAGCTCCGGTCCAGGTTGTAATTCCTTGTAGTGTAAAACTCGATTATACATCGACATCATTCAATGCGAATATCTAAGAATTATTGCGGTTCATTTTACTGTTAGCTCCTGCTGTGAATGTTGTGAATTCTACTGGCTGTGGAGCTGCATCGCTGTGTTATTGACCGCTAGATGCTTACCTTACGCAAATAGACATATAGCTGACAATAAGAGAGCCACTTTATAGGATTATTCCATTTGGATTGGCTAGTAATTTTCTAATCATCGGGTTGGGTCTTCTGGGGATTACTTTACAAGTGGACTTATAGAGCAGAAAAGATGTGGCACGTTTATCAACACACAGTGATGCTCTATGTTACAACCTACTCTAATATCGAGGCATTCCATTTCGTATAATTGTAATTATATTATGAGTAGAAAAGCCTTGGTAGATTCGATAGAAAGTTTGGTTAATTCTATTGGATTGAGATGGGTTGATATAGATTTGAATATCATCCAATTTCATTGCTTTGTATAACATGGCCTACGTCTTTAAGGCTTTATATTGATCATTTGGAGTTTGGATATGAGGGGTTGTTATATTTCCATTGATATTGTTGGACGAGGGACAAATGTTTAACAAACCATACATCCGTGTTTCTTGTTTGATGGAGTTTTCTCCGAGATGCCGCAACATTGCCAAGTTCTATTGCCAGCGGGGGTAGCACCGTATTTCATTTTCCCCGAGCTGTTGTTCTGAGATGTAATAATTACCTTCAATGTTGGAAAAGGCACGTCTGACGTGTGACCGTATTGTCCTAGTGGCTATTTTCCATTCTTGACGACCAGGTATTTATTTTACTCTGCTCTCTAATCAAACTCATAGATGGATGGATGGACGGATCGATGGATGGAAGGAATATAACTAGTATATTGTGACTTCTTAAGCCTGCCAGTTGTATCTCAAAAAATGGGCTGTTTAGGGTATTCAAATAATGACTTTTTAAGGTCAGTTCCGCACCTAGAGTACAGCGAAGCAGAGCTCAATTTCAAATACGCTGGTGTATCTTATAAGGCTCCGTTAATTTAAGTTTAGAAATTGAAAAGCAATATCTATCAAATATAGAGCCAGATTGATGTGGCTACACGTCTTGTTACCAGACAAACTGTGTAATGAAAAGAAAACATCAAATCGCAGTTCTGATAGCATTTGAATTCGAAAATTAGTGCATCGACATTTAGGCACCTTTCAAAGAATCGTGCAACACTAATGTATTAAGATCTAGAACATCCCTTGCTTTATAGGCATCGCCGTGCTCGTAGAAAGAAAAGTGCTTAATTCTCATCAATGACTCTGCAATATCTTGTTGTCTTTGCTATAAGATACGTACTGGCTTTTGACAGTTTCCTTGTAAAAGGGAATAATGAAGTTGGCAATGAGTATTTCTTATTAAGAAAAGGGCGAAAACGTAAATGGCAGCGTTATGAAGCACTTGCACCCTTCTGGCGACAAAATATGGCGATTATAAATCAGGCAACACAGACTGGATCTTTCTTGGGTGTATCTCCATGTTATTGGTGGTCATGAGTCTGAACAAGCGGCTAATCAGCGGTTCATCTACGGACGCAAACGACCTAGCTTCGGTATATATCTACGAACTACTCAAGCTCATAAACAGAGGTCGTAATATGAAGGTTAACTGTGACAGTCAATCCATGGTTCACCTATACCTGTAGATTTCTGTATCTAGGTGGCCCAAGAAATATGAATGTATTGTATTCATATTGGATAAAGATATTGGTTATCTCTACACCATTCTAGATGTGAGAATCTTCATACTAAAGTAGAAGGCAGTGGTCAGCCTATCCGCTAGATAAACACTTCAATCTTGACGTTATCAAGCAATTTTCTAATGAATATATTGTAAATAAGGCCAACCTTCTCCGCAAATGATCAGCACTAACTAGGGGACAAGCTATTTATACTCAATAAATCAATTACAAATAGATAATACCACTCTGAAGTTTCTGTAGCAATCAGCAAAGGGAGTTGTTTAGTTTTATTCCCTGGTCTCCAAACATTGAACAAGGAGAAAAGCTAAATGATTCTCAGTAGTTCTTTAACGTCATGTGCAAAGTGTACAGGTGGTGCCTTTTTTTTGTTTCTTTTTTGGAAATGATAGAACGAAGGAATCAAGAAAAAAAACACTTCGAATGATAGCTAATCCTTTTCTGAATACACACATTTAAATTTTCAACGAAAAGCAAGATATACGTATAGCTGATTAGTTAGAACCCAAGCTTGAAATTGCCAGTCTTCGTCAATAATCATAATACATATATTAATTATTTCTTCTGGAGATTGGGGCCTTATTCAATTCGAAAAATCGGACCTTTCTAAAGAGACCCGTCGAAAGACAAGACAATCCATATAACAATATATATCCATCCAGTGGCTATAATTTAATCATATAAAGATGAGCCATCAGAATACTCCACATTTATATAACAAGAGAACTCCAAGCGGATTTGGAGAACAGTCGAATAGCACAAACAACGGCAGTGTTGTACTTACTACTTCTGGGAACAAGAATCCAGCAGCAACCTCCCTTACTATAAATTCAATGGGAAGTTCACAGAATGCAACGCTTGGTTCTAATACAAATCCAAATAAAGTGGCCCTTGATGCGTCATCTACCGTTTCAGATTCTCATGCGGCAAATGCGAAACAGTTGCTAAATGCATATGTGTATGACTTCTTAGTCAAAAGTAGATTGCCTCGTACCGCCAGAATATTTGTAAACGAAGCAGAGGTCCCATCGATAAAGGGAAATCAAAATGTGTCTGGTCGAAACTCACCACAAGTAACTCAACATAATTTATCAGTGCAACAATTTCAGAAAGAGCATAATTTGCCCAGTTTGACCATGGCGATGGATTCATCTCAAGGATTTCTTTATGAGTGGTGGCAAGTATTTTGGGATGTATTTCAAGCTAAGAATGGAGGAAGCCAAATCAACAAACAACATCTGAACTATGCGCAACAATATCATCAAATGCAACTTTTAAAGCAAAGGCAGCAACAACAAGAATTGGCGATGTCACTACCAGGTGCAAATCTTTCAGCTTCTACGTTACTTGCTCAACAACAACCCCCCGTTGTTCCTTCAACAGCAATGGCTGTACCTCCTAGTGCTCCTCAACAGCGTCCTCTCCACCTTCAACAACAGATTGGTCAGCAGTTCCTGCCGCCGGTAAACATTCAACTTGCAAGTCAACAGCAACAGCTAGCGAACCATCCAAATACACATGTGGTTGATCAGCAGAGGATTATGATGATGATGAAACGAGATTCGCTTTCGCAACAGCAACAACAACAAGCAATTCCTATGAATTTAGACACTCAGCAGCAGTTGGCAACCGGGGCCCCTAATCTAAATATTCAACAACAGCTATTCCTTCAAGAGCAAGCTAGACAACAACAGCAACTGCAGCAACAACCGCAGAAGACGAGAATTCAACAGCACGCTCAGACTCAAATGAACAACCTACGTCAACAGGTTGCGGCTGGTCAACAACAACAATTAAGTAATCTGGCTCTGCGTGGAGGATCATCTAAAAATTCGCCAGTTCAAAAGCTCAGTCAAGTGCCACAGCAAGGAGTAAGTGCGGGTTTCCAGCAACAAATGAATCAGCAATTTTCACAGCAAACCCCAGTCATGAATGGGCCACAAGGGCAAGTTCCTCTTAATGCCCAGGTGGGAGGATTGCAACAGGCTAGATTGCCAAACAGTGGTAATAGTCCAAACATGACGACGACAAGCCATCGGAATCCTTCTAACACGGATGCATTACAAGATTATCAAATACAACTAATGATATTAGAAAAGCAAAACAAGAAAAGGTTGGAAATTGCAAGAAGTAGCGGTACTTCAGACACAAATTTAATGAATTTGGCTCCTCAGGCTCAGCAACAAGCTGGAGGTCAAACGAACCAGAGACCTTCGCCTTCCACTACGAATAATTCTCCTTTGGTTAAAAACAAGCTGTCTCCTTCTATGCCTTCGAAAAAGTACAAAAAAGAACCTCAAAAGCGTGGAAGGAAGGGAAGCGCTGCATCAGTTGCTGTCGCAACTGGTCAACAGACGCCAGTTGTCTCGCAGCCTTCTAGCGAAGTCGGCGGCCCGGATCACAATGCCAACATCACGACAAAAGGAAATTCAAATACTCCAAGAATTCCTAAGAAAGAATATAGTGGAGTGCCGCTTACACCAGTATCTGAACCCAATGAGACAAAGAGAAAGAGAAAAGGTAGCGCGATATCCGAGTCTCCAAAAAAGCAAACCACTGCAAGTAAAATAATCAAAAAGGAGAAGTCTATTACAGAAGAAGTATCGAAAGAAAATCCAGGTTCAGCCATCAATGAAACTACCAAAAACGAGAAAGATTCCGGGGAAGGAATTCATTCTGCGTTAAATGATACCTTAGGAGCTCCTTCAGACCAAATATTTAACGTTGAATTATTGGGACCAACCACTAGTGAGAATAGTTCGAATTTCTTCAATCCAAATACCCAGCCTTCTCAAGGAGCTTTGGATGACATCGATTTTGACTTTAATCAATTCTGGGAAGGTAATGGAGGTGAAGAAGGATTGAATGATAGTATAGCTGGTTTCAACTGGGGTAATGTTGACACGGTCGAGAACAGTGGTGATTCGTAGAGGGTACTTGTAACCAAGTGTTGCTGTTAGAGTACAGTTATTCATTTCTTTTACGTTCTTTTATTGTTTTGATCGTCTTTGCCGTTTTAAAACGCAGAGAGATCCATCCCATTTATTTAGTTTTAATTGTATTATAAGTATTTTATTGTTAATTTCTACAGACATTCGTAACTTATTGAGTCTTTTTGATTTTATCCTCTTCTTTTGCAGGACTGAATTTCAAAAATTGAACCCAGACTCCAACCAAAACAATCGATAAAATAGCAATCAAAGCACCGGAGCTCTGTTTAGTAGATGGAAACACATTCCAACACCATTCGTGAGCAAACCATATCAAGACTCCAAAGTATACATTGATACCCATGGAAAATAACAAGAAAGGCAATTGCCAGGCATACCAACTCAAAAATTGGTAATGTAATGAGCGGGAGAACAAGACACCTATAACATTGGTAGTGCTCATAACTAGCAAAATCAACTGGGGACCCATATTTGGGTTTATAAACATATTTGTCTTTGAAATAGTGTTTTTGTAGTTGAACCCATCTTTAATTAGGTGGTATAAAGATTTTCCAGCGACCTTTCTATTAAAGAATCTCGTAAAAATGAACACAAGGAGAATAGTCACATGTAAGGCAAGAAGTAAATTGGCGAATTTGTCAGAAAGAAAGGTCTCCTCAGAGAGGAACCTCCAATTGACTGTCCATTCGTATAAAAACTTCCTTTTGAAATTAAAAGCTTGATTGATATAATTCCATCGTATGTATTTCGCAACATCATCGTTAAATAATGGAAGAAGGAATTGCCAGCCTACCATGAGTTGTATGAAAGGGATGACTAAAAGTACCACTATGAGCTTAAGGATATTTTCACCAACTAGGAAATAGACAATAATAACAAACGCAGGTAAATATAACAACGCATTCATTTTAATTGAAATGGCGACGCTGAACAAGTCACCTGCTACCAAACAGAGCAAGAAACTAGCCAATTCACTTGTTTTGTACCAGTATGAGGCCTGTTGCAAGATCACAACCACTCCAACCATGCATGCTGTTGTCCAACAATCATTAAATAATCGCAAGACATATATGGAAAACAATCTCTTACTTAATAGCAACAAATAATAGCACCAGGGAGGTATGTCATTACACATGGAGTATGAAGCTATGACTAGGATCAAAGTTATGACGAAAAGGTATCCAAAAGCTTGTTGAACTGTAGGAATATCCTCACCATTGTTGGCCAACCAATATATCCATTGGTAGATATGCACAAATCCCGCTGGATACACAATTGGCCCGGTATCTCCATAAATGTCCTCATATAATATTTCACCATCGTTTATAAGTTCAATTTGTTGCATGTAAGTCTTAAAATCGATTTCTGTGTATGGAATCTTGGCAATGATAACTTTGGTCAAGATGGATGCCAAACAAACCACGAGCGGGATTACTATACGGGTTGCGTTTGGATTGACCACAAGAGCAACAGTTCCTTCTTTGATATCTTTAAGCACATTTCTGAATGTTAATTTTGGGCGGTCAATTGCTTGACCTTTGATATTTGGTGCCATAGAGGTATCGTTGAAAGAATGATGTTTCAAAATTTCGGTATTAATTTGGCGAAAAAAAATTCTTCGCGTTTATATTTAGATTCTATAAAATTACTATTAATATACACCTATTCTAATACAGAAACTTTCCAGATTTCTTACGCATAGTACGCAAGACATCTCGCCTACGTCTCTTACATTCTCTAGATATTTCACCTCTCATGCTCCAGAACCATTTTTCAAAAGCAGTTTCTTCATCATCATCATTATCATCACCAACGGCTTTCTGGTCAACTTCTTCACCTGGTAATTTGATGGTATCATGAACGCTACCAATTTTACTTAATTGAGATTGTGTGGCTAAGAAAGGCGAATCTAAATGTGCCCAAAATAATCCAAACCTATTAGATCTAGCTCTCTGGATCTCCATTTCTTGCTTCTTTTGGATCTGTTTTATAATTTTTTCCAGCTCGATATCATTTTGAACATCGATTAAGTGCTGCTTAGAAACATCAATATCATCGTCGTCATCAGATAACGCAAGTTTAAATCCACCCGATGTTTCGTCCAGTATGGTGTTGCTCAGGAATGAAGAAGTAGTTGGATTAAACAATGATCGCAAAGTCTCGGTATTGTTTGTGATGGAGTTTCCAAAAGTTGGCATTGGCTCGTCTTCATCTTCGTCTTCTTCTTGGATTTCTTGTATTTGGGGACTTGCTTGATCTTTTTCCGCTGAAACTGCTTCGAATTCATGATCTTCGTTGTATTGTTGGTTTATAGCTTCGGTGGTGAACTTTTGACCCAAGTCATCCAAATCAAGGTCATTTCCTTCATCATCTTCGTCATAATATACTTCTTCTTGTGGACGTTGTAAGGTTTCGGTATGGGAATGAATTAATTCGTTCGCAAGGTGGCTATCCATCGTTGTTCCCTCAGATTCATCAACATTGCCCTCTTCATTTAATTTACCAGCGACTTCATAATCATATCTCACAACTTTCTTTCTCCCCTTCTTATCGACTATAATATCTTCTTTATCTATACCAAGTGTGTCTTGGTCGACATCGACCGGCTTATCAAAATCAAAATTATCTAAAAGCGACGCCAAAATTATTTTATTTTTATCCATTTCCTTCTCTTCATCACCACCATCAATTCCATCGGTCTCTTCTTCGTTTTCTCCATGAACTTTTTCAACCTCCTTCCCATATCTGAGTGCATCCACACCACTAATCGCACATTTATCAACGCGTTTTTCGATAATATGATCATCACCACTCTTCCATGCACCATTCACGTATCTCCAGGTCAAATCTCTCAGGGTTTTGTCCTTTTCTACACCCCATAGTTTTGTTTTGTATCCTTTGACTTGTTTCAATTCACCATTCATCAATATACGCAATGTCTGTTGACGTTTAGCTGTGGCGGATCTTTCTGCTGTTCTGTGACGACCTGGAATGATTTCTCCACCTCCCAGTGTATATGCGTATCTTTGAAGATGGGTCAAGCTATTCTTGGGTTTCGTCCATGAACCGTACGAATTGGAACCGAGGAGCCTTGTGCTGGGAGGGGTGGATTTGGTATTACCAGAAGTATTGTTGAAAGTGTGTTGCGAAAGTGAAAAATTTTGGGCATTTGTCAAAGTGGAAGAAGGCGGGGTAATTAAAGATGAAGTAATGCTGTTTGTATAGTATGTTGCTTTTGATTCTTGAATTCTGGCTAATCTGGTTTGACTTATTTTATCTCTTTTCAATCTTTCTGATCTTTGGAAATCGGGTTTTTCTTGAAGACGATTATCAAATGATGGTTTTGCTAACGATATAGATAATTTCTTGCCCATGAATACCATACCATTTAGAGCATTTTTCAATTTCTCATATTCGGATGAAGTAGTATGAAGGGTGACATAAGCGAAGTAGTGATCATTCAAAGGTTTGGTATGAAATTCTAAGTCGGAGGATATTTTTCCAAACTTTTCAATACGTGTCGTTAATGACGCTGGATTGGATTGTAATTTTGGTGAGATATTCCCAATATGTATCCTTAAGTCACTGGATGATTGTGACATTGTTGATGGATTATTTGGATTGGTAGATGGTGTTAAAAAGTTACGTAGAAAAATTAAGAGATGAGTTTGATAATTAATTTTTTTTTACTGCGAATTGGGTTCCACGGTAAGCCTGGGGCTCGGCCCAAAAATTGGTAAGGTAAAGGACATAAAATACCAGTATCTTGACAAAGTCTTCCTACTACAAAACACAGCGATCCTTATTAAAGTAAAATTGTCGTTCTGTTTGAAAATTTGGTAAGAACCAGTAGTGGCGCTTATGGGAACTGCAGAACAGTACATTTTTTGTAAAATTTTCACTAATACCGCAATTGAGAAGATCCGTATTGATTCATTGCTTTCCGATGTGGACTCATGAAAGTACTCTAAGCTATGGCTTAGAGAACACAAAGCATGTCAATTCATTATATTTATAAGTTTTCCATACGAATTGTTTAAGTAGCTGATTGGTAACGAAAGAACGGAAGGATAAACAATCCGAATCTTCTAGCACGGGAAAAGTGATTTCCTTGAACAAATGAAAGTTTGAGTCCATACGGATTTTAGAACAAATAATTTCTACACTTAACAGAGCAAATAACAAAGCCAATTCTCTAGAAAGAATGAGTGTGAATACTGGTAGGAACAACGCAGATATAGATGAATTAATAAACACTAAATGGAATGAGTTATATAACTCTTATGTTCACATGAAAAATCCCGAAGCCACGGCATCAACAATTTCAATACCAATAAATCTATCACAAGATATACCAAATTTACTGAGATTAATTGAATCAAATGAACATACAGAGATTTTACAACAAGAGCTAAAACAGATAATAATGAAATACTATTGGATTGGGTTTCTAAATGGTAATGAACAAGAACAAAAAAAGCTATCTACTAATTGATGAAAACTTTTTATTTCGTTGCACGCCACATATCTTGTAATCCTAATATGGAAGTAATTACACCAGCAAAACCAATATCACCTTCAGTGAAATGTAAGACTCCCAAGGTATTAGCAGCAACGAAGGCATCCAACAAGTCCCAAACTAATTTTCTTCTAGCTTGATGTAATTTAGCAGCATTAGCTTGTTTCTTTTCATCTTCATCTGCAGTTGTGTTTCTATAGCATTGAATAATTCTTAATGAATTAAGAATACCAGCAGCTAAACCTAATAACCAAAATTTACTGGCATTCTTGGCCATATTTGGGTATTTCTTTTTATCTATAATACCTAACATTTTTAATAAAATCAAACCATCAAAAGTTAAATATCCAGCATAGAATAAACTTCTCAAAATACTTGTAGTTTGTACAAATGGATCTAATAATTTGTTATCATAAGTCTTTGAAGCAGTTTGTAAATGGCTTAAAGGTTTTAAGAATCTCATTGCCTTTCTAATTAAAGACAAATGTTGTTTTAAACCATTCCATAAATCAACAGTTGCTTTTGGATAACCTTTCTTATAACAATAATAACTTAAGAATCTGGATAAATAAGCAAATAATCTTAATGATTTTTCTCTATGAGCAGAAGATTCTAAGAAGTTAATTACTTTGGTTAAAGTAGGATGATAGATAAGACAATCGACAACCATATTGACTCGGATATATTGATTAAACTAAGTAAAGGAAGGATGGAAGAACAACAACAAACAACAGCAACAGGCCAAAAAAAAGCTATATGTCTTAGAAAGAAAAGAAACGGTTTATGGCTGGTGTCTCTGAAAAAATTTGTTAGAAACCCACCGAAAAAGTGGGGGAGGGTATATCCAAGGAGATCATAAGATAATTTTGTTTTATATACAGGATATATATAATCCACAAGACCATTAAAACACAAAACCCCGGTTAGTTACATACATGTACTTGTAGGTCGTACTACCATTCATAGTATTAAGTAGAAGGAGATGCCCCGGGTGCTTTACAAAGGAATATTTGGATTTCCATTTGTATGTAAAACCTCCATGGGAATAGTAACCATTTCTAGCGGGGCAGTACCAATAGATGTTAAGGAGAAATGACGTTTTTCCTTTTTGGTTGGTCGGTTAAGCTGGAAATCGTCATTATGAACAATGATATTTATAAATTTATTGCTCCAATGATAATTGGTGCGCCAGTGTAACCCTTTTCATCGTACCCCAGAAAATTTTTGGTTTTTCCCACGGAAATAAGGAAGTAAGCGGCTCCCTTATTTTCTGAGTGATTTTTTTTAACCAGTTTCTTCAATTAAATAGAAAACATTCATTCGCTAAGAAATTTCTAAGATCAACTCCGAAACAAATCTCCGAAAAACTATAAATTTATTTGGAACATTTTTACGTATTATTATACAAATGGGTTGTATGAAAATTCTATTAAAAATGCTACTTAACCCAACATATTCTTCTCATAAACTGAATCCTGTATATACAGAAGAATTCAACCAACAATTTCACTACAACATCGAAATTTACAGAATGACCCAAAAACAGCGACAGTAAAATGTCGTAGTAAATAAATAGTTCAAAGATGAAGTGGGTGAGAAGAACAATACGACATTTGGTAAAAAAAACAAAATGTGTAAAAAAATTGTAATTAAAAAAAATTTTATGCCGAGCTTAAAATTAAATAAAAAATATCCGTTGGGTTGAAAAAAGACAGAAAAGATAGAAAAAGTTCCTCGGACTTTTTTCTTTTCTTCCAACGAGATTGCTTTTTTTTTTTCTTTTAATTCTTATACGACATTTATTCCGGTTCAAAATTTTTTTTTTTACTTTAAACGATCTGCTTCTCAATAAATTTAAATATTAAATAAATTTATGACCCATTTTTATTTAATTTAATTTAAAGTATTTATTTATCAAGTATTATATCAACGGTTCATTTTATGAATTCTTTTTTGATAATAATAGAGAACTATTACTAATATTAAAGTTATTGCTTTCTGCCATACCTATAACCATACATACACATCCAGATCATCCATATCCCTTCATTCCCTTACTTCCGTTTTCTTCCATTTTACCATAAATTATAGACTAATTATAAACTATTCATGATGCAAGCTTTACGTCAATCAAATGTATTTCCTCATACCCTAAATACACAACCCCAACCTCAACCACATCATATTAATATGTCCAATCACACTCATCACAAGCATTCATTCCATCTACCAGTTCGTAGACTAAGTATTGCTAAAGATGAACTTAACTTTGAAGATGTTGATCCTGGTACTATTAGAATAGATTGTTCCGGAGCTTATATCGCTAATGATGATCTATTAAAGGATAATAATATGATTAGTGACGCAAACAATACGTCTTCTTCTGCATCTCCATCCTCAACAACTACTAATTCTTCCTGTTCGTCATCTTCAGAAGAAGAAGACACTGATATTGATGACGGAACAAAGGAATCGGTTGAAATGAAGTCTAATATTAGGAGCAACAACAATATCACGTTACAACATTCAAATCAATTAGCACATATCAAACCACCTCAACCCACCGATGAAGATGTTTCAAGCAAAAACAATATTAATCTTCCTCAGCACAATTCGGAAATAATTCATATGTCTATAGATATAGGAGGAACACTTACAAAGTTAGTTTATTTCTCCAGATCTCCAACCTCACAACTAGAAGGTGGTGGAGGTGGAAAATTACATTTCCGTGATTTCCAAACAACAAATTTCAAACAAGAAGCGTTAAAATTTATAATTAAATTAGTTCAAAAATCCTTTGATGATACAGAAAATCCACCAATTACATATATTATGGCAACTGGTGGAGGAGCTCATAAATTTTATAATTTAATGACTAAAAAATTTAAAAAATATAAATTACCCATGAAAATTATTGCTAAAGATGAAATGGAATGTTTAATTAGAGGATTAGATTGGTTAATCACTAAAATACCTAATGAAATATTCACATATGATTTAATTGATGATAAAATCAAATTCATTTCGAATTCATTAACTTCAAACGAAGAAATATATCCTTATTTGTTAGTCAATATTGGTAGTGGTGTAAGTATGATCAAAGTAACTGGACCTGGACCTGAAGATTTTCAAAGAATTGGTGGTAGTACTCTTGGAGGTGGGACATTATGGGGTTTATTATCTCTTTTAACCGATGCTAAAGATTATAGTGAAATGTTAGAAATGGCAGAACGAGGAAATAATGAGAATATAGATTTATTAGTTGGGGATATATATGGTACCAATTATAATAAAATTGGACTTAAAGCTCATAATATTGCTTCTTCATTTGCAAAAGTATTTAAAACATTAAGATTCAATAATAAACCAATGACACCAGCTGAAAAATTGGCACAATTTAGACCAGAAGATATTGCAAGATCTTTATTATTTTCTATATCTAATAATATTGGTCAAATTGCCTATTTACAAGCATTAAGATTTGGATTGAAACGAGTATATTTTGGTGGAAGTTATATATCTGGTCATATGCAAACTATTCACACATTAAGTTATGCAGTCAATTTCTGGTCAAAGGGTGATATGCAAAGTTATTTCTTAAGGCATGAAGGTTATTTGGGAAGTGTGGGAGCATTTGTAATGGGGCCTGCAGTAAAGAAATCATAAACATAATTATAAAAAAAAGAATACACAAGATAGACAAGACCCCATTTAGAACAAGAAGTATGGACTTCTTGGCTGGGAATGGGAGAAGGTTCTATATTAAGTTTGAAATTTCCATTTTTCAATTCTTTTATTTATTTATTTTATATAAATTATTTATTATAGTTCATTCATATTTTACTTATTTATTTGAGTTAATATCTATTTATTTCATGTTTCATATAATTTTTGATTCCGTCTTTGTATTTTGGAATACAAATCTTTTATAGAATTTATACCAAAATATAGACAATTAATCGACGATATATTCAGTTTGTCTACTCAGGGAAATATTAATTCTGGAAGGAACTCACCGTTTGTAGAAGGTTCCTATTGTTGAGCGAAATATGAGTTATGGTATATCGAACACCTATTCGTCACTCTTATCACCTCTAGAACATACCCGAGATCAAACGATTCTGAAACATCCATACATACATAGATGTTCAGATATGTTAGCATGGCAATGTTTGCATAGCAGCCGAAATTAAAATTTGCCGGGGGACTTTTATTCAAATTGTGATGTCACGCAAATCACTTAATTATGCATATTCCCACTCCGAACTCACTTTAACCAATAGAATATTACTAACTGCTTCCTATTTTTATTATTAATTTGCTATCAAACACTTTGTATCTTCCCAAGATTGATCTAACCTGCATTTTGAGATCTTCCATCTTCAACCTGCAAAACTCCCAACCTGTAAAAACCGTTCAGATTTTCACATTCATTTTAACCAACAAAAAAACTTTTCAGATTTTCCGATTGAATAAAATTTTTGGGAAATCATGATTTTAACCAGATCTTTAATACCATCTTTATTAACTCGTTCTTTGAAATCAAGATTATATAGCACCATGTCCTACCCATTAGTCTGTTTAGGTAACCCATTATTGGATTTACAAGCCAATGTCGATCAAGAATACTTAAAGAAATACGACTTGAAAGATAACGATGCCATCTTAGCTGAAGAAAAACATATGCCAATCTACGGTGAATTATTAAAGAGAGATGACTTGGTTCTTGTTGCCGGTGGTGCAGCACAAAACACCGCCAGAGGTGCTCAATATATCTTACCTCCAAACTCTGTCGTTTATTTCGGTTCCGTTGGTAAAGATGTTTATGCTGAAAAATTACACCAAGCGAATGCTCAATATGGTTTAAGAACTGAATATCAAGTCCAAGATGACATTGCCACTGGTAAATGTGCTGCTTTGATTTATGGTGCCCACAGATCGTTAGTCACCGACTTAGCAGCTGCTAACCATTTCAAACCAACTCATTTGGAAAAACCAGAAAACTGGAAATTAGTTGAAAATGCCACTCATTACTACATTGGTGGATTCCATTTAACTGTTTCTCCAGAAGCTATTAAGAAATTAGGTGAGCACGCTGCTGAAAACAACAAGCCATTAGCTTTGAACTTTTCTGCCCCATTCATTGCCCAATTCTTCAAGGATCCATTGGATGCTTCTTTACCTTACGTTGATTACGTTATCGCCAATGAATCTGAAGCAGCTGCTTATGCCGAATCTCACGGTTTAGAAACTACCGATGTTGTTGAAATTGCTAAAGCTGTTGCTAAGTTACCTAAAGCAAACTCAGCTAGACCAAGAACTGTCATTTTCACTCAAGGTTTAGACCCAACCATTACTGTCAAGTACGATGCTACCAGTGGAGAGTACGAAGTCAACCAATATGCAGTTAAGGAATTGGCTGCTGATCAAGTTGTTGACACCAATGGTGCTGGTGATGCTTTCGCTGCTGGATTTGTTGCTTCATTGGTTGAAGGTAAGGCTGTAGCTGAGTCTATTGATGTTGGTCATTGGGCTGCTAGATTGTCTATTCAGCAAGTCGGTCCTACTTTCCCATTCCCAAAGCAAACCTACACTGCTAACTAGGAGTGCTAACTTGTGGGTATCTCTTTTCCCGGTTCCAGATTGATGTTCATTTGTTTTTATTTTACTTTCATTTCTGCATATTCATAGTCATTTCAACATGGGATTCTTATACACGAGATTTATTTCTTGGTTTTTGTTCTTTTTTAACAAGCTTGAACTGGACAAAGAGAAGAGGGTTATCAAAACATTCTAGATAATAATTAGATATTTTAAATAAGTATTATTAGTAGTTAAAATAAAAATTTCAACATATTTTTGAATCTAACCTTAGTCTTTCTGTTTACGAGGATATTTTCGAGACTCATTCGAGATGAGCATCGTCGTTGAAGAAAAAAAACAACTTGAAAAATTCAATCTCTCAATAAACAACTTTCTCCCCCACAACCAGAACCACTAGGAGAGATATATAAGATGTCTGTTCTGAGAGATCATTACTATAGGTTAGCATCAGAAGTTCCGCAGGAGAGACTTACTGCTGCCACCCAACTTATTGATGAACTTAATACTGTCAACAATGAAGAAGAGTGGACATATGCCTTAAACAGATTAACCAAAGGATTGATCACAACTAGACAAAATGCAAGATATGGGTTTAGCATTGCCTTAACAGAAGTTATCCGAGAATTAATCGAAAAAGAGCAACTTACAATCCAGAAATATTTAGAGTTATTATTGGAAGTAACTGGTATCAAATCAAACATGAAAGGAAAAGAAGAAAGAGCTGTTTTATTTGGGAGATTATTTGGGTTACAATGTTTGCTCAATTCCGGGATATTATATGAAAAAGTCGACACCAGCATATATGCAGAATTTATTGATATGCTTACTCTGTTGGCTGTACAGAAATCTTGGTTAAGAGAGACTACATTTTTCACAATACTCCAATTTATTACCCAATTAAAGCAGAAGGAATTAATGAGTGACGAAACTGCCTTAAAGATCTTGCAAAGTGTCAACGACGTTGGATTGAATTTATCGACGGAAGGACTTTCAATTTATCTCTCGATTGACAAAGAAGTTCGAGATCGAGTAGTTTCCAAAATGACTAATACGAAACCAAATTGGAAAAATGGTGATCCATTATTCAAAGGAAACTTAGCTACCATTACGAAAGTTCTCAGGGATGTCGAAGTAGTGGAAGATCAACAGGAAGAAGACGACAAGAAAACCAAAGGAAATAAGAAACAAAAAGGTAGTTGGAGTTCCAGGCTTCCATTTGTTTGGGATATTTTGATTTCAAAATTTAATGAGCTTTACCGTGATGACGATGACGACAACACCGAAGACGTTTCAGTAGCCGATAGTAAGAAGAGGAAAAAGTCATCCAAGAACGTCGCCAACAAAAAGTCTCAAACGCAAGATGATAAATATTTTATTCAAGTTAAAGAATTTTTCAAGATTGCAGTTGATGAATCATTGTTTTCCGAGAAATCCTCTCATGAAAGGAAATACTGGGGCTTCGAGATATTTCAGAAATTTTTATCATCCTTAGATGATGTTGATGCCATGGAACATTTATTCACGCCAAATTTGATGAGATGCTTAATTAACCAAAGTAGTCAAGCTAATAGATTTCTTAATAGGATTTCTGTCTTAACTTTACAAAAGATCATTAAAGTGGCTGAAGCAAAGCCACAAATTGTACCAGTTGTTTTCAGATGCCTTCTCGATGAATCCAAAGGAGGATGTTGGAATTTTGATCTCGTGACAAAGTCTCATACTGTTGAAGGTTTGCTCTCAATTCCCGGAAAGACACAAGATGTAGAACTTGCCTCATGTCTCATTAAAATATTGATTAATGAATTCAACACTGCTTTGAAATCTCAGGATTCTCCCGATGATAATTCAGCCAGCTTTAAAAGATCCAATGATAACATATTAAAATGGTGTCTTGATAGAATTCTCTATCTTATCAGGCATAATAGACAAATTGCAGACTCAATCATGATGGATGAAATTCTTGAATTGTTAATCCGTCACGCATTTTTCAAGTCCACGGTTTCTTCAAACATCAGAGATATTTGTCAAGAAAGATTAAATTCAATTCTAGCAGAAATTATCTCCAAGAAAAGACCAATGGATGGTAATGCATGGTCCACTTATTGTTTCCAAAAGATCCAAGAATGTGAAAAGCTATTTGATTGCTTGCTTGAATTTGATCAAGAGTTGCTCGATATCAAGAATGATACTGTTGATACCTTGAAAACTCTCATTGAATTGAAAACTAAGAGCAAAACGAGGAAGGAGCAATTATATTGCTTTGAATTGTTATTTTCAATGGTGTTGATTCAATTGTATATGGAGGATGAAGAAACAATTCAAGTAATCAATGAATTGAAATTATGCTTTGAAAATCAATTTAATCAAGAAGACGGAAATGAAGAAGTGGATTCTGGAATGGTTTTAACTGAAGTTATATTGAGTTTTGTATCTAGAAAATCTTCTCTTTTGAAGAAGCTTTCTAGTATTGTTTGGGAGCATTTCTTATGTGGCAAGGATGAAGAAGGGAAATTGAGATTAAATGATGAGAGTTTGAAATTGTTATTAGATGTACTTGTGGCAAAGGAAAATAAGGAGGGTCAACAAAAATTATTCGAGGGTGAAGATGAATTTGTAGATGAAGATCACGATGGAGAAGAGGAAGAAGACGAAGAAACCAAGGAATCAGAAAATGCCTCAAACGATGAAGATGAGGAAGCATCCAGTGAATCTGACTCAGATGAAGATGAGGATGACGACCTTGCTGAATTGGACAAAGAAACCAATTTGAAACTAGCAAAGGCGTTGGGGATCCCCACTTCAGAATCAGGGGAGGTTAAGTTTGACGAATTGGATTCTTCCTCTGACGACGACAGTTTTGAATCCGACTCTATGGATGACGAGGAAATGTTGGCTATGGACGATCAATTGTCAAAAATCTTTAAAGATAGGCAAGATGCTTTAAGCAGTATACAGACTGGAAACAAGAGAAAAACCGAAGTCTTACAAGCCAAAGAACAGATGATCTTTTTCAAGAATAGAATATTGGATTTACTTGACACATTTGTTAAGAAACAACCAAACTCGCACTATAATTTGAGTCTCATTGAACCTTTGATTAAGTTAATTAACTTAACATTGGATAAGAATGTTGGAACAAAAGCTCATAAACTATTAAAGACAAGAATCAGTAGGACAATGGTTACAAATGAGGAGCTCGATTTATTTTTCCCCACAAAGGAAGCAAAAGATGTTTATATCAATTCCTTAATCAGCTTGATTAAGTCCCTTCAAAAGCAAGCAAATGAAACAAAATCATCGAACCAAGCTGTAACTGCAAGTTATAATCAAAGTTGTATCATCCTTGCTAAAAATATAGTCAACATTCAGCCTGACGCATTGGAAAGAATTCTTAATATTTATACCGACTCGTTAAAGGAATGGGCATTGGATCCAAAGAGTAAATTACAGCCATCGTTATTCTTTGACTTTATCAACTGGATAAACTCAAAGAAATAGAATCTTTTATAGATAAAAGCGTATTTTAAATCAATCAACTGCACTTCAGTAGCATGCACGCAGGTTCAAACTTTTACTTACCGAAAACCATGGTTTCTCAAGTTCCACATTACTTCTGAGAAGGAGAGCCTTGGTAGTTAGTTTGAACAGCATAGCATTGTAGACACAACACACTCAACATGAGATACAAATCCTTCTCTAGATTGAACCCAAAATTTTAGCCAATTGCTATCCGTATGCATGTTTACAAACAACTTGGGATTATTACCTGAGTCGCGAATACAACTTCGTTTTAATAAATAGGTTCCCTAAGAGAATCCGACGGATGATAACTGAATTCTGTAGGTTGTCGTGGTAATCACTGTGCAAGTATTGTTTTTCTTCACCAATAACTAAGCTTACTTTAAGAAAACCAATGAGAACTCAGAAAAAAGCTTAAGGGAAAGATTAAACACTCTTGGATTGAAATAAGGGGTGTTTAAATGCTTTTATGTTATTTCACAAACATTATCTGAAATAAACCATCATCCAAGTCGAACTCGGTACCCCAACTTTGCAAAAAAAAACGAAAAAAATTTCGGTAAAAAGTCTAACTAACTACGCCAAATTCCCCCCCAAGTGAAGTAAGAACTCTTAACGAATTGACCGACCACGGCACGTCACGTGAAAGTCACGCTAAAGTCATGTGCTATATGTCATGTGACCGTAATCTAATTTGACGTCAAATCGACCCTCCTGGTAGGTATAGTCAAGGGAGTGTATATCCATTGGTTTATAGCATCGTATTTTTAATGATATATATACATTTACTAAGAAAGTACTGAAGATTTGACCCCATTATGAAAATTTCCTGATATATGTATCTACAAGGGATTCAACTAACGATGAAAGCTTTGATATTGCAACATAAGCTATGAGCAACGTTATACGTGATTCAGGGAATGCCATGGCCAGCGTGTATAATTTTATGGGAGATTGAAATCTGGGCTTGACTTCGATTTTGTGGTTATGATATTTACGAACGCAAGTTTACAAAGGGAATTGATGATTTGGCGTGAAATACAACTCTTCGTCAAATACAACAAATGGCCCCGGAAACCTGTTCATGATATTCCAAACCCCTCAATCTGCTCCTTCTCCTATATTTGTCCTTTGATTTAGATTCATACTGACAAGTTTCTGCTTGTGTTACTATCTCTTTGTGGTTGCAATGTTACAAATCGAAGTTTACAAACAGGAATTTCTGTGGGCGGCTAATTTTCGACCCTCCTCCAA